CACATAAAAAATTCACCATAAATGACACATATGACTGTCGAAGGGAAACAAGATGATATTTTTGTTAGAGGACACTTGAAAAAGAAAGTAAAGGACAAGATTAACTTAGACTATGTTCACACTGCAGGTCAATTCTGATTTTTTAACCATATGTGACACATATCTGATTTATTCATGTAAGTGTGAACAGTGCAATTCTTATTTTTTTCAAATCCGACCCAGGCCTCTTTTGTATGTGGATATAAATCGGATATGTATCAGATGTGACTGCAGTGTGGACACTCAGGTCGCTTTCATCCGACCTATACGTCATCAATATGCCACAAACTTCACCATTGTTCAACAACACAAACAGGCATAGAAAATAATGGTGGATGAGGGAACGGAGAACAGTCAGTTGTGCACATGCAGGTCACTTCACGGATGCATTCCGTTCATATTAGATGCCGCATTTGTTGTTGTAATGTGAACAACCACAAAAAAAGATCGGATTCAACAAAAAACTGAATTGTGCATCATAACCTGCAGTGTGAATGTAACCTAAGATGCTTCTTGCCCACAGAGGGTGCCAAAACTGACACAAATGAAAAGTTGCTTGTTGAAGCTTTAATGTTGATTTCAAACAAAAACTAATAACTAATAATAAAAACAAATGTTCTTGGCTATAGTCCGATGGTTAATTATGATTAATTTTATTTCATCATGATGACTTTCAGTGGGGTACTAGTAGGTCATATGCTGAATTACTTACATACAGTATACCACACACTTGTGTTGTACTGATGTGTGTCTAATTTGTAATAAAATACACAATAATGAAGATGATACCTCCTCTGGGCTGAGTCCTTCTCCAGTCCTGATCCCTGGTGGACTCAGAGCTCCGGATGAGTGAGTCAAACATCTACATCCTGCCTCGTCATCTCCCTGTGACATCATCTCTCTCCAGCTAACACGGAGGAAGTCTTTCTTTTTAAACAAACACACTTTCCCCAGGCTACATTTGCGCTTTCTAGGAGTAGGATCTTCCTTGCTGTGTGTAATTTTAAAGTATCAATTTGAAGATGGAGCTTTATTGATGTGATTCAGTACTTTGAATTTGGTTTCATTTTATGCCACATATGGGCTCTGTCTCGCTGTGTCTAGCTGCTCTCACCCAGAGAGAAAAAGCAGAACAACTTTCCATCTCTTTGAGAAAAGGCTGGTTGAGTTCGAGGATACAGATATCTGAGTTAAACCGTGAAACATCCCCAGATCATTTATCATCAAACTTTCCAGACTCAAATTAATTTGCCTAATGAAAGAAATATATACAAAAAGCTTGTGCCTCAACAATCAGCTTTTTATTTTTATCAACACTAAGTTTATTAACCCTGTTTTGTTTACATTGCATGTTTTGTTTTTTGACTGTATTTCCGTCATAATTCTTTCAAAATAAAAGCACTCACTTTTATAAAATAATGTACAAGAAGTATACATGTTAGTTAAGGAAGATACACTCGAGTACAATTTAAAAAAATAATTTCTGCGTGACTTACAAATTAATATTAATTTAAATCTAGTATGGGTGTAGTTTGTGTCAAGCTTTAACAAAGAAAGGAGACCGAAATGTGATCAACAAAAAAAAAGCAAGAAATAACATGAACTTACTTTACAAAGTTTAACAAAACACAAAAAACTGCAAACAAAAAACCAAAACAGGGAAAAGGGAACACTTAGGAAAAACAAGGTAAAAAGAAATACTAACAAGAACCTACCATAACAGTTACATGTACAGTATATTTTTTTTTACCAGGCACAAGTTAGAATTTTGTTTTGCAGACGCTTTTAATGATAATATGGGAGGGCGGTGTTTCTTTACATGCAGGAAATAATCTGTTGAGTTAAATTATCTGATAAAAGTTTGGTGCTGCGAGGGCCGCAGCTGATTGGTGAAAAGAGAGAGATAGAGGGAAAGGAAGGCATGAAGCAGGCAACACCTTAGATTGATGTCTTGATGATGATCTGGAGCAAAACAAAGCAAGGAAAGGCTCACAGCAAACAGAGAATCAGAGCTTGATAACACAAGCTTAGCGCTGGTTCTGTGTAGCTTGTTCGGCTCATTTTTACATCAGCGATGTTTGCGGTTTGTGCAAAAAAATTGTTGTTCTTAGTTCTTTTCTGTGCCTGTGCTGCCCAGGACTCAACTGAACCTACGTGGCCTCTCCTATCATACGATTTCAAAGAAGGTAAAATGAACTTCTCTTATTCTTTACTGTTAGATTATGCATGATTGTGCATGAGGTATTAATAACAGGGTTAAACAGGGATTTATTTATGGTATCCTAAAAAAACATGACTTTGTGCTTCATAAAATTATGGTAGAAAATATCAAATGTGATATAAATTCATGTACAGTATAGAAAAAGATTAATTCATTGATCTGTATGCACTTGAGAAGTTCACCAAGAAATAAATCAGCAGCTTTTAAACAAAATTAAGAAAGGTATTGTGTCAGTGGTCTGTACATCACCCACAGAGGATCCTAGCCCTTTAGCAGGGGCGTGTCTACACTCTTCAGACTGGGGTGGCCAAACTGGGACACTGAGTTACACAGGGGTGGCCTGAACAGCATTTACTCACCCTCTTCTGCCTCTTATCATAACTACTTTGACTATAAACATCTAAGCATCCTACAAATGTTTCAGATGTTAATATTTTTTTACTTTAAAAGCAACAGGATAAGGTGGGGAAAAAAGTTAGTGGCCACCCAGATTCTCAGGGGAGACCCACCCTGTGCAACCATCTGGACACACCCCTGCCCTTTTTGTTTCGATCATCAACCCCCTCAGACAGCCCACATCATTAAGCTAATTTAAAGAAACTTAATCCCAAATACCAATAAGTGTACACTTGTTTTCTTGAAATCCGGCGACTGGACTGTGTAGAGTTGAGAAGACATTTCGCCGCTGATCAAAGAGGCTTCTTCAGTTCTAAAATAGCTAGTGGGGGGAGCTGGTATTTATCTTACTGGAGAAGGGGACAACAACGACAACTGTTTTAGAACTGAAGAAGCTTCTTGGGTAAGTGACGAAACGTCTTCTCAACTCTACACAGTCCAGTTGCCGGATTTTGGAGATTTAAAAAAAATCATGACCTGGATGAATGAAAATCTACATGGAAAAGTGAACACTTGTATTTGATAGTAGGGGAAATATAGATTTTTAGTCTAGTCAGATAGAGGTCAGTAATCCAACATGTCCATAATCCTCCTGAGTCTAACCTGTTTTCTCTTCCCAGCAGGTCCAGTAGGTGATTGGGAACATGAACACAGAGGTAATGATGAAAAGTGACCTGAGGGACACCATCTTAATTATTCAATTATTATCATTCAAAAAGCTGGTCTAGATCGTACTGTCTTTTCACAAAGACCTGATGTAAAGGTTTTGCCGTGACCACCCAGAATCTAAGGGGGGACCCACCCTGTGCAACTGTCTGAACACACCCCTACCCATTTTTGTTTAAAGACTAGCCTGAGAAGTATAACAGAATCAGTCATCAACCACTACAGATTTTTAGTCTAATCAGATAGAGGTCAATAATTCAACATGTCAATAATCCTCCTGAACAAGAACACAATGGTAGTGATAAATGTGACCTGAGGGATAGCATCTCAACATGTCAATAATCCTGCTGAATCTAACCTGTTTTCTCTTTCCAGTAGGTGAACTGGGAGTGAGCCTCGGCTTTGATGAGGACGGAACCAGTGGTAGGGATCAAAAACACAAAGGTAATGATGAAAGTGACCTGAGGGATAGCATCTCAATTATTTAAAGGCATGGTTGACGATTGGAGAAATTGGTAATTATTATGAACCTCGTTTATATGGCGATCATGGTCTTATAGCGCGAACTCCACAAAGTGAAGAGAAAAAGAATGTAACAAAACAGTTCACCCTCGCAGGGGCAGGGCAGCAAAAACATTGCCCAATAGGAGCCATCCATTCCGGACAGCTCCTATTGGTCAATCTCCTACTCTGCCTCTCCATCCAATCACCTCGCTGTATTCTACACACCCCTCTCCCGTAGTTGCGACTCGTCCCCTCCCACTCTCCTGGTCCTCCTCGGAGCTCTGAGCTGCTAAAAGTAGCGTAGCGGCCTAGCTACAGGAGCTGTGATGGAGGAGGACACAAAAAGAAAACATTTCTGCTTGCCCCACCGCCAAAAGTGGGAAGAAAACGCAAGCTGACAGAAGAAAGGGCAGAGACAAAGAGGAAATGTGATCAAGCGAGGAATCTAACTCAAATAAACATCAGGTCATCCTTCGAGCGGTGGACAAAGCCCCGCCATGATTTGGGCCTGAAAACAGATGCCAGGACAGCAGAGTTTTTGTTGAACAGGTAATTTTTATCACCTTTTATTGTGGCACATGTTGCATAAATAACTCTTATTAGTCTCTGCAATGTCAACACTGTAGCTGTCCAGGCAGCTGCAGACGGTGCTCGCTAGCAGAGCTGGCGTTTACTGCCGCTAGTCACGAGCAATCCGACATGGTGAATCCTATTTGAAGCAAGTGTAGGATCATCCGGCCAGCTTCTTGCTCTGCCGGAAGTGGTGTGTCATGGGGAGGGCGATACAGGCTCAGGGGGGAGTTATCGTGGAGCACAGAGGGGAGAGGTTTGAGTTTAGGGGGGGTGGGACGCTTTTTTCAAATCTGCCTCAATTGCTCAGGTTTTTTCAACTGCTTCTCAGATCGTCAACCTTGCCTTTTATTACTGTTATTCAGAAAGCTGGTCTAGATCATACTCTTTTCAGAAAAACCCAATGTAAAGATGAGATCAGACTTAGCCCCATCCTGTTCATCTATATTCATACTCAACTCATTTCTCTGTACCTTTCAGTCATGGCAGTAGGGCCTTCATTAGGCCATCAGGACCCATGTCGGCCAGGACCTCCAGATACCAAATGTAATGATTCTGTACCTTCTGTGGAAAGACCTGATCAAAAACCTGATAGCTCTTTGCTATGGTGCTGCCCTTCAAGATCTCCTACCACTTCAATGGTAATGACTGGATTTTTGGTCCTGCCATGTGCCGTGTGGTGACTGCAGCCTTTTACTGGAACATGTACTGCTCAGTTCTGCTCATAGCCTGTATCAGTGTGGACCGACTCCTCGCTATAGTCTATCCTATGGATTCTCTGACCTGGAGAAGTCCTGGGAAGGCAGTTGTTGCCTGTGCAGCCATGTGGATACTGTCCTTTCTAGGGTCGATGCACCTTCTCTTCACTGAACAGACTGTTTACCTTGAACACTTGAACATCACCACATGCCACGACATCCAGCCCGCACCTTTTTTCGAATGCTACAAGATGTATATCACCATCGTCTGTTTACTCCTCTTCTTCCTGCCGTTGATTATCATTGTGGTCTCCTACACTCGGGTGATCATGACCCTGAGCAAGGCCCAGCTAGGAGTTCCAGATCAGTCACGCAAGAAAAGAAGAGCTGTGGTGTTGGCTGCATCAGTGCTGGTGATGTTTCTGCTTTGTTTCACGCCCACTAACTGCATCTTACTTGTGCATCTGCTGAAGTTTAAGGGGGAAGATCTAAGTAACCATGCTGATAACCTCTACATAGTCTACTCAGTGTTTCTGTGTTTGGGAAGTCTGAACTGCCTCCTGGATCCTCTGGTCTACTACTTTGGGTCGTCCCAGTTTCAGAAAGAGCTGTCCAGTATGCTGGGTCACCAGAAGACCAAACAGAACACCAGCAGCGGTCAATCATCTGATCCAAGCACTTCCACCAGCCAAGCACTTTTGAAATCCAACTGCAAAGATGGCTTCAAAGTTAACCCTCCAGTCACCAACAGTGACTCTTCTCAAGCAAATCTTTGCAGCCACTGCAGGAAACTCCTGGTTTAAAACATGCAGGAAATTCTTACTAAAATTACTCCATGTAATTTTTGTCATAATACCTCAACTCTTGTCTTCTCTCGGGTGTCTCTCCATTGGCCCTGAAACTGTTGTCACCAAGTCATTGTTAAAAAAAAGCAATCTAAATGAGACACCAATGCACAATATTTAGCGAACATCAAGTCTATCTTCAAGTCAAATTATTTAAAAGCAGTTATTCAACAGCTAAAGACAGCTACAGCTAGATTTTCTCAGAATTCTGATAGTTGGACGGAATCTACTGTTTTTTAGTTTAAAGTTAGAATTCTGAGTAAAAGTTAAAACTCTGAGAAAAAAGTCAAAATTCAGACTTTTTTTTCCCTCTGAATTCTGATTTTTTTTCTTGGAATTCAGAGCTAAAAGTACAAATTCAGCAATAGGTCAAAATATCAATATTCTTTAGAAAAAAAAACCACACTTGATTCTTTTTGGAATTCTGAGTTTGTATTCAGAATACAAAGTAAAATTCTGACTTTTTTCTTTAAATTTTGACTTTTTCTGTAGAAATTCCAACTTTGAAAAGGAATTCAGATTTTTACCTTAAGGTAGCCTACAAGGTTTATAGTCAGAGTTCTTGCATTTTTTCAATTTCCAAAACATTTGTGGAAGAGTCAAGACTGGGATTTTTAGCAAAATGTTTCCTTTTTAACCAACCCCATCTGTGTTTGTCATAATTAAAAAAAATTTTAACAATATTCTGACTCCTTTTGACTTGAATTCTGACTTTTTTCTTAGAATTCCTGTTTGAAAGTCAGTAGTTTGAGAGGAACTCAAAATGCTTACCTAAAAAGAGAATAATAATAATAATTACTATTATTATTATTATTATTGTTGTTGTTGTTGTTGTTGTTGTTGTTGTTGTTGTTGTTGTTGTTGTTATTAATAATAATTTGTAATTTTGAATTCAAAATAAGAATTTTGAGAGAAAAGTCATAATAAAATACACTTGAATGGAATTCTAACGTAGACCATTGTATCCAAGTTTTAAGTCAGAATTCTGACTGAAAAATAACCCTTATTTTTTTCCCTTTGGAATTCTGAGTTCAGCCAGAATTTGGTGTTGATTCTCAGAATTCTGACTGAGAATCTTTTCAGAGAGTCAGAAATCTGCTGTTTTAATCAGAATTATTGTAAAAAAAAAAAAAAAAAAAGAACTAAAAGGAAAATCCTGACATTAAAAAAATCCTGTGGCTTCTTGTCCTTTTTTGTACTGTATTGTTTTGAATTTCCCTTCAAGGATGAATAAAGTTCTTCTTACTATCATTCTTTCTAATTGTTTTAAAGACAACTACACTTTCTATCTGAAACAGTCAATGATAGAAGAAGTTCACAACTATATGTTATGCAAAAGTTAGAGAAATCTATATGCGCCCATTAAAGTTTATTTTAACACTGCAGGTTTGAATAATCCACTTTGAAGTCTTGGTTTACACCATCACACATTTGATTTATATTGGACGTGCCTTTATAGTGAATAATGAAAGAAACAATGTATGGAAGGAAGCTGGTTTTAGACAAAGATGTGTTTTCTAGCATCGCTCTAGTGAGTGACTGACACAACAAGGCATTTTTCTCTGGTACTGAATTACTCATCAGCCACAGATGATGTTTAATGGACAGAAAGAACCTGCTTTATATTTCTCAATATCTGTGTACTACATTTAACAGAAGAAAATTGTTATGTATTTCCTCCAAATAAATAACTGTCTCACACTGCTGTATGCTGTTGGTGTTTTTGTGTACAGGTTTACAGGTAGGTTTATTAAACGAGTGAGAGGAAACATCTGATCTTAAACGTCTCTTGCAGGGTGATTCAAGGGCAAACTGTAAACGGCTTTTATTGGAGTATGTTATGGAAGAGTCATTTTAGGTCAGCTTTGAATGTAAGCCAAGAGTAAACAAAATTCACCCACTGTAAAAAAATAAATAAATAAATAAAGGAAAAGACGGTAAAGACATTAAGTTGAGTGCTTGGAATTTCTGTGTAATTGTAAACATTCTTTGAGAAAGAAGGACATACATAAAGACTCCCATGGGCCTCTTCTTTGTAATTCCCCAGTTGGTACGATCTGACTGCTTTAAAAATTGAAGACTTTATAAGGTCTCTTTGCTACTTCACATCAAACGGCAACATCGTTGGTAAAATAGTCTGTACTAAATTAATTCAAAGGCAAACAGTAAACGACTTTTATAAGGGTATGTTATGGAAGAGTCATTTTAGGGCAGCTTTGAATGTAAGCCAAGAATAAACAAAATTAACCCACTGTTAAAAAAAAAAAAAAAGGGAAAAGACGGGAAATACCTTCAGTTGTTGAGTGTTTGGCATTTCCATGTAATTGTGTCAACATTCTTTGAGAAAGAAGGACATACATGAAGACTCCCATGGGCCTCTTCTTTGGGGAATTTTTCTCCCCAGCTGGTACGATCTGACTGCTTTAAAAACAGAAGACTTTATAAGGTCTCTTTGCTACTTCACATCAAACATCGTTGTTAATGTAGTCTGTACTCAGCTTTTTCGGCTCATCTTTCCATCAGCGATGTTCATGGTTTGTCCAAAAAGTTTATCGTTTTTGGTTCTTGTCTGTGCCTGTGCTGCCCAGGACTCACCTGAACCAATGTGGCCTTCCCCACCTGACAAGTCAAAGGGAGGTAAGAAGAATTTCTCCTATTTTCTACCATTAGATAATGCATAATAATGGATGAGGTATTTATAGCAGGGTTAAACTGGGATATATTTATGTTGTCCTCCAAAAACATGTCTTTGTGCTTCATAAAATTATAGTAGAAAATATCAAATGTGATATAAATTTATGTACAACATCATAAAAGATTAATGTATTGATTGTTATGCACTTGAAAAATTAATCAGCAGCTTTAAAACAACATTAAGAAAGGTATTGTGGGAACTCCTGCAATGCAACTGTTAAATAAAAGTGTACTACACACCAGAAAAATTGAACAAATTTAATCATAACTTTCCAGATTTATGAATCAAATGTGGTAAAGAGACAGGAACACTCTTTCATTGCATTTGGAAATGCCCAAGGATTAAAGATTTTTGGTAAAATGTGAGTCGTATAATTCAGAAGATACTTTGAATCCATTTAGTAGCAGAGCCTAAAATCTTCATTTTTGGCATCTCTCCAAAGGGACATAAAATAAAACATAGAGACCAGATATTTATAGACTTGTGTCTTATACATGCCAAAAGATCAATAGCATTAATATAGAAAAGTCCCCATAGACCAAGCATTAAACAATGACTTAAGGAAATGTCAAGATGTTTACCTTTGGAAAAAATCACATACACAATTAAAGATAAGGAAGAACAGTTTCAACACATCTGGGGCCCATTTATACATTTTCTTATGGACAAGGACTTATCTAGTGTGTTGGACACAGCTAGGGGAGTTAAGTCATTACCTCTGCAAGTGAACTAATTCGTTACTGATATTTACAAAGCATCTTATGGTAGGCAATGTAGGTTTTTCAGGAGTCAACTACATGGTAAAATAGCTTTTTGTTTTACTGTTTTTATTTATTTATTTATTTATTTAAATAGAGTTTATGTCTGCAAGTATTACCTTCATTTATCTTAAATATTCATTATGTATGTTTGAGCCATCATCCTTTAAACATTTACATATAATTTGTTTTTATATATGTATTTTTTGGGGGGAAAACATGGACTGTCATGGACATTCCTGCTCTTTTTGATATGGTTGAAACTTCATTAAACCGAATGTTGAAAAAAGAGAAAAGAGAAAGGTATTGTGTCAATGGTCTGTATATCACCGACAGAGGATCCTAGCCCTTTAGCAGGAGCATGTCTAGACCAGGGGTTCTCAATTAGAAATGTCAAAGGTCCAGAAAATACATTTTGAGGAAGTCATAAGTCCATGGTGCATGTGTGGTGGTGAAAAACAAAAGACACATTGGCTTTGTGCTTGAAGGAGGTAAGATAATCATATATTTGTCTGTCCATTCGTCAGTGAATCAGTGATTTTCAGTGTCCACCTTTCTCTGATTTGCCATTTTGATGTCAGGTGCTGGGTGTGGGCAACACTCCTGCTGCAAAGACGTTACCACTGCCTGTGCTTTGCTAAGAAGACAGACTAAAGGAGGCAGATGTGTGACTGTCAGTTTGCATAGTTATCAGCCAATCAGCGCATCGTTGTCATGGGAATAGCAGCTCATAATGCAAGTGTGAGCACGCGCACAGTCACACACACACGCTCTCTCTCTCTCTCTCTCTCTCTCTCGGCCAGTCTAACCTTGCATCAATCAGTCAGAGAGAGTGCCGTGTTGTTGATTTTTTTTTTTTTTTGCTCTGGGTCCGCAAAGAGGTGGTCTGCGGTCTGGATGTGGACCGTGGTCCACCTATTTCGGACCCTGGGTCTAGACTCTTCAGACTGGGGTGGCCTGACTGGGACACTGAGTTACACAGGGGTGGCCTAAAGAGCATTTACTCACCCTTTTCTGCCTCTTATCATAAGTAAGCTAATTTAAAGAAACTTAAACCCAAATACCAATAAGTGTACACTTTGTTTGAAAGTAAGGGAAATATAGATTTTTAGTCTAGTCAGATAGAGGTCAATAATCCAACATGTCAATAATCCTCCTGAGTCTAACTTATTTTCTCTTTCCAGGAGTTGAAATAGGAATGAGCTCTGGCTTTGATAAGGATGGATCCAGTGATTGGAAACAAGAACACAACGGTAATGATGAAAGTGATCTGGGGGATAGCATCTGAATTATTTAAATTAAATCAAATCAAAATTTATTTTGATAAAGCACTTATCATACAAGATATGGAGCACAAAGTGCTTTACATATTCCTATTTAATTATTATCATTCAAAAAGCTGGTCTAGACCATACTCTCTTAACAAAGACCTTTTGTTAGGTTCTGAGGTGGCCCCTAGATTCTAAGGGGGAACTCACCCTGTGCAACCGTCTGGACACACCCCTACCCATTTTGTTAAAAGACTAGCCTGAGAAGTATAAAGAAGCTACATCATCAACCACTCCTTACAGCCCACATAGTTAAGCTAACTCAAAAAAAAACTTAATCCCAAATACCAGTAAGTATGCACTTGTATTTGATAGTAAGGGAAATAAAGATTGCTATTCTAGTCAGATAGAGGTCAATCATTCAATATGTCAATAATCCTCCTGAGTCAAAACTGTTTTCTCTTTCCAGGAGATAAAATAGGAATGAGCCCTGGCTTTGATGAGGACGGATCCAGTGATTGGAAACCCAAACACCAAAGTAATGATGAAAGTGACCTGAGGGATAGCCTCTCAATTATTTAATTACTACTATTCAGAAAGCTGGTCTAGATCGTACTCTTTTCCCAAAGATCTGACGTAAATATGAGATCAGACTGAGCCCCATCCTGTTCACCTATATTCACACTCAACACATTTCTCTGTATCTTTCAGTCATTGCACATGGGCCTTCATTTGGCTATCAGGACCGATGTCGACCAGGACTTCCAGGTACCAAATGTAAGGATTCTGTACCTTCTGTGGAAAGACCTGATCAAAAACAGAATCTCACTTCCAATCACATTTAACATAACTAACCTTCAAGTTTTCTCCATACTGGCAAAACTTACTTACATGCAGACTCCCATGGACCCCTTCTTTGTAATTCCCCTGCTGGTACGATCTGACTGCTATTAAAACAGAAAACTTTACAAATAAGCCCAAAAATGGAGAAACTGTGTGCTTTTAGCAACTCACTTTTTCATACCCCAAACAAAAACAGTAATATACCGTACATCTGTCATAGTTTATTTCCTATGTTTTAATGCCTGAATCCAACACAAAAGGGTAGGTGTTTTTACAATTTCCACATATACTCACAATAAATATTGCACTCAACCATCAAGAGTCAATAGCTACTACTTAAAAGAGGATATATTGGTAAGTGTGAATTTTGGCACCCTCTGTTCCCCAGCACTGGTTACAGGAATGAAAAATTACAGTATAAATACCAACAATAAAGTTGTTGCTAACGCTCTTGTTTGCTTTTGTATATAATACAAATGCATGAAATTAATTTTAGTTTATTTCATTTATGTCAAAAAATGTAGAGGGCAAGGCAAGCAAAGACTGCTTTGTCCAAAGGGGGTGCCAAATTGGATGAAACTTAAAGTTGGTCACTGGAGCTCCAGTACCCCTGTGGGTGTAGGGTGACATCAGTTAGTAGAAATGTGTCTCTGTGCTGCAGACAGGCTGCCTTTGGTACACTGATGGGGTAAGTGAGGCTGAACAGTGGGAGGGAACAAAAGGGTTTAAATATAGTGATGAAGATCTGCTGCAGGACTGACCTGAAACAGAAAATCACAGGCATCTTAGCCATTCTCAGTACTGATTAGATTCATGATCTATCAGTTCATAAGCAAGATGTTTTAACTTCTCCAAAAACTCTGATCTTGTTGGCCCTGGTGTGTGTGTGCACTGTCTAGGATGCACAGATGGACTTCAATTTCTCAGACTGGGATTTTTGGAGTACTACCCCAATTGAATTTAAGAGTTAAGGTCTTTACATACCGGGAACGACACAGATGTACAACTCAAGATTACAAAATATTCGGAGGCGAATTTTGATGAGCCTGTCTATACACATCAAGCACGATGTGATTTTGTGACTTTCTGGGGGGGAAAAAGATACATCACAAGTGAAAGAGAGAAGACTGACACAACAGCAGACTGGGTGTTTTTCAGTTCTGATTAAACACTAGTGTTGAGATGGCTGTCTGTCATGATAGCATGTACTGAGTCGGGGCCAGTACCAGATAAGCACATTAAACTATAATCCATAAACGTAAGGTAACAACTGAGACCTAATGGTGCTGTGACAGCAACGCGATTGAGTTTGAGACAGTGAAAATATATATGGTATGTTGTATCTGAACAGGTAAGCTAATGAGCTAAAGTTACTTAGCACAGATGAAAGTTAAAACAAATACGTTTAGCAAACTGTTAAAGCACACAAACTATTGTCATATGAGAAATCCGACACTATGACTCTCCACAAGTTGTCCTTCAGGTCATTATCTTTGTAATGTTTGTGTCTTTTATCAAAAAGCACTTTATGCTCCGACATGTAAACAATCAGCCGGTCGACCATGTTGGATATACCGGTGAATCTGAAGTCGCAACAACACACAATCTGATTGATCAGAAGTGGACACACAGTATGTGAAACTTTAGAAAAATTGTCCGTGATGCAAAAAAAATAAATGCTGCAATATCGCAGGACTGGAAAACGTTGCTGATGTGAACGCTTGTATTGACAGGATACGGGTTCGAAAAAAAATATTGACTTCCAAAATAATCGCGCAAAAAAAATGCTCCTGGTGTGTAAGGACCTTAAGTCTCTTTAGCTTAAGTCAGATAGTTTGCATGTGGACCTGAACAGTGTCAGACCGTATTCAGCATAGTATTGTTTGTAACTTGGCAAAAGTTTTTGATGGAAAGTGTTGGGAAAGCGTGTGATCTGTTATGTTCACAATAAGAAGGTACTTTTGAAACACATAGCATTGGAGCTAATGTGTTAAGTTATATATTCTGAGACCAGATTCTTTTGATAATTTTTCAATTTTAAAAAGGGTCATAGAAATCCTCTGGATCTCAGTAAACAGCTTATAATCAGTTAACAAGTTTGGGTCACTTGTGGAAAAATAAAACTTAATTTGCATTGCAAGTAACACCTGTTTGAAAGCCTTTTCCTTCTTTTTCCAGGTTCTCCATCAGTAGAGAGTTTAAACAGAGAGATACCAATCGCCAAGAGCCCAGAAGTTCATATGATCCCATCTTTGTATGAATATTTTTCTCTTTGTGAAGACCTCATTGAAAGATGCAAAAAATACAGTTCTGATGACAACAGATATGATGTTGTTGTACCCTCTTCTGGTATTGACGAGAGTGTCACCAGCAGTTCGAAGATCTCAGATAAGGCGGAACAGTTCCTAAAAGGTCATGTGTCCACCATCTTCATCCCTTCCTTCTACACCCTGGTCTGCATCATCAGTGTGCCCATCAACATCTGCGCGGTGCTGGTCTTTGTGCGGAAGATCAAGCCAAAGAACCCGGCAGTGATCTTTATGCTGAACCTGGCCTGTGCTGACCTGCTCTTTGCTCTGCTGCTGCCATTCAAGATCTCCTACCACTTCAACGGCAACGACTGGATTTTTGGTCCTGCCATGTGTCACGTGGTGACTGCAGCCTTTTACTGGAACATGTACTGCTCAGTTCTGCTCATAGCCTGTATCAGTGTGGACCGACTCCTCGCTATAGTCTATCCTATGGATTCCCTGACCTGGAGAAGTCCTGGGAAGGCAGTTGTTGCCTGTGCAGCCATGTGGATACTGTCCTTTCTGGGGTCAATGCACCTTCTCTTCACTGAACAGACTGTTTACCTTGAACACTTGAACATCACCACATGCCACGACATCCAGCCCCCACCTTTTTTCGAATGCTACAAGATGTATATCACCTTTCTCTGTTTATTCTTCTTCTTCCTGCCGCTGATCATCACAGCAGTCTCCTACACTCGGGTGATCATGACCCTGAGCAAGGCCCAGCTAGGAGTTCCAGATCAGTCACGCAAGAAAAGAAGAGCTGTGGTGTTGGCTGCAACAGTGCTGGTGATGTTTGTGCTTTGTTTCACGCCCACAAACTGCGTCTTACTTGTGCACCTGCTGAAGTTCAAGGAGAAGGTTCTGAGTAACCATGCTGATAACCTCTACATAGTCTACTCAGTGTTTCTGTGTTTGGGAAGTCTGAACTGCCTCCTGGATCCTCTGGTCTACTACTTTGGGTCGTCCCAGTTTCAGAAAGAGCTGTCCAGTATGCTGGGGCACCAGAAGACCAAACAGAACACCAGCAGCGGTCAATCATCTGATCCAAGCATTTCCACCAGCCAAGCACTTCTGAAATCCAACTGCAAAGATGGCTCCAAAGTTAACCCTCCAGTCACCAACAGTGACTCTTCTCAAGCAAATCTTTGCAGCCACTGCAGGAAACTCCTGGTTTAAGACGGATGCTTTCAAACTTCTGATTATACATTAAGCCATGACTGATTTCTCTGCCAAACTGATGATGCTCTTTGTATCCTCACGACTATTTTATTCACAAAGTATTAAACAAACAGCCATCACATCCACAAGAAATCTCTTTACACTTAAATGTTGTTTTATCGTGTGCTATTAAGTCTAACCACACCTGTAGAAAACCAGTATAACAAAAACAACACGGCACCAGTTTCTAGCTTCTAGTCCACGGGCCATACGAGAAGTCGCTACCACTCAAGGTGGCAAAAGTTACTTATCATTTATGAGAAGCTCTATGTCTGTAGATAATATCTTGGTATGATACCCCTTCCTGAGACACAAAAATTGGTGTTATCAGCTGCTAAAGTTATCCTTCCCCATTGAAAAATGGCATTTTAGACGTGGGTGCATATCTTGGTATTGGCTCATGTTAAGGACATATTGCAATGTTCTTTATTATAGTGGTTGGTGTCATTTTTAAGGGGACACTTTGAGCTTTCATTCAAGCCCTTTTGTGTATATGTGGGACAAGTACAGTGGTTACTGGAGCTCTTCAAACTTTTAATAAAACATGTTTTACACAATATCCGCCTAAATCATATTTTTTCTTTTAGTCATGTGCCATCAAGAAACATCAGAGACACAAAACACCATATCTGGAATACTGACATGATTTTCAGCCTTATATTAAACAAGCAGATTTAATGCGAAACTAATCAGACCATAGCAATTACAACACAAGTATTTGTTAATAGACAATGACAATACAGGATAATGATTTATGTCACAGTGAAGTAACAACTATAACCAGACATGGATAACATTAACATTTACATAAGGTAATTGTGATATTAATTATTTTCCTTGTATCAAGCTCTGAGCATCGGAATAGCGACACCATGCACAAAGATATAATCGATAATCAAGAGTCAATAATTAAGGGGGTTTATTTCTCATTATCAATGTCCTCCAAAGTGCTGTGCTACAACAACATGCAATGATAATCATAATAACAAAAAAACAACTAAGATAAAATAAATAAAATAAGAAGCCTTCAACAGGCATACAAATGTGCAATAAGACAGCTAATGGTTTTTTCCTTGTATGGCTTTTTCTTTTTTCTCTTTTTGTCTCTTTGTTCTCCAATGTCAAGCCTAGAGCCTTAAAACTGGTCATCAGTTTCTTCATCTGACTCCCCAAGTTCAAAGTCAGGTTGTGGATCATCTGCCTTTTTTTGGTTGCTGCATGTCTGCAATCTGCACATGTCTGTGCAGGTAAGTCCATTTGACAGGCACGTGCAATCTGGCAGTTTTCACGAACACACACATTTGCAGGACAACAGCTCCAAGATTGCATCTGGTGCAGGTGGGGAACGCATCCAGTGAATGGCCAGCTTGCCATTGATGTCAGTTCATCCATGAATCAAAGGGCTTGGCACAACAGGAGAAGCTTGAAGACAGCAGTTCCAGATTTCTGCCTGGTAGTTTGCCCGTTTAATATGCATGTAGAGACAATCTCTACATGGTGGCAACTGGCTGGACTCAATTTCTCCCCTTTTTGTGCAGAACAGTTTGCCATTTCTAAAACTGGTGCATGCTTCGGTAACTGAGCTGTCCTGAGAAGAGTTCTCTTTGGAGTGAAACCAGCTTATCTGTGTCATCAGAGCAATGGATAATGCATTCCATTTTTGGTTGCTTTGGTAGTGGGCTGTCATTTACTTGCTCACTGGTGGCCATGATCAATCAGTTTTCAACTAGAAATATAAACATCAGAAATAATCAATCAAAATGTATCCTAACTAATTTAACTACATCATCTTATCATCTCAACGATGATTCAAAGCTTATTGAATGTAAAATTTGTATTTTAAACAGAAATACAGAACTATTACTACTTACCTTTGAAAACGAGTATGAACAAACAAGCATGTATCAGTCATATGCCAGGGGCCTCATTTATAAAACCTGGCGTAGGATCCATACTAAAAGTGTACGTAAGTTGAAAAGCTGAAAAGTGCGTAGGCAAAAAAAAAATCTGATTTATAAAACCCTGCCTACGCACACCTGCACGCACTTTCCCTTTATAAATCACAGACCAGCTGGAAAGTTGCTCAGCAGGGATTTGATTCTTCCCCGCCCTCTCCACACCCAAAATTCACCATGTATGGTCATGCAAATTACCTCATGAATGTGATTTGCATGTAGATAAGCCTGGTGGATCCACGGCATTTCACGCTTAACCATGGCATCAGCAAGTCGTAGAAAAAGAAACTTTTCAGAGATCGAGGTGGAGGTTCTTGTAAATGAGGTGGCGGCGAGACGGGAGACCTTATTCGGCGGCCATTCGAGTGGCATCACCAATAAAAACGCCGTTGCCGTGGTGGCAATTGCGGCTGGCACTGAGCGCAGCGTTGCCGAAACAGTGTTGTTTTCGTCATATTTCGTCAAATATTTTCGTCAAAACCAGCGTCAAAAGGAAATATTTTCATCAACGAGAACAACACTGGTTGTTTTTGTTGACGGAAATATTTCCCTTTTCTTCCACGACGAAGACGTAACGTTGACGAGCTAAACATAAGTCGGAGATGACTAAAATGTGACCAGACGAAAGTGCGTTTACGTTGATGGGACGAGACGAAAATGACGAACAGAGTTGCAAAACTCAGTCAGTTAAACGCTAAACATATAGGCAGTAGCGGTTCTAGGCACGGGCGAACAGGGCAGCCGCCCGGGGCGGCATTTGTGTCATGACTCATGGGGGGCGGCACGAGCACTTCCAAAAAAATAAAATAAAAGATAATAATGATAAATCTTAACCGCAAAGCGGTTTTGTATTAACTCTTGTTGTCAAATTGGCGCCCCCCGCTGCTGTAAGCGCCCCTGCTTGCTCCGAAGGTGCTGCACAGAGGCTGACAGACTGTGTGAGACGAGGCGGGGAGAGGGTCGCGGGGGGACAGCTCTGCTCTGTGTACGCATGTCAGCGTATCAGCGGGAGCGCGGCTGCGCATTTCTACTCTGCCAGGAGGGCGGAGACGTCATTTTGTAGTTTTTTAATCATTTCTAGAGTCGTGGTGAATCAAATCACCGTACCCGTCTGCCTTCGATAGGCGAATAAAGCGCTCGGGTTCATGCTCGGATCTTGCTACGTGCTTGATGAGCTTCATGAGTAAAGTAAACAATGACTGAGGCAGAGAGCAGCTTCAGAGGAGAAACATCCAGCAGTGTGAACAACCTCTTCATATGGAGTGCTTTGGCTCACACTATCAGCGTTTTCTCTGAGTGTTGCATGACTTTGGGTGAGAACAGAGATGAACACACTGTCAGCCACGTATTTATTTATTCATTTTTTAGTTTTTAGTTCTGCTTTTGTACTGGCACTATACTGGGGCAGCTGTATACCCTTTCAACACCTTATTTTCTATATTTACATTTGTATTGAATGGACACTTTATCATGACTGCCACTTGTTTTACAGAAAACAAATTATTTGTCATTCTCCAGTGCAGAGCCTTTACTTTTATTTATGCAGCCGCTTTATTTCATTTAAGTTTGTTTGTTCAAGGTTTAAAAAATGTGATGAAGGTCTGCAAAACTAAAAGAGAGCTTTCTTGAAAGCCACATGTATAAGCTCTCAAATACTTTTTGAATTTTGTTTCTATCTACTACAGAGGCCGAGATAACAGCTTTTTTGTAAACCTTAACACGTCAGAAAACCTCAGGATCTGGGGGCCCTTCTCAAAATGGCCCTCAGGATTGTGTTTTTTTCTATTGAAGGATTTCTGCAATTGAGAAATATTTTATTTTTGTTGTTCTAATCATAATAATACTAGATAATAATACAAAACTATCTGTTCAAAATTCTATCTCTTTTTGTGTTTGTTTGTTTGTTTGTGTGTGTGTGTGTGTGTGTGTGTGTGTGTGTGTGTGTGTGTGTGTGTGTGTGTGTGTGGGGGGGCACTTGGAGGGGTGCTCGCCCGGGGAGTAATTTGGTCTAGAACCGCCACTGCATATAGGAGCAGCTTCTGTCCGCTCTGACAGCTCTCATCAGCCTGCTGTGCTCCTCCAACACACAGACACACACGCACGCGCGCGCGCAAACACGTGGAGTTTTGTTTTCGTTGACGATGACGTAGACGAAAACAAAACTGTGCCGAAATCAAGAAGAAGTGGTCTGATCTAAAGGTGGAGGCAAAGAAAAAAGTGGCTTTGCACCATCAGAGCGTGGCGGCGACAGGTGAGAATAAAAAAAAACATGCACGTGTGACACTCGTGCATGTGTTCAAAAAAAAAAAAAAAACACCGCTGCTTATGTGGTGAAAGTTCGTAAACCAAAAAGATTTAGTCATATTAATCTTAAAACAAATGCATGTAAATGGAATTTGTTTTTTTGCACATTTGTAAATTCAAATTGGCAAACTATCTACACTGCCACAGTGGGGTCTGTGCTTTCTGCGAGCATCACTGCCTGGTACGGCAGCTGCAGCTCTCAGGACAGAAAGGCTGCATCGAGTCATCCGTTGTGCTGAACGCATCACCCGGACTATTCTCACCTTGCTCCGATTGTCTCCAAAAAGTGCGTAAGCAAGGTGTGGAGTTTGCTTAAAGTTGCGCACATTCCTACACTAGTTTTTCTTTTATAAATCCCAACTCTTGCGTAAGAAGTGGCGTACGCAATTTCTAGCCAGGTTTTGTGCGTAAGCAAGCTTTATAAATGAGGCCCCAGGCCATTACATACAGTCTGCATCAATGCAGTCTACAGAGAAATACAACAGACATAAAAATACTGTTTGATAATTCTAAACTAACTAAACAAACACACACTTGTACAACATTAAATTGGTTCAAATGAGTTACCTGAAACGTGTATTCATAGCTTGCTTGAGACATCAATGCACCTAAATGTTTGGCTGCATGGCAAAATTATCTCAGCCGGAAAAAAAAAAATATAGAAACAGTTCAGCAATTTAACCTGAAAAAACTTGGTGGGTGTGAGGTGTGTGAGACAGTAACAAGATTGAAAAATGCACACAATCTTTTAAACATGCAGAGTCCAGAGGGGATGAAGATGTGTACACAGTAGCAAAAACACAAAAGGCAAACAAAAATAATTACATTTAACACTTATTTTTGTCACCGACTCACTCATTGGCAAGAAAAATGCAGCTCCCTGGTAAGCTAAGCGGTGCAGACTGAACTAAACATTCAACACAGGTGCATGTTTAATTAAGCATCTTAACAGGTGCAACTAATTAACCCATGCCTATAAGTTATTTGACCATTTACTCTTTCTTTTTGGGACTGTTTGCTGTTCTGTTTTTCTGGGACTTAGTTAATTGTCATTTATGAATTACAGTATTTACAGTATACCTGGATGAGTTAGAAATATATTTATTTATATGATGAATCATATAACTAAATGATATCAATCTCAAATTACATTATATCAATGTGTCACACATTCATGTGTCAAAATGAAATATAATGTTTGTGACCTACATGGCTTTGGTCTGTTTACCTCCTAAAACTGTTTGTCTAATATAAGGCTGAAAATCAGTCCCTCAGAATGAAATATTATAGGTAAACTATATATTTCCTGAATCCTTAGGGTCATGTCAGTATTCCAGATATGATGTTTTGTGTCTCTGATGTTTCTTGATGGCACATAACTAAAAGAAAAAATATGATCTAGGCGGATATTGTGTAAAACATGTTTTATTAAAAGTTTGAAGAGCTCCAGTAACCACTGTACTTGTCCCACATATACACAAAAGGGCTTGAATGAAAGCTCAAAGTGTCCCCTTAAAAATGACACCAACCACTATAATAAAGAACATTGCAATGTGTCCTTAACATGAGCCAATACCAAGATATGCACCCACATCTAAAATGCCATTTTTCAATGGGGAAGGGTAACTTTAGCAGCTGATAACACCAATTTAGCTGTGTCTCAGGAGGGGGTATCACACCAAGATATTATCTACAGACATAGAGCTTCTCATAAATGATAAGTAACCTTTGCCACCTTGAGTGGTAGCGACTTCTCGTATGGCCCGTGGACTCGTCACTCTGACACGATTTGGTGGGGGTTTTTTTTATTATTATTATTAGCTCTTTAGTGTGTCACCTATTATTTCTGTTTCTGGTCTGAATTCCTCTGTTAATATTGTTCTTTTCAAAACACCATGTAGTAAAAGTGCCACACAATTGAAGTAAATATGATATTAATGAAAATAAAAAGACTCTGCCATTCTGGACTGGTTTAATTATTTAACTGACCCATTATGTTCCTTTTGGTTGTAAGGTGTGAGCTTTAATTTTGAAGGATTTGATAAGCTAAATAGCGACTTTTTGTTCTATTTAGCACAACAAATTATAAAATCATTATTATGATAAAAATCATAAATTCTTCTTTTTATGTTTTTGTCATTTTGAAAAAGGTGTGAGCTTTTATTGTGAAGGAGTTGGTAACATGTTTACTTACTTAGCATTAACTATTCATTTAATTCTGTTCAAAAGCATGGAAAAGATCAAATCACAAGAAAAGTACTATTTATGTTTTTGATCTTTAAGGTTTGAGCTTTTATTGTGAAGGAGTTGCCAACGTGTGCATTTACATATGAAAGTTTCTTTTTGATAAGTTTTGCATAGTAAATAGAAAAATCATAATCATAATTTAAAAAAAATGTTTTGCAGTATTGAAAAAGATGTAAGCCTTTATTTTGAAGGAGTTGCCAACATGTAATTACATATGTACATTTTCTTTTCTCAATTCAACTAAGTTAATTAAAAAAAAAATCTTTAAATGTTCATGTTATTTTGGACAAAGTGATGAGATTTTATTGTGTAGGAGTAATGGCTGCTCTGGTCATTGCACCCTCTATGTAATTGAAAAATGAATTACGTATGAAATAGTCTAATATCATCACAACTCATGAGGCCCACCCCCATGTAATCCACCTCAGCCTTATGTCTATATGGACATTCTCTGTGTAACTTTTTTCATCCGTTTTTACACATGCAATACTGTTTTGGTTGATTATCACTTTTTATAAAGCCTCTTTTTCTGTTTCATTTGAGTTCACACCTTAAAACAGTTGCATGTAAGCTCCTATGCAGTCATGAAAGTCAGTATCTTTTTTTTGTTGTTTGTTTTTAACATTTATTCCTCTTCATATATTTTCTATTTTAAATAAGTCATGATTTTGATTGTGGTTCTTAAAAACTCAGGGTTACAAAAGATCTCTTGAAATGATTTTAGTGACCCTTGAATATTCTTAATATGTGTCAGGTAAGTTTTTTCAACTTAAAAAAAAAATTCATTACTGAGAATTTCCTTTTTTTAAATCAGCAACAAAGATAACATTCCTGTAAAATAGATTTTTTTTACCCCCTTATTTTTACAGAAAACTGTATTTTATGAAATTGTGTGCCAAACACAGTTTTGCTTAAATTAATTATCGTCGATGAAATTTGGGCTGTCTGTAAAAATTTTGCAACAAGGCTTTTGTAGTTTTGGATCGAAATTTCTTTCTTGTTTTTTTAATTTCTGGGATATTAATTCCAAGATTTTTGACAATTTTTTTTTCAACTTTTTTTTATTGATACACAGATGCAGTAAACAATACATCCTGAGATAGTCACGTGTTCATTTTTTCATATCATACAGAACCGAACACCCATCCCACCCATTCCGGAGACCTATACATCCAAATAAAAAACAAAACAAAAATGGTTGTTCGTTGTTTGTTTGTTTGCTGCCTGCGTCTCTGCATGCCAGGTTAACCAGATAGCCGATCAGCCAATCTATGGCTACGTTCACACTACAGGTTATGGTGCACAATTCAAAATTTTTGTTAAATCTGATCTTTTTGTGTGGTCATTCACACTACAACAACAAATGCGGCATCTAATGTGAACGAAATGCATCCTTGAAGTGACCCACATGCGCACAACTGGCTATTCTCCATTCCCTGGTTCGCCATAGCTTTCCGTGCCTGTTTGTGTTGTCGAACAATGGTGACGTTTGTTGCATATTGATGATGTATAGGTCAGATGAACGCAACCTGAGTGTCCACACTGCGGTCACATCGGATACATATCTGATTTACATCCGCATACAAAAGAGGCCTGGGTGGGATTTGAAAAAATCAGAATAGCACTTTTCACACTTATATGAAAAAATCTGATATGTGTCACATACGGTTAAAAAATTTACCTGCAGTGTGAACATAGCCTATGTGTAAGGAGTCGTCTCGAGGAGGAGGGGGAGTCAGTGGATCAGCAAGGTGTAATTGCGAGTGAGTGGTGAGAGAGTTTGTCAACATAATCAAGTAGTGGTTTTCAGTGTGAATAAAACTTCTCTGGGCAGCCTTTAAGATTGAATTTGATTTTCTCTAATTTCAGTAAAAATAATAGATTGTGTAGCCAGGATTTAAAGAAAGGTGGCTGGGAAGATTTCCAATGAAGAAGAATCTTTCTGCACGCAATCAAAGACGCAAAGGCTATAACATTATCCTGCAAAGATGTGGTTACAAGGTCATGAGGACGCACTCCAAAAATGGCAATCTGCGGCGAAGGACCAACAGATATTCCAAGGATGTCAGAAATGGTTTTGAAGAATGATTTCCAATAGTGTTTTGACACTTTGCTGAACTGGAATATTCCAACCACTGGTTTCATCTGTGTCTGTAAACATTTCCAGTTTTGTTCTTTTGTTTTAACACTTCATAGAAATGACCTCCAGAGTAAAACAAAAACATCTCCGTCTCCATTTGACAGGAAATCATCTGTTTTCAGCTCATTTAGAGCCTCGAGATTGACGCTCTGATTGGCTGTGACTACTGTGTGACGGGAAGGTGACATCAGGCTGCAGGAATGTGTCTCCTTGCTGCAGACAGGCTGCTGCTGATTGGTGGACGGGGCGTTTCGGACAGACTGGACTTGGGCCGGAAGCCAGACGCATTTTTACTCTCCGTGTATGAAGAGCAGGAGCAGAAACAACCACAGAGACGCTTGAGGAGTACTGAAAGTTCTTTTATCGCTGTTTCTCTGCATTCACCTGTTCGCCATGAGTCCGAGAAGTTGGCTTTTGTTGGTTCTAGTGTGTGCGCGCGCTGCCTCGGCTGCTGGAAAAAACGGTAAGAAGTCGCTAATAAACGGTGATGGGCAGAGCAGTAAGTGGGTATATTAGGGTAGGCATTATTCTGTGTATTTAGTTCTTAAAGTTCTTAAAGTATAAATAACTTTATATCATTTTTTATGTGTATAAACCACCTGAGAATTTAAGTTATTTTATTAACAAACAGTTATGCTTATCTAATCTTGTTTAAGACATTTTCAAGCAGGCAACTTCCTGCGTCACTTTGGTATTTTACTGTACATCTAAAATCCTTGGTCAAAAGATTTAAAAAGAAAAAAAAACTTTGACAGAAAAGTTATTTCTACAAAAATGTAATCATGGTCAAGATCAAAATACTAAATATGTCTATCATCTTTTTGTGGGTAGATTTTAATAAATCGGTTAAGCATTTGCCTGTTTAGTATGAGCTATCTTAGTTACAGCTCAGTCACAACATATGAATGGCTTTTCAGGCTTACTGTAATAGTAATAATAATAATAACAAATTTCACTGACAGCAAAGCAAAATTGTTAACCAGCTAAATTATCTCAGTTTGTACTTTTCCTTTGGTGTTCCCTTGTTACCGGAAACCCAGCACTGTCCCAGGATAATAGGATAAATTAGAGGAAACTAGTGGAAATTTCCTTTAACACATGAGTGGATACATGTCCACTCTGGGTCTCTGTAATTTACACGACAAAGATCAAATAAACAGACACAATTCACAAGAGGAAATGTTTCTTTTCTGAACAGATTTTTTGTGATAATCAAACAATAGATGAATGAAGGGAGGGAAGGAAGAATGTAGTGAGATAGATAGATAGATAGATAGATAGATAGACATCATCTGAAATTCTTTACTCTCTCTGGTTTCAGACACTGCAAATGGAAGGACCTTCTTTTCCTATGACAGCCCATCCTCTCAGGAGGAGGACCTGGGAAAGTACATTGAACGGGATCCCTCTGATGTTGCTGATTCTGTGTTTCCTCTGGCGTCCAATGTAACCAACACCAGCCACAGGCAGATCTCAGAGGAGGCGGAGCTGTTTCTAACAGGCCGGTTGTCCACCGTCCTCATCCCGTCCTTCTACACAGTCGTCTGCGTCATCAGTGTGCCCATCAACATCTGTGCGGTGCTGGTCTTTGTGCGGAGGATCAAGCCAAAAAAGCCGGCTGCTGTCTACATGCTGAACCTGGCCTGTGCTGACCTGCTCTTCGCTATGGTACTGCCCTTCAAGATCTCCTACCACTTCAACGGCAACGACTGGATTTTTGGTCCCGCCGTGTGTCGTGTGGTGACTGCAGCCTTTTACTGGAACATGTACTGCTCAGTTCTGCTCATAGCCTGTATCAGTGTGGACCGACTCCTCGCTGTAGTCTATCCTATCAACTCTCTGTCCTGGAGGAGTCCCAGAAACGCTATCATAGCCTGTGTTACCATGTGGATACTCTCCTTCGCTGGGTCACTGCACCTCCTGCTCAATGAACAGACACACTTCCTTATAAAGCTGAACATTACCACATGTCATGACGTCCAGTCTTCGCAGCTTTTCTGGGCCTACAAAACCTACTTCATCACCCTCTGCAGTCTCCTCTTCTTCCTGCCTCTGATCATCACTGTGGTCTCCTACACTCGGGTGATCTTGTCCCTAAGCAGGGGGTCACCTGGATTAGCGGGTCGCTCACGCAAAAGAAGGAGAGCAGTTGTGATGGCTCTCACAGTGCTGGTGATGTTCGTACTTTGTTTCGCACCCACAAACTGCTTCCTCCTGGTGGAGTATCTGCAGTTCAACAAGGGGGACAAGTCCAGCCGGGAGGTCTCAGATACCCTCTACATCATCTATTCAGTGTTCCTCTGCTTGGGAAGTCTGAACTGCATCCTGGACCCTCTGGTCTACTACTTTGGATCATCCCAATGCCAGAGAGAGCTATTCAGTGTGCTGCGGTGTCAGAAAATCACACAGGGCACCAGCAGCAGTCTTTCATCCTCTGATTCAAGCAGATCCTCTCACAGAACTCTCCTGAAATCCAGCTGTAGAGACAGCTCCCAAGTCCATACCGCTCTCAAAAAAATGGACTCTTTCCAGTCAAGCCCCAGCAGCCAGTACAAGAAGCTGCTGATCTGATGGAGCCTTAAAATAAGCAGATCTCAAATCTGCTAAATTACACTTTGAACTGTCACATATTTGTCTGTGAACGTAGACACACTGTGATCGATGGAAATGGCCCAAAAAAGACTTGGCAGCATCTACTGCATGTTCTGTCAGCTTCAGTAATTTACTTCGGTAACTGGAGAACTTTAAAACGTGGGCCCATGAAAATAAACTCATGTTTAGAATTACCAGAATCCCTCTCCAATAAGAGCAACTTCACTGACTCTTAATCATAAATTTAAGGTTATGAAACTGCAGGAAAACCTTGTTTTGAAGTCTGAGTACCAGCAAATGAAGAGAGTTAGTCTGCTTGATGTATGAAGAGTGAAAATGACATGCCAACATACACAGCTCAAAGTTTCATTAAAAAAACAAATGTGCAAAGGAAGAAGACAAAGAAGAAGAGCCTTTTCTGTGCTGGGTATAGTTGAAACAATAGTGAGTGGTAGGAAGTTGATAAGAGTGTGCTCTCTAAAAACTCTGAACTTTTGCTGCCATGAAACTATTTTATGTTTCCATGTTTTTATTATAAGCTGCAAATGAATCCATCAGTATTACATTTAATGGAAGGAAAGTACTTGTTTTTTGTTGTTGTTTTTAATATTCTCTTTGAATTATCTCATTTTTAAGCACTTATATGTCACATTTAGAGCTGTGTCAGTGTTAAACTACTTTGCACTAAAATCATTATCATGTTTTTACTGCTACTGTAACTGGATAAATATTTTAAGGGATTAGTGACAGACTAATCAAACATCAGAACACACGTCAGGATAAAAGGCTTTATGCTGCACTCTTCTGGCCTAAAATGTGAACTTCAGGTCTATGAGGATGTAGTTTCAGCTGTTCTCCAGCAGGTGGAGCTTTGATACTGTTTATCACACTGCATATTAGTCTTAACATAGAGTGTAGGAATAAACTGACTGAATAAATACTGTTTTTGTCTTAAAGTTCAAGTTCAAACATCTGCCTGATGTGTGACTGGTCACCATTTCTGTGTGTTTGTATAATGGGTCAAAACAGACCAGTGTAAACATGTCAAATGTTTTATTTTTTGTTGCAATTTGCACTATTTATGCAAATTGTTGACTTTTTGTTTTACTTACATAGTTGACCAATGTAATAGAGTTCATATTCATTAAACAATAACCAAAGAAGAGTCTGATTGAAGGTTTTTAAAGGGTTTTAAATGTGAATATTATTGGTTTGTAGGAGCAAACAACAGGGAACAATAGAAAACAAGAGCAACAGACAAATACCATTGACAGATATTTTAAATATCTTCAGTAATCATAGACTCTGTATGTGATGTGCTAGGATAAATAAAGGTTTAAAAAGTGTGTTTATAATGTTATTATGACTAAAGTGTGGAAACAGGACTGGATGACTAAGATTCATGAGTAGACGAAATCCACAATGTTATACTTACATGGACAATAGTATTGAATTGTTGTGCCTTAGTGTGATGGGTAACACTGATGTCTAACGATACACAGGTCTTGTGTTCAAATCCTAAGGTTAGCATGCTACCATAGGAGTCTGGACTGTGCTTTTGAATCAACGCAATATAATGATGAGGACATTTACCTGAAAAAATAAATATGAAACAGCACCTTGGTGGGGCAGATAAGTGCTGATGCCTCATGGCAAACAGGTTCTGAGTTAAAATCTACAATTAATTTCTAAAATTAACAAAAATGAAAGCACTGCATAATTTGACACAAGCAGGAAACCTTTTGTGAGTTACTGCACGGGGTCTAAACATATATATTTGGTTTATTAAAACTGAATATGAGTTTCAAATTTTGTCTTCTCACGGGTCAGCCAGTCAGTTCACGGGACGTACTGTCGTTGATGTCACATTAGACGTTAGTGACGTGAAACCAACTGTCATTGATCTCACGCATAGACTGTATATAGAATGGACAGAGTCTGCCTCCTCGCTGGGTGAAGCTACTCCGAGAACAGCACCCTCTGTTGACGGGCTGCAGTATAGTTCATAAATCCCACCTCCACCAGCAAAGCTTATGGAATTGCGGACAAACTTTAGAAATTTATTACACAGAACATAATTTTTTCTCCCCCCTGCTTGTGATGTTGACATATAGTTATTGTAAGACTGGTTTGTGCTCAAGTCCTCTTTTTTCTGTGAAGCTCGATTTTTAAAAGTTATTAGGGGGTTCATGTTGGCTATGATTGACCTCTGATACAGCCTATGGGTGTTCAGGGATTGCGTAGCTCTCCCGGGGGACACGCTGTTTGAGCCGAGCGTCATCACAGCGACTCTCTGCGACTGCGCGGCTGAATGCGCGCATCGCTACTGCACAGCGCTGGTTTCAGGAAATGAAGAAAAATCCCGGAAATACCGAGAGCTTTTTGGCTTCAAATCCGTATACAGGCGGTAGGCGGAACCAAGTTGTCCATTACACAGTCTATGATCTCACGTTAATCGTTAGTGACGTCATCCCACCGACAATACTACGGTTCATATGTTTACATTTTGATTTTCTTCATATTTTTGTTTTATATACACAGTAATTTCTCTTTGTGTTAATTTGTAAAGTTTTTTCACTATAAAATTATTGGAGGTTTTTACCAACTGGAATATAAAAAATGCCACCCTTTAAAGAAATAAATTCCCTTTCTTATTTCTCCCATGAGATAGGCTTTCCTCTTTATTTTAATAACAATAATAATCTATTTTAAAAATAATAATCCGGTAGTCTCATGCTCCTTATTTTTAAATCCAAAAGACTTTACTTGTACAAAAACAGTGCAAGAGTTTTAAAACATTTCAATGTAATATAGAGACTATAAATAGATGCGATTACAGTGCAGACCGGAAACAGTCTCCCCACCGCCACCTGAGGCGTGTCCCTCGTAGTTTGCACGCGGTCACCTGACTGAGTGACATCACTCAGGTAACTAAACAGCCGTTTGAAGAGTAAGGTATGGCTGTGAGAAAGACAAACGACTGAGAGACTGACGGGGAAGCCACACCCGCGATCAAATCTGCATGTTGTAGCTTCAAACTTCTACAGTCATGACTTTGAGGAGATCCCGGTTTCTGCTGGTTCTCCTTTGGTTCTGCGTACAGACGAGTTTGTGTCAGCAAGGTGAGCTTTGTTTAGTTTCCAACTGTTGTGTTTTTAGTGTACTCAATTTATCGCGGTGGAAAAGATGTAAACTAGCTATCTTACATATAGAACGTGCTTTTGTTCTTCACGAATATTGACTCAATTTTTTTGAAAGTGTGTTCATAATATTTCACCGTTTTTTAACCATACGCTGCCAGAGTTGTTTTGAAGATCTCAGAGCTTCATGTAAAGTAGGTAATTGCAGGCTTATGAGGATGAGTCATGCTCAAGGGCCCGCTGACTCAAATATGGGTCAGATTGCCACAGATAAATGACGCTTTAGTTTGCATTTTAATCACAGCTTCATTGTCATACGTTGAAAAAGGGTTTCACAAATCTGAAACTGTATTTTAAAGACTCTGGACTCTCTAAAATAACTTAGTCCAGGTCTTAAAACTAGCAAGGAGTCATGGGTCTGGATGAGGACCTGGCCTAAGGTGGTCAAATAAGGTTTTAGAATCCAGCCTGTCTAAAATAATCAAGTCTGGATCTGAAAGCCCTTAATAATGGGGTCCTGCATTGTCATGTGGCCCCAGTTTTTTTATATTTAGTGGGCCAAGCTTTGGTAAAGTGAAGCTAAATCTTAAAGTGCACCTCAAAGAAATGCAGCATGCTAGACTACAGCAACATGACAAAAGTAGTTTAGCTACATCAAAACTGTTTTTAATCCGTGTATTTATTCAATATGTAGGCTAGTTGACTCAATGTTACGATTATCTTGTCCAATTTATTTTTTCAAATTGTAGTCTATTTTTATTTAGTCGGCTCACATTCAAATTTCTTCAGTTTTTTTTTTAAAGCCAAACAGGTCTTTGTTTATTTTAGTTTAAGGTGGAAACTTGTTTGCTTCTACTCATACATCTGCTCATCTTCTTCTGTTTCTCTCTCCTACTCAGAGGATACCAGAGGTTTCACTGGTACAGAAACTAACGATGGCGTCTGGGTCAGCTCACATGTCCAACAAGTCCTGAGCAGCCGCCTCACGACCGTCTTCCTCCCGATCATCTACATCATCGTGTTCGTTGTGGGTCTTCCCACAAACGCCTTGGCGATATGGGTGTTCCTCTTCAGGACCAAGAAGAAGCACCCGTCTTCCATCTACATGGCGAATTTAGCCCTGGCTGACCTGCTTTTTGTTATCTGGGTCCCTTTAAAAATAGCTTATCACTTTAATGGGAATGACTGGATCTATGGTCAGGGGCTCTGTAAGGTGCTGGTGGCGTTCTTCTACGGCAATATGTACTGCTCTATCGCCTTCATCGCCTGTATCAGCGTGCAGCGCTACTGGGCTGTGGTCAGCCCGCTGTCCCACCGACAGAGGGATAACTGCACAGCTGTAGCTGTCTCCGTGACGATCTGGGCGTTGGTCTGGTTCATCACGATCCCCCTCTACCTGTACGACCAAGAGGTCAAAGTCACAAACATGAAAATCCACACCTGCCACGACATCACAAAGCCAAGTCAGAAGAAAACAGCAGCTGGCTACTTCCTGACGATGGGAACTCTGGGATTCGTTGTCCCAACTGTTGTGTGCATCATCTCCTACGTCCTCATGCTGAAAGCACTCAGAAGCAGCATGTCGGACCCCACCATTGCCAAAAGACGGAGGAAGGCGGTGGTGTTGATTGTGACGGTACTGGTGATGTTTCTGGTGTGCTTCACTCCCAGTAATATCATGCTGCTTGTGCACTACATCCTCCTGCTGGGTGAAGCCAAAAACAACCTTTACGGCTTTTACATCACCACCCTGTGCCTGGCCAGTCTCAACAGCTGCTTTGACCCTTTTATTTACTACTTCATCTCTGAGGACTTCAGGGAGCATGTGAAGAACACCTTCCTGTGCAGGAGTGAGAGGACTGTGGAGAGGATGAGGGTCTCGTTCAGCGCTCTGAAGTACTCTCGGAAGACCAACACGTACTCCTCATCAGGGAACACTCAGAGCACTGACTGTTAGTGGATTTTAAAGGGTGATTCTAATGTTTTTTCAAAACCTGGGCACACTTCTAGACTTATTTTTGGATCAGATATACCCACGGGTATCTGACAGGCTCAGATTGTCATTTCAAGTGTTTGACATAATTACCAAAATAATACTTCAGTAATTTTTTTAAAACCGGAAACAACCTTCATATCACTTTTTTCAAAGATACCAGACTCCACTGACAAAAACAGTAATTCAAGCTCACAGAGTACTGGAGCTTCTTCCCTGGATCATTAAAGTTTCACTGGGGCCAAATATGCTCAATCAAAGCTCTAAAAATTATGTTTATGCACCCAACAGGTTTGGTTTATTATTTTGAGTGTTTGACAAAATTCCTGAAAGCATCCCTTATGGGAAAGATTTTTATGTTTTGGAGTAAAGTCCTTTTGTTCAAGCCAGAAACAGCAACTAGATCACTTCTTTTGGATTTACCAAACCTTATTAAAAAAAGCAGTTATTTTACTTTGTAGAGTACAGGAACATCTTATGTGCGAACACCTCAATTAGTTACTCATATATGTAGCTGTGCCTCCAATGTTTATTTTGTTCAAGCCAAACTAACCACTTAAAGTGCAAGCAAATGACTTAATAGAAGCAGCAGTTGAAATGTAATTTCTTTGACATGTGCTCTAAAATGTGTAGTTTTCTTAATGGAATTTGGTGGCTTTGATGGCTGCTATGTATTGGTCATTAAGACCCCGAAATATAAAGTTGAAAGACATCAGTGAAGACAGCTGAGCTGAGATGAGAGCAGAGTACATAAGTAGACGTGGGAAGTTGCGCAAGAAGATTGCTTTAGTCAGCAGCTGTAACACCTATGGTCTAATCCCTGTGGGCAAAACATGTGACTGAAGGATGTCCATTGAGAGAGTGAGTTTTTTTCCACTGACACTCTCAGTTTGTTATCTGAGGTGTCCTCTAACATCATTCATGCAAACCTCTTTTACTAAAAAAGCTGCCAAACTCTGTTTCCAAAAACAGTCATTTAACCTCGCAACATACAGAAGATGCTGATCTTCCGCTCCTTGAGTGTCTTTTTTTCTTTCTTAGTTGTTGCAGGTGAAAAAGAAACTTACATTTGATTTGGGAAAAAAAAAAACTGTTTTAAACACTCCAGTCACATAATAACACATTCAAAATAACAGCAGAGATGCTGTAGAGCAGCAAGTACTGTGAAATGGGAAGTAAAAATCTCTGTTTTTTCAATGTGGTTTGGTGCAAGAAATCTTAGCACTGAAACATGTTTCTAGTTAAAAAGAAACATCATCCATCTGGATATAAAGGTCTGTCTCTTTTTATATAAAGAAAAAAAGGTCTAAAAGCTTGAGAAAAGAGCACTGTAGGGGTCACTCTGGCAATAAGGTGGAGCACCTTCAAAACTTTTTGAACCTCTTTAATGCAGACTAAAAATATGCAAAAATAGAGCCCAGGTTTAAAAAGCTACAGTCCCCCTTTAGGCTCGTGATTCACTCTCCTCAGGTATAAAATTAGCTGTGATGAAAAGGAGCAAAGCCATCTATGCTGCAGACCTACAAGCTTCAAGCTGTCTGAGTTACTGTGTTTTTATGTTTTGTAAATACATTTTTATTCATTTTAACATGTTTGATAATGAAGCTTTTATTTAATGCACTTTGTGGATGCAGTTTTGTTTGATTTTGCTGGGATAAAGTTGATTACCATTTTGAACATTTTATCTTTTTTATTCTGAAATGTTTACTGAAAATTTTTGTGAGATGATTCAACAATGTCTCAAAAGTCTTCTCAACTCAAATTGGGAAGATTTTTCCAGTTGAATGATTGAACTTACAAGTTTTTCTCATGTTTTTATGTGGAATAGGTTTTATGAATGTTATTTCAACTTGTAAATTTGCATTTTGAAGTTTGTCAATAAAAAGTAAATGTCAAATGCATTGTGATTGTTTTTGTCAGATAATCTGCAGGTTTTAACAAAGCCCAAACCAATTATCCAAGGATACCCTGACCGTCTGTCATAGCCAGGTAAGGGTAGTGCATAAAAGATAAAATAAAGTGTGGAAGTTTAATGTAATGGCTCTAAAATGTGAGATTTATCTGCCCTCTTTAGACACATGTGCTGTTTTTTCTTATTCAACAACAGGCACCAATTTTCCCTCATTATCAGATTTGGGTTGAAAAAGTTTAAGTAATCATGAGTTCCGGTGTGGAGAAATTTGACAGGAACTTTGTGGCAGAACTTGATTTACATTCCATGACAACATCTCATGGAAAAATGTCCCAGTGTGTAATTTACACTTTAATTATAGGTATGTTTTGGAGCGAAGTCCTTTTGTTTCCTCCTTCAGACCACAGTCACCACTGTTTATTTGTTCCTGAAACCTTTTAACACTTCCTTTAAATGACAGTATTTAATGTAAGGTCATCTTTTCGGTAATACTTGTGGGCTAATTTAGTTTTTAATTAATATAGCAGGTCATTTTCAGCTATTATTCCTTGAGTCTGACATTATTATTGTGAGAAAGCCTGAAAGGGTCCAAAGTTCAACAGTTTTATGTAGCTGCAGAGTAAATCAAAACAGCTGCTTTTTAAGTTTTATATATTTCGTTTTATTTTTATAAAACTAAATTGTTTTATTTTCATTCTTTTTTAAATAAGAATGAAATACGATAAAATCTTGGAAGATTTCTTAGTCTTCTGTGTGGCTTATCTACCTGAAACTGAGTGAAACGTGATGGGTGAAATGAGTGTACGCGGTGGGCGGGGCTACGTTGACGTAAACAGCGAGTAGGTACGAGTAGGTAGTCTCGAGGTGTGTCCTTGACGGCGTTCACTTTCGTCCGACATTTAAGCAGTTGTTGGACTGAAACTGTAACAGTTGAGAGAAGCTGAGAGCGCTGAGAGGTCACAGACATGGCTTTTACTCGTTTATTGCCGCTTCTGTTAATTTTCTGCAGCGTTTCTGCCGTAGACAAAAGAGGTAAGGTCGTAACTTTATCTTTTTTAACATCCTCTGTGTTTAATGTTTGTCAGACTGAGGTCGTTTACATACCAACCGAAGAGACGCAGTCAAGAGAGGGAGTCTCCCTCACAGCACAGGCAGGAGACCTGTGGCAGTGTAGGCTGTTTATACTCTAAATATTTGTCTTCATAATACAAGTATCAGCTGTTTTTACACACACTAAAAAATCGTGTTAAAAGAATTCATTATTTTTATCTATTTCACCTAAATAATATCAAAAAGATATTATTCCCATTGGCTGTATTACTTTGACGTGGTTGATTTGAATTTATTGGCTTATATTGCTCCACTTTTCTGTCAATAATCTTTGCATATCTTCCCTGTGGCTGCAACAAAAGCTCATTTTCTGAAATAAATATACTGCTGTATATCTGTCAGTTAAAGATATTATACTCTTTTGGTTTAATAGTATAAGAAAATGAACAAACAAGTCTGTTTCCAGAGCCTTGGGTGGCATTTTAAGTGATCTTAATTCGTCTAAGGTTTGTTATCTAAAAAAAAATAAAGTAACAGCTGTAGTTCAGTGATTTAGTGATGGTAATTATGAATTTGCTCAGTGTAAAGGAGAAGAGGAAGAATCGCAATTAGACAACATCCTGAAATAGTAAGGATGTGGTAAAAATGATCAATCAAATTTTCTGTTTGCAAATACTTTAAACCCTATATGAATTAAAAAACACAGCAAAGACAACACTTCAAATGTCAAAATGAAATATATTTGTATTACTTGTTTTTGGAAGTGACTTTTAGCTAACGCGGTGACTTCCACTACAGAGTCATGCTTTTTTTTTAATGCACTGAGGGCCTGGAGACCACAGTCATCCAGTGTAATACTTCTGCTCTGTCCATTTTGTACAGAGATTTCTCCCAAGTCTCTGAAATCTTGAATATAATTTTCTGTAGACCATGAAATCTCCACTCCTCACTGGAGCTTTAAAATTAAAACCATAAATAGATGACCACTTTCTCTGCCAATGACATGAATCCTCTACTTCCCTTTTTTTTTTTATCAAGAGTGATTTACAATTTACCAGTAATGGTTTTATATGTTATATATTGCAGGTTCAGCTCAAGGACGAGGGTTCATCGGCTATAAGGACCCTTTCGAGGCAGATCTGGTTGTCGTGGATAAAACTACAGCAGAAGTCCTAAAAAGCAACCTCACCACAGTGTTCATCCCCATCATGTACATCATCGTCTTCGCCATTGGGCTTCCCGCTAATGGCATGGCCATCTGGGTCTTCCTCTTCAGGACGAAGAAGAAGCACCCGTCATCCATCTACATGGCCAACCTTGCCCTGGCTGACCTCCTTTTTGTGATTTGGACGCCACTGAAAATCGCCTACCACTTCAACGGAAACAACTGGACGTACGGCGAGCCGCTGTGCAAAGTCCTGATAGGTTTCTTTTATGGGAACATGTACTGCTCCATCCTCTTCATCACCTGCCTCAGCGTGCAGAGGTACTGGGTCATAGCTCACCCGCTGTCCCAGCAGAGGAAGAACAACAAAGTGGCGATCAGCGTCTGTGTTGCAATCTGGGCTTTCATTTGGCTCACCACGACGCCGCTGTACCTGTACGACCACACGGCCAAGCTCAAAGACCCCAACGTGACCACCTGCCATGACGTCAACGTCATTGAGGACCCATTGAACCCCTTCCCCTCAGTGCAGCTCCCCTTTTATTACTTCATCTTCATGGGGATGGTGGTGTTCCTCGTCCCATGTGTGGTCATTATCGTGGCCTACATCCTGTTGCTGCGAGCTTTGGGGAACAGCATGGATGACAGCGCTGCAGGAAAGAACCGCCAAAAAGCCGTGGTTCTCATCGTGACTGTTCTGGTGACCTTCCTGGTGTGTTTTATACCCAGTAACATCATGCTGGTGGTGCACTACTCCCTCCTAAAAGATGGAGTTATAAATAACGGATACGGCTTCTACATCTCCACGTTGTGCTTGGCTAGTCTCAACAGCTGTCTGGACCCGTTCATCTACTACTTTGTGTCTGAGGACTTCAGGGACCACGTGAAGAACACTTTGCTGTGTCGAAGCAGCAGGACTGTGGAGAGGATGAGGGTCTCCTTCAGCTCCATGAAGTACTCCAGGAAGAGCAACTCGTACGTTTCGAGCGGGAACACGCAAAGCAGCAGCTGTTAGAGAGATAAAGGCCAGCAGAGCAGAGACTCGGTCATGCCTGTGCTTGTACTCCTGAGTGCTGTAAACACAGCACCTCACAGAACAGACCTCAGTGGTTCTGGGACATAATAATAAGGTCTGTAATAATGGACACGAGGACCATCAGGCGCAACCAGGTAACCTCAGTGAACATTTAAGGGCTATTCTGCTATTTTTAAACCAAGGTCCTGTTATTTCATATTCTGGGATCTTTAATTAATCAGTACAATATGCACCCAGTCAAAGCACAGAAAGACTCAGATTATGATTTCAAGTGTGAGACAAAAGTACTGACAGTAAAATCCCTTTTTAATATTTAGGTGACATTTTCCAGAGCTACCAGACTCCATTAACAAAATCAGGTATTTAATATCACAGAGCACAGGAGCTGCACATCTACTACTGTGTTGTTTGGTTAGCTATTTGCGTAGTTGAGTGTTAAATAAGCATTATTTCATCGCTAAATCAATTGCTTAAACACAAGAAAGCAATTCAGTAGAGCCAACTGTGGAGAGGTCACGTAACTGATTTGTTTTGTAAAATTACAGTTTTGGTTAATGAGGTTTGGTGCCACTGATAGAAGTGCTGTTTAGGCTAGTTTTAGCTATTTACAAGCTCCCTGATTGATAAGCAGCTACAAAAGCAGTGCTCTGTGAAAATCAGGAGAGATCGTGTTTTTAAGTCAAAAACATGGTTGACAGCTTTTTAGCTAACATCAAAGCACAGCCAATGTTAGCTTTTAGCCACTTTCAGGTGGCGTTTATGTTACTGTCTATTTTTACAACATGTTAGCTAGCTAATTTTATTAGTTTTAAGTATGGTATTAGTCAGATGTCTTTATGGTTTAATAAGTGATACCGGGTGACTCTCAGTGCACGGCAAGTGTGTGACTCAAATGTTGCTAGTTAACAGGTCACTTTGAAAACTTAATGCCTCTGAGTTTGAAGTCACATGACAATTTTGCCTCCTTGTCATCTAGACTTAAAACTTTATGACATCCTTTGGTTTAAAAATACCAGCAGTCCCTTTTAAATGTGAATTTAACTGTGTCAGGATGAGTGCAGAGTGTGTTTGTGGACTTTTATCTTTAATATTAACTGCTGTAAAATTTTTAAATGTGAAGCTGAATGCTTGTTTTAACTTTGTGTGCATATAAACAGAGAGGAACACCTGCTATAGACTGAACTGTGGCGCTCCTGTCTACTCTAAATGTTTATAATTCTCTCTATATTATTTTGACTGACTCCTCTGCACTGAAGAGCATTAAAAGCAACACATATCTGTCATAGAGGAACCAAATGAGCCTGATTATGGAGGAAAGAAACCAGAATACATCGAGTTATGAGTTTGATGAAGATACTGTGTTGCTTTAATCAAATCAGACTCATAAAGGATGCCTGCAATATTCATTCTGTATTTTTATCACCTGCTGTTAAAGTTTTATTTGATGTCATTTTCAACCACCTGTGCTGAACTTTTAAAGATAAAACTTGTTACATATTTTGTTAATAAATGATAAAACTGTAGGTTCAGTTTCTGTGATACTACTTGAAGATTATGCAACAGTTTAAATTCCAGCGTGGTGTGTGTCACAGTCCTGGTGTTTGGCGAGACTCATTGTCATGCACCGTCCTCCCCGGCTGGTGGAAACATTTGGAATTTAAGGAATGTGTTGGGGATGATTTAAGAGTCAGAAAGAGCACCAACCAGTTTTTTTTAATATATGTAATGGGAACTTGGAAGTTGATTACCTGTCATTTAAAGTAACAGACAGAAATTTGGTTTTAGTGGAGAGAAGAGGGGGTTGAAGAATTTGCAGGGCATGCAGAGGCATGTGGTGAGGATGACCTAAACAGGTATTTCCCCGCCATAAGTTCAGGATCACGCCGCTTTCAGCTCCATAAAGCAAAGAAAGCATTCATTCAGTTTAAAGCTCACACAGCCCATGTGCTTCACTGGTATTTTATTTTGAAGGTACAGTCTGCTCAGTTCAACTCTTTAAGGATAATTAACCATCAACAAAAGGGCTATTGTGAGCTTTATCTGTAGATAAAAGGTATGTGAACTGATAACCCCACCCTTAATAACCCCACCTTACTAGTCAAAACCCCTCCCCCAGGTAAACACACACTCACTCACACACACACACACACACACGTACACACATTCTGAATAGCGATCCTTCCTGTGTAATGGCTGCTCTAGGCCCAGTGCTCAGTCTTTTAAAAAGGTAAACAGTTGTCATGGAGAGTCGTGTTACCTTTTGTACCTGAAATACCTTTTTTTTTTCTCACGAGTTAGGGGCGGAGCCAGTCCTCAGCTGTGTAACATTAACACAGGCAGAGATGGCAAGGGCCGGTCAAACAGGCAGGTTGTGAGATAGTGTCTGTGAAAGACAATGGAGCAAAGCAGTCTCTGCTTAGACTGGTGCAAAATAACAACATAAAAGGGACTCATTTGGATTATTGATTTGTCTTATTGATCCTTTAAGGAACACTCCCAAAAAGGATCAATAAGGTCTATCTAATTATAATCTTATCTAATCTATTGGATATTTATTTTAACATATTAATAAAGCAGAAGAAGGTTATGAAAAATATGACCATATGTGCCATATCATTTACTTTAAAAGAGCTGCTGTTTCATATTATTCTATTTAAAGCTACTTTTATGTCAATTTCGCTGCCTGAGCATTTGGAGGAGAAGACAGGCAAAGGTTGTTTTGCCAACAGCCGGTACCAAAACGGACACAAACACAAAGTCCCTGACAGGAGCTTTAAGATCGACCTATGAAAAAGGTCAGAAGGCAACATAAAGATGAAAAATCACAATTAATAAAACTATTTAAAGAGCACAGAACAAACTAAAACATAGACTTCCTTAAAAAACTTGATAAAATGTACGGAGAAGAAACATGAAAATACCAAGAGTTTAAACTTCTTAAGCATGAACAGTTGAGAATACACACTTTTTTTTTTGTATAAGGGAAGGTTTTTAAAAAAATGTTTAAAAAAAGTCATGTAATTTTGTGGTGATGTCTCTCACATTTGTTCTTCAGAGATGAACATTTCTGCACTGTTTTGCTGATAGTTTATACTGCACATAGCTGTTAATGCACAGTAAAAATAATGGACATTATTACTGCACATTGGCCCTTTTTTTAAGATATCATCTAACTGACTCAACATCAAACAGAATTATCAACCCAGAGTCCAAGTATTGTTAACTTCCTTTCATCAGAAGAAATCATGCATCCATTTTGCCTCTGCTCAGGGTTGTTGTCAAAGAAATGTCAGTCAGAGTTTGTTTGACAGGACTGGTAACTCTTCTATCTGTTTGATTTATGATTGTTTTACATGAGCAGACAAATTAACAACTGCTCTCTAAACAGTTCACTACAACTCAGAGTTTTGTGTTTAAACTTGTGTGCTGAACCCGGGAGAGGTTAAATATTTGCTTCCAGGAGGTCACTGCGGAGTGTTAACACTATGAATTAGGGAATTAAACAAATGTTGTGTAACACGGTAAGTCGAACAATGATTAATATCACGTTGGTGGACTTTGTGATGCACACACAGAGCTACAGGGTTTCTATGTTTATGCTGAGATAAGCAAACCTGTCCTTAAACCTTAATTATGACCCCAACTCCAAGTTACGTATGAACGTAAGAGGAAGTATGAATGTTGAATTAAACCATATTTTTAAGGTGTGCAAATTATAAATATCGTATTAAAAACATTGAAAAGACAGCACATTGAATGTTGTTAGTTCTCCACTCCCATATGCACATGCTGGTTTGGCTTTAGTGGTTTGTGTTGCACATACACAAACTGCAATGTGAACTGTGTGCTCTAAACTTCTCGTTTCCGCAAAACAAAACAAAACATATTTTTAAGGTATGCAAATTATTTATATCGTATTAAAAACAGTAAAAAGATAACACATTAAATGTTGACCATTAAAGACCTGGAATCATTTTAAATATGAAGCCAGCAACAAAGTTTCGACGAGGTTTTTTTTATCATTTCTGTGTTGCGTCACCTCTCCTTTGACATCTCTCTGTAAATATGAGAACTAAAGAGACCAGTTTCTGGAGTTTTCAAAGTAAAATGTTGTCCCTTTCTCGCCTGTTATAGTATTTCAGCAGCTCAACCTTTCAGTGTTTTTATTTGGTTGTTTGTTTTTGTCTTTAAAACATTTTTTTAGTGTTTTGTTGATCTTGACCATATCTCTTGTAATAGATAAATTGTTTTTTTAAATAACAATCATAATTTTTCACTTTTAACGTTTGATTTTTGTGTTTCCAATAAAATTTGTGGTAGAAATTATTTGTACAACATCAAAATCTCTCTATACAAATATTTTGCACAGCCTTGCAATTTTTTAACTGAGGTTTTGGTAAATATATATACTTCTTCAAAAATGTTGCACTATTCCTTTAACTTTAAACTTTTGAAAACTTTATAAAAACTTTGTAAAACTTTCCTTTTCAAACTTTTTATCCTTTTTTTTTTTTTTGTTAACCCTCAATTTGGTTTACCTTCTTAATCATGTTTGTATAACTAAAAATGAACTTCCTATGGGGTTAGTTCTCCACTCCCATATGCACATGCTGGTTTGGCTTTAGTGGTTTGTGTTGCACATAAATAAACTGCAATGTGAACTATGTGCTCTAAACTTCTTGTTTCCGCAAAACAAAACAAAACATATTTTTAAGGTATGCAAATTATTTATATCGTATTAAAAGCAGTAAAAAGATAACACATTAAATGTTGACCATAAGAGACCTGGATTCATTTTAAATATGAAGCCAGCAACAAAGTTTGGACGAGGTTGTTTTTATTATTTCTGTGTTGTGTCACCTCTCCTTTGACATCTCTCTGTAAATATGAGAACTAAAGAGACCAGTTTCTGGAGTTTTCAAAGTAAAATGTTGTCCCTTTCTCGTCTGTTATAGTATTTCAGCACATCAACCTTTCAGTGTTTTTATTTGGTTGTTTGTTTTTGTCTTTAACACATTTTTTAGTGTTTTGTTGTTCTTGGCCATATCTCTTGTAATAGATAAATTGTTTTTTTAAATTACAATCATAATTTTTCACTTTTAATGTTTGATTTTTGTGTTTCAAATAAAGTTTGTGGTAGAAATTATTTGTACAACATCAAAATCTCTCTATACAAATATTTTGCCCAGCCTTGCAACTTTTTAACTGAGGTTTTGGTAAATATATATACTTCTTCAAAAATGTTGCACTATTCCTTTAACTTTAAACTTTTGAAAACTTCATAAAAACTTTGTAAAACGTTCCTTTTCAAACTTTAAATCTTTTTTTTTTTTTTTTTTTTTTTTGTTAACCCTCAATTTGGTTTACCTTCTTAATCATGTTTGTATAAATAAAAATGAACTTCCTATGGGGTTAGTTCTCCACTCTCACATTACTGGCTTTAGTGGTTTATGTTGCACATAAAAAAACTGCAACATGAACTGTGTGCTTTAAAGTTCTCGTTTCAGCAAAAAAATAGATCCTTAAATACTGAAAATGATCTTATTTAAAAATATGACACAATCAAAAGCTTTTACGTGAGCTTGCATCTGCCGATCCTGACAGCTAAAAACCTGTAGTTTGCACCTCACAGGACTAAACACTAAGAATTCAGACTTCTGAAGATCTCTCAAAATGAACTTCAGTTATATTTATTACTTCAAAATAAAAACAAAAAGCTTATTAATTGATAGGGTAAATTACATTGGAGGTCCAGACTTGTCTATTTAAGTCAAATCTGATTCATTAAATACCAGAGCATTTCTAACAAAGACTCACACAGACAGAAATGCTGGAGGCGTGTGAGTGCAGTGTTTCTAAAATCAGCAGGACGTGTTGCAACCGTCACTTTACTGAGCAAACCTGAAACACGCTGAACCAGTTCTGACTGCCAGCATTGTTACTGAGAGTATGACAACAAAGAGGGAGAGGAACACACACGGGAGGGTGGAAGTGGATCACTATGACAGCCCCATGACACACACACACACACATGCAAAACACACACACAAAGCATTTCCTGTTTGGCGTCATTTGATTCTTCCACACAAGGTAAAAAGGTGAACTGATTTCTCTATAACATATAAATGTGTCAAATTTAGAGCTTTAGAAAATACCGTCTTTGCTAAATAAAGTGGTTTTAGTGGCTCCACTGCTCAGATAATGTTTTGAGAAATAGAGACCTCTAGTGGAATAAGTAATGAACTGAAACTTACCTGAATGAATTGAAAATCTTGTTTTTCAAAGGTGAGGAGGTCAGTCTAATCAAACACAAGTGTTATTTCCATAATGTTTAAGGCATTTTAGATTAGAAATTAACAAAAAAATTGTGTCTTAGTTTATGAAAAAATACTTAGATTAATGGAAAAATCTCTAAGTGTGAATAAATGAATAATATATGTTTTGGTCTTTCACTAAAATGGAACAATCTAGAGTTTGTTTGAGTCTATAATATCTAATAAACTTGTTTCTGAACCTCAACGCACTATGTCATATATAACATAATGAGTGAATAATACAGTAGACATGTTTTTTTCAACAGCTCTTTTTTTATATGACACTGATAGATGTAGATATTTTTCATTTGATATATGTCCAGTGTGCAGTTTCTAACTGAGTTTCTGATCTGAGGAAACTTCTGGGAATTTTAAGTCACATACTTCTTCAATCTAAACGCTCATGTAAAGAACTTTCTGCCTGTTTGAATTCTGGCGCCCCCCTGTGGACAAAGCCATACGTGTTGCTAACAATAACAAAGGCTGTGAGTTTACTAACCCCTTCCTCAGTGGTCCCAGGCTTTTAAAATATTATATGTAGAAATTGTCAAATTTGTAGTTGATGGTATTATTTGCTTTTGAATATCAAAGAGACACTTCAAAACAGACTCAGTTTGTTTTGAAACCTTTAAATACTCCACACAAGAGCTTCAATGGCAGTTAAAGTGTAGCTTTATCCTCATTTCATGATTACTTATGTCAAACCATGTTTTTAACTTTATTAGCTCAGTTTCTACCCCTTTTCAGTGACTCTTATGTTCTCATTAGAACAAAATAAATTGGTATCATCTACAAATATAACAAATTTTAACTTCTTATTTAAACTTAAAGTTTAAAGTATGAAAAACTTGGGAGCCAATACTTATCCTTTTGGAATACCACAAATTACTTATCTTAAATGTGATTTGGTGTTATTGGTCTGCACATAGTGTAATATGTTTATGAAATAACTTCCTAATTGTTGTCTTGAATCTCCTCTAATGCCACATTGTCCTAGTTTATGCAGAAGTGTATCATCTAGTGTGTCAATTGGCAACAATGCACGATATAAGAATTATTTCTTACTTTTATTTTCATATTTGCATTAGTTGATATCACAAGTGCACCATCTTTTTGAGAGCTTAATAAGGACTCATCCAGTCTGAGTGTTTGTCCCTCAAAGACAAGATGGAGGTGGATTAGTATTGCACCCACGCATCATTCTGGGGTGCAGCTAAAAGGCTGCATTCATGCATCTGTTTGAGAGGGTCAGTGCTGAGGAGAGAGAGAGGGAGAGTGTACGTGTTGTGTGTAATCACTCTGACAGATCGCACCATCAGCTAAAGCTTGGGTTTAGTTAAATGTATAGAGAAACAACTCATTTTTGGGGCTTTTATTTTGAAAATTCATTATTGGATATTGTTTTGGGGAAAGTGCCATCTAAAAGAAACATAAAAGACCATTTTTCTCAACAACTTACCAGACAGTCAAGACATTTTAAAGCATCTATACAGACTCACAAAGAAGAAGACAGTCCATGTTTTGTTAGAGCTTTACCAAAGTATGGCGATCACTGCAATAGTATCAAAAATACAGATAAACATGGAGGAGAGCAGATATGTCTGTAGGACAGAGAAGCAAGTGTGCAGGAATGAGAGCAAGCACAAAAGAGGACTCGGAGTAAAAGAGTCGCTGAGAGATTAACTCCAGCTCTTTAGTCTTTCTTCGCTTTCATCTCCTCTTCTTCTCCTGTCGCTGCAGCAGCGTGGCCGGGGATTGTTGGCGCGGCGTTGGTGCCCCCCAGCCAGTCCCAGTGAGAGAAGAATGGGGCAAAGTTAGTGCCGGGCCGCTGGTGGTGCGTGTCATGCTTGGGGGCGCCGCCCCAGAGGCCAAAGGGCACCAGGTTGTGCAGGGCCCAGGGGAAGTTGTAGCCACAGTGATCTTCAGTGGAAACGTAGATGTTAAAGACCATGAATCCCCATGTGGTGAGGCAGTGGCACTGCAGCAGGATGGGGTCCACTGTGGTCCAGAACCCAACGCTGAACAGCTCCCAGCCAGACAGGTACTGGGTGACGAGGCTGAAGGGTTGGCTGTACTGGTGGTGCACGGAGTGAAAGGTGCGGTACAGCCATGGTATTCGATGGTGGAGCAGGTGCCAAAGGTAATACTGGAAGTCGAAGACCACCATGCAGCCGGTGATCCCCAGAAAGAAGCTCCAGAGAGTTGGGGCCTCAGAGGGGAGTGGTGTGGGTGGCCTCCACATCCACTGGGCCACTGCAGAGGGGAAAATGTAGAAGATGTGGTTGTAGATGGTGACTCCAAAGGTGGTCCATATGTTGGGCCAGGTGATGGGGTGGTCAGGGTGGAGCCTGTAGCGGTTGATGCAGGGCCAAGTGGGTGCGAGCAAATCGAAGATGGTGTAAAGACCAACCAGGATGAAGTAGGTGGAGACGGAGAGGACGACAGGGAAGAGAGGGCTCCTCAGGAGGTCGTGGTGGTTCTTGTGGAGGTAGTCCCAGAGCGGCTGCAGAACCAAGGCCCGGGACTGGCCCTCCGTCACATTACTCACATTCAACATCCAGGATAAAGTCGTGAGCAACCGGCCTGCACTCATCCCTGATGTGGCAATGCTTTTCCAAAACGAGAGCCGATCCAAGAGGATTATTCTCAAACAAGGAGAGGATGAAAGAAGAGACCCAATCAGCGTCCTCTCATAGGTTAAGCAACAGCAAATTGTCCGGTGATGTTGTGCCAAATTGGACTGGCGGGCCGTCTCAGGCTCTTATGTATGTTCAAGCCCCACCTCCACCCCCCCAGCCCCCCAAACCCCCTCTGTGTTTTCAAAGAAGGCGCTCTTTGAAGGCCCTTTTTCATGGGCACAAGGACCGCAGCCAGGGCTCAGGAGCCGGGCCACAACAGCTCTCATCTCCGACCCAGATCATGGAGAGAGAGCTTCCGACTGCTGCTGAATTTGACTTTTATCAGGCAGAAATGAGGGGAAGGGGCTTTCAGAATCAGAATCAAAGTCAGCTTTATAAGCCTGTCGTGTGAAACCAAACAGGGAGTATGACTGTAGTTTTTGTACAGCTTTCAGTGCATGTACATACACTTTAAATCAGGACAGGCAGCTTATTAAAAGTAGAACAAACTGCTACATCCTCTACCTTCTTAAATTGGAATTCTTCCGCTCCCTCCATTGAGCCTCTCCTATAAAATGTGATAATAAACATTTTGCACACTTCCAGTCCAGTCCCCATAGTATGACTGTTACGGTGTTTGTGTGTCACATTAGACACACAAACACCGAAATACAAAACAAACACACAGTCAAACCAACATGAAATCCAGAGAGTCATTAATCATCGAGAGCTGTCAAATGAGACATGAATTCAAAAACACTTCCTCTCTGATGCAATCAGTTTCTGTTCAGTTTGAGGGTAAAAGACTTCCCAGCTTGAGTTTTCCTTAAAGTATTTTGTAGAGGGTGGAAACTTTTTAAAATAATTATGTAATATTCAAAGAATTATGTGCAAACATAACTTAACCCTGACTAACACCTTTACTTTGGTCAGTGAATATTAACTCTAAATATTTCACCACAAACACGTAACTAAGACTCTGAGTCATGTCTCTTGTCTTACATAACAACATTAATGGCTCATTTGCATGTAATTTGTAACAATAAACGTCATTGATATTACATAACGAATCAACACACAAGATTGCAACCTCGAGTAACAATTTCCTTTTTTACTTATTCCAGGTTCCTCACATCATTACTACTCATATGATGCTTTTATTTTAATTAATTAACACCTTTTAAAATAAGGATATGACATGCTTCAACACTTCAGAACAGGTATTAGGTACTTTATTCAAAACTTTTCATAGGGTTTTGGATCAATATCACTGCATACTGCAAATTTTTCCTTACCAAAATTTAAATTTTTTATCATATTATACTATGACTTTTCCTTTAACATACTATGAATTTTTTTAGCATACAATACTATGACAATTTTTATCATACCAAAATTTGACTTTTTTTTTTACACTATACTGTGTTTTTTTTTTTTTAACCAAAATTTGAATTTTTATCATCCCATACCATGACATGTTTTTTAACATACTATATGATGATATTTTTCTTTATACCAAAATTTGTCATTTTTAACATACTATACCTTGCCTTTTTTCATACTCAAATTTTAATTTTTTTAATCATAATATACCATGACATTTTTTTTTTACATACTATACTATAACCATTTTTGTTCATACTTTCCCTATCATACTTCACCTGAGCAGGATTCGAATCCAACAACCTTCTTGATGTGAGGCAACAATGCTTACCATTTCACCACAGTGCCACCCATGTCACAGTAGATCCTTTTATTATATCATACTATACAATGACATTTTCTTAACATACCTACATGCACACACTTTGACCATGTGTGTGTGCTTGAGTCTCTTGCTTTAAGACCTACACACACACACACACTACTACAACTACTTTCTGAGCTTAAAGCCTCCTCTCTCCTGCTGTTGTGATGCATCAACCTTCACCATATTAAACCATTAGTGCACCTGGAGACACACAGCTGACTGAAAAGCTGCTTGTAATGGCCATATGAGACACATGAAGCCAGGCTCAGTACACAGAGCACTGGGGGTTACATTTAACACGAGAAGGACCAGCATTTCGCTGTTCTACCTATAACAACCAAAGAGCAGCCGATCTGCTGAAAGGCTTTTAGCTATTACTAAATCACCTGTGAACACTCAGTTTGTTGTGCAAACGAGGCCATCACTGGCGCACCAGTGGAGGGGATATGCTGAGTCACTTCAAGGAAACTTGTGTTGCAGGGAGAGGGAGTGGAGTTTCCAACCTGGCAACAACTGTAGACAGAAACTGCTTCAGCCATAGCCACTGCACAGACAGTTTGTACCTGTGGTGTGCCCCAGGGGTCCTAGGACCAAAAACTGTTTATACTTTATATCAATGACATTGTTAAAGTATCTAAATTGTTAAATTGCATACTGTTTAAAGATGACACTACTTTTTTCTACTCTGGTTAAGATGTTGAGAATGTGTTGAGCATTGTTAAACAAGAATTTGAGGGTATAAAAACTTGGCTTGATATTAGTGAAATATCACTTAACTTTGATAAAACACACTTTAAACTTTTTTAACACTTTTGAAATATGGGGTAATGCCTACAAAACATTTACACACTCAGTTTTCATTTTACAAAAAAGAGCCATTTCAGAGTCATTGACCCATGTGACCATAACGACTTATGTGACGACTCAGGTGACTGCAACCACCCCCCTTCACAGAATCACTGTTTGATTGACAATTTCTCACATTTTCATGTAGCCTATTGCACTCAAAGAGGAGGTAATTCCTTTTGTGCTGTGGTGGATAAATATCTCACTGCACTTACCCTACTACTTCAGTGCCCTCAAGAATTCCATGGTGTACAAAATGGTCCTGGATGGAGTAACCCCTTTTTACTCGGATGAAGAAGACATAAACCTTCAGCCGGATCCGGACTCTGAGCTATCCAAGCTTTCTTCAGGTTAGATTTTTCATTTCAGCCATTTTATTTTCCATTTCGTTTCTGAGTGCGGGCCTCTGTTTGTTTTGTTCGGTTCTACTTCTCCTGATGTCTCTGCACCTTAGCTGAGCTATTTGAGATGTAAGCTTCTAAGCGTGCATTTGTGATATCATTTCGCTTTCCCATTGCTCATAATTTGAAATTGTTCACATTGCAGATGAGGAGACTGCTCCTCAACCAAAAAAGAGAGCTCGGTTGGGGACTGGCCTGACAGAGATGGCGAAAGATGGTGCAGTGTGGCATAAAGAACAGGTGGGGACGGGTCTCCATTGCACCCCTCCATCTACATATGACGCAGATGGAGAGCCAACGGCTAAGGCCAGGGGGTCCATCTTGACTCGTCTTTAGAGATTCCTGTGTTTCATCACACTGGACATGCTTGGTTCTATTCAAGACTGTACTGTTCAACATGCAAAGCAACCGGAGTATGTTGATTGGTTCATGGCCCTCCCTGAACTAATGGCATTTATTGCTATCATCATCTTGCGGGGGATGACCAAGGTTCCATCAATGAGTGACTGCTGGTCAGCAAACCTGGGAAACCCCCAGATCATTGCAACCATGTCCCAAAATCGCTTCAAAGACATCATGCAACACATACGCTTTGATGACAGGGTCATCCGCAGTGAGTGCGCAAAGACTGACAAGTTTGCTGCAGTTTTTGCTGTGTGGTCGTCGTTTGTCACCAACTGCATCACATACTACAACCCTGGTCGACACATCATCATTGACGAACAGCTTTTCCCGTCAAAGACTCGCTGCTGTTTCCTGCAGTACATTGCAACACAACCTGACAAGTTTGGGATCAAGTTTTGGGTGGCTTGTGACTTGAAATCCAAGTACATCTGCAATGTCCTCCCATATCTCGGCAAGGACCCCAGTCGTATCAGTGGGGAGAGATTGTCCGAGAACATAGTTATGGACAATTTCTTCACATCGCTTTCTCTTGCGCAACGACTGCTTAGGAGGAAAACCAACATCCTAGGCTCAGTCAACAAGATTCGCTGGGGAATTCCACAATCATCTAGACAGAGGGTCAAAAAATTCACCACTCAGGTGTTTTCAACCACAGGAGCCACGCTGACGGTGTATGCCCCCAAACGTAAGAAGACGGTCTACGTTCTCAGCAGCATGCACAGCATGGTTCAGACTGAGAATACCACCAAAAAGAAACCAAACACTGTCACCCTTTAGGATACTACAAAGTGCGGTGTGGATATGATGGACCATTGAATGCACATGTGCTGTATCAAGCATGCACTGGGAGGCAGGAGAGACGGGTGGACTTCCTGGTGGAGCTTTGAAAGAGAGTTGGCTAACTCTCATGTGGGTGTGAAGAAGGCACGAAAGGAAGAATTTCTTCGGCAACAACCTTCCACACCTAGCCCTGGGAAAAGCGCCATGTGCCAGGTTAAAAATCGATGTAAGAACAATCATGCCACTGTGCAATGTGTTGACTGCTACAGATACACATGTGGGAAATGCAGAAGGGAGATACCATGGCAGTGCCAGGATTGTGAGTGATTGCTGAAATGTACTCACTCACTCACTGCCACTCTCTAACACTGTATCCTGATGATGCATACTCTTTTTTAATTATTTTTCAATATATGTACGTTTTTTTAAATTTTGTTTATTTTTTATCAATAAATTTCAGCAACAAAGTAAAAAACCCATGTGTGTTGATCGCTTCCTTTCTGTTGTCCCTTCCCACTGCATACATCACTTAGTCCAGTCCCCTCCTGTGGCGTGCCAGCGATCGCCTCGTTTTCATTACAGATTGAGTGTTCACAGGTGATTTAGGATATTAGCTAAAAGCCTTCTAGCCGATCGGCTGCCTCGTTGCCCTTAAAGGGGAAGATGCCAAATGGCTGCTCTGTGGCCCTTTAGTGTTAAAACCCTTCACTAGAACACTCGACAAACTTTGGCCCATATCTCCTCCCAGAAACTTTGAGCTACAGCAACCATTCAGGGCTTCAAAATTTCAGCTCATTGAGGACACTATGGGGTGTATTCAGGATTTTTATTCATTTAAATTTTCTTTGCTTTAAAATTGTCCCCATTATTTAATTCTTCGAACCAATTCAAACTCATTCAAACTGTTTCAAACCTTTTGGATACTTCAAACCTTTCTAATACTTGAGGATTTTTAATTATTTAAATTTTTTAATTAGTTTCAATAGTCATGCATTATTCAATCCTTTAAACAAAATCCCACTTCTACTACTACAACTGCTGCTAATATCAATTAAACGAGTACTTTCACTTCTACTTCAACTTCTATTGCTGCTATTTCTACTTTCTCTACTGCTACTATTACTTCTACCACTAGCTCTACTACTTTGACTTCTACTTCTTCTTTTCTAAAACTACTTCTACTGCCTACATCACTACAAATACCACTACTAAGACTACTCATCATACTGATACTAGAACCACAACTTAAACTTATGTCACTTCTCACCTTCTTGCCTTTTAAGGTAATTTACTTCTTCATTCAAACTTTGTGCAATTTCAGACATTTTTCCAGCCTCTTTCAGCATGAATAAAATTTCAATTTATGGAGCATATTCATACTATTTGTCCTTCAACCATTTTCACAATTATCCAACTTCTATTTCTTTTTCACCCCTTCAACAGCTCTTACATTCATACCTTCCTCCATTTTTTATTAGCAGTTTTGCATTGCTTTTTCAGCATTCAATACTCAGCATTTCCATGCAATTTCTGCAAGGAAATGCATTTTTTCTAGTATACAACAATAATCCCTTCAGGATATCTCTGAACAACAGTAACATAAACAACAGCAAATTTAGAGTCCACCCTTGAGCCACAAATGCAAATAAATACATAAAAGTAAAGCTCTGAATGAAATTGAACTGAAGCATGAGAGCATTCAGTATTAGCTAAACGAGCATCTTGTGCTGGTGTATTCAGACTTTTTTTTTTTCTTGAAAATTAATCTTGTCTTTTTAATTGAAACTTTGACTTTATCCTAAACAGTTAAACTTTTTAAAGAAGTGCATTTATAAGTATCTCACGATTCTTTTTTTTCCCCCTCTCATTCCTGACTCTAATATTCTCATAAACCGAGCAGTTATGCATTCATACATTTTAATGACTCTGTTTTCCCATGATGACAAATTAAAATTTCAGATAGTATTAAAAAGAAAACAATGGGTCGGTCACTTTAAAAGCTTAGATCATTACATACTATGCTGCTATTGCCCTTAGTAATAGGGTGATAATACGCCTAGCTCAATACTCACCTAGAGTAACAGAAACACATAGCTTTGGGCTAAAATGTCACAGTTTGTATCAATGTTGAAATGTCACCTGTCACAAGTACAAACATTGTGTAATGCACAGGCTTCTCAGACCTTTTTTCCTCAAACAGATTTAAACTACAAGTATCAGAGAAGTGTAGAGGCACCTCTTACCATCACTGCCAGGGCTGTCATTACTTTGACAAGCCACTAGATGTTGCTGAGTTTGAAGTTTTAAATCCTTCAATCTTTTTTTTTTTTTTTTTTTTTTAGCACAAATAAGAATACTCCAGAGCTTCATAAGGCATTTTTTGATCACCCCTTACATTTACATGACCACAAAAATAAATAGAGATTATGAATGAAAATAATATCTTTAATATTTGTCATTATTTTTCTTAATAATAATAATCCAATCCAATCCAATCTGCTTTATTTATATAGCAAACATTCAAGTTTACCGAAGTGCTGCACAATAAAATTGAAAAAAGGCAATGCAGAAAACATCAAGATGAAATAAATAAATAAAAGCAGGAAAAAATAAAATTAAAATGAAATTTTTATTTTTAAAAGTTAACTCAAGACCTACCTTTTTAGTCTGGCTTTTAGTTGAATTTTGTTTTAATCTTTTAATCTGCATTATGTGATTTTACCCAATTTTAGTTGTGGAGTAACAATTCTGTGTTTTATTTCCTCTTATTCTTAATTTACTTTCTTTTTTATTTATTTCAAGACTGTTTTATTTATTTAACTTCTAATGCTTCACCACCTTCTTAATATTTCATTATGGTTTTATCGTTTAAGTCCTAGATCCAGTGTTTCCTCATTTCTTTTGACTTAAGATAGCGTTCCCTCGGTCATCTGTGGCAAGTTGAAGAGTCCTAGTCTTTTGTGTATGCATTTGTGTGTGTGTGTGAGCGTGTGAGTGCTGTATTTATTGAATGGGGGTTGGAAGGGTGGGTGGGGTTTGGTATTTGTATTTACATTCATTTTATTTCATTGTTTTTAATATCCTGCTTGAATGGACAGCACTTTGTGTTACATTAAATATATGAAAAGTGCTTTAGAAATAAAGTTTGATTGAATGATTGATTGAAATAAAATAAATGAAATAAAAACTCAAAAGCATAAAGTAATAAAAGGACCATAAAGGACCTAAAAGGACAGAGATCACTCAACTCTCATGTTGAGCTAGAAGCCAAGGTATAAAAATGAGTTTTAAGCTGTGATTTAAAAATAGAAAGAGTGGAAGATGTTTTGATCTCTGGCGGCAATTCGTTCCACAATTTGGGAGCCACAGCTGAGAGTGCTCGGTCGCCACGGATCTTTAAAGAGTTTTTGGAACCACGAGTTGGAGCTGATCAGCGGACCTCAACGAACGTGTGGGGGTGTAAACATTTAAGAGGTCAGTAATGTTCTGTGGTGCTGATCCATTTAAAGATTTAAAAACAAACAACACAATTTTAAAATGAATTCTAAAATGAACAGGAAGCCAGTGGAGTGACACCAGAATTGGGGTGATGTTTTCATTTACCTGTTAAAAGGTAAGCAGCAGCATGTTGGACTAACTGTAAGGGTGTGAGGGAAGCCTGATTAACACTGATGTAAAGAGCGTTACAGTAGTCCAACTGTGTGGAAATAAAAGCATAAATGATTGTGAAATTGTGAAAATGGATGATGCCCTTTTATTATTTGAAAATGGGTCCTCTGGATGCCTTTTCCAGTTTCTAAACTAATGCACTGTGGATGTCCTTCTAGTACATTAGCTTGTGCCAAACATTTGTTTGTCAAACTCTAAATAAAGTGAGTCTTAATTCCCATGAAAATATCAGCAAAATGACTTTTTCTCATCATTTGTGACTCCTGAGTCCTAAAACAGTTTTAAAAATTCTAACAAGAACACGGAGTCCCAAAGTTTTCTGCCTAGGAAAACACAATATAACAAAGTCATCAACTGGCGACCTTGGCTGACCCTTAAGGTGATCTTGAGCTCCCCTTTTAAGTACTTGATAAACTCTCTAATAGGTGGGTTGGAGATTGAAGTGCCTATAAAAGAAGAGGAGAATTGCTCCCGAGGGAGGAAGATGTGCCCTTGTGTAATCTGATTTGAGACTCATTTTGTTTTGACTCTGTGTGACTTTACTTTAATCAGATCCAGGTTTAGTTGAATTTTAGAGTCTAGTGTCTAGAGGGAAGAGTGAAAGAGGAAACAAACGGCATACTCCTGTGTGTCCACGTAACTCAGAGGATAAGAACAGTAACTGGGACTCCCGAGGTGATGGGTTTGAGCCTTATCTGGGATAAGGTAAATTTTAAAGTCTAGTGTCTACAGAGGAGAGTGAAAGAGGAAACAAACGGCATACTCCTGTGTGTCCACGAGGCTCACAGGAAAAGAACACTGACTGGGACTCCTGAGATCGTGGGTCGGAGCCTTACCTTACCCAGGTCTAGTTGAATTTTAAAGTCTAGTGTCTACAAAGGAGAGTGAAAAAAGGAAACAAACGGCAAACTTCTTTGTGTCCGATTAATACTGAATAGTAGCTATGATTAATACCGACATAAAGAGCGTTACAGTAGACCAACCATGTGGAAATAAAAGCATGAATGACTCGTTCAAAATCATTGGCTGTGTCTGAAATGAATCACTCAATCCCTAACTCCTAACCCCCATATGGGGTTTCACTATATAGCTGACTATGTAGTGAGCTCAATCCCCAGAGGTTTCGGACACTACATGGCAAGACGCAATGCAGGACAGGATGCCCACCACCGGTGAGTGACCATTGTATGGTCACTACATTTTGCAATGCTTTATGGCAAATTTTGAGTCACCTATATGGAGTATTGGAATTGATCACTCAGGTTTCGGACACCCCTCAAAATGGCGCACCCCCATATAGTCGCCTATATAGGGGTTAGGGACACAGCCATTGTCAGCTATAATAAAATCCCATAGGGTTAGGGATTGAGTGATTCATTTTGGACACAGCTAAGGATTAATAGATACATGGATGCATGCCAGTTTAGGGCCTCCATAATCAAGTAAACTCCTCTGATATGATAAATAAAATATCAATATTGTTTTGCTCAAAAATTATAAAAACAATGGGAAAAGCACATTAATCCAGTTGAAGTCAATTCTCTTTTTTAAAATTTAATATTGATTATTAAAGGCATCCCACTAAGGCGAGATTCCTGCCAGGCAAAAGTAAGGGAAGTAATTCCCCAGAGAAGCGGACCTCGCGGACTGAGTGATTTCATGTAGGAGTGCGCCCCCTAGCGGTCACCCGCAGCACTCAGCGATAAGTGACACTCTGGGAGGGGAAGCAGAACAAACTGTAAGCTGCTGGCGGATCCATCTTGCTCGAAAAAGAGACGAGGGTGAAAGCTTTTTTCCAGTTTAGTACCTAGAAGACTGCGTCGATCCCTGTTAATCGCGCTGGGGAGCCCGAGGAGGGGCTGTGTCTCTGTTTGTAGGATGTCCCGACATGAGGGTGAGCTGATAAACAGGTCCACACACAGCAGCGCCTTAGCTGCTGGCTACATTACCTGAGCAGCTAGCTCCCGAGCTAGCTCTGCTAAGTGCTTATTCGAGTCAAGGGGGTGGGGGGTGTTGCGTTATTTTACGGCTTGTTTCAGGGCTGTCTCGTACCAAACACAAATGTTAATAGGACCTAATGTGCGTGTATTTCTCTAACGCCCTTTAATTTGAGGCAAACAGCTGCAACATGTCTGCAATGATACGGCAACATTGCGGGGCTTAGCAGTTAGCCGTTGCTAGGTGCTGCGTTACCTTACGGTTAGCTGTGCTAGCGGAGAGGCTAATGAATGCCAACACAAGGAGCCGCTGGTCTTGCTTGCTACGAATAAATGTTTCTCTCACCCTTATTAACCGAAATGTATGAAATTTGAAAATGCCAGCTCTGTCTATTATTGTTCCATATTTTATCTGCTAAAAACCAATAGCTCTGGTGTTAGCGCCACACTGTCTCGTTTAGTCACATATCACTAATGTTGTTAGCGATTGCACTGTCATCAAGAAGAAGACAGAAAGTCTGAGGCCTCTGACTCTAAACCAGTCTCTAAGTTTAAGCCAGCCGGCAGGTTACTTGCCAGCAGGGGTTGAGACATTGTTTAAACTGTAAACCAGATGGGACTGTGGATCTGGTTCACTTCAGACTCCTCCAAGCAGGCCAGACATGGGCTCATACTGTTTTAAATGTATGAAAAGTTACCTTACAGAGCCATTATGATTAAAATACTGTCAGATGTCTCCTGTTGGATGATTTAATACTTCAGTTAGGTCCCTCACCCTTTTAAACAACCTAGGCTGTGTTGAACTTTGCCCCCAAGGCGAAGACACTAGAAACTCCTTATGCAAATTGGTCTTGTGTTCACTCAGAAAGGTGCTCGATTTTGTAGACTTTTGTGGTGATACTGTTCCCGTTTTTGCATTGATAAACCATAAATGGACTCACAGAGGAGATGATCATGTATTTCAAGTTGATATGTTTTTACCTGATTTGGAAAAGACTTAATTTAATATTGCTGCCTCTTTGTGGCCTTTATAAGCGAACCATATAATTGCTAAAACACCTTGTAATTTCTGTATTGTAGTTGTACATAAATGGTACTTTTAAGACATCAGATAACTCGGCAGAGGAAATTCCGTCAGTCCTCGCTTAAATACGACACTGTATTGGCCAATTTAAGGGACTTTTTTCCCTTTGAGGAAGGAGTCATTACATTGTCTTAAATGGTAACTGTGATAATAGTGTCTCATAGAAAATACCTGACTATGTGCTGGAATAGTTCAAACATGAATCATTTCACAGTAATCATGGAGTAGAGAGTGGATAAGTGGAGAAACGCCAAACAATTCAATGTGGTGATTACAGTTGTAACTTACTTGGAAACACTACAAATGCCTTCTTTCCATTTTCTCCTTTTTGGTGTATGTTGATGTAGAAAATTGCCACCTGAATATGTGGCTATAAATGAGCAGCAAACTCTGTAATAACTCTCAGATGTTTTGATGTTTGTGGTCTACCTCTGAACTGTGAGACCTTGCTTGTGAACTTCAATGGAATGCCAAAGTTCTTCATTGCTGGCACTTGTGGGTTGGTGTCACTCCAAAACACATGCTTGTGTGAGACTGGCCTACAGATAGAGGTTGCTTTCTCCCTGTTGGTCCAGCAAACGCATTTATAAGGAATTTGTGACAGTATTGTCAGGCCTGTGTGTTTGACTTTCCTTTTCTCTCCTTCACAGGTGTGAGCTGTGATGCGTGTTTAAAAGGGAACTTTAGAGGAAGACGATTCAAGTGTTTAATTTGCTACGACTACGACCTGTGTGCATCGTGCTACGAGAGTGGAGCCACGACAACGAGGCACACAACAGAGCACCCCATGCAGTGTATATTAACCAGAGTAGACTATGGTAAGGAACTGATGTAGAGCCAAGAGGAAAAGGAGTGTGATTGTACTCAAAGTAATGGTGCCCGTGTGATTTATGGGCACAGTAGTGTGAAGGTTTGGTGCTTGGTTTTTAGTACTCAGAGGTTGAAAATAGGTTGAAAATAACATTCAGATCATCACGTTATTTGGTAGGTTTTTAAGCTATCGTTAGGGTTAGGTATCATTTGACTTCGAACGATTCCGATTACTTGTTTCAATTCCGATTCTCTATTTCAATTCTCTATTCCGATTCTTTTAGAAGGCAGGCTATTGAAAACAAAATGCATGGTTTAAATGAGGGTGCTAACAGGAGTTCCTCTTTTTGGATGAAATTTCTGAACTTCTCCATGAATTTTTAAATTATATGAACTTTTTAAGAACTTAACTATGAATTTCCCACATGGCTATTTTCAACCAGTATATAAATGTCAATTTTTATTGTCAGATCGTTTGTCAATTGCCGATGTTAGCAGAAGACAGAAGTCATTTACTGTTTCTCTTAGCTGATTCTGGCTGGTTAGCGGAAGACCGGTGTTGTGTCGTAGAATGCATCCCCTCCACTCACTAGCTTCCTAAAGTGGAAGACAGTGATCTCATAATAAAAAAAGTGTGAGTATTAGATCATGACAACATGTCAAATGGAGCAGCAAACATTCGTTTTGTTTTTATGTGTTTCAAAAATGCACACAAAGAGGTGTACTTGGGTATGTAAATTGTACAGTGAACTGTCAAGGTAGAGAACATTATATTTTCGGGACAGCAAATAGTCATAGTCAGAGGGCTATTGTTTTCAGCTTATCTGAATAGTCGAATGAAATCTTTAAAGGCACACACTTGAGAATCCGTCAAATGGTAAAGAAAACTTGGATTATTTCACTTTGTTGAATACTTGCAACCGCGCTCCCGTTAGGGGTGCATTCTAGGACACAACACCTGTTCTGTTGTAACACCGGCGAAGCGCATCAAAGACGGGGCACCCAGGTATTTCTCCTCTATGAATCCTGAGGTGTTTAATCATGTTGGTCGTTTACCCTCCTTTGCATGATATAATTGTGTTGCTAATGTTGCACTGAGAGAAGAGTTCATTCTTCTCGCTAAAGTTAGCCAAACTTTTGACCGCAGCCGCTGTGGGCTGCAATGCACTCTCTCTCTCTGTCTCTCTTCTCTCTCTATGAGGCTTCGTCTCATACACTTCGTCCTCGTTGGTGTTTAGCGCCGTCTTCCTCGTTGGTGTTCGGTGGCTATTTCTTCTGGTCGGCGGACTCCGGCATCGAAATTTGGAATCGAAATTTTAAAATTTGAACGATTCCGGGAGAATCGGAATGTCAGTCCGGGTCCCATCAATGCTCGGGACTCGATACCCAACGCTACTCTTAACAGATTAGTACATAAAGATGTAGATTCTGTAAATTGGAGAAATAATAGGAAAAGCGTGAATATATTTTCTATTAAGTGAGCCATAGTGAGGTGTCCATGTGTCTGCTGTTGAACTGAGACGTACAGTATTCAAACAGGCGCTATCCCGGGGGATCCTGGAAGGTATGATGAACCACAGGAAGACAACCTTAACGTTGCAGATGTTGATAGACGATGATTGCAGATGGTTTCTTAGGTTTTTCTTGCAATGCTGGGGTCATGCAGTGTGAGAACACAGTTTTGACATAAGTCCATGTCTATGAAAGTTTTCAGATAAAATTTGCTTTCTAGAGTTCTGTTTTGCAAATGCATCATTTCACATCAATGAACTGGACTGGGTCACTGGCTGTTGACAGCGTTGGTCACTAATCAGGCTGACAGGGACAAATACACAGGACCATTTTAGCCATATTTTCATATCATGATCACTGAACTCATTACAATCAGTTGTTTGATTTCACATTCATCATGTCTCCAGTCATGATTAGTGTAATAAACAAAGTGCACTCATGTAATGAAGCTACAACATTTGTGACGAAAGGGTTGATGGTAACAAATGTTTTTTGTTGACTGTCTTTTGCAGACTTGTATTATGGTGGAGACACTTTTTCAGTAGAGCAACCCCAGTCTTTCACATGTCCTTACTGTGGCAAAATGGGCTTCACAGAGACGTCCTTGCAGGAACATGTCACCTCTGAACATGCAGAGACTTCCACAGAAGTGGTGAGTATACGGCACACGTCACAGCCCACGCAAACACAATGCAATAATAGCACTACTGTCTCTTAAAACCAGGATTTTCAGCTACATGCAGTGATGGCTTTAGTGACACTTATAAAGGCATGATTTACTTTGGCCACAAGTTTTCAAATCACTTTTAAAAAGTGATCTTTACATGCTGTTTAATACTTGAATAATGAGCAAAGTTTGACCAATATTCACAGTATTAAAGACGCTCATAGAGCCAAGAGCTCAAGTTTAGGATTGATTATTTTTTCTCGTGTTCATGTGTGCCAGCATCTTTTGTAAACTCTGTGCTTCACACAGCAAAAATGACTTCCAGAATGTACACACAGATTTATGGATTAGCTGTTGTCACGGCAGGATTTTTATGAGTTGTTCGCTGCTAAATAAGCTGAGTAAAACAAAACAGAGTCAGGCTGCTGCTGACACCTGCCTGCCTGCCTGCAAGGCTAGCAGGAACACTGTCAGACGACAGCAGCTCCACCAGCACTGATTGTAAAAGAAACCCATGTAGAGGCCAGGAAGTTGCATCTCTGCTGCAGATGACCACAGCTTGCATTATTTTTGCCTGAACTACTAAACCCACGAGCAGCTCAAAATAACAAACATGTCTAATGTTAAGAGGAGGAAACTGCCAAAACCTGTATCTGTGTTTTTTTAAGCAAATTTTCAAAAGCATACATGTTCAGGCTAGGGATTAAAAATGGGAAAATACAGTCTGTAAACAGCGGCTCTGCAGTCACAGAGTCAGTAAAATACTTGTACAAAAGTGAGTGATATGTGCTGCTTGAAGGAACTTTTTTTTTTTAAAAACATTCACATAAAAATTTGCTCAGTGTGCAGTTTTACTCTTTCGGAAGGCAAAGAGTTTTATTAACAGCTGAGAACAATACGTCTGAGCAATTGTTTGGGACTATTTTCAGCAGTGGATGAATTCTCATCTGGCTTAATAATGAGTATTTGTAGCAGCAGGATGGAGAATGTCGGATTGACTCAAAAGAAAGGACACTGGCTGTTTTTCTTTGTAACTGTAAATCAACACGTCACTCAGTGCACAATGTGACTCATTCATGGGTTGTTGTTTTTTTTTTTTTTTCTGTTTTCTTTCTCTTTTTTTTGTAGCCGTTAGACTACAATAGACTTTTATGGCCCAGAGGAATGAGATGTGTCAGGGATTATCCGCACAGACTGAACTTTTTTCCAGAGATCAGTTGATTGTAGTTAAAGAAGAATGAAAAATGACATCATCTCTGTCTGTAGAAAACAGTGAGAAGCAGCACATACTTCCCCTTTTTCTAATTTATAGTTGAATCCAACTGTTCTTTTCCATCACTGCTGTGATTTGCTTTCCTTTACAAAATGTCAGGTAGCAATGTGTGGGCGCTACTTTCTTTCCCACAGCCCACATTTGTGTATTCAATTTTCATTTTTTTGTCTGTAAAATAATTGACTAGTTTTATATCCATCTAATGCCAATTCAGAGCTTTTTAAAACGCTCGATGGAAGTAAATTCTGCCCATGCAAAACGAGCGAGGGTTCTGTCCCCCGCTGAAACAGTCTCCAGAGAAAACATACTTTTACGACGGCTCCTTTTTGATGTACCGATTGCTGGGATGCTTCTTTATAGCAGAAGATGCTCATTTCCATGTTGTTTTGTGATGTTGAGTGAAAGAACATCGTCCTCAAACATAAACCTGTCACTCTGTCTCATTCCAGATCTGTCCAATATGTGCTGCCTTGCCAGGAGGGGATCCCAACCACGTCACAGACGACTTCACAGCTCACCTCACACTTGAACACAGAGCGCCAAGAGATTTAATATCCTTTCTCCCGCTCTACATTCTACATAAACTTGCGTTTATTGTTTTAAATGTATAAAAATATTGATACACATTTGAACAGCATCGACCCTTAACTGCGTGTTTCTACGATGAGTCCAGCAGTGTTCGACATGTACGCAGGATGTTCCACCCTGGTCGAGGGCTGGGGGGTCCCAGAGCACGACGGACAAATATGCACTTTACTAGCGGTTCAACGGGAGGACTGTCATCCTCCTCGTCACAGAGCTCCACTTACACCCCCAGTAACAGAGAGGCAATGGACCCCATTGCAGGTAAGAGTCAGGAGTATAAAGCGGATATGACGCACTCTGTGATTTGTCTAATGACACAACGGCCCAGGGAGAGACAGTGTGCACACGCATACAGACAGAAGTGCAGTCCTGAAATTAAAGAGGCCCAAATTTTGAATTTGGGTGTGCTGTAAAAGTCATTCTGAGAGACGTGATGAAGAGGAGAGTAGTTCTGTAGTAATTATCACCCTCCTATCAATTTACTGAGACATGTGTGAGGGGATTTCTACAGGTAGGGCTGATTTGATTTATTGATTCATTTTATAGTTAGTCATTTAATAAGCCTGTGCGCACGGCCAACTTTCTCAATATGCACTGCAAGTGTCACATTGCTGCCATTGTTACCTCTGTGTTTTCCAGTATTTTTTGTAAAAACTCACTGACTCCTGTGCCGTAAAATGCAAGTTTTCATCTTGGGCTGCTAGCCGAGTGTCCCACCAATGACCCACGGACACATTTCTCATGCTTGATAAAAAGCAAAGAAGAGAGTTTCTGGATTGTACAGGATAAAGTCAGATGCAGAACTATTTTATCAGGACCAATAACAGGAACAAGTCATCAGCTGTAATGAGATGACAAGATGGCTGTTGTGTAGACGGTTGCTACGTATGGTAATACCTGTATTAAGGTAGAAAGTGGATGTAAAATACACATAGGAGCTTCGTTTGTCAATGAGCTTAACAGTACTTTTAGTGCCAACCAATCATGTTCCAGCACCAACAACTCCTGGTTTTTGATACCCATCCTTAAACAAAGATGGGTTCTGCTAAACACAGACACTTAATCTAGTTCATACCACTGTACATTTCACTCTATTGTTTCCATCAGCAAAGTTCAACTCAGTATCATTACTTAACTTGTCTTAACACAAGTTTTTGCTATATTTTTTCTGTGTCCTCTGTCCAAATGAATCTGGGATCGCGAGATGTGAATTTTTAATATCTTTATTCTCTCAATATTTTCTTCTTTCAGGAATTTTTTTTCTTTTTTCAGATAACTAAACTAACAAAACCGAATCTTCTGTTACCCTCTAAGCCTAACATCAAGCTGTTATTTATTGTATCACATCAGTTGCTTGCTCGCTTACTTAGATCAAGTTGACGTACTTGTGTTTTTCGCCTCCTTTTTCTTCCAGACTTCTATGCAATGTTGTCTTTTAAAATCATGGGTTATTCAGAAAACAGCTGACGATGAGTCCCGTTTGCATCTCCCGCAGAGTTGTTGTCTCAGCTGTCAGGTGTGCGGCGTGCGGCCGGGGGGCAGATAAACTCATCGGGGCCTTCAGCCTCTCAGCTCCAGCAGCTCCAGATGCAGTTGCAGTTGGAGCGGCAGCAGGCCCAAGCAGCACGACAGCAAGTGGAGACAGGCCGGCACGCCACGCGACGCAGCAACAACCCCGGTAACACTGGCACCACCATCCCTCCACCCAGCACAGCAACCGCCAACACTGCCACTGCGGGCGAAAGCAACCCCTCATCCTCGTCTCACAGCTCCCAGTTCCTATTAGCACGGTGAGTGGGGCTAGTTGCTCATGTTTAATCTTTACCAATTTCATCGAGTTTAAATAAAAAATAGTTTTACACCTGAAGGCCAGCATCGCTCGTGAAGAGAGCGAGCAAAGGGAAGGTTTGATCTATAATCTTAGACATTGTTGAATATGACCATTTCTACTAGGGCCCGACTGATATGGATTTTTTTGGGCCGATACCGATTATTAGGAGGATTATTACCGATTTATTACCGATCGGCCTATTTTTAACATTTTTTTATGACGTTATACAGAATATACATGTATGTCAGTGGCGGCTGCTGGTCTTTCAAGGAGGGGAAGCTCATTTTTCTGGCCTACATCATAATTGTATTTGTTTATTAGTATGTAACAGAACAGAGTCGCCAAACACAACAGCAGTCGTTTTTAACAAAGACAAAAGTCGCTGAGGATCGGTAAAGTCTCTGGAGTAGTTAAGAACAACGGAATGAATGACTTGGAAAATGCTCTGGTAGATGTTTTATTCTTCAAGATCGCTGATTCGCTTGTTTAGCTGTCAATCAAAAAAGGATTTCGCCTCAGACAGCTCATCCAATCATGAATGCAGAAGCTTGGAGTCCGGGAGAAAGTCGGGACCGCCCTCTCCCCATAGAACTCCAGTGAAGCTGGGCTTCCATTGGGCGGGACAAAGCCCAGCATTTATCCAATGAGCGTCTAGTTTCGCTGCTGGAACAACCCACTTTAAGCTTCCACATTGAAGTCAGCAGAAGCCCAGCGTCCGATTGTTTGAAGCGCTGAGGCGCTGCGAGGATGAATGAGAACGAAGTTATGCCGGTTACCTGTGGTTATCAGCTTCTTATCACAGTGTCTGAACAAAAGTTGAAGACTTTCTAGTGCGTATTTAGTTAATGAAATGTACACACAGCCGTACGTATTTCACCACTTTTTCTTTTTTTTGGGGGGGTGACATTTTAAGGGAAGCCGAGCTTCCCTTGCAGTCTTAGAGCAATCGCCACTGATGTATGTACACTACAGGCTAAAAGTTTGGAAGCAAGGCCATTACAGGCCGAACAGTTGGGAGTAACTTCAAGTTTTTGTTCACAATGCTTTCTTAAAATCCAGCACGAGTTTTATTTATTTTGGGATGTATTTGCTCCATGATCAGATGTTGCTTTCATGGAAATGCACCATTTTACTCCATTTACCTTTAGATATACATTGATGTTAACAGACCACTGCTAAATGTATGTCAGCAAAAGATAATAAGGGCTTAGTTTTAGGGTTGAAAACATTTGCAAGAGTCACAACTTCAGTGCAAACGCAAAAAAACAAATCACAGTTGGATTATTCACTTCAGCTTTTTGGCTTTTGAGAGTCTGCATACAAAAATCCTAATAAATCTCAACTGCGTTCAAACTATCGCAAAAATGGCAAGAAAGAAGCAACTGAGTAAAGAAACAAAAGTACAGATTTGTACATTGAGGAAAGAAGGATACACAGAAAGAGAAAACTGCAAAACACCTAATGGTGTCTAACAAAGGAGTCCACTACACTCTGAAGAGACTTGAGGGACCTGGAAGTTATGATGATAGAAAAAGACCTGGACGAAAGAGTGTTACTACAAAAGCAGAGGATAAACATAGCATCGTCACCAGTAAGAGAGATCGGCAAAAGACAGCACCAAAAATAAGGGAGGAAATCAACATGACAAGGTCGAAACCCATATCTCTGACAACAGACGTTTGAGAAAGGCTGGTCTGAAGGGTTGTGTATCTGCAAAAAAAAACACTACCTCATCCACAGAAGTAGAAAAATAGATATGAGTGGGCAAAAGCTCACAAAATTGGACTTATGATGACTAGAAACAAGTTTGCACTGTTTGGTTCAAAACGCAGAGTCGGTGTCCGCAGACAAACTGGTGAACGTCTGAAAGCACCATGTGTTACACCCACAATTCAGCATGGAGGTGGTAGTTCCATGGTATGGAGATATTTTTCAGGTGATGGAGTTGGAGCTTTGTTTGAAGTAAAGAGTATCATGAAGAAGGAACAGTACCACTCCATCCTCCAGCACCATGCTGTTCCATCTGGACTCAGACTTGTGGGTCAAAAGTTAGTTTTGCAGCAAGACAATGACCCTAAGCACTCTGCCAAGCTCTTTCAGGGTTACCTAGACAAAAAAAGAAGAGGAAGGTGTTCTTCAAAAGATGGTTTGGCCCCCTCAGTCTCCAGACCTCTCTCCAATTGAGAATTGGATCGATCGGTCAGAAAAACTAGTCCCACGAATTAGCAGTCTCCTTTTAATGAACTTAAGAAAGCTTGAAATGCAATCCCTGGAACATACCTTGAAAAACTTGTGGAACGAATGCCTGGTATATGCCAAGCTGTTGTTAAAGCCAGAGGAGGTTACTTTAAAGAAAGCAAAGTCTAAGCAACAATAACTCAAATACCTAATAATTAGTAGTGTTAATAGTCATGTTTATTGTGTTTCAAATTATATATATGAAACTATGATCTTTTTTTGTACAAATCTGATCTTGCTTCCAAACTTTTGGCCTGTGTATATATATATATATATATATATATATATGGTATCTACAGTATACTGTAGATATACTGTAGGCTACTGCTCTTCACGCTGACAGAAAAAAACAACTGATCAAATCGGACCAGAAAAGCGTTTTCACACACACCCCCTCTCCCCCGATCGGTGCCTCCGCGTCTTAACTCACGTTACTCATGTCTGGTCCGGTCTCATGTGTAGACATGCTGCTGCCTCAGTAAGAGAAGTAGCTCGATCACGTAATGTGTACTGTTGTTTATTCTACCGTTACTGGCACGGCTAACAGTGTAGCAAGCTTAATAGCAGATGGCTAACTCTAACTGTAGCTTGCATATTACATGGTGCTTCACCGTTAACTCAGCATGACTGAGACCGGAACAGCAGGGAACATTCGAAGTGGGTTGAACTGAAACTTGTTGACATATTGTGTATTTCACAAACTGGTTTATTTACTCCTCCATGCGTCCCTGAGCTGCCTGTTTTAGATCCGTCACTCTGCTGTGCTGTGAGGTAGATAGTGGATGAAGATTGTCATGAGGTCACTGCGCCATCTACAGGATAAGTCGGGGATGTTTTCAAATGGCGGAACATTTTTGAAGTGAAACCCAATTGTATTCTCTGCATTTTATTTATGAAAATATCGGCGAAAATTGGTGAGTTTTGGACGATTACTGATTAGTCTCAAATGGGCTAAAATTAGCTGATTTAGTGGACTCACTGATAAATCCGTCGGGCCCTACTGCTGATGCCAAGATATTTGAAGAAAATGATTGATTTAAAACACTGTGATTTATGTCTTAGCCATTGAGAACTAAAGACTTTCATGAGAAAAGAATTAGTGTAATCAACTAAGACTCGGAGCGTTAAAGAGGTTCAACAATGACATCAGTAACAACAGCAATTAATGACTCTTATCCCTAATGGTAACAGTATATTCACAAAGAATTGTACATAAATGTGGCGGCCAATCTTTGAATTCTATCACGACTTTAACAGAACATGTTGGCAGACTGATGTTTGCTTGAGTGGAAAAAAAGTGCAAGTTAAAGAAGTGCTGTGTCTAAATGTGTTTCAACATAGGAGTAAAATGACTGTTTTCTGCAGGTTGAATGAACCGAAGATGTCTGAAGCAGAGCGCCAGTTTCTAGAAGGAGAGCGCGCAGACCGCAGCCTGTTTGTCCAGGAGCTGCTCCTGTCCACACTGATGCATGAGGAGAGCTCCTCCTCGGATGAGGACGAGCGCCGAGACTTCGCCGACTTTGGCGCCATGGGCTGCGTGGATATCATGCCTTTAGATGTGGCACTGGAGAACCTCCAGCTCCGAGAGAGCAGCTCTACGGGGAAGGAGCCTCCACCGCCTCCTCTTTGATGTCCGAGTATCGAGCAGACTGTGTCCTCTCTGCTGCAACTGTCAGTGATGGGCAGCAAACTGCAGCAGTCCCTCCTCCCTCCTCCCCCTCCTTCTCCTTCCTTCCTCCTCTGTTTTCTGAGTTTGTTTTTGGTGATTGTAATTTCAGGCCTGTCACCATTTTTGTTACATTGTAAACAAAAATAAATGAGAGCAAGTGGGATAAATGTGCGAGTGCGCTAAAGCAACTGAGTGAGCGAGCGAGAGAAGAGAAATCTATAAATATATATAAGATATATATGAAGTTGATAATCAATCCACATAACTTTTCTTTTCTTTATCAGGTTAATGTTACAGGCAGCTGTGGCACACCTTCGCTTCCTGTGACATGCAAACGGCTCTCCGTATAAATACTCCACATTCAAAAAGTCAAAGAGGGCGTAGTCTCCTCTGATGAAGCTGCTGTGTGTGTTCATGACTATTACTAAATAAAAAGTGCTTGGATGGGTTACCATTACTACTGCATGCAGTTATTTGCAGCGTGCATGACTTTTAATGACCCTGTTGTCATTAAAACCCTTTTTTTTTTTTTTTTTTTTTAAAGAAAAGATCCCAAAGCTTTCAAATGTTTTTAAAATGGTTATCTCAGACGTGGTTAAGTCTTGATAATTGAGTACTTCACCAAAACTGACCTGCAGAAATTTGACTCCAACAATCTGTGTCATTAGGTTTTCTTTAAACAAGGAGAGGAACAGTCGGGTTCAGCTGTAGCTTCAGATGAAACACTGCAGTGTGCGTGAGTCTCAGCTCTGGATTGCCTTTTCATTCGCTGAATGAAGACTGAGAGCAGAAGGAAAGTTTGTCTCCGATTTCTCTTAGATGTTAACGTTTAGTGATCAGCTGTTTAGACACAGTAAACTTTATAACTTATAGATAAGTCTAGACGCTCGACTTCGGTTTGTTTGTTGGTCTTTCTCACTCGTTTCTCTCATGAGACCACATGCTTTTGATGGGTTGTTTGATTCTTTTTTTGCAGGATAACTGGAGCTCGAGACCTTCCACACTGCAGTTCTGTGTTTGCTCTTTTTGTTTGTTTGTTTGTTGTTTGAGAAGGTTTTCTTTTTTTTCTGCTAAGGTTAGCACTTTCTATTTATTCTTGTTTTTTCTTTCTAATTCTTTTGAGCCTTTAATCTGAAAAAATGCCACCTTCATGCCTATACTTTTACCCTCTATGTAAAATACAATGAGATGTATATGGATTTTGTGCGTTAACTTTCATAATGGTTCTAAGACATGGGCAGACACTTTTTTTTAAATCTGTAAATTTAGAATACAATAAATATAAACTGCGCACAGCTTTTGATGAAACCAAGAGACCATCACACCTTTGCATCTCGTGTTATTTGTGTTTAGCATGATTTCACTATGATCTGTGGGCATGTGCACCAAAAGATGGGAATAACGACAGCCTCTTACAACATCACTTTGACACTTTTATTTAGTTTTTGCAACATGTTTATAATGGATTACAACTCGAAGATGTTAGCGCTATTCATTAAAAAAACAGTGTGCCCTTTGAGTATTTAACTATTGTGCCTAAATGCTAAATTGAGTGTGCTTCAAACCCTCAATTTGATATGTATTTAAGGCTCAATTGGGTGGTTAAATTTAAGTGTTGCCAGTAAATTTTATCCCATCAAGAATTAAATCAGTGCAGTCCATTTAGTGCTCTCACTTTGCGCGCTTCTGAATTAGATCGTTGACAATGACCGGGAGACAAATGTGATTTTTCCTGCAGCAGTTACCCTAAAGCCCCTCTGAAGTAGGTGACCCCATCATGAGAAGACCAGACAAATCAACGCCTGTGTAAGACCAGCAACTGTCCCACCAGTGTGAGCAGAGTGTGAAAATCCCACGACGTAAACGCTGCAGTGAGCTGAGGTAGGTGACACACTGTTAAACCTTGTACTTCAGGAATTTCTTTGTCTATAAACTTTTTGTGTGAGGGGAAATACCGCTGAAACATTTGGTTTTATCTCTGCACAATCCTCAGTCCTAAAAATAGTGAATATCAGTGTGTCCTTGTGTGTGTGTATGTGTGTGTGTGTTAGGGGTCATTTAGGGCAGCTGTCGGTGTCACTCCTCTGTAGTTATTGTTAGAAACAAATGGAGCCTGTGGGATACCTTTCATGACACATGTTGGCTGGTTCTTTTTTTAAGTAGCTCAACACCAAAAGCAAACACCGAAACATTTCACTCGCACATCCGTCAATGATCCACAGTGAGGTGTACCGACGACTCCAGAGTAGAGGGGAAAACACATCAGGGTTTTTGTGGGTCGAGTCCTTAAAACTGAGGTGGAGAAAACTTGGTCTTCACTTTTGGAGGAGCCAAAAGGATAAAACTGCATCAGTAAAAGTACACAAGTACATATTGAGTACTTAGGTTCATGTTTTATAATAAATACTGTTTCTCTTTAAAGGGATTGTTCAAGATTTTTGAACAGACAACAAAACACAGCGATATTATTATATTATCAAATGTCATCAATAATTAATAGCTATTGACTGATATTAAAAGCTTTTTTCTATAAACACCACAAAAAAAGATGCTTCTTTAATGGATTCCTGCCTACCCCACCTTTAGGAGCTTGTCTCTTCAGTGGCTTCTCCTTGTCTTTTTTTTTGTTGTTGTTGTTGTTGCCTAACACACCTCAGAATAAGGGACAATCTTCACTTCACGGTGCACCACCCATACTTTGAGGTACACCATGATTTTCTGACAATGGTAAAGTTGAGTAACTGATACATATCTGAAAAACTCTTCATAGGAGCTTTAAGTGGTCAAAGTTTGTTGTACTTATGACATTTGCATAGCTTAGCTTCAGTGAAGGGAATCAACATCTCCAAACAGCTGCTGTTCAGACTAGTGTACACAGTGCACTTAACTATTGATAAATACAACATGCAAACCCACTTCAAAACCCTGCAGTGCTCTGAGACAGGTTGAGTGAGAATAAAATGTAAACAAAAAAGGTGCTGCTGTAACTGTCTGGTGCAGAAAAAAAGACAAAGGTTTCGACTTATAGTTGTGGTCAAAAGTTTATATACACTTGTGAGAACATAATGTCATGACTCTTTTGAGTTTCCCATGATTTCTACAACTCTGATTTTTCTCTGATTGAGTGATTGGAACAGACACTTCTTTGTCACAAAAACATTCATGAAGTTTGGTTCTTTTATGACTTGATGTGTTAACAGAAAAAGTGATCAAATCTGCTGGGTCAAAAATATACATACAGCAGTGCCAATATTTGGTTACATGTCCCTTAACCATTTTTACTTCAATTAGGCCCTTTTGGTAGCCATCCACAAGCTTATGACAAGCTTCTGGTTGAATCTTTGACCACTCCTCTTGACAGAATTGGTGCAGTTCAGTTAAATTTGATGGCTTTCTGGCATGGACTTGTTTCTTCAGCATTGTCCACATGTTCTCAATGGGGTTTACGTCAGGACTTTGGAAAGGCCATTCCAAAACCCTAATTTAACCTGATTTAGCTATTCCATTACCACTTTTGATGTGTGTTTGGGGTCATTGTCCTGTTGGAACATCCAACTGCGGCCAGGACCCAACCTTCGGGCTGATGATTTTAGGTTATCTTGAAAATTTTGAAGGTAATCCTCCTTCTTTATTATCCCATTTACTCTCTGTAAAGCACCAGTTCCATTGGCAGCAAAACAGCCCCACAGCATAATACTACCACCACCGTGCTTGACGGTAGGCATGGTGTTCTTGGGGTTAAAGGCCTCACCTTTCCTCCTCCAAACATATTGACCTCTCCTCCAGAAGGTCTTATCTTTGTCCATGTGATCAGCAGCAAACTTCGGTCGAGCCTTAAGGTGCTGCTTTTGGAGCAAGGGCGTCCTTCTTGCACGGCAGCTTCTCAGTCCATGGATATGCAAAACACGCTTGACTGTGGACACTGACACCTGTGTTCCCACAGCTTCTAATTCTTGGCAGATCTGCTTTTTGGTGGTTCTCGGTTGACTCTTCACCCTTCTGACCAATTTTCTCTCAGCAGCAGGTGATAGCTTGCATTTTCTTCCTGATGGTGGCAGTGACAAAACAGTGCCATGCACTTTATACTTACAAACAATTTTTTGCAATGTTGCTCTTGGGACCTGCAGCTGCTTTGAAATTACTCCAAGTGACTTTCCTGACGTGTTCAAGTCAACGATTCCCTTTTTCAGATCCATGCTGAGCTCCTTTGACTTTCCCATTGTAGCGTTTGTGGGCATTTGTATCCAATGAGCCTTATTTAAATGGCCTCAGAGAAGTCACCAGCTGTAGTTACTCATAATCACTCACAAGAAGTAAAGAGGCCATGCTATGAAGCTCATTTCATTGACACAACTTTCTAAGTCACCAAAATTGCTAATTCATGTTGCTGTATGTATATTTTTGCCCCAGCAGATTTTGTCAATTTTTCTGTTAACCTGTTAATAAAGTCAGAAGAACTTAACTTCATGACTGTTTTATGTGACAAAGAAGTATCTGTTACAATCACTCTATCAGAGAGAAATTAGAGTTGTAGAAATAACGGGAAACTCAAGAGAGCCATGACATGATGTTCTTTACAAGTGTATGTAAACTTTTGACCACAACTGTATTTGAGTTTTGTCTGCTGTTGTTTGTGTGTGCAGTGCAGCTGTGGTGTGTGCATACTCCTAAGGATTTGTGAGGACACACACAGAGCATATTGTAAGACATACCACCTTTATTAAATGCACAGTATCACAAGGAACATTTCCATTAATTGTGGATAAGCTACTCACATGATGCACAAAGCATTGAATTGATTGATAGAACTGGCTGATTAAAGCAGGATTAAATCTGCCAGGAGAGCACACACACACACACACACACACCCTCACACTCGCACAAATACACACTTTCTTGCATACAGAGGTATGTGCAAACACACACTGTCACACAAAATCACACGCTCACACACATTCTGTCTTTTCATTCCCACTGTAAGTAAAATCTGTTATCTGCACAGGAATCAAAACTGTTATCTTTTTTGTTCTTTTACCACATATTTACAAAAAATTCCTCGACCCGCCCTCCCCTCCCCTCCAGGTAGATTACATTCAAAAAAGGTCCCGACCCTGCTAGATTACATTCAAAATAATATACTATTCATGATGCAAAGTCACAGTTATTCATCTGAAAGAGGATCAAAGAAGGCTACAGTCAGTCAGAGGTTGAGTAGTGGTGGAGCTGGCCCAAGATGCGACCTTTGACCTCCTCCTGTCAGCTCGGAGGGATCTTGATGTTTTGAATCAGATCCAGAGTCCATGATCCTCCTGCGGACAGTCAGCATCGCACACAGCCTCCGTGTAAATCTCCCCATCACAGTGGAGAGGAAAGAGGAGATCTTTTTTTTTCTTCTTCTTCTTCTTTTAAAGTGTTTAAATAAAGTCTCTCGCAAATCCAAAGTCGCAAAAAATGAGATTGTATTCTCACTGGTATTATGAACGAGCACAAAAAAATTATACAATGTAGCACAAAGTAAATTGTATTTACATATAGTATGTATTGCCAGTGGCCCATAACACATTATCTTCAATAGATGTCACACAGTTTGGACATGATATCTGCTTCAAACAGATTATACTATTGAACATAGTCTACTATTGATAAAGACGAATATCAGAACTGTACAGAATGGACAGCAAGTTATGTACAGCAGACACACAACTATTATACAGAACTGACTGTAAGGAAAACAGAGAGGGACATTTTTAGGGACTTGCTTCAGCCGTGGACATCATAGCAAGGGTGTGTTTGTTTTGTTTTTAAGTGCAGGTGAGATCGAGGCTGAGGGCGGTCAGGGCTGAACAAGGCTGCTGAGGAAAGTGGGGCATTTTGGGATTAAAGGGGAATTCCTTGCCTTTGACACCAGGGGCCTTTTTTTAAATTTATTTATATTTTATCATTTTATTGATAGTAAATTAAGAGCATTTTAGAAGTGAACTAGGAGATTGCTTCAGCTATAAGGTACACTATGACTCTAAGTGCATCAATGTTATCCTCCCTGGCTTCAAAGACAGCAGCCTAAAATATAGTTCAGATTAGGGCCGACCGATTTATCGTCGAGCCGATTAAATCGGCCCATTTTAGCCCGTTTGAGACTGATCGGCAATCGGCCGAAACTCGCCGATTTTCGCAGATATTTTCAGGAATAAAATGTGAAGAATAAGATTCAAAAATGTTCCACCAAAGTTCCCCGACTTATTTGGTAGATGGCGCAGCGACCTCTTGACAGTCTTCATCCACTAACTACCTCACAACACAGCAGAGTGATGGACCTAAAGCAGGCAGCTCAGGGACGCACGGAGGAGAGTGGTCCGCCTCAACCGTAAATAAACCAGTTTGTGAAGTAGAGTCAACAAGTTTCAGTTCAACCCACTTCACGATGTTCCCCACTGGGCTGGTCTCGGTTACGCCAAGGGGGGTAGTTGACCAGTTTCCTGGTCCGAGTTTGATCAGTCGGTCTTCCTGTCAGCATGAAGAGCAGTAGCCTACAGTATATAGTATATAGTATACTGCAGATATCGGCAGTCTACATATATTTTAACCTCATAGAAATTTTTAAAAATTGGCCAATTAATCAGTAGTCAGACCCCCCCCCCCCCCAATAATCGTTATCGCCATCGGCCCGAAAATACCATATTGGTCTGGCCCTAGTTCAGATCATTTAAAGCTGCTATCAGAGGGACAATAAAAAAGACAAAAACAGCATAATACCCCCTCTTTAAGTGCATGATCACAGGAAACATCCCTGCGTTGTTACATTAACTCTGCAAAAGGGTGACTTTTAAAAAGTGGCAAAAACAAGCACCGTTAGTGGACTTAATTTGCTTGCTGGTAATTGCCCCAAAGAATTGTACTGCAGCCATTAGAGCTGTAGTTGCCAGCTGAAACAATCTATTGCACCAATTCCAAAACGTATTAAAATGAAATTATTTGCCATTACAATGCCTCGTAGTGACATGTTATAGCCTGGGTTGAAAATGACAGGAATTCCCCTTTAAGTCAATCCACAAAGTGCACAAAGCATTGTCTCTGTAGTCGTTATGGAAACACATGATACTATCAGAAGAAGTAATGGCTGCTGTTTTTGTTTTATAAGTGGCAGATTTCTCGTCACACTTTGCTTAAATTTGTCTCTAATTTTACATCCAAACTCAATAACTTTCAAAGATAAATTAGGACATGAACTACAAGCATTCAGCCTGTACAAATGTGCTTTACAGAAGCCCAAAAGTAGAGACACTGCTTCAGTCCCCAACCCAGCCGAGAGCGCCTTGAGATAAAAGCACCCCCAGGACTCTTTAAGGGCTATCAGACTCTTAATTATCCTTTCAGTGCTGTCTCCTCGTCTGCTATGCAGAGTTAAAGATCACAGCCTCTCCCCAGATGTCAATAAATGAGAAGCATCTCTCAAACAACAAAAACAAGATAAATGTGATAAAAATAAAACTCCTCAAGATATAGAACCAACATCAGCGCACTGTACACTGCATCAAACATCGAAATGCCCGTCAATCCCTCTTAAAACGAGAAGAAAAAGAAGATGACGCTCTGTAATTTGAAGTTTGCATCATCAAGATCACGTCACTTACAGTTATGGGCCACATGGAAGAGAGAAATAAAGATTTCCCAACTGGCATTGCTGGTGGATGAAAACTTAAACTAACTGTGCTCATCTTTAGTAGTTTCTTTTTGGGCGGGGGATTAGGCACAGTTTAACAATACCAAGTCCTCCTCCTCCTCTGTGCTTTAGACACATCAAATAAGAAAAGTGTTGTGAAAGAAATATGTTTCAAACTTCAGTTATTAGTTTAAAACTGACAAATTATATTCAATTATGTTCGCCCTTGTTTTACATCCTCAACATTGATTTCACATTGGGACATCCTTAAGTGTACTAGACTCAGCTATATATCACAGACACAGGCTTTTAGATCATCTATATGGAACTCTAACATTATTTTAAACAAACTCTATAATAACATACACGTATGATTGAAATTTGACTCCCATAGACAACTCAAATGCACTGATTTAAATCAACAGCTTAGTATGAAAACATAGTCATCACTTATAAATTTTACAAATATGAAAATATTCTGTGAAATAGAAAAGAAAAAAAGCATCTTAATGAGAATCCTCCTGCAGATTATTTTGCTCTGTGCTGAAAGAGGAGAAAGCTCTATCTACAAAGTTTTGTCCGTACAAAGTCTTTCATTGAGACACAATATTTTCCCTTTTTTCATTCCCAAATATGCAAAACAGAACAGTGAATACTTAAACTATGAATATAGACAAAATGTCCCTTTAATAAATGTTTCTGATTATCAGGTGTCATTTGTTTTAATGCCTACTTCAAACATTAACGAGTGGTGATTGTATAGATAACGTTATATTGTTGGTTTCCATCTGTGAAACGTGCCCAGTTGACATCTGCGAATAAACTCCAAAAAATAAAAAAGCGAAAAAAAATCACAGAAAATTTAAGGCTTCTCTCGATGTGATGAGGACACAGACGATAGCATTTACAGGGACATTTACAGCCAGGTTCTGTACACACATACACGCATCTTTTCATCCCCTGCTCTCCCCCTCAGGTATCTCTCTCTCTCTACCACTCGTCCACACACATGCACACAGAGTACATACAGGAGCACGGGTCTATCAGCCCAGTATGTCCAGGTAGACAGGCGAGGCCTTGGCGAGGCTCTGCAGCATGCTGTGGATCTCCTTGATGTTGAGCCTCATGTAGGGCTCCCTCTGCCAGCAGCCCAGCATCAGATCATAGACCTCTTTAGGACAGGTGCGGGGCCGCTGCAGCACTCGGCCCTGTGTGATGCACTCAATAACCTGCAGGGGAAAACAGTAAAAATACACAATAAATTAAACAAAATAAATACTGTGTTTGAGATCTATTTTCAAGGGATATTCCGGCGTAAAATTAAGTTAGGGTCAAACACACTGTAACACCGAGTTAGACACCACCTCGAGAGAAGAATGTTGCCGACTGCTTGCTTCTCTAGTTATACCAACTTTAGTAACGACCGCAGGATAGCAATACAAAGCGGTCTGAGGAGCTACAAAAGAACCTCAACCAAAACGCCACTCTATAGCCACAAATAATGCTCAGAACAGCACCTAACTTCATCAACAGTACATATAGCCTTTCCACTTTTAAAACACTTCTGAAGACGCACCTGTTCACTTTAGCTTTTGGAGAAGTATAGCTACTGTTATTGGGTTTTTATTGATTTTATTTATTTGCTATGTTTATGTATATTGTTGTTATATGTTTTATGCTTTTATTGTTTTTATAGTTTTTATTGTCTCTGTCTATTTTACTGTAAAGCACAATGGTAGGCCACTGGCTGTTCCCAGCCATAGTACTAGCCACCAAACATCTTTTTAACTTTGCTTAATTGCTTTAGCACTTAGACTAAACACAACTTACCTACTCTTTTCCAGCAGCCGCTTGTTTGTAGCGAGATCTCCGGCCAGTCTATTATAGAATGCAGCGGGTTGATGCAGCTCAAGCAAGAACCTTCATAATCAAGATGTTTGGTGGCTAATACTATGGCTACGACTCTTTATGTACTGTTGATGAAGTTAGGTGCTGTTCTGAGCATTATTTGTGGCTATAGAGTGGCGTTTTGGTTGAGGTTTTTTTATGGCTCCTCAGACCGCTGTGTATTGCTATTGTGCGGTCGTTACTAAAGTTGGTATAACCAGAGAAGGAAGCGGTCGACAAAATTCATCTCTTGAGGGGGTGTCTAGCTCGGTGTTATCATGTGTTTGACCCTAAATTAATTTTTTGCCGGAATATCCCTTTAAGTCTGTTGGTAGAGCAGTGTTGATAATACGTTATTTATGGGTCTGAAGGTTGTGTTAAAGGATCCTGTCATTTCGCTACAGCCTGAGTGTAGTCACAGTGACACTGACCTCATTGTTGGAGAGCTGGTACCAGGGCTGCTTCCCATAGGTGAAGATCTCCCACAGAACCACGCCAAGGCTCCACACGTCACTCTCTGTGGTGAACCGCCGGTACATGATGCTCTCTGGGGGCATCCAGCGGATTGGCAGCATTGTGTGACCGCCCACCTGCAGAGAGAGGACAGGGAGGGTAACAGTCAGAGAGGATGTGTCCGCCAGAAACCAAAGGCATGACCTACAGAGAGGGTTAAAGCTGCAGACACCACAAACTGTAAGTTATTTGAATAGTTTCAGTCACATGTGGTAGTTGTTCCTCAGACGTCTCAAAAGTACAAAAATTTCACTGAAACTTGTGTTTCCAAGAGAAGTAATTATTTTGGCTTCAGCCGTTTCCATGATTATAGCTAAGTGAAATATCCAGAAACTGTATAAAACATGGGGCACAGTCTCTCTGTGATGTTTCCAAAGTGGAGTTATGAAGCCTTTTGTTGGCAGTCACCATGTTGGAAATGCTGACCCATCCCTGCTTTCAGCCAAGAGGCAAAGAGGTGGTGTAAAGACAGGCCTTCAGCGTCCTTGTTTGTCAGTAAAGCTTACCTAATAATGCAAAATAACTACGTCATAAAAGTTTAAACCTCTCATAGTTGGTACAGAGAAGTGAGCAATTGGACAAAGCTCTTCAACTCCCCCTACAATAAATATGTTGGGTGAAATGAGGACATCTCTTAAATTATACAAAACAATTTAACAGAAAATGACAATACACACCCCTTGCTATATAATTGAGTAAAACAGTAAACATAATAGCTAAAATCAGGATCACTCAGCTCAGTTAGGTCACTCAGGCATTCCTGAGACAGCCTGTTAGTCCCTCTAAACCTCTTATCCGATCACAGCCTCCCTGTCTCCTTCCATAAGTTATTTACCGTCTATAAAATACATTTCCCCCTCTTCCAGTCAACACTTTTATCCAATCACCATTACTGTACTTCCAGTCTTTCACAGCCCTCACCTCACCCCACCGACTTGAACTCACTTGCACTGTCATTCAATTACTGTAAAACCTGTGATATCTGAGCCAGTGTCGACTTTTACACCAAATACGACTTCCTGTGTGGGACCAGCACAATATTTCATATATATAACGACTTTTTTATATAGGGAATTTAATAGTGCTTCAAATATGCGGACTGCTTGACTGTAAAAGCAGGAGGAACATTTTTGGACATTTTCAGTCTTTGTACTTTGTCGTAATTGGATGTTAAAGTGGTGGATTGACTCTGATGCGAAAACATAACTCTTAAATAATTCCTCTTTCCCAGATGTTGAGAAAAGACAGTCCTCTATGAGAGATTTATGAAGACTCCTGGTTGATCTGGTTTGTTGTACGTTACGACCTCCTTTGCTCGTCACTTTATAGCAGATTAGAAAGCCTCGTGTTGTTTGCTGTGTCTATGCTTGTGCTCCATTTAATAAAACATTTGATTTGAGGAGTTGGTGACAGGCTCTCTCCTGATGTGATGCAGGCGCATGCATCTTCGGGAGAATGTTTTACGTGTGTTTGTATTTCTCCTTTTCGACCAGCAGAGGGCACTGTGGGATTCAGCTGGGCTCTAGGACACACTAGAGGAGGAAAAATACATGTATCTGCTCCTAAAAAGGTCACTTCTTTTATCACTTTCTGACAGTATTAAACAACATTTAGTCAAATCTTAAAATGAGACTCTAAGTTTAATATGATGCTTTTAATGTGACAGGAAATATTGTTAAAAATACAGATACATTTTTGCACTGTTGGCACTTATTACCATGGAAACAGTAATTTTATGCAGATGACAGAATTTGCATTTAAATAGTATTAAAAAAGATAAAATACCTCTGGTTAAATTGCCATTTCTGCAGCCGCACAGTTATTTCAAGCAAAACTTGAATAAAATTCCAATTACATAATCAAAACAGTGTGTATGTGGTTGCATTTCCATATTTCTGAGTGTATATCAGAGCTGAGTGAGTATTTGTGCATCTGTGTGCATAAAAGAATAAGGGCAGAAATAATCAGAACCACTCTGGACTTACCCTGTAGTAGTCTGTGCTGTAGACGTCTCTGGACATGCCGAAGTCTCCTATCTTGACGAGCAGGTTTTCTCCGACCAGGCAGTTCCTGGTTGCCAAGTCTCTGTGGACGAAATGCTGGGAGGCCAGGTAGACCATGCCAGCAGCAATCTGTTGGGCAATGTGCAGCATCTGGGACTGGGTGAGCTCTACTAGGATGCTGTGTTGACCGTCTGCCATTAGCACTGCATCGGGACCGTGGGACCTGCACCAGGAACATTTAGTTAACAATTTCAGTTTATCAGTTCATTTAAAACAATGAGAAAAAATCATGGGACGAACTGCCTCAAACACTAAATGTCCCCGACTTTATGTGATTAGAAATAATGGGATGATCTGTCTCTATATTATGAAGTATTTAAATTTACTGACATTAGATTCATATTACATTTAAAACTAAAACTCCCATTCAACACTGGCCAGCAGGAAAATAGAGATAAACTGTCACCATCCAGATCATTTATTGGCAATCTTAATAATTTTTCCTGCAAAGATGTAAAATATAAAATGAGTTTGATATTTGAGGAATTTTATTTGATTATTTCTTTTTATATTTAATTACTTAAATGTAATAAAAGTTCATAATGTAATAAAATCACAACATAATGACGTCTCTGCGCATGATTTAATAATGTAACATTTTATTACATTATGGGTCAATTATTACATTATGAGTTGCTAAATGCAAAGATGTAAAATATAAAATGAGTTTGATATTTGAGGAATTTTATTTGATTATTTCTTTACTATATTTGATTCTTAGTCGACAAAATCCACCAGAAGCTCACTTGGGAAGTTTCATTTTGTGTAACCAATAATATTCATAAATAAAAAATAAATAAAAAATAAATTTAAGAGCAATAACAGAACAGCTCACATAAAAACTGATTATTTTCATTACTGCGGCATCACTTCTACTCTTTAATTATCACATACATTATAATGACATATCATTACATGGGAACCCCTAATGTTTTGTTAGTCTGATGTGTGAACACCTGAAAATCAGACTTAATCACAACAGACTCAGCAGGCACACCGACTGAAAACTCTGCTACATATGCTTGCCATATCAGACACACTGACTCAAAGGTGGGGTAGGCAGGAATCCGTCAAAGAAGCATCTTTTTTTGTGGTGTATATATACAAAAAAGCTTTTAATATCAGTCGATAGCTATTAGTTATTGATGACCTTTGGGAATAACACGATATTGCTGTGTTTTGTTATGTCTGTGTAGTTAACATTTTAAAATTTCAGAGCGCTCCGCTCTTTCTCACTGTAAACAAAGCCATTCCCTGCCTCCCCCATCCTGATTGGTTGTGAGGCGGACGCTGCTCCTTAGTGTTGATTGGTTGTGAGGTAGACGGTGCTCCCCCGTGTTGTTCAGGAGCCCAAACAAAGTTAGCGTGCTACAATATGTGACAGTAGAAACCAACCAGAAAGTACAGAAAATTGGCTGAATCCTCCTTTAGCCACGACTGCCAACACAAGCAAGAAAATAAAGTAAATACCGGAGACTTTGGCGGAATAACGGGCGCTTAAAAAGGAGGTAGATCGGACAAGCGCTAAGGAGCCGGGTCAATATGATGGGGGATGCTTCGGGATCTTACGGACCCTGTAACTTTTCTGCTGGACAGGTAAACCGCTTTAACAAAGTAAGCCAAGTGTTTCTTGTCAAACAGGACCTGCTGCCTGTTGTAGCGCCACTAAACTGTTGACCTGGACTATGTCACTTTATCCTAGTTGTAGAAGTCCTGCAAACATTGTTTTTGCTGGTTGTCTGTTGGCATCTACAGTAGCACCAATGCTGTTTACTTTCACATTGATTGGGTCCCATTTGTAATTATCTAAAGTATTTATCTGCATTTTATCTGAATTTAACTAAAATGATACAAGCGAGCAGGAGCGTATGTTTGTGGGCGGGGCTTGCTGGAGCAGAGAGGGAGGGGAGAGGAGGAGCTGAGGGTAAAACTGGTTGGGAGGGGTAGAGTTTACATTCAAGATTTCTCCCCAAAAACTGGCACTTCCTCAGATCCTGCCTACCCCACCTTTAACTTTACTTTCAGTCAACTCAGCAAGATTCAAAAAGTGGAGTTGAGGCCGGCCTATAGCCTTCTGGCTTTCAGCTCCAACATGCCAAGTCAAGCTTGTGCAAAACTTGTTTCCTTAAAGGTCCTGTGAGGAACCTGGTTTGTTACAGTTTTGGCGCCCCTTGTGGACAAAGCAGTGCTTCATTTTCACTGCATCCAGAACGGCCCCAATCCGGAACGGGGGTGATTTCTCGCCATACGCCAATTCCTACCGGATCCTACCAGACAGCTGTAATCGCGAGAACTCACAAGAACCCGTGGATTCACATGCAATTGTGCGATAACAAGTTTTATCTTAGCCACAGAGGCTAACCATAAAAGCAGTAGACTGTGTCCTTCCAGAGGGGGAAATCTTCTTCTAGACTTCTAGAATCAGCATCTCCTCATCCATGGTGTCATCAGGGTGAAATGCTGTCTAAAAACCTTTCACTTGTTCGTCTCCGCCCGTTTGCATGGTGTGAAATCTATGATCAGGTGGATACAGCCTTTTCGTAGCCGTTCAGGATGCGGTGGAAATTGGGGCTTATGCCTCAGAAGGGATGGCATCCTTTTATAAACATTGGATGCTCTCTATCCTCACATATGTGTAAAATATATATGCATGCCCTTTGTAGTTTGAGTTCACATCATATTGACACTGAATGTGCTGTAATTGTGGAGGATAGTGTTGCCTAGTGTATAATTTATAAGCCCCTAATTTGTGGGTAGATTTTTCTTTCCCTTTCTCTTTAACTGGTACAGCTGTTACCCTTGATCCCATCCTCCCGCTAGCTCGAAGAAGTTTTCACATCTTACTCTTGCTGTGAAAGTGAATCAGTTATTCTCTTAAATGTCAAACCATTTGTTAAACATGTGATAAGCCAAACTTCGTCCTACCTGAGGAACTTGTTTAGATCACCATGTTTCATGTATTCAAACACCATGATGAGCGGGTCGCTCTCCACACACACTCCATAAAAGGTCACGATGTGTTCATGCTGCAGGTTTGTGAGCAGCTCGGCCTCTCTGTAGAAGTCCGCTCGTCCGCTCTCGTTTGCCTCTTTAAGAGTCTGAGCCAAGACAAAGACACAAAGACGAGTTCAAACAGGTAAGATACATCATCTGTGAGTGTCCATAAATTTAGTACTAAATGAAAAACATTGATTCTCTGAGTAAATATTCTCCTAGCATGTACTTTAACGGCCACGTGGAGCTTCTCCTGATCTGGTACCAGGTTGTAGCACTCAGCCAGAAACACTTTCCCGAAAGCTCCCTCTCCCAGCTCCCGTTTCAGGACGATGTTGTGTCTCTTGATGTGCTGGACAACTTTAAAATGAAAATGTGACAAATCAAAGTCAAGTCAATCTCGCTCATTCAAAAGCTAACAAAGCTACAATGAAACCTGTCTACAAAAAGAGAGAGGAAAGAAGAAGCACATCTTTTTATTTCAAATGCTGAAACCGTCAAACATTTGACATTTTAACTTGTTGGATTTTCAGCCTCTAAGCCGTGAATCAACATGTATGATCTTTTTTCAGTGATAGTAGAGACCACAAGTGCAGAAAAATGTTGTGAGTTATGTTCCTGGATTAAAATTTTACTTTCTGAGCATCAGCTGTAGGTTTACAGTCCGTTATCTCCACAGAGCAGGAGTCACTATCACAACACAGGAAGGATACTAACAGTAAAAATGGCATCCGGCGGTGACCCCTGCATGGATTTATCAGAAAAGGTCCAGGTTACATGCTATTTGTCGAGCGAGGCGGTAACTCACACGTGTCAGATTTCAGCATGCTGCCCGAGTTACGGAAGTACTGCGGGTTCTCGATGACAGGAATCTTTGTCATCCCAATGATCACGGCGTCTGGACCCATCTCCGAGGACGATGGGGTGTTGTTGCCATTGGAGACATGATGAAGAGGGCTGGCAGAGTCATCGTCATTACTGATGACTGAGGAAGAGCCTGGGGAGCAGCAAAGGAGGAGAGGAGAGAGGAGAGGCAGAAGGAAATGAGGAGAGGAAGGAAAAGAAGAAGTGTGGGAAATGAGGAGAGAGGACAAAGACAGAACTTATAAACACAGCTTTTATAGTTCTCTAAGAAACATTTGTACTGATAACAAAGATGTAGCAGCAAGAGAAACATGTTTAAACTAACAGTAACATTTTGCAATTTTAGAAAATGAAGATTTAAACAGATGTTTCATGCATTTCTCAAAACTTTTATGAAAAATTACTCTCCTAATAAAGCACAGATCACTGAGAAAAAAATGTCCATAAATGTCTTATAGTTAAATAAAGCAAATTTTTAATCATAAAGGGAGGTTTTTATTTAATAAATGTTTATTTAATTTGTGTTTAATTAATTTAATTATTTAAAAGCAAACAAGAGCATCACCAACAAACTTGGCAATTCCCTTATTATGATTTTCACTGTTCATAATGGGGAAGGGGTCAAACCAAATGATATGTCTTGTGTTTCTTTACTCAAGCGAATATTCACAGTGAGTGATAAATTGACGATTAAAGAAAGGCAGCTTGATATTTTTCATCCTTGAGCACCTCTTGCCAATGCAACTAAGGCTACGTTCACACTGCAGGTTATGGTGCACAATTCGGATCGAAAATCCGATCTTTTTTTGCGGTCGTTCACATTACAACAACGAATGCGGCATCTAATGTGAACGGAATCCGTCCATGAAGTGACCCGCATGCGCACAAAGCATGTTGGCTGGTTGTTCTCCGTTCCCTCATCCACCATAGCTTTCTGCGCCTGTTTGTGTTGTCGAACAATGGTGACGTTTGTCTCAAATTGATGACGTATAGGTCGGATGAACGCGACCTGAGCATCCACACTGCAGTCACATCGGACACATATCCGATTTATATCCACATACAAAACAGGCCTGGGTCAGATTTGAAAAAATCAGAATTGCACTGTTCACACTTCCATGAAAAAATCAGATATGTGTCACATATGGTTAAAAAATCAGAATTGACCTGCAGAGTGAACATAGCCAAAGAGGTCAAACTTGCAGTTTTGCCCACAGGGTTTTAACATAACAGAAAGTTCCTCACAGGAGCTTTAGTCATTCACTTTTTGGCTGCACCAAGCTCACATTAGGTTTATCAAGTACAGTTTGAAGTCCAAACCAATCAAAATATTGTCCTAGAAAAGATGTTTTTACATCATCTATCCTTTATTTAAGTGTACAACAGCTGAAAATAACTGCCTTCAACTCCTGTTTATCAAGTAACAACAACTTAAAGGTACATAAAAAAACTATAATAAGTTGATCATAAATCTACTCTGTAGGGTAAAATTCAGGGAAGACTGTTAAGTGAGAGGTTATTATTAACTAACACAGTAATAAGGGAGAACTGCAGAGTACAGAAACTGACTGGTGCCTTATACTCACACTTTTATGCTTTTTCGGCTTGTTCTTTTTTCATGGAGGGTCTTGGTTTTGGTTAACCACCACTCAGCTCCTTTTTACCGCTTCTTCTTGTACCAAATACCCAAAAACCCAATTTACCCCACCTAATGATAGGTAATGTACTTCTGCTGATTAAAGCTCCTGTGAGGAACTTTTGGTTTATGTCAGTTTTGGCGCCCCTTGTGGGCAAAGCACTCATTGTTTGTCTTGTCCTCTACACACTGAAGTGCTTTGACCAATGAAAGTCAAATGTATGGCTGGATGAGAAAATTGAATGTTGGCGATATTAAAACAGGCCCCTTTTCCGTCAGAAGCTACCACCTACCCACTCACACCATAAGAAATTACAGTTTGAAGGTCCTTACACACCGGGAGCATTTTTTTCGTGCGATTACTTCGGACATCAATATTTGTTTTCAAACCTGTATCCTGTCAATACAAGCATTCACATCAGCAACGTTTTCCCATCCTGCAATATTGCGGCATTTATTTTTTCGGATCACAGTCGAATTTTCTAAAGTTTCGCATACTGTGTGTCCACTTCTGACCAATCAGATTGCGTTTTGTTGCGACGTCAGATTCACGTCAGATATATCCAACATGGCCAACTGGCTGATTGTTTACGTGTCTGAGAACAGAGCGCTTTTTGATTAAAAACATTTCAAAGAAAACAGCCTGAAGGATAACTTGTGGAGAGTCATAGCGTTGGATTTCTCATATGACGATAGTTTGTGTGCTTTAACAGTTTGCTAAATGTCTTTGTTTTAACTTTCATCTGTATTAAGTAACTTTAGCTCGTAAGCTAACCTGTTCAGATACAACATACCATATGTATTTTCACTGTCTCAAACTCAATCGCGTTGCTGTCACAGCACCATTAGGTCTCGGTTGTTACCTTAAGTTTATGGATTATAGTTTAATGTGCTTATCTGGTACTAGCCCTGACTCAGTACATGCTATCATGACAGACAGCCATCTCAACACTAGTGTCTAATCAGAACTGAAAAACAGTCGGTCTGGTGATGTGTCAGTTTTCTAGCTTCCACCCGGGATGCGTCTTTTTTCCCCCCGGAAAGTCGCAAAATCGCATCAGGCTTGATGTGTATAGTCAGGCATGTCAAAATTTACCTCCAAATATTTCGTTATTTCGCGTCATGTAAGGACCTTAAAACTCATCAGTCATGTTGCTGATGACCTTGTTCACTGTTGTATGTCATAAAGAGGCATCAATATGAAATTTAGACTGTGGTTTAAGTGAAAAAAAAAGAAAAAAAATCATCACAGGAGCTTTAACCCATAGCTGAGTTTCGGTGACAGTTTGGCCTAACCCGGTCACTGTTGCCCCCTCTTCACTCAGCTATTTTATGGATAATTTATGAAAAGTTTGTCTTTGGCCAGGACATGGATATTCACTTGAGCTCTTTGACCTATCCTGCCATTATTTTGGAGACCAGTTGAAAACACATCTTTGGTCCGGACACATTTATCAGTATCTTGTCAGATTTCTGGCACTTGAAAAGGAAAAGAACAAGCTGAACTTGTAAACATTTTCCTCCGTTGACCGCGGATCTTATCAAAACACTGTTGTACCACAATGACACTTCTTCAGAACTAGGGTGTGTACGCGGGGTTATAACTAAACCCATCTGACTCTGATTCCAAACATCTGGTGTCTAAACTGTGAGGAGCACACAACAGCATCAAGCGGTGAAAACACACAACAGCTTTGACACGCTTTAGCTCAGCTATAGGCCTGCTCTGTGATAGCAGAGATGAAATTATCTCGACTATTGAAAAAAGAAAAGTACAAGTCAAAGCTCTGATGCATTTTTAGCTGTGGACGACATGTTGACAACACAGAACAGCCAGCAAAACCTTTTGCTTCCCCTCTTCCAAGTTATCCCATCTTGGCCAGGACAACCAGTATTTCATGGAGGACTTTACACCTACTCAGGGTCGGGTGTAAGACAAGTTTAAACTCTATAATAAACTAAACATTACATTTAAACTAGACCATTCCCTCGGCATAAATCAAGAGAGCCCTGAGTGTCATTTTTACTTTGTCGAGCAGTTTCTTGACCAAAAATTAGCTTACCTTTAATCCCAAACTTGGAGTTTCTTCCATATTTCAGTATAATCACCATCAGGATGCACCCAGTTAATGCAACACCCGCGATTCCAACGACGACATACACCTAGAGGACAAAAAGACTGGGTAGCTTGAAACACACCAACTAAAATGATCTGTCCTTTTTCAGTTTTTTCTTTTCTTTCAGGATCATTTGAGATGGTATTTAAGTACACTCCCAACAAAACAAGGTTTTAAAAACAAGTACAAACCAAGAGTCAGAAACGTGTCATGAAAATGTTCAAAACGGTTCGGGATCACTTACTGCTACATCCAGGGGAGGTGAGTCTGAAAAAAGAAGAACAATGTTAAAATATAAAGACAAAACCAGTAATTCAGTTCAAGCTAGTGGTTGCATTTAAATATATTTTCTCAAAACCAGCACTTAAGTATGATTTTAACAGAGTACTACTTTTCTTTAATACTTTCAAGTTTTACTACTTTAAACTTTTAATCAAAATCAGAACTTGTGAAACAACTTCTATTGACCATCTATTTGTGGTGAAAAACTACAACACTGGCTTCCATCACACAGTGAGGTTTAACAACCATTATCTATTTGTCGTTATGTGTAATTAGAGTTTAATGAGTACTGAGTGTAAGACAAAATTTGTGATGTTTGCATATTATGGATGCTATATGGTATTAAGTGATCTGCTCTGCAATAATAGGAACTTTTTGTTTGTCAAAAAGTACATTTTTTAAGTTAAAACACTTACTGGTGGGATCTGCAGAATCGGGATCAGGCCATATGAGGAGAAAGAGACAGTAAAATTATTTACACTATAGACACAGTTTTTATCTCACTAGCTGGTGGATCAGTTGTTGATTTGATAAAGCTGAACTTTACTTACAATAGTAGATGTCCTCTGTTTCAAAGAAGCAAACAAATGCATATGTTAGCGTTCATACAGACAAATTAGCCACAGAAAAGAGCCGTGAAAAATGAGAGAGTGTGTTCACACCTGGGTGGCCGATGTCAGGCGGGTCGATGAACTGCGCAGACACCTTCTTCTCGTCTCTGCCGTACTTGTTCTTGGCCACCAGTCTGTACACACCATTGTGTATGTGAGTGGGGTTCACCAGCTGCAGGCAGCCGTGGTACTCGCTCTTGGTGGAGACATGGATCATGGTGCGGATGAAGTCCTGCTCCTCGAGAGCCTTGTTCTTGTGGTACCACTGCAGATCGGGTTTGGGGTTCCCTGTCACGCTGAAGGGGATGCACCAATGATGGTTCCGCTCAGGTGCCAGCAACTGCTGGATGGTGGGGGCAACTGACACGGAGGCAACAGTACAGGAAGAGTAATAACGGGACGATAGGAAGTCAACACCAAAGAGAGGCAGCAGGAGAAGATACATTTATGGGGTTAGACACGGGGCCTTAGTGATCTGATTTTTGTTGAGGAAAGTGATCCAAAATATGTTTTTAAAGTATTTATTTACACTTTCTGTCCCTCTAAAATCTTACTTTAAAGGACTACAGTTAGATAAAATATTACAAATAGAAAAATAAACAAAATAGTGTTAACTGTTTCAAAAGAATTCAAGAGGAAGCTTCATCTCCTGATACTGCAGTTAAAGATAAGAAAATATGCCACAAAAAGCATACGCAACCTGTAAAAACACAGCCTGCTAAGTCTTGCCTAAAACCAGATAAGGAGTCATTTATATATTATAAAGGTCCTTACACACCAGGACTGACGCAAATATACGACACAAAATTATTAAATAATCAGAGGTGATTCAGTACCAGATAAGCAAATTAAACTATAATCCATAAACGTAAGGCAACAACTGAGACCTAATGGCGCTGTGACAGCAACGCGATTGAGTTTGAGACAGTGAAAATAGATATGGTATGTTGTATCTGAACAGGTTAGCTTATGAGCTAAAGTTACTTAGCACAGTTGAAAGTTAAAACAAAGACGTTTAGCAAACTGTTAAAGCACACAAACTATTGTCATATGAGAAATTCGATGCTATGACTCTCCACCACAAGTTGTCCTTCAGGTCGTCATCTTTGTAATATTTGTGTCGTTGATCAAAAAGCACTTTGTTCTCTGACAGGTAAACAATCAGCTGATCGGCCATGTTGGATATACCAGTGGATCAGACGTCGCAACAAAACGCAATCTGATTGGTCGGAAGTGAACACACAGTATGCAAAACTTTAGAAAATTCAACTGTGATCCGAAAAAATAAATGCCGCAATATCGCAGGACGGGAAAACATCACTGATGTGAACGCTTGTATCGACATGATACAGGTTCGAAAAAAAATATTGATGTGCACGAAAAAAACTCTCCCGCTGTGTAAGGACCATAAGATTAAAATTTTAATAAGGGGGCATATGCCACCCATGGCCACCCTTGGACTTGCCCCTGGTTAGAGAGGAAAAGCATTCTGGGGATGATGCAGAGGAAAGACTGTGCACAAAACATTTGAACACTGACATAAGACAACAAAGAGGAAAGAGGAGAAATGTGGCCGTATACAAGTGGAGGACTGGGTTGAGGCATGAGGAGCTTCACAGGAGGAAGAGTTATGGACAGGAAACATGGAGAGTCAATAAGATTTACCAAGAGACAGTAATGATAACAAAGTGAGGAGCCTTGTGCTTCCACAGAGAAAAACAACGCCTAGTAGTCGGCATGTAGACACTCAGAGATGTAAATAGAAAGTTGCATTGTGAAGTTGTTTGATAGTTAAAGTCAACAATGAGAGAAAAGTCAAAAGTCCTTACAGAGAATATCGAGCTGCAGAGAGGCCTCCGTCTGACCCACCATGTTTTCAGCACTGCATATGATCACCCTGCCATTATCATCAGGAGACAGGTCTGACAGAGTGATTCTGCTCTCCATATCCAACGGGTCAATCTGTAAACAACATTATTATTTAATACTATCTTGTGTGTGATGCTAATCTTCATGTAACCCATCAGTTAAACATGCTACATGTTGACTGCACAGTTGCTCCCCTTATTTATGCCACTTTAAACCTATACTCTATAACAATTGAGCGAGTATTATCATACTTTAAACTCCGCCTAATTGCGTCTTATGACTTCAGACTCAAAGGAAGAATCGAAACTTCAATCAATAATTAATTTATGATGCATTTTTATGGATTGACATTAAGCTTTATTGAATCCTTTTAGATAAATAAAAACCACTCAGCAGTGTAAAAATAAACCTCATCTTTAGCTGGTGCACCATTTACTTAATGACAACAATGATGCACCATTAAACCTTAATATAACTCATAACTATCTGAAATGTGTTTAACTGCATAAAAGCTGCATTTACAGGTTTTTAAACTTTGTTTGAAGGGTAATTGGATGCTAATACTCTAGTTATTTTACCTTAGAAACAATTTCAATGCAGCATTATGTTGTCAGCCTTCTGCTATGTTCTCTGTTCTGTGATAGATTGTGAGATGACAGAGATAAGAGGTACCATTTGGCCCACAAAGGGGCGCCAAAATCAACACAGACAGATTCTTACAGGAGCTTTAACAGCTGTGTTTTAAAACAATACTTCTAGGTCAAATGTGCCTCCAAAAATAACGCTCCTGTTGCAGTTACTTCAAGTTTAGTATTGATCGTGCTCCTCTGATGTCTCCTGTCTTCTTCCTGTGCTGTATGTTTCGATAAATGTCTAGCAGATGCCAGTCTATATCTGGTCTCACTCTGCAGCGTGTAAGCCAGCATGCTTATCACAGCTGTAGGCTACTCTGGCCCACAATCCTCTGCACGGCTGAAAATATGTCACATCCACAGAGGCATTTTTATATCTGTGAGGCGACAATTTTCATCGATAACTTTAAGATTTTGAATGCCTGTGATGAAAATATGAGCGAGACGTCTCAGTTCACATTCTCTCTCTGCCAGTTTTTTTTATGTGTCCTGCATGTTCATACGGATACTGGAAGTGAGTGTCTTTTTTTGTGCTTTTTTGTCTCATTCATTAAGGTTGAAACAGGCCATGTGCATTAATATGAAAAAAAAAATAATAACTGTGTCAGTTATATACAAACTGCATTAAAGGAACGCACTTCCTTAGTAATGCAATTTTGAAGGCTGGGTTTGACTCAAGTCCACAGCTTTAAAAACATGACCTCCATTCCATTGTAGTGAAAAACTCCAAAGAGCTCATCCAAGTTCAACGTGATTTCAACATTGGTGTTTTATCATGTTTTTCCCTTGTGTACAAACATAAAACTTTAAAAATATCAGTGACCTAAATTCATGAATCTCTTCCATTGTTTTAAACAGGACTGTGTGCTGGACCGGCTCACCTCATAGTGGGTAGAGAGCATATCAAGGTTCCACAGGATCTCAGGAACAGGCGAGCCCGAGGCGCTGCACACAGCTTCCACTCTGCTCCCCTGCATCACTGTCACAGTGCTCGGGTCGACCTCTACTCTGGGAACCTCTGCGAAACACAAGAAAACAGTGCAACTTGAACATCTGAGCAGGACTTTACATTGATTTATTTGATCCTGTCTCTGTTTCGGCCTCTTTTTTTCCTCTGTCTTCAGGAATCAATCAATATCTTCAATATCAGATACCCGGCGTTGCTTATTTTAACACGGTTTCACATTACCACAGTCTGGAGGGGTGAGTGTAGCAAAGGCCTGCGTCACTCCTCTGTCGTCTGTACATCTCAGATCAGGACTGTCGCTGTCTTCCAGGAGCCGCAGTTTGATCCACAAGTTCTCGCAAACACAATCCAGCGGGTTTCCAGTCAGGAAGAGCCTAAAAGGTACATAAAAATCACAACATGAGAGACTTTTTCTTCTGTCCTGGATACAAAAATCCTGCAGTTTTAACATGAAACTTACGGTAATGATGCATTAAAATTCTGAAAGGTTCTCCATGAAAGTGTCGATAGGTTATTGTCTCTGAGATTTCTGAAAGGACAGACACATATAAACTATGAAACACTTAAAAACAGAAGCTTTTCACTAATCAAGTCACTGAACAGGGTCTTTAAAAAGCCTCTTACACATATTGGAGTCTTGTATTGTTGAAAAATGCGTCTGATGATATCGACGACAGTCTCGTATTCATCACTGTTCTGTTGGATAGGAAAACACGAGTTATTAGGTGATGTATGATTCAAGTTTGGATATTGTGGTTTAGAGATGAACCTGCAGATAATACTTACAAGTTTCTGAGGTTTATGTAGTGCCTCAGACTGTTATCAGTGATGTCAAACAGTCTGTTTTGATTTGCAATGTATCTGTGAAACAAAAAAGAGAAATAGCTGTTAGCACAACTGCAAAACATAGATTTTACATTACATGTGTCTCTAAAACGACAACTATAATATGACAAGAACACATAATTGACTACATTTCATGTAGAATTCTTTTACAGAGGGAATAGATCTGTTGTTAAGCCATTTGAATATTGGAAAGCAGTTTGACAGCAAGTGTTAACGCGGCGTAGTGGGGGAACATAAGGTCTTTATTTTTTAATAATGTTCACATGAACTGTGTTTCTCATCTAACTTCTATGTGTAATAAGACAAAAACTGCTCCCTAGGTTTAATTATACAAACATATCATTCATCTTGGTTATTTATGTTAGATAATCACTATAGTTTTTATATGAAAAACAATACAAATGTGTGGTTTAACTAGAGATTTATCGTTGTAGAGTCAGACCAGTTTTGGATAAAAATATTACATGAAATTGTTGAAGTAATAAAGATTTTTGATTGAGCAGTTCAGTTAGCTGAAACATGAAACTTAGTTATTTTGATGCTACAGAGACAAATTGGCTAATGTGGAAAGGAAGGTAAATTTTGATTTATTGGTTGTTTTGCTGCTTTTAATTAGCTCAACATGCCACCAGGTTGCATGAAATTTTAACATGAAGGAAACACACAAGTTTATGTGGATTGTAGCTTTAGCAACAGAAAGTACACAACAATCTGGGATTAAAAACATGGCAAGAAATTGCTGAGTGTAGTTTAAACAATACAATGCAGTATGATATCCTGGATTAGGAGTCTTTTTAAGTCAACAGACACAAGACAACTTCTGAATTTCCTGCTGTGAATTTCAATGGGACACATGAGTTTTTGAACACACTGTGGGATCTTTAGAGCCCATTGTAATGTTGTGTTTTACATGTGATGTCTGGAGGATTTAAGCATAAAAACTGCAAGACAGCTGCTTCGATTCGTATTAAACTCGCAAGAAAATTCTGTTGTTTTCAGACACGACGAGTTTGTGACACCCTGCCCCAGCCTGTCTGCCTCACCAAACTCACCCACAGTCTCCCCTCCGTGCTCCTGTGGGTGCCATGCAGTTGTATATACTTGTGCAGGGTTGTAGCAGGTACACACCGACACACACAAGCCTACACAATGACGCAAATACAAACGGCTGCACAGCTGTCTCCGGCTGTGTTGATCTCATGTGTAATCTGTAAACAGCGTGGTGGTGGTCTTCTTCTTCTTCTTTTTTTTAATGTAGTGTCTTTATCTTTTTTTTTACACCGACGCCCCGAGGTGGAGTGAACACCTTGAGGAGGCTGTACGCGGCCTTTCAACATTTTACTCCATCACCACACCACCTCTGGAGCTGTTTTTGTAAAGGAAGCACCGACTAATCCAAATCAGCCTGACGCGCACTCTCACCACCATTACGCACACACACACACACGCGCACACGCTGTCGTCGTTAGTGGCACATACGCACACAGACACACGCGCGCACTCACACTAGGCTAGATGATCTGACGAAACCCAAATGAGAATAAAATCGTGAATTTTTGGTGTTGACATTTGACGCACCAGACAGATTTGGGTGATGATTAATGTTCACGCGGGAATCGACTCAGGCCAGCTGTTATTGATAATGCTGTTGATGTTATCATCACCTTTATTATGAGATTAATCCCCAGCCCAATGATATTTTTTCGACCTACGATCTCTACGCATTGCACCCTATTAAGTTCCTACGCTGTCATTTTTTTCCATACACTTACATCTCCGTGATGTTTTCCATGTCATCCAACGTGAGCACGGGGAAATCCTCGAGCCCCGGCACGGAATCAATACAAACAATCCTTGAGATGCTGCAAGTGCAGGATGCGGGGCAAGCATCGCTAAATCTCCACATCAGCCCCGTGAAAAAAACCCAAAACAATCCGAGACGACCCATGCCATATTCCCCCGCGCTGGAGTCCATCGCAGGTCTACTGAAATCCCACCAAACACAATCTCAATGCTGGAATTGGATTATTGGTCAGATTTCCTCCCTTCGCTGAATGTAAATCTGGCCAAGTTAATCCGCAGAAGAAGGAGGAGGGAAAAAAAAGACGGCGAGGAATGCGCAGAGCCCACGGTTTTAATATCAAGATGCCATGGACTGGCCTTCCCGTCTCCGCAGAGCTGCTATCACACTACTGCATATCGATGTCGTGAAGCAAAGGTGTCAAGTGCTCCGTCCTGCTGCTGCCTGCTGCTGCTGCTGTCTCCCTCCTCTTCCTCGGCCACGAAAGCCCCTGCCTTTTAAATACAAAAATGACCTCTTACAGATGTTTAAAAAAAAGCTAAAGGCCCACCACCACCACCACTACCACCACCACCACGAGCGGTTTCTCTCCTCAGAGTGACGATGGGGAGCAAAATAAGCAGGAGCGCACAGTGGAGTAAAGGATGCGTGGTGATGCTGCTGCGTGTGTAGGGAGGAAGGCTACCTGCATGCGTCTATCGATTAACGCCGAGGACGAGCGCATGTCCCCCCACACAGACAGCACTCGGATCGGGTTCATAGTGGACTTAATCCATCACATATATTCATGACATATTGGATTTAAAGGAAAATGTTCAGAATCAATCAACAAACCCCGAAAAAACACACATTCTGCAGTCTCTTTTGGCTGCTTCAGCTGGGTTTAAATCTGTCTTTTGGATGAGAAAAACAACGCTTCAAATGCAAATCTCAATGTGTTGACCGCTTTGGGTGGAATTAAACCTTTATTTTTTTCATCCACACCAGCAGTGTTGTTGTACGGCTGGCCATTAGGCCTATAGTGTGACGTACGGTTGACGCACAAGACGGGGTGCATCTATGAAAAATAATTACCTATACTATGTCTGCAAGCTTCAAATAGGTGGCAGTCCAATCACTGATCAGTGTAGGCTATAGGAGCAAGACCTTAAAGGATAACATTGGTAAAAGTGGTTGATAACTTTGTGTTTATTTTTCTAGTTTTGGCACAATGTGGAGGAAAATAATTTATAAACCTGTGATCAAACGCACATTTTTTATTTTTTAATTACATTTCACAGTCTGACCTGCAATTACACGGTACACACAACATAGGAACTCAATGCAATGTACTTTACAGTTTTATAACCTTCAGCGTCTCAGAATAACACAAGTAAATGTCTGATAAGCCTTTTATTTTGCACTTTTGAGATTATGCATCCTCATACAGCTGCTTCAAAGTGATCCCATAGATCCTGTTTACCAGCAGATTCCTAAATTTCACCCATAATAAGGAGGCACACTCGTCCAGGACACATGATCTATGACACAGCCTGGATGGTTAGTGTCGCTATGGTGACTTGCTTTTTACAAATAGCGCTGACAATGTCAAGTGTCGCTATGGTTGCAGATGAAAATATGTACGCAGGCCTCTCTCTCTCTCTCTCTCTCTCTCTCTTTCTCTCTCTTTTTTTATGAGAAACATCAAGAACTGAATTATATCTGTCTCCATGGTAACCTCAGAGTATAGGGAGAGGGAAGAGAGCTCTTTATTTTGATCCTCGCCTATATCTGAGGCAGCATGACAACACTACGAGAAAAGGGAGGGGGGGTTAAATAGATGGTGTGTTGACATGTGTAATATCTGGACATCAATGTGGCTGTTGCTTTGATTTTAGCAGTAAGTCAATCTGGTTGCACTGAGATGAGTAGGCATGCTCTTTTTCTAAGTTTGCATGCACATATCATTGTATTTTTAACATAGTGACCAGAAATGTTATAATTTCAGAGAATTAAATCCAGTATTATATTTCTAAATGCACAATTAATCTGGAAAACTGTGTAGACGTTTCAGCTTAATTCCAGACTTGTTTGTCATTATATTAGAGTACATCCACTGCCTTTGTGCATTCATGTTGTTTGATTCAACTTTCACATTGCATCGGCAGAAAAAAGTGAACTCAGCTTTAGAGGAGTTTTCCCCACGAAGAGAACCTCCTCCAACTTTGGCATCACTTCTGTATCATCCAACTCCCATCCACTTTCACTCCTTCCCCCTCCTGAACCAGCTGGTGGCAGACTTGTCTTGAACCTTGCATGCAGTGATGCACCTCAGACTAATCTCTCAGAGTATGGATTAGCGACAAAGTGCCCTCATTTCATTTTAAGTGAATGCAACCAATCATTTTGTCTCAAAGACGAAAATTGTGACTCTTTTTGATCAAGCTGAGAGGCTGCTGTGGTGTTTTTAAAACTTATATATTAGTTTGAAAATTAACACATGAATTTCCCTTTCTGAAACTATAACAGATTTTTTCAGTCAGAATTAAGAGTAGTCATTTCAATAATTCACAGCAGATTATTTTTGGAAGTGTGAACCTCCTACATCTGTAAAAAGACTTGCATTACTTTGACTTTAATTCATATTGAATTTAACCGATCCTCATGTGCACTATACAGACAAGATGTAAAAAAATCAGCTATTTGTCAAGAATCCATTCTTTTGTTTCCTCTTCTTCTTATGCAGAGAAACAGTCTTCACAGTAACACCACAGATGCGGTAGTTCTTCTACCTTAGCGTCTCTGTCTGATCGCATTTCCATGATGTAATAATCATAAGTGTTTTTTCTTGAGCTGCATCCTCCCGCGTGGTTGGGGGTCTAACTTGGTGTTACAGTGTGTTTGACCCTTAATTTTACACCAGAATACCCCTTTAAGTTATTATTTGATAAATAATTATCAAAATGTACTCAGAGTATAAAAAGTTATTGCATTAATGCTTCCTATATTTTTCTGAATAAATATTTCTGCCGGTTCAGATAGACCCACCCAGAAATAGCTTAACTTTCCTCACTGTGGCATAGATATGGGGTTACAGTTAAAGGGATATTACAGCGTAAAATTAAGTTAGGGTCAAACACACCGTAACACCGAGTTAGAAAACCCCTCCAGAGATGAATGCTGCCGACTGCTTGCCTCTCTAGTCATACCAACTTTAGTAATGACTGCAGATAGCAATATAGAGAGACAAGCGCCCAAACAAAACGCCACTCTATAGCCACAAATAATGCTCAGAACAGCACCTAACTTCATCAACAGTACATATAGGGTCCCAGCCATAGTGCGAGCCACCAAACATCTTTTTAGCTTCGCATGATTTCTTTAGCAAAGAGACTAAACACAACTCACCTACTCTCTTCCAGCAACCGCTTGATTGTAGAGAGACGTCGGGCTAGTCCATTATGGACTTCAGCGGGGTGACACAGCTCAAGGAAGAACATTTATGATCATTTCCTCATGGAATATGGTTATTATTACTTCAAGGAAATGATAAAGTAATGTTTTGGTTGAGGTTTGTTTTTGGCTCCTCAGACCGCTGTGTATTGCTATCGTGTGGTCGTTACTGAAGTTGGTATCATTAAAGAAGAAAGCAATCGGCAACATTCATCTCTGGGCGGGGTGTCTAACTTGGTGTTACGGTGTGTTTGACCCTAAACTTATTTTACGCCGGAATATCCCTTTAAGGATGCCCTCCTTTCAAAATTTAAAATGCTTATTATCCTTTTAATTTACTTGACAAATGTAAAAATTAAAAAGAAAAATATGGGTGTGGAGATCTCCTCTGAACATAAGATAGCGATGTAAGATATGTCTAGGTTGGACAAGTACTTGTATGAAAAAACATTGTAAACTAAGAAAAACTATGTATAGGATGCATGTCCATCTCAGGCTTCCATAGCAGGCTACTAAATTTGGTTTACAGAAAAAGGTGTTAAAGTCTGGTAGAAATTATTTTCCTTGCACTAAAATACAAAGATTCTTCTTAATAAACATCCATATCATTAGGGGCAAGAAACCTCCTACCCACTCGTTCCCTGTTAGAAGGGGGCGTGTCAGTCTGAGGGGGGCGAGGCTGTTGCCTGAGAAGAAGAGCTGCCTGCCAGCCTAAACTCGGGACTTACACGACCCAAACTTCTTAGACAGCGTTTAATAAATTGTTCCGCGTGTCTGAACGGCAACACCGTTTCTCGGTGAATGTGATGTTCCCGAGCTCCGCCCGCTTGTACTGTCTAGGTACTATTAAGAAACAATCTCCGTCCGAGTTGTCGACGAATCGTTTCAACCTCAGAGTCTTCTCTCCATGCTGAAACCGTGCACACGTTTCTGGGCGAGGAAACCGTGGACGGCCGCAGCTCAGGCTCAGGCAGTTTTGCTGCAGGTTTGTTTGTCATTTTGTGCCTGTTTTTCTTTTTTTTACGCGTGGCGTCATGTCGCCTTTTTTGCTGGTAACGGTCCGCAAATTGTAGCTCTAACGGAAGAGCTACGTGCGTGTCCGCTGTGTTCACGTTATTTCTCGCTTGTGAATGTTTTACAGTCGCAACGTGTCCACTGAAGAGCTGAGAGACACGCCTCGTTAACACAGACAGTAACCGGGTAGCTTAGCAGAGCTGCGAGCTTCAGCCAACTAATGTCAACTCAAGCTAGCTAATTTGGTCAGGTCAGGTGACAAACACGTTTACCTTTGAGCGCGTGAGGGGGGATTGCGCAGTTTACTTTGTGCGTGTTCATCCTGTATCTTTTGTGCATTCATAATTACCCTAACCAGTACTAGTTTAAAATGCATAATTGTCTCCATACTGTGCTGTTGCGCATGTTTCATTTGCACCTTCTGCCTGTTTTCATCAAACGGGGGTAAAAGTGTCTATATGCAGAAAATAAAATGCATACTTCTCATTTCTAGCCAGTGTTTGCTTTTACTAACAAAGGCCTCAGTTAGGGGTGATGCTCGCAGAAGTCCAACTTGCTTTGGCAGTGTGCAACTGGTAATGGTGGGCGGTACATGTGGGTGGATGCACACACATACAGTGGGGCTCCTGCAGGCGAGTTACACCAAGAAAGACCCTTGGGAGCATGTTTCAAGTTCAGTCAGTCTCAGATTCAAACTGGACTGCTCAGGCTTTATTAATGCTGCTATATTTATACTTGAATATTCTCAAAATGCCTCCAGAAAACACCTCTAGCTGTCACATATGAGCTTTAAGAAATTCTATCTTTACGCTTTGATTTTGATCTTTTTTTACTTCCGGCATAAAAACATACTTGAAAATGTTTTAACAGTTTTCCAATATAGATATGTGCCAAATGTGGTTATTTTTTCATAACCCGTAATACCAAAAATCTGGATAGGATTGTTTGATATTTTTTATTCTCGCCTTTCTTTGAGGAAACAGCCTGATTGTGTAATGCCCCCCCTCCTCCCTTTTTTTCTTGCAGTTCCAGGGAGAGGAACCTGTTTGCATTCTTCTGCAGGTGCAAGACAATGGAGGTGAAAACTGAAAAGCAGGAAAAAGACATCTCATTCAGCAACTCTGACACAAATGGTAAAATATCTCTTTGACAAAGAAAAAAAAACATGCATCGTTAAAATGGTATGATCTCTTGCATCAAATAGAAAATTACCTCAGTCTATGCGGTGTTGTATCCAAGTTGAAATATAGCAAAAGATATACCTGCTAATAATAATAATTTCACTAAAGGGATGGAAAAGGGGGGGAAAAAGAACAATTCTGGCTGGTTCTTGGTAGCATGTGGACATGTCAGATGGTTGAGGGACTCTCCTGTCCAAGATACTGCTGTTCAGAGAGCCCTGAGCAGATCTGCCCATGTTTTAATCCAGGAAGAGGACATGGTGGTGCTGGTCGCCTTCCAGGATACATTTGGCTGAAACCAGTTACCACTATGATTTAATATCTTTGCAAGTCAGTTTAACATGCAAATGGTTATGATTAATGACTATTTATCATACATTTTAATCTAATTTGATGTTTTTTTTCCACAATTTTTCTATATTCTGCACAGATATTTGGTAATATTTGTTTTATTAATTAGAATTTACTGTCAAAGCATTTTGATTTCCTCATTAAATATACAAATCCCAATTTCATTGAAGTTGGGAAATTGTGATAAACGTTAATAAAAACAATACAATTATTTGCAAATCCTTTTCAACTAATATTCAATCGAATACACGACTAAGACAAGATATTTAATGTTCAAACTCATAAACTTAATTTTTTTTTTGCAAATAATAATTAACTCAGAATTTCATGGCTGCAACACGTGCCAAAGAAGTTAGGACAGGGGCATGTTTCCCACTGTGTTACATCACCTTTCCTTTTAACAACACTCAATAAACGTTTGGGAACTGAGGAGACTAATTGTTGAAGCTTTAAAGGTGGAATTCTTTCCCATTCTTGCTTGATGTACAGCTTCAGTTGTTCAACAGTCCAGGGTGTCCGTTGTCGTATTTTACGCTTCATAATGCGCCACACATTTGCAATGGGAGACAGGTCTGGACTGCAGGCAGGCCAGTCGAGTACCCGCACTCTTTTACTACGAAGCTACGCTGTTGTAACACGTGCAGAATGTGGCTTGGCATTGTCTTGCTGAAATAAGCAGGAAGGGCGTCCATGAAAAAGACGTTGCTTGGATGGCAGCATATGTTGCTCCAGATGTGTAAGTTACCGATGCCTTGAGCACTAATGCACCCCCATACCATCACAGATGCTGGCTTTTGAACTTTGCATCAATAACAGTCCGGATGGTTCTTTTCCTCTTTGGCCTGGAAGACACGACGTCCACTATTTCCAAAAACAATTTGAAATGTGGACTCGTCAGACCACAGAACACTTTTCCACTTTGCACCAGTTCATCTTAGATGAGCTCGGGCCCAGAGAAGCCGGCGGCGTTTCTGGATGTTGTTGATAAATGGCTTTCACTTTTCATAGTAGAGTTTTAACTTGCATTTATAGATGTAGCGACGAACTGTATTTACTGACAGTGTTTTTCTGAAGTGTTCCTGAGCCCATGTGGTGATATCCTTTACACATTGATGTTGGTTTTTGATACGGTGCTGCCTGAGGGATCGAAGGTCAGGGGCGTTCAATGTTGGTTTCCGGCCGTGCCGCTTAAGTGCAGTGATTTCTCCAGATTCTCTGAAGCTTTTGATGATATTATGGACTGTAGATGTTGAAATCCCTAAATTCCTTGCAATTGTACTTTGAGAAACGTTCTTCAACTGTTTGACTATTTGCTCACGCAGTTGTTCACAAAGTAGTGAACCTCGCCCCATCCTTGCTTGTGAATGACTGAGAATTTTTGGGGAAGCTGCTTTTATACCCAATCATGGCACCCACCTGTTCCCAATCAGCCTGCTCACCTGTGGGATGTTCCAAATAGGTGTTTGATGAGCATTCCTCAAATTTCTCAGTATTTTTTGCCACCTTTCACAACTTCTTTGGCACGTGTTGCTGCCATTAAATTCTGAGTTAATTATTATCTGCAAAAAAAAACTAATGTTTATGAGTTTGAACATTAAATATTTTGTCTTTGTAGTGTATTCAATTGAATATAGGTTGAAAAGGACTTGCTAATCATTGTATTCTGTTTTTATTTACATTTATCACAATTTTCCAACTTCAATGAAATTGGGTTTTGTAAATATTGACTATGAAAAATCAAAGCCTTGCGCTTCTGTACCGAAAAATGCAGGATTCAGCTGTCATAGAGTTTGTTCCAGACTTAGAGGAAACATGTTAGTAGTCTGTTTAATTTAAAGTAGGTACAGAGTGTCCTTCCAGGTTAGTTTGACCCAAATTGTCTTCTTCTCAGGTAAACGCCCAGCTGAGGACATGGACGAGGAACAAACCTTCAAACGTTCTCGCAACGCGAACGAGATGGTGGAGCTGCGTGTGCTGCTTCAGAGCAAAGTAAACACCAATTCAAAAGCATACTGACTTAACTATTGATGAAAGCGATTTATTACTAAGGGACATCTGTTTTCTCACAGAATGCCGGCGCTGTTATTGGAAAGGGTGGAAAGAACATAAAAGCTCTTCGCACAGACGTGAGTAAACGGGTAAAATGAGGCCAGCGTTTCTGCTACAGAGGAGAGCATTTTGGTTGCCAGTGCCCGATTTGACTTGAAAGACTCAAACCTTGATCCTTAAAATGTTCCTTTCCGTGTTTCTCCCAACAAGGTTTTTATTATTTGACATTAGCCCCTTTCACACATATGCAGAGTGTTACTCCTCACCCTAAGGCAGCCCTATGCAACAGACAACTATCAACAAAATGACCTTTTTAAAGTCACAGTAAATACTGTAAACAATCCAAATTATGGAGTTTATTGATGAATGACACACAGATAACCCAAAACTTGAGTAAGCAACCAACTAAAAACCAAGATAACAAACCGAATACACAAAAGAGGCATCAGGGCTGCAGTCCCTACTCCTCTCGACAAGTGAAACTCATTATCCCAGACAGTGAATGACCTCAAATATTATCCTCCGTCAAAATGAGCAATATTCAACTTTCTGGCTACTGTCGGTTAACATTCTTAACCTTTAGTTAAGTCCCGCCCACTGACAAATATCAGGCTCTCTATTACTGCTAAAGGGTTCCAAACCCATTCGGTTACCATGACAACTGGTAGCACATTTGGTTAGAAGTTGCTGGATTACAGGGTCACTCTTGAAACTAAAACGCTGGCTTCCCACAGTGCAAAATGTGACCAGTATGCATGGCATTCGTATAACTATGCATGTATCACAGTGTTGCAGTGTAGTGCAAAATGACCCAAGGGAAAAATGTGACAATTAATTTTCTTTTTATCTTAAATGTAGGGCCCGACGATTTTTAAAATTTATTGAGTTAAAAAAAAAAATATATATATATATGTAAATATATGTGTATATATATATATATATATATATATATATATATATATATATATATATATATATATATGTATATATATGTACTGTAGATATCTATCCCCCGCCCCCCGCCGATTGGTCCTCTGCGTCTTAACTCACGTTATTTATCTCCAGTCCGATCTCATCTGGAGACATGCAGCTGCCTCAGTAAGAGAAGTAGCTCGATCACATAATGTGTACTGTTGTTTTTTTTCTACCGTTACTGGCACGGCTAACAGTGTCGCAAGGCTAATAGCAGGTGGCTAACTTTAGCTTGCATATTACATGGTGCTTCACCGTTAACTTGGCGTGACCGAGACCAGCACAGCGGGGAACATCGTGAAGTGGGTTGAACTGAAACTTGTTGACTTATTGTGTATTTCACAAACTGGTTTATTTACCGTTGAGGTGGACCACTCTCCTCCGTGCGTCCCTGAGCTGCCTGCTTCAGATCCGTCACTCTGCTGTGCTGTGAAGTAGTTAGTGGATGAAGATTGTCATGAGGTCACTGTGCCATCTACAGGAGAAGTCAAATGGCGGAACATTTTCGAAGGGAAACAGAATCTTATTGTTCGCATTTTATTTCTGAAAATATCGGCGAAAATCTGCAAGTTTTGGCTGATTAGCGAGTAGTCTCAAACGGGCTAAAATTGGCCAAATTAAACCCTACTGAAATGTAACAGAGCCAACAAGCTTCAGGTGTGAAAACAGCCTAAAAAATGTAGAAAGTAGTAGGTGTTTGTGTGTGAAAGGGGCTACAAAGAGGCAGCTTACAGAGTTAGATGTACGTCACTTTTCTATGACAGTGAAACAAAGAAGGCTCATGTGGACGGTGAAGTTGGATTTGGGTTTCAGTCTGGTTCCTCCCCAGTGTTGTATTACCTTGAAGTGACACCTCGTTTCTTAAAGGGATGTAGTACTTTTTTTTTTTTTTTTTACAGCACTCCAGACTTTGTTTATACTCATCCTTTTTCCAGGTCACTCTTCTTCTTCAGTCACCACAGTTCTCTCATTCACTTTTGGGTCAAAGTGTAGCGTGTATTCAATTAAAATGTATTCCTTCTCCCCCTCTTCCCTTCTCCTGTACTTTTTATTTTTGGCCACCTTCCTCCGTTGCCCATGTACTGGATCGACATGCCCCTCCTGCGTTGGCCAAACCTCTGCCCGCCCCTGATCGCCCGCCCACCTGACACCCCCGGTTGGCCCCGCCCATAAACCGTGCCCCTCCCTAAACGGGCACCTAACTTGTGATTGAATGCCCCCGCCCAATGCCAACCTCCTCCACCACAACCTCCACCACAACCACCACCACCTCCACCTCGGCCCATGCAGTACAATGCGAGTGTATCAGTCCCAGACAGCAGTGGCCCAGAGCGGTATGTCCCACCAGTTATTGCCTCACTGCCTGATTAGAACAGTGAAACTCATGTCTTTGATGATTTGCCTTCTGTTTCATTTTTAACATTTTTATATATACATGACAGCAAAAACCCCTCCCCCCTCAAACACCCCCTTCTCCACCTGTAAGAAACATGAATTGTTCCCCTCTGATTTATATGTCCATCTTTTTAGTACCTCCATTCAGTTGGACTTTTTGCCATTACAGTGAATTGTAAATGCCAAAAACCACAGACAGCAGGGGCTGTACCTGACCTAGAATTTTGTCAGTCGAATCAGTCATGGGTTGTCATGGGATGGGATCCAGGCTGTTGGTTCTGTTTTTCACCATAGTTCCACTCTAAATGACAGCACCGGTAACATGAGTCTAGGCCTGTCGCGATAATCAATAAATCGCCTTATCGCTCGATAAATAAAAACGAGGTCGATAACTTTGCCAGCCTCGATAATTGACGTGCGTTTGTTTTCCTCCTCTCTCGCTACCAAACACGCTGGATGAGAGAAGAGGTCTCACTCTGCGCATTGTTCTCGGCACCTGGGGGCGTTGGCTCTATAGCGGAATGAACGGAGTTAGTGAACCCTCCTGTCAGTCATTCAGTGTCTTTGGCACGAGGGGGCTGGCGCGCACAGGCACACAGACACAGACTTTTTGGATACAGTGCCGCAAGTGAGCGTCGTGAGTGAAAAGCAAGCTAACAGAATGAACACGACAGCTTTGGTGTCTAAACCGAACGCAACAGCCCAAGTGTGGGAATATTTTGTTTTCGTCAACCACAAAACTCCACGTGTGTGTGCGCGCGCGTGCGTGTGTGTCTGTGTGTTGGAGGAGCACAGCAGGCTGATGAGAGCTGTCAGAGCGGACTGAAGCTGCTCCTATATGTTTAGCGTTTAACTGACTGAGTTTTGCAACTCTGTTCGTCATTTTCGTCTCGTCCCATCAACGTAAACGCACTTTCGTCTCGTCACATTTTAGTCATCTCCGACTTATGTTTAGCTCGTCAACGTTACGTCTTCGTCGTGGGAGAAAAGGGAAATATTTTAGTCAACGAAAACAACCAGTGTTGTTCTCGTGTGGAAATTAAAGTTTATCACTTTTGACATGGTGTACTCGCATTATTATGCCATATAATATCATTATCTATAATTTAAAAAATTGTGTCAATAATATCGTTTATCGGCGATAATTTGTAGCACAATTATCGTCCAGCAAAATTTGTTATCGTGACAGGCCTACATGAGTCTAAGGTTTGCTTTCAGACATCATCTGTCTTTTTACTTTTACCACTTTTACTATGTTATTGAACGGAAATGCAGTGTGCTAGTGAGATAAAGTGAGTGGCTCACAGAAGACCAAAGAGACACTGGGCAACATCATTGTGTTTTTAGAAACCTAGTCCTTTTGTCTCATTAAAGGGATATTCCAGCGTGAAATTAAGTGAGGGTCAAACACACCATAACACCGCGTTAGACAGCCCGGCGAGAGATGAATGTTGGCGACTGCTTAAAAATGAACTTAAAATCTTGTGAAATTGTTATGATAGAAATCCTTTCCTAAACTTAGAATTTCTTAGAACTTCCACTTAGCTGAGAATTTCTCTCAGTGAAGTGATTTTATCTATGATCTATGTACAGTCAGTGGTTCCAGTAATCGGGTCTGTTGATTTTGGAGAGGAAGAGTCCTCAGTGGATAATTCAAACCCCATTGAAACCTCATAAACAAGGGAAAGAAGCTTACACTCGGACATATTTTTGCTCTTTGTTGTTCTGTGTTCAGTGACGTGGCTAAAAACCCCAATTGTACTTATTTCGACTGGCAAAATGTGATTTGACTCTGGGTCTCCTTGAATAGTAACTTAACTTACTTTGAGGGTGCAGCCCTACTTACCACCGACTACCATGTAGTGGCATTTAACCATCAGGAACACAGTGGTTGGAATTTACTTCTCCATGCTGTGATATTTAATTCATCAACAGAACTTTTGAAAAGTAGACATCTTCTTTCTCACTCTTTCCTCTGTGGTCCATCTGGCCTCCCCCCTCCCCCTTCCACCCTCACCGTTTTCAGCATCACTGTCCATGATTTCTGACAGAGCACTGGCTTCTGTCTGGAGGCTCACCCTGTCACTCATTGATATCTCTTTTTTTAATTGTGCTGCATTCCTTCTGTTGAATCTCTCTCAGGCCACATCTGATCAGAGCCGCCTGCTAAACCTGTCATAACCCTCCCCCACCCCCAAAATCTCCCCCCCCAACCCCTCCACCCCTGCCCCTGTCCTGTGCCACAAAGAAGTTGGTAACCAAACGCATTCTCTTCTCCAACCCAACCCCTTTGCTGTGTTACTCTTCTCTCCTGCCCACCTCGTCTCCTCCTCCTCCTCACCTCAGCCCCCGAACTCTCCCCTCCCCTTCCCTCCCACCTCCTTACCCCCTCCCTCTCTCCCTCAAACCTCAGGTCACGATGAAAAGGTGTGCTGGTGGTCCAGTTGTTACGTTTCAGTTTGTCACAGTCCTGTTCCCCAGCTTGCTGGTGGTGGGATGGAATAGAAGATCTCTCTCTTTCTGTCACACCCCCTCCCCTCCAAGTCTGTGTGGCCTGTCTGATGTTAATTTCAGCCGTTTTGAAGCTGCCCATCTTCCCTAGACTCTTACTTTAGTAAACAACATCAGATCAAGTGCATGTGAACTGCTTATGTAATCAGTTCATTGTTTGGAAAACTATAGTTTTGCGTAGGTAGAGGACTTAAACTGTCTTCCTTTATAAGAATCTATATCCTTGACTGCTCCAAACAGTTTTTCTGACTTATGCTTGACCTGTCCTTGTTGTAACACCTTGCTTCCTTTCGGCCAAAATATTTCCTGACAGAATCCTGAGTGTGAATGCCAGCATCGACACTATTGGAGAGATCCTGCTGAAAATTATACCAACTTTAGAGGAGGTGAGCAACCACTTCGATTACCTTATTAGTTCTGTATCAGACCAATGATGACACTCAGTATGTTTACATGACACTCAAGAAAAGCGACTTGTTGCCTTACTCTGATTAAGACCGGACAACTGAAGTGCATTCTTTGTCCGACTATAATCTGAGTTTGAGAACTCCGATTAGAGTCGGAGAACTCAGATTAAGACACCAAGATAATGCGATTGGTATTCGATTTTCTCTACCATGTAACCATCGTAGTCGGAATATGATAGGACAGTGCATGTGCATGGTGCCACGCCCCCGGAACCCCAGAACAAAGACACCAGAGAAGAGAAGTAATGTGCACCTCATCTGCAGAAAAATGTTTTGTCGTACATCATGTACGACAAAAACAACGCTGTACGATGCTCCATCTTCTCTTCTCCAAAACGCCCAACAGCAGTTGTAGCCACCTCTGACGTCTGTCACGGACCTGCTGTTGCTGTTGGGTCAACCAGAAACAGCGCCGCTGAAAGACCTATAAGCCCCCCTAGTTTTGGGGAGTAGGACACGTTCACGATTTTCTCAGCTGCATGTAACAAGGACAAGGAGAGAAGTCCGATTCAGCGAAAAAAACGAATTATGCGCTTAGTCCGATTAAGCTGTGCATGTAAACGCACTGATTGCCTCTTGGTATTTGTTGCCTGTTGAAATGAAAGGTTAGGGGTAATGTATTGTGAGCAGGTGTTGATGTGAAATTGAACCCAGTAAAGGTGAGCAAGGTATCCTCATTAAATTCAGAAACGCCGTTTTAAATCAATGATAAGAGTAGTCTCAGGCCTTTGTGATACTACCCATCATGCTTTGTGTTTTTGTAGTACCAGCACTACAGTGGGATGGATTTTGACAGTGAGCTTCGCCTGCTCATCCATCAGAGCTTGGCAGGAGGCATCATTGGGGTAAAAGGTGCCAAAATCAAGGAGCTGAGAGAGGTAGGAGAGTTAGTTGTTAATGGTGTCTTAGGAGTTACAGTCGCTGCGAAGCCGAGATGCTTTAATGGAGTATTTTATTGAGAGTGTCGTCGGCTAATTTATCAGCTAAGCAATAAAAATGACTTTTATTATTGCCTGAATTTGAGTCGTCATGTTTTGATGCACTAGAACACCCAGACCACCATCAAGTTGTTCCAGGAGTGCTGTCCTCACTCCACAGACCGGGTGGTGTTGGTGGGGGGGAAGCCTGAGCGTGTCATTGAATGTATCAAAGTGATCCTTGAGCTGGTGTCAGAGGTGGGTCAAATCTCCAAGATCTAATAAAAATCAACAGAATTTTATAGTCATTGTGCTTTACACCTAAATCCAACACTGCCGGTGTGATCTTTTCGCTATAATAGTTACATCTTTTATTCAACAGGCGCCAATCAAAGGTCGCGCCCAGCCTTATGACCCTAATTTCTACGACGAGACATACGACTACGGTGGTTTCACCATGGTTTTTGAGGAGAGAGGCAGACGACCAATGGGTGGCTTCCCCATCCGTGTGCGCGGAGGCTTTGAGCGCATGCCCCCTGTTCGTGGCAGCAGGCCTTTGCCACCTTCCAGAAGGGACTATGATGACATGAGCCCCCGTCGGGGTCCTCCACCACCGCTGAGCAGAGGCGGACGAGGAGGCAGCAGAGCAAGAAACCTGCCTTTACCTCCACCACCGCCCCCAAGAGGAGGGTGAGGAGGATTCCAGTTATTGCTGATGCTTTCACGCCGATTTTGTAAAGAAAAATATTTCGAATCTATTCAGGAGTGACGCTGTATGCCGCCTCGATCATAAAATTCCCATTTATTTCTAAATGATCTTCTTGCTATCTGGACCAGAATCTTAAAGAAACAATGAATTTGACATGTGTATCAGGGCCCGACCGATTTAACAGCGAGACAATTAAATCGGCCAATTTTAACCCATTTGAGACTAATCAGTAATCACCCAAAACTTACTGATTTTCGCTGATGTTTTCAGAAATAAAATGCGGAGAATAAGATTCTGTTTCACTTCGTAAATGTTCCGCCATTTGAAAAGTTCCCCGACTTATCCTGTAGATGGCGCAGCGACCTCATGACAATCTTGATCCACTAACTACCTCACAGCACAGCAGAGTGACAGATCTGCAGCAGGCAGCTCAGGGACATACGGAGGAGAGTGGTCCGCCTCAACGGTAAATAAACCAGTTTGTGAAATACACAATAAGTCAACAAGTTTCAGTTCAACCCACTTCACGATGTTCCCCGCTGTGCTGGTCTTCGTCACGCCCGAGTTAACGGTGAAGCATCATGTAAAATGCAAGCTAAAGTTAGAGTTAGCCACCTGCTATTAGCCTTGCTACACTGTTAGCCGTGCCGGTAACGGTAGAATAAACAAAAGTACACGTTACATGATCGAGCTACTTCTCTTACTGAGGCAGCTGCATGTCTCCAGATGAGACCGGACCGGAAATGAGTAACGTGAGTTAAGACGTGGAGGCACCAATCAGCACTGGGGTGGGGGTAGTTGAAAATGCTTTTCTGGTCCGAGTTTGATCAGTCGGTCTTCCTGTCGGCGTGAAGAGCAGTAGCCTACAGTATATCTACAGATCTACAGTATACTACATATATATGTATTATAACTTAATAAAAAAAAAATCTGCCGATTAATTGGTAATCACATCCCCCCCCCCCCTAATAATTGGTATCGGCATCAGCCCCAAAAAATCCATATTGGTTAGACGCTAATGTATATATTGTATTTTTTTCATTCTAACTGTTTACAGAGGAGACCGGTTCTCACATGGCAGCTATCACAGCAGCATGGACGACAGACCAAGGTGAATACAAATGACTGCTTCATGGTGTCAGTGCACGGTTTAGAGAAAGTATATTTATGCATATGTTTTTGTCCGCAGTGACAGAAGAGGCAGAGGAGACCGTTACGACAGCCTGGTGAGTGTTTCTTCTTAGTCTGAAGTATTTCTCGTACTGAGTGTAGCATGAGCACGGAGGCATGGGCACTGTGCTGCTTTTACACTTTTACACTGTGCATGCACACCCGTCTGTGCCTGTTGTTGCCTAGCAACAGTTGTCTCCTTGGTTACCACGGAGTAGCTGAGTACCCGTGCTAGCAAATGAACTTGAGCTGAAACCAAAGCAATACCTGAACAGGTTCCCTTCAGGACAACGCCGAAGTAAAAGGCAAAAGTGACGAGAGAGACACCACCAAGTCAGCCTGTTAATTATTGAGATTTATGGACCAACATTTTAAGCATGAAAACTCCTTACTTACTAATATGCAAATTAATAACAGCAGCAGCAGGAGCCTCCAGAGATGACAAATTACTGAAATGAAACAAGAAGACAAGTCTAAGGCTGTGTTCACACTGCAGGTCAATTCTTATTTTTTAACCATATGTGACACATATGTGATTTTTTTCATGTAAGTGTGAACAGTGCAATTCAGATTTTTTCAAATCCGACCCAGGCCTCTTTTGTATGTGGATATAAATCAGACATGTATCTGATGTGACTGCAGTGTGGACGCTCAGGTCGCGTTCATCCAACATATACGTCAACAATATGCGACAAACGTCACCACTGTTTGACAACACAAACAGGCGCGGAAAGCAATTTGTGCTTTGTGCGCATGCGGGTCACTTAATGGACGCACTCCATTCATATTAGTTACTGCGTTCGTTGTTGTAATGTGAACGACCGCACAAAAAGATCGGATTTAACAAAAAATCAGAATCGTGCATCATAACCTGCAGAATGAACATCGCCCAAGATAGTAAGAGAGGCTCAAAAGTGTTAGAAATTTAACATCTACTGTGTTTATAATGTTGAAATAAATCTTTGTTTTTAATGGTCATGCTCTTATGTAATAATTCGATCACTCTGTATGGGCAAAGTACAACACAGCTCCAAATGCCCTAGATGTTCATATTTTGGTTAAGTAAAAGGGAAAATGACTCACATATTTTCTCAATCTGCTGGCTTAAAAATAATCTCAAGTAGTTAGAAAAGTTTTGATAATAACGACCCAGTTTAGAGCTCTCTTGCCTAAACTGCCACCTGTGACTAATGTAATGTAAAATGGTTCCATGATGTATCTCTTTTTACAACCTATGTTTCTCCCCTCACCTCATCTGCATCCCACTTCTTCAGTGAACTATAAAACCTGTTATAGGCTCATATTCCTCTCACTTCAGACTAACCAGAAGTTTGAGAGCTGTGTGAGGTCTTCAAGTCTTTTGATAAAAGCCCCCTCAGTGGCAACTTTAGGACATACAGCTGGTTAGTTTTATGTTGTACAGCTGGCTGGGAGTGCCCCTCTGCCAGATGAAGTCTTCATGGTCTGGTTCAAGAAGATGCTCCTAAGATTCCTCTGAGATTTCCTCTATACCGGCTAATAGCATCACACAGTTGCTTCGCATTAATTCGCTCCAGATTTCATCCTTTAGACCCCCCTCCTCCCTCACATCCTGAAGGTGCTCTATTGGATTGAGATCTAGTTACAGGATTCCATTATATTACTCTTCACTAAAAGCTCATGTTTGCAGAAGCAGCTTTTGATGGTTTGTATATTATTCTGCTGGAAGATGCCATTTGGAGCCGGGTAGACTGCAGCCATATAGGATGCAGATGGACATTATGAGTACTTAGGGAGACTATAACATCTAAATGACTGTAGTGAAGGCACGTGTCCTGCCAAAGCTTCCATTTTTACTTTCTACAAATCCTGATGTCATGATTTTACCACTTTGATAGGAATTACAACGATATTTGTATCTTTTTCTGGTTCACACTGGTGTGCTAAACCAGAGGCTTAGACTCGTCAGGGGGAAGTATTGAACCATGGTTGGTTATTTTGCAGACCTGTTTGGAGGGTTGAATTTCCCTGTGCTTTTAAACTTACTGGGCTGCTAATCTGACTGTTAACTATGCAGTGCTCTGAAAAGGAAGTCTGTTAGATTGTTTTGCACCAACTAGAAATAAAGAGAAGTTGGCCATAATTCCCAGATGCACTCATCAATGTCACACCCTCCAGTGTTTTTTTTTCTCCTTAGATCACTTTACCACAAAACAGATGTTTTTAACTGCTTGACTTGCTTTTGCTCTGCTTCTGTTCAAATGTACAATTCCAGTTGAATACAATTGAAAAATGTGCAGGAAATGCTCAATGCTGTGGAATCAGCACAGGCTCAGATCCCTGTGTAAAATTTCCAGCAGCGTGCTGGATCCTTGCCTTAGATAATCCGATTGTTCTTGATGCAGGATGATCCAGGACCAGCCAGGTTATTTGTGTTTAATACTGAGTGGGTACCAAGTGTTTGGTCTATTATTATGTCACTAAAACAGTTTGTATTTTTCTTCCCTCTATCTATCCTGACACGCAGAGTGGAGGCGGATATGGTGAGTGCTAATTTTATGTAAATCCAGCACAGATTTACAGTTTTGTCATCAAAGAAAAACATGTCTTTATTTGTTAAATTGGGTCATACTTTAACTGATTTTAGTTTCACAAATGATGTCCTGCAGGGACTTTGCTATTGGCAAACAGTGTCTTTGTGTTAAGGTAACCTTTTAGGAGCGAATGGAGTCTATTAAAAAAGTTATTTCTCTTAATCAATGTTTTAATGTTAAATACTGAGGAAAATTCTTAAAATGTGTAAATTCAACCATGTATTTATGTAGTAAGGCCATATATCATAGGTTATTTATTACCTTTGATTATTTTTTGCACCATAAGGCGCACCATCAATGAACGTGTCTATTCGTGTCTATTTTCATACATAAGGCGCACCGGATTATAAAGCGCATTAGTCAAACAAAGTGCTCTGACAAGTCATCAGGCTGTGCAGCTTTGTAGCTTACCAAAGTTTTAATAGAACATTTTGACAGATTTTTGAGCGCTGTGTACCACATAAAATTGGTTCGAGGTCAGTAAGCACAAGCAGAGTTCATGCATAAGGTGCACCTGATTATAAGGCGCACTGAGGATTTTTGAGAAAATTAAGTGTGCTTTACAGTGCGAAAAATACGGTACTATATATTTTTTATATTTTTGTTCCTCTACAGTTGTATTAACTGCATTATGATGCAGTGGTGTGATGAAAAAGTGATAATATACACTCACCGGCCACTTTATTAGGTACACCATGCTAGTAACGGGTTGGACCCCCTTTTGCCTTCAGAACTGCCTCAATTCTTCGTGGCATAGATTCAACAAGGTGCTGGAAGCATTCCTCAGAGAGCTTGGTCCATATTGACATGATGGCATCACACAGTTGCCGCAGATTTGTCGGCTGCACATCCATGATGCGAATCTCCCGTTCCACCACATCCCAAAGATGCTCTATTGGATTGAGATCTGGTGACTGTGGAGGCCATTTGAGTACAGTGAACTCATTGTCATGTTCAAGAAACCAGTCTGAGATGATTCCAGCTTTATGACATGGCGCATTTTCCTGCTGAAAGTAGCCATCAGAAGTTGGGTACATTGTGGTCATAAAGGGATGGACATGGTCAGCAACAATACTCAGGTAGGCTGTGGCGTTGCAACGATGCTCAATTGGTACCAAGGGGCCCAAAGAGTGCCAAGAAAATATTCCCCACACCATGACACCACCACCACCAGCCTGAACCGTTGATACAAGGCAGGATGGATCCATGCTTTCATGTTGTTGACGCCAAATTCTGAGCCTACCATCCGAATGTCGCAGCAGAAATCGAGACTCATCAGACCAGGCAACGTTTTTCCAATCTTCTATTGTCCAATTTCGATGAGCTTGTGCAAATTGTAGCCTCAGTTTCCTGTTCTTAGCTGAAAGGAGTGGCACCCGGCGTGGTCTTCTGCTGCTGTAGCCCATCTGCCTCAAAGTTCGACGTACTGTGCGTTCAGAGATGCTCTTCTGCCTACCTTGGTTGTAACGGGTGGTTATTTGAGTCACTGTTGCCTTTCTATCAGCTCGAACCAGTCTGGCCATTCTCCTCTGACCTCTGGCATCAACAAGGCATTTCCGCCCACAGAAGTGCCGCTCACTGGATATTTTTTCTTTTTCGGACCATTCTCTGTAAACCCTAGAGATGGTTGTGCGTGAAAATCCCAGTAGATCAGCAGTTTCTGAAATACTCAGACCAGCCCTTCTGGCACCAACAACCATGCCACGTTCAAAGTCACTCAAATCACCTTTCTTCCCCATACTGATGCTCGGTTTGAACTGCAGGAGATTGTCTTGACCATGTCTACATGCCTAAATGCCGCCATGTGATTGGCTGATTAGAAGTTAAATGTTAACGAGCAGTTGGACAGGTGTACCTAATAAAGTGGCCGGTGAGTGTATATCCTCTTTTAAGCAGAGTGACCTTCTGGTCCAGTTGTGGCTTTGTGTACTGCATTATTGCACATCTACTGTTATCTAATGTCTCTGTTGTGTGCCTTCTGAAATGTTTTGTAATGCCAGCCACCAAAGTTTGTATATTAAAAAATTCCTATTAAAGCTTCTGTTAAGAACTTCTATTGTGTTGATTTTGGCGCCCTCTGTGGTCAATTGAAAAACAAACAAAAAAAAACCTAATGTTTTCTTTCAATTCATCAAGAAATTCCCATCATAAATCAACTAATCCTTTACTCTGACACCGATCCTCTGGCAGTGGTTTAAGGCGCTTATAATGACATCCTAAAAATGATTCCTCTTCAGCCTTATCACTCTGTTTGCTTCAATTTATCATAGAGTGTCACTGGTATGAAATTCAGTCGGTTTCAGAACCAGTTTAAAAAAAAGTCACAGAAGCTTTAAAAAACTCAAACATATTTGATTTATTATGTTTAAAACTTATTTCTCTCTTTAGACATTTGTTGTGTTTTTCCATTGCCCTGCTTCTTATCTTTGTCACCATGGGGTATTTTCATATTTCTCTTTTTCTTCTCTTTCTTTCAAAGACAACAACTCTTCCTGGGAGCACTTTCAGTCTGGTGAGTGGTGATGGATTTAAAGTGTCAAGTATCTTGTTTGCTGACCTAAAGGGATAGTTTCTTCTTCATCTTGTTGTTTGTTTCTTTCACTCTTAAACTCACCTGAAATGCTCTCTCTCACCTTTTGTTGTAGGTGGTCGAGGTTCTTACAGTGATATCGGAGGCCCCGTCATCACAACACAAGTTACCATCCCAAAAGATGTAAAGTTAAAATCAGATCTCTCAGAATCTCTTAAAAACCTCTTAAATCTCACACTCATGTTCATTCATGATGTGTGTGTGTGTTTGCAGCTGGCCGGCTCCATCATTGGTAAGGGGGGCCAGAGGATCAAGCAGATCCGCCACGAGTCTGGGGCATCCATCAAGATTGATGAACCACTAGAGGGCTCTGAGGACCGTATCATTACCATCACCGGGACTCAGGACCAGATCCAGAATGCCCAGTACCTTCTGCAGAACAGGCACGTCAATCCTCTTCAGAGATCTTCTCACATGGAGCAGAGCGCTCCACCCTCTGAAAACCTGTATGATCAGCTGAATGGAAGTTATTTTTCTTCGTCTATTTGAATCAACTTTATTTGTTGACGAATGAAACACACACAAATCTTATTGTAAAGTACATAAAACAAATACATGATAGTTTGACAGGATTAACTTTTACTACTTACTATTTTTTGGTCCAAAACTATGAAGAAAGTTAGCACTCCAATGTGCTTCTTATGTCTTTTACAAAAAAGTTATTCTCTAATAATTAGGAGTTTTAAAATGCATTAGATACAAATCCCAATTCCGTTGAAGTTGGTAAATTGTGATAAACGTTCATAAAAACAGAATACAATGATTTGCAAATCCTATTCAACCTATATTCAATTGAATACACTACAAAGACAAGATATTTAACGTTCCAACTCAATTTTTTTTTTTTTTTTTTTTTGCAAATAATAATCAACTCAGAATTTCATGGCTGCAACACATGACAAAGTAGTTGGGACAGGGGCATGTTTCCCACTGTGTTACATGACCTTTCCTTTTAACAACACTCAATAAACGTTTGGGAACTGAGGAGACTAATTGTTGAAGCTTTGAAGGTGGAATTCTTTCCCATTCTTGCTTGATGTACAGCTTCAGTTGTTCAACAGTCCAGGGTCTCCGTTGTCGTATTTTACGCTTCATAATGTGCCACACATTTTCAATGGAAGACAGGTCTGGACTGCAGGCAGGCCAGTCGAGTACCCATACTCTTTTACTATGAAGCCACGCTGTTGTAACACGTGCAGAATGTGGCTTGGCATTGTCTTGCTGAAATAAGCAGGAAGGGCGTCCATGAAAAAGACGTTGCTTGGATGGCAGCATATGTTGCTCCAAAACCTGTATGTTCCTTTCAGCATTAATGTTGCCTTCACAGATTTGTAAGTTACTGATGCCTTGGGCACTAATGCACCCCCATACCATCACAGATGCTGGCTTTTGAACTTTGCATCAATAACAGTCCAGATGGTTCTTTTCCTCTTTGGCCTGGAAGACACGACGTCCACTATTTCCAAAAACAATTTGAAATGTGGACTCGTCAGACCACAGAAAACTTTTCCACTTTGCATCAGTCCATCTTATATGAGCTCGGGCCCAGAGAAGCTGGCGGTGTTTCTGGATGTTGTTGAAAAATGTCTTTCGCTTTGCATAGTAGAGTTTTAACTTGCATTTATAGATGTAGCGACGAACTGTATTTACTGACAGTGTTTTTCTGAAGTGTTCCTGAGCCCATGTGGTGATATCCTTTACACATTCATGTCGGTTTTTGATACAGTGCCGCCTGAGGGATCGAAGGTCACAGGCATTCAATGTTGGTTTCCGGCCGTGCCGCTTATGTGCAGCGATTTCTCTGGATTCTCTGAACCTTTTGATGATATTATGGACGTAGATGTTGAAATCCCTAAATTCCTTGCAATTGTACTTTGAGAAATGTTGTTCTTAAACTGTTCGACTACTTGCTCACGCAGTTGTTCACAAAGTAGTGAACCTCGCCCCATCCTTGCTTGTGAATGACTGAGAATTTTGGGGGAAGCTGCTTTTATACCCAATCATGGCACCCACCTGTTCCCAATTAGCCTGCTCACCTGTGGGATGTTCCAAACAGGTGTTTGATGAGCATTCCTCAAATTTCTCAGTATTTTTGCCACCTTTCCCAACTTCTTTCGCATGTGTTGCAGCCATCAAATTCTAAAGTTAATTATTATCTGCAAAAAAACTAATGTTTATGAGTTTGAACATTAAATATCTTGTCTTTGTAGTGTATACAATTAACTATAGGTTGAAAAGGATTTTCAAATCATTGTATTCTGTTATTATTTACATTTATCACAATTTCCCAACTTCATTGGAATTGGGTTTTGTATGTTTAAAATATTAAGGTTGTTTTTCTCACTTCAGTATTTCATCTTTGGAGCTTCTTCAGTCCACAGACACTCCCTTGTCTCACTAAATGGCTAACCTGTTCCCAGCAGCCGCATTCCTTCTCACACACGAAATTTATCCTGAGCCTTGACCTTGGGCTACTTCCTATAACTTCCAGCCGTGCTTCATATGAAATATGCCTCACAGTTTTTTTGCTCCCAGCATTAACAGCTAGTGACCTGTGTCATGGTCCTGTTGAAATAAATATTCTTAATGTTGCAAAGTGTCCTTACGTTTTATCTGTATCTTATTTCAGCGTGAGGCAGTACTCTGGACGGTTCTTCTGAGCAGGAGGAGGAGGAAAGAAGAAGATTGAAGCCATGCTGCCAAACTGTTTGCTCCTTCTATTCAGAGTTACATTCCTCTGCTTTGGGTAGACGTGTCCCCTCCTTTACATATCAAACAGTACAGCATCTTTAAATCCTACTTTTCATTTTCAGGACTATTCAAAAGAACCTCGAGCTGCCAATTATCAAACCAGTGTTTGACCTTTTTCTGTGCTGGTGTTATTTTTATTTAATTTCTTAAGAGATTTCTGTGCTGTCAATGGAGTCAATGCATCCGTGATAAACTTTCGGTGTTGTGAGAAATGCTCCAGCCCTTCTCTCCCATTATATCAGTTCAGCATGCAGAATGTAACCATTTTGTAGGGCACTCTGTGTTTTTTTTCTTTTGTTATTAACAGTGCCAAGCGTTCGGCACACTCTTTCAACAAACATGCATGGTCTAAGTGGTTACAGGGAGAAAACTGCTAAAGGCCTTACTTGCAGTTCTTTCAACATAAAGGTTTAGAATTAATAATTTTTCTAATCCCAAGAAAATTAAAATCATTTATTTGTGATATCTGTTCAGTATTTCTAAAAATCTAATTATCACAACAAGTTATATATGAAGCTTTTCACCTCAGTCATGTCTTTAAAGCTTCTGTGAGGAATTTCAGTTTAATGTCAATTTTGGCGCCCTCTCTGGACAAAGTGCTACATCATATCTCTGATGATTTTGTCCCTTGCTTGTTAAAATAGTGTTTTTTTTTATATTAATCAATCTTGATGCTGATTATCATGTTTGCTTTTGCAGGCTATTTGAAGACGTCAGTACTGGTTTCAGTCCATTTCATATCCAGTCAAAAACTCCTCATAGAAGCTTTAATTTTGGCTGGTAAAGCTTATTTTTCATTATAACCAGTTAATAAATATAATCTTAAAAGTCCAAAATAAATATTTCTGTCACAATTTTTATCATAATAAAATGAAGCCCTCAATCATCTGACAAGAACACAAGATAATAATGCCTAATCTCAAATTATATCAGAGTTAACAGAAGGGTTTTTTCACGATTCATGTTTTTTTCTTTACACAGTGATAACCAAGACTACTTTTGAAAACCCAATATATTTCTCATACAAAGTAAGACTTCTTATGGTAATATAATAACTGATCACGAGAAACTAGGAGATTGTACCTTGAATAAACACAAGATGGTATAGTTTTCTTCTCTTACAGGGACAACTCACTATTTCAATAACAGCATTAAAAAAAAATTAAAAAGGCTTTTAAGTTGAAGAACAAATTAAAGAAATAACACTACTTTTTACACAGTTTTTTTTTTTTTGCCAAATAAAGTGCTTCTTGCAAATGGGCTTTAATAGAGTAGTTTGACATTTTGGGAAATGAGAGATACCCCAAAATAAGTGTGTGAGTGTAATCTCCCCGGCAAACTCCAACAAACTTATTTCCCAAAATGTCATCCTGCTTATTTCAGTTTGAAATAAACGATTGGGTTTGGTACAGCAGAAAGAAAGTTTACTAATGTTTTGTTTTTCATTGTGAGACAAAGATTTGTACAAAGTGTGTGTATATAGTGTATTTACATAGCTAGTATTTCATGAGTGGTTTGTTGGGAAACTTTCTCCTTTTTTTGGAGGAATTGTGCCGTTGAAAGAGATTTGTTCATCTTTTATTTCTGCCTTTTTTTTGTTTGTTTCTTTTGATGGACTCACTGTAATGCAGCCTTTATCAGATTGGTGGTTTTTATTTCTAGATTTTGTAAGCATTTTAAAAGTTTTATTTGATGTGTGGAGTATGCAGCTTTCTGAGTCCAGGAATGGCAGTTGTTTTTTTTTCTGTCTGTTCATATCTGTATCTCAGTGTCTGATATCTGTAGTATCTGCAAGTGTTGACTAAATAAACTCTGTGTTCTCAATGTGTGTGTGTGTGTGTGTGTGTGTGTGTGAGTGCGCATCGCTTCACCTAAACAGATGAGTAAAGAGTGCGCATTAAGGTCATCTATTGGTTGTAATTCGTTTCTGGGAGGGCAAAGTGTGTCCGTCTGTTGCTCCAAATGCCTCATGCATCCGTGGTTGACAAGCTGACGCCGGAAATTTGTTCTCATAATGTAATAGTGAAAGCCCACACGGTTTCCCATCAGAGCACAGCCCAGAGTCACATGGTTCAGTGCTGGTTTCACCCTGGATCCACAGAGAGGGGGGACCAGACCGACTAAGCAGGACGCAGAGAGAGATAACAACAAGCCACTGTGACAGAAAAGAAACCGCCTGTGGATCATTTTCTTTGTCTTTTGGGAATAACTTTTTGCACATTTTTGTGACACTTTGTAGCGCTATGAAGTGAAACTCCGCCATATTCAGTCCACCACGCCCGGAGCTCTGCTAAAAGGGATAAAAAAAAAAGACTTCATTCTTTTAAAGTTGTTGCACAAACTTAATTTCCTCTTCACGGGAGAGAGGAACAAGGTAATACCAACAGCCACGAGATTAACGACTTAACTTCCTCAAATTTACATGAGTTAAAGCCTGTTCCCAGAGAGAGAGAGAGAGAGAGAGAGAGTTGTGTTGGCGCACTCTGAGGGCTTTTCTGGAGGGGTTAATCCAAATAGCCTATATTGACTTTAGGATACTCGGGGCTCTATCTGTGTTCCTGTATAACGAGCATTATGTCTCTGTGTGTACCTCTGAAGGGGAAGTGTTATCCGGCAAGAATGACGCTGAGCTCCGTGGGGGCTTGCTGCCTCAGCCCGGAGGCCAAAGAGGCTCGCAGGATCAACGATGAGATCGAGAGACAGATCCGCCGGGACAAGAGGGACTCCCGACGGGAATACAAGCTCCTACTGCTCGGTAAGAACCGAGAATACAGCTTTCCAGCCTTTTCCCCATTTTCCTCTCGTATCGTGTCATTTTCCTCTGCATTCATGCTGAAAGAGGCAGCCAAGTTCAACCAAAGAAGCAGCATCCTCATGTAGAAGTTTGTTTGATATATTCGAAGGTATGCAAATTCACTTCACTTTCAAAGCACTGTTCAGATTTTATTTACAGTTTCAAAATGCTTCACAGACAAAATAAAACATAAAGGGGGAATATATCTGCCAAAACTGTCAAAATTAGGCAGATATGTGTATTTAACATGAACCATGCATAGGCTGCACATCACATTAAGTGTAAAACATGGAGGTTTGAGCATGAGGTGACTTAAAGTGTGAAAGGTACCAGTAACAATTCATGAGAAATGGCCTCAATATCATTATGTATACTGAATTATTTAATTCTGACTCTTCTTTACTTATATATCAATGTGTTGAGATCATTCTTGGGGTATTTAGTGGGCTGCAGGGTCAAAGAAATCGAATTTGAACTCAAGCAGTAACAAGGCAGAATAAGATGGTTTCATTTATAACAGTGAATACAGTTATAATCCCACTCAGTTTATCAAAGCAATAAATGCACATTTCCTCTTCCTTATGGTGACGAAGTAGTAACAATAAGAGTACTGTAAGGAAGTTTTGAGAGCTCTCTACGTGCTAAAGTTCAGGTATATAAGCTGATCTAAGTTGATGGAAAAGCACACATTTTGTACATTCCTCCGGTAAGGGATGGTGTGATTGTGGTTTTTACCAGCTCACGTATTACAGTGAATGTAGTAAGAGGTCCTGATACATGATGAAACAGAGTGATAATAATCATGACATAAGGGGTCATACATTCAAAAGCCTGATAATGTAATCTTGTGATCAATAATCATGTTATGAATAATGATAACCAGGAATATGAGCTTTCCATCTGTTCGTTTTATTTCCTGTCATATTGTAGATATGTCATCTTTTGTTTACATTTGATCTATTCAGGTTAACATTCTAGCTCCTCCCGAACTTTAAGATCATTTTTACATAAATTTCATCAGTATCAGTTCATAAAATGTAATATGTTAATGATTAATCTACCAGAAATCAAAGGTAAAAGATCTGTTCATTTCTTATATAACAATTACAAATTCAAGGGTGCAAAAGAACGTCACTTGAAAAGAGAAAGTCAAAGACCTCATAATCTCGCTCATCCTTCCTCAAAGTGGCAGCGTTGATAAGTCAAATCCCAGACGATTATCATGTTTGCTTGTGAGACTGTAGAGTTGAAAAGATCAGTGAGGCAAGCAAGAAAGAAAAAGAGGTTTTGGTCCATCAAAGTGATCTTTTTGATCATTTCAAATCTTTATTTTTCTGCAGCATGGTTAGCTATTGTACCTCATTAGACCTTCAGAGTGAAATCCACCAGGGAAGTTCAGCGAGGACACCACATGAGGTGACTCAAGAGCATCACCAAGTGTTGTTTGCAGATTAAAAATGTAATACTCATACAATATTCTGTTTTTTTAATACATAAAAATGAACTCAGATCATATAAACTTAAAGTGGAACTGTTGACACTAAGTACAAAGGTACATGCTGTCTGTTATTCTTACATTATTTACAAGTAAGTTTCTGAGTACTAAACTGTCAATCATATTTCTTTGTAAAGCTTCTGTAAGGAACTTTTGGTTTGTTGTTGATTTTGGCCCCTCTTCGACAAAGACATACATCTTCTTCCTTTGCTGGTGGTATTGTCTAGGGCCTGACCTATGTATGGACGAGCCAATTAAGTCAGCCAAAACTCGCTGATATTTTTAGAAATAAAATGCAGAGAATAAGATTCAGTTTGACTTCAAAAATGTTTCGCCATTTGAAAAGTTCCCCAACTTATCCTGTAGATGGCGCAGTGACCTCATGACAATCTTGATCCACTAGCCACCTCACTGCACAGCAGAGTGACAGATCTGAAGCAGGCAGCTCAGGGACGCACGGAGAAGAGTGGTCCACCTCAACCGTAAATAAACCAGTTTGTGAAATACACAATAAATCAACAAGTTTCAGTTCAACCCACTTCACGATGTTCTCCACTGTGCTGGTCTCAGTCATGCCGAGTTAACAGTGAAGCACCATGTAATACGTAAGCTAAAGTTAGAGTTAGCCATCTGCTATGAGCCTTTCTACACTGTTAGCCGTGCCAGTAACGGTAGAATAAACAACAGTACACATTACATGATCGAGCTACTTCTCTTACTGAGGCAGCTGCATGTCTCCAGATGAGACCGGACTGGAAATGAGTAACATGAGTTAAGACGCGGAGGCACAGAACAGCGGAGGGAATACTTTTCTGGTCTGAGTTTGATTCATGATAAAGACGTGGAATATTACTGAGATGATCAGTCGGTCTTCCTGTCAGCGCAGTAGCCTACAGTATATCGAGTGTTCCTCATTTTTTATGATGTATGTGAGTTAGCTTTATTTTTATTTCTTTATATAGCTTAACTGTTTGCACTTAAGACAAAATACCTCATTGTTTTTCATTTTGTTTAACAAAATCGGCCAATAATCGGTAATCGGACCCCCCCCCCTTATATTGGTGGTGGTGGTGGTGGTGGTGGGGGGGGGTTATTGGCGTTGTTATTGGCATTGGCCCCAAAACGTCCATTTCGGTCGGGCTCTAATATTGTTGTGCACTTTTAGAGGTCAAATTTTCTGCTAAAAATCATCTTTGTGTCTAGAAATGTGAGGAAAGGCAGTTTCTTTAGTGTGCTGACACTTTAGTGTGGATGGTCTACTAAGTGCGCCAAAGCTCTTCAAAATAACTTAATAAATAGATAAAAAGACATTAAATCCCTTTACTTGTTCAACCATAAAAAACACATATGTCTTTGTGGTTGTTTGTGGGCAGTAAATGTGAGCTTTAAAAGGCCGCAGTCCCTTTTAACAGTGTGACCTAAAGATCAAAACCTATTTAATTAGCCATGCCAACTTGGGTGGTTTCATTTTTTTGCGATCACAGAGGATGTATCATCAGTACTGTGAATAAGTTTAAGGTCCAAACACAGTCCTGTTGTTTGTGGTTTCTGTTCTCTGTAAAATGATTGACTCATGCTGAATAAGTAACCGCCCTTTCAGGTTCAAAAGTCAGGTGTGTAGCTTCAGTGCTCCAAAACATGGCAGAAATATTCCAAAATAAATAAAGTATCGCTTTTGTTAATTTACTTCAGCTGCTAAAAACATTCAACATCAAAGGGAGAAACTGACTTTCTTTTCTCTCCACTTTACTTCTGCAAATCTCTCTAACTGTCGGCAGTGAAAGCTTTTATTTCAAGCTGCTGAGCTACACGGGGAAGTGCTGCAACTTCTTGTAGTTTAACTTATTCAAAGCTACAGGCAGCCACTGGCGAGATGACAAAACTGTGTTTGTCAGAATTTACAAACTGTCTTCTCAAAGAATAAACGCTGAACCTAAAGGGCCCAAGAGGGGACGAATCCCAGACACTTGTAATAAAAGGTGTTTCCAAGATTGCATAAGAGAGGAACATGAAAACACAGCACACACGCACACACTGCTGACAACACTTCTTGCTTTTGCTTTTGATAGTAGAGAGCACAGATAGAGTTCAAACACAAGGCTTGTAACCCTAGAAAGATCTTAGATTAAACAGCATGACTAACAGTAACACCTGTTTTTGAAACAGCTTATGAATCTGTGCTATGTCCCTCTGTTAGTGTCCACTGTTACTGGTAGTGTATACCACAAGTGGAATCGAACATCAGAAATTTATAGTCAACTTGTATCAGGACATATGATAATTTTAATGTATTGCTATTGCTAAATGTGGATATTTGATTTTATAATGGACAAGCAGTCAACAAATTTCTTTGATTGTACTACCGATACAAATCCTGAAATCATACTTTTGTGGGACATTTTTAACTCTCAATAAAATCATAATTAAATTCTATCCCATCATTTCATTTAATGTAGTTGATATCATATTTTATTGTATTCTAATGTATTGAGTCCTATTTTATCTTCATCATTTTACTATATTATATCATATCCTATCCTATCCCATTATATCAGATTGTATCCCAATGTATTGTAACATATTCTATTTATCCTACAATGTATTATATCGTATCATATCCTATTGTATCATACCATAATATATCTAATTGTATCGCATCCAATTGTATCCCATTATATTGTGTCGTATTGTATCCTATTGTATCATATCCTATCCTTAATACTAAAGTATTAATTGTATTTGAGTCTAATATATTGTATCCTATCACATCCTATTATGTTGTACTGTATTGCACTTTAAAAACTCTGTATAACCTAGGTTAGGTTTACATGAGTTAAATTTCTGGATTATTTCTCAGATCCATACCCATTTCTTGGGTCATATGGATTCTATTGTGACCCAATTTGAGTGTTTTTTGAATGGGTTGATAATTATGGGTTATTTTTCTGAGAGTAATAATTGGGTCAGAGCGTTGGGTTCAATTGACTCTACGGGGTTTCTAGGCCTAATGGCAATTAAAGTGACCTGGTGACCTTATGAACTTTGACCTTGATTTAATATACATATATATATATATATATATATATTTATATAGGGGTAGCTACCCCAGTATATATTGTGCGGACCCTTAGCGCTATGGCCTACCTCATAAACATGAATGTGTACCATTAAAAGCCAAACTGGCTCAGACAGTACAAGTTGGAAAAGCAAAGCTCCCAAAAAGAGCTCCCCAAATGCCTATATCAATTTAACCCAAGATCATGACTCAGATTAACTCAAAGATTGGATTAACTTGACTCTTAAAAAGAGTTATTGAGTCAACCCAAAATTTGGGTTAATTTGTATAACCCAACATTCTGGTTCAAAATAACCCAATAAGTAGTCAGTGCCTTCTCAACCTTGGTGTTGGTTTTTAGAGTGTGTATTTTATATCCTATTATATCCTTTTTTATCATATTGGATCCTGTTGCATCATGTATCATTGTATTAGACTAAATTGTAATCTATTGTATAGTATCATATCCTGCATTGTAACATTCATATTAAGTTGTATCGCATCTTATCTTACTGTATCCTTTCAAATCCTTTGGTATCATATCGTAACATTCCCTACACCCCATGATTCCCACCTAGAGGACTCAGTCATGCTACAGGTGCTGTTTTGCTTTACTTAAGGGCACTTGGGCTTTAAGCTAAATGCTCAAGTGAGCATATTTAAACCCATTTGGCTAAGGTGCAGAATAGGTGATGTTTATCATCATCTTTAATTAGTTCTTAATGTGGTAACATTTGATACTAAGCACTAAAACAGTCTAAATTAAGTTGTTTTCTCATTTGCTTTGCCTGTTTTGTTAAGACCAAAGTAATGAATGAGCTGAAATCAAGACCAAATAACATGTAATGGAAAGTCGTCACCCAAAGTTCTCGGCAGAACTTATCGAGAAAAGATTAAGTCTGCAAAGTTTCTGGTCAACCTGACTGTATGGACCATCATGTACCGTCTCCATTCAATAGCTGTTGGGATATTTCTGGCAGGACTTAAGAGGTTGACCAAGACCATTACTGTAATCAATAGCACTATACCACTATCATGGCTGATATAACATTTCTTGCAAAACATTAATGGACTGTAGCTCAGCATCCATGAGCTGACTTCTGTTGCATTAATTGCTTATTTATAAGTTTATCCGCCATAATTTGTATATTTGTTTCCCTGAAATATTGTTAATTTCTTATTATATAAGACTGTTTTGACTGTATTGATATTTATCTGTTGGTGTTTAGGTACTGGTGAGAGTGGAAAAAGCACCTTCATTAAGCAGATGAGGATCATTCATGGTCGTGGATACTCCGATGAAGACAAGAGAGGCTTCACCAGGCTGGTCTACCAGAACATCTTCACTGCCATGCAGGCCATGATACAGGCCATGAAGACATTACAGATCCCCTACAAGCACAAAGACAATGAGGTAAACCTGATTTTTTTGCTCTCACACACAGTGGCATATTGAGAAACTGTTTTTACCACACACTGGCTAACAGAAGTGAAGCGAGGTTTACCGTCTCAGACAATGTCAGAGCCTGTGGTGTGTTCAGGGTGCAGCACTTCTGGTAATTTGTGGCGGTCTCTAGTTTTGCAATCTTGCTGTCAGAGGGTTGTGTCTATTTACGGAAAGAACACGTGATGTTACACTGCAGGCATGTCAAGACAGGTGCTTCTGAGCCAAGTCCAAGTCACAGACATAAGAGGGAATAGAGGGAGACAGAGAATTCCCCATTAACCACACAGGAATGTGCCCCTGTCAGGCCTGTATTAACAACTTATTAATCACACCAGAGTGCTGGTAAACACAAATACAAGCTACTGCAGTATTGTTTTTACAAGTTCCAGGTAAGGATGGGGGAAGTCTGCTTCCCGTACTGATGGCGAAAGCTGGGGGGTTATTCATGTGGCTGTCATGGACCACTGGCACCATTAACTAAGCCTGAGTCAGCACGTGTGTTACATGTTTCTCCTTTTCTAAGTTTAAGTAAAGGTGACATGCTCACAGTACAACACTTTGTCACCTTGTGTTAACGCTGTAGTACCTGTCTGAATATTAGACAGCTGCATTGCTGGGACTACAGGTGGCTTAAAAATGACAGTGCTGTTCAATATTACATTACATTACCATGTGTTACCAATCGATCAATCAGTCTTTATTTATATAGCACTTTTTATACACAACCATATAGCACAAAGTGCTTTACACAGAAAAAGGAATAATGGAAACAAAGAATACCCAAATCTACATCAGCCTAGGAATAAAAGAAACAAGGGATACCCAAATCTACCCCAGCCCAACTCCTCATTCCCACCCCACAATCTAAACACTACAGAAACAGTATTAAAATGCATTAACTTAAAAGGGCTTGATTTCGTGGAAATGGGAATGTGTGCACTGAGGAAAAGTCATTTTAACACTCAAGATAAGTAAACACTGGAGGTTTAGGTTAAAATCTAAAAAAAAAGTAACATCGAATGAAATTTAAGAAATAATAAATAAAATGAAATAAAAACAATAGTAAAAGATACTAAAATAAGAGCACCAAAACAGCTCAATTAAAAGACAATCCTGTCATTAAAACTAGAAAGGGATGAATGCTAAAACACTTTAACAAAGTTAATGATATAAAATTTAGTTAAAAGCAAGACTAAAAAGGTACGTTTTGAGTTTAGTTTTAAAATCATTAAGATTAGGTGCAGTCCTCAGGTCTTTAGGTAAGCCGTTCCATAGACAAGGGACATAGTAATAAAAAGATGCCTCAACGTATGTCTTGGTTTATTTCAAAGTGTTATTTCTCCATTTGTTGAGAACTTGATTCTGATTGGGTTATGGTTTTTTATGGTCTGTTATTTCTGTATAGCAGACAGGACACAAACAGATCTGATAGCAATGCAGTTTGATCACAGAATATGGAGGAAAATGTTCTTTAAAATTAATCTGCAAAAAGATTCAGTAATCACAGTGTATATTGTGTGAATATAAGCTTTTTGGACATGAGCTAATTGACACAAGATGTCTCTTCCAACCAACCAAAGTCCCTTGTTACTCCCCCTTTTTCTCTTCCCTGGAAAAAGGCTAAAACCCTTAAAATATATTTTAAACAATAACCTGTTAGCTAAGTCTAGGGGTGTGCGATATCTTGAGTATACTCTAATACAAATTTCTATTTGTTCACGTAACTAAATCGCAACCATCAAGTATCCCACAAGCTGTAACATTAACGCATTAAGCTCTTTTCTGTTTCAATTTCAAATTGACAAAGATCCTCATGCGCTTTCGTTACTTCACCTTTTTTGCTGACACGATGAAGGCTGATCTCACTCTTCTTTCTGCTCTAGCAGCAGAGCAGAACAGGCAATCACAGGCTGAAGTGATATTGTTACACCATGATTAGTTTGATAAGACGAAGCCTGATGTTTTTAAGTGTTCCGATTCTGCTTTTCTAGAGAATGGAGTCAGATCGACATCATCCATGTAATCCCTCAAACCTGCCCTGCATTAATAAGCTCTGAACAAGAGGGGGTTGAGGCACTGATCATGCTTTATATCACACTATGTAAGAGTGTGGCCCTTCCTACTTTAGGGCCATATTAATAAGATATAATGTTGTCTTTCTTTGCTGTCCCTCACTGAATGAACACAGACGTAAAGGTTTAATCAGGTTTTCTGTTTTTCTTGTTTACCCAGTAATATTGTTAGAACTAATTAAGAATACATTTTCCACAAAACACAAGGGAAATTACAAATCAGCCGTGATTACGAACACGATCGTGAAGATGTGATGTCTCACTCAAGGATTCTTGCTGAATGCACCTTTTTGCTGCTTTGAGCTGTTTTTGTTGAAGTCTTTGAGAACAAGGCCACAGTAGGAAGGCTGACCATGCTGTTATGCACATAAGCGATTCTGAGTGGTTCAAAATCTGAACTATATTCAGTATAACTAGACTGTGATTGAACATATTAATAAGGGGGTCTTTTTTAATTACCTCTTGGTATCATTTTATGCATCACAATGTTGTAATTAACTTTTATACTAGGGCCCATTTAAGGGCCCATTAATCAGCAGATTTATACATTTTTTTAATGAAGTAAGAGAAGTAGCTCGATCACGTAATGTGTGCTGTTGTTTATTCGACCGTTACTGGCACAGCTAACAGTGTAGCAAGGCTAATAGCAGATGGCTAACTCTAACTTTAGCTTGCATATTACATGGTCCTTCACCGTTAACTCGGCGTGACCAAGACAAGCACAGCAGGGAACATCGTGAAGTGGGTTGAACTGAAACTTGTTGACTTATTGTGTATTTCACAAACTGGTTTATTTACCGTTGAGGCGGACCACTCCTCCGTGCGTCCCTGAGCTGCCTGCTGCAGATCCGTCACTCTGCTGTGCTGCGAGATAGTTAGTGGGTCAAGATTGTCATGAGGTCGCTGCGCCATCTAAAGGATAAGTCGGGAACTTTTCAAATGGCGGAACATTTTTGAAGTGAAACCGAATCTTATTCTCTGCATTTTATTTCTGAAAATATCTGTGAAAATCAGTGAGTTTTGTCCGATTACAGATTAGTCTCAAAAGGGCTAAAATTGGCCGATTTAATCGGCGCGCCGATAAATCGGTTGCGCCCTAATTTATACAGCGATTAGAAAATGTTGAGATATCGTGTATCACAATATAGCATAAAAACATTGAAATTTTAGTCACATGACACATTGCCCAGCCCTGGCTCGACATTATAACCCAACTTTAATCTTCCTCTGTCTGAAATCATGAGCTGGTTAATTTTTGGAAATAACGCAAGAATGTGAATCTGCTTCTTACTTCTTGAACTAAACTAAACATTTACTGCACAAAATAGCCTGTCAACAACACAAAATCATGGTGGTGCTGAGAAAACACATGATTAGATGCTTGAGGATTCACGCCGACTTGGAAGTTTTGGTAGGAGCTGCTGTGGCTTTTGTTTTTATTGATCTCAGGAGGAGAGAGAATCCAGAGCAGAGACATTTTAAAACAGTTTAAATAAAACACAGGCTGGCACAGCAGTTTCCAAGGATCCCTTTAAATGAGGCGAGTGGGTGCATGAGAGTGGTGAGGCAGGAGCCATGAAATCGATTTTAAAAGATGCACCAAAACGGAAAGGCACTTGAGGGAATGGCTTCCCCCAGAAATGTCAAAAGATGTGGCTAAAAATAAGACATTTCTCAGGTTTTTTGGACCACAGATGGTTCATGGCAGCAGTTTCAATCATCAAATAACCGAAAGAAGAAGCAGAGGAGGGTTACTCCCTATCTCTGTATGTGACTGTGGGTAGAGATATGGAAGATCAGATAGAATCGGTTTTATTGGAGGTGAGGGTGGTACGATAAACTAGTTAATGCTCTTCATAATTTATATTGTACTTTGACTTTGATCACAGTGATCAAAGTATAATACATAACAACCTGGAACAGTCGGCAGATTAATCAGCAGATTTTTTAAATTTTTTATGAAGTTATATAAATATATATATATACTCTAGATATCTACAGTAAACTATAAACTGTTGATATACTGTAGGCTACTGCTCTTCACGGCGACAGGAAGACCGACTGATCAAGCTCGGACTAGAAAAGCGTTTTTAACTACTACCCCCCCCCCCCTTTTTTTTTTTTTCAAATGGCAGAACATTTTCGAAGTGAAACCAAATCGTATTCTCTGCATTTATTTAAAGTTTTGGCTAATTACCGATTAGTCTCTAACGGGCTAAAACTGGCCGATTTAATTGGCTCGCCGATAAATCGGTCGGGCCCTATAAAAAAGTCTTGCTAAAGCATGCATATCTCTCTCTGTTTGCCTTCTTTTTTTATGTAAGCTTTATTGCAATCATTGACAATAGCATTTTATGAACATACATATCTTTTAGGGGTTAAAAGGGAAACAATAGAGATTTTGAAGAAGACTGAAATTTTCAAGTTAAATTGAAGGGTCACCGGTTTTAAGCGTGGATATGATTGGAAAACATGACAACATGACTACATATGACAGTTTTGAGCAGCCCCCTGTGTATGAGAGCCCCAGACATTTTTCTAAAATTCTCTTAAAATATTTCCTGAAATTTTCCAGATTGCATTTCTCACAAGGGCTTTAGTAAACACAGACTGAAACAGGGTTCTACCAAAAGAAATAAACCAGGCACGCAGCTACAAAACAAATGTATTTTCCCTATTTCATTAAATTATTAGTCATTAAAGATTGACCTTTGATTATCTCAGCTAAACAGAGCTGTATTTGACTTTTGATTGCAAATGGCTCTGCATGATGGAGTCCTGTTTGACCTTGATCTTCATGTGGCCCAGCTCGCTGAAGCAGAGTTTGACTTTTGGCAACATTGGTGTGATTGAAACGCTGACTTTTAGTGCAACAGAGGGGAATAGATTTCAGTTTTCAGCAGCAGCAGCAGGATGATTAGTTAATAGAGGAGGGGGATGCATCAAACGAAGCAAAAAAAAAGAGTTTTGATGAGGCATTAGTTTTAATAAGTTGCTGTGTTGTTTTCCTGTTGTTTTCCTTAGGCGAACGCCAGCATTGTCAGCACAGTTCACGTGGAGAAAGTCACAACATTAACAAATCCTTACGCCGATGCCATCAAGAGCCTGTGGAGCGACCCTGGGATTCAGGAATGTTACAGTCGGAGGAGGGAATACCAGCTCTCCGACTCGGCCAAATAGTGAGTGTAAACAGAAACTGGTCTGACATTGCCAAATAGTTTCCACTGTTGAATCTGCCTTTTGTCTTTTTAATGCACTCTGAGGTCCAGGTTAAGTGAATGTTCCATCTAAGGCTATTGACTGATGCTTAAAAGCAAAGAACAACATTTCAAACCTGCTTAAATAATTCAACACGGTGAATTTCCTGTAAGAAAAGACTCCTCTCCTTGAATATCCTGTTATTAATGTCAGAATTGACTCTCCTGTGTGGTTCAGTATCTCTGTATCTATCAGGTTTTGTTTTCATTTTCTGACCTCTGCATCGTCCTCCTTTTGTAAACAGCTACCTGAACGACTTGGACCGAATTGCTGATAATGCTTATCTGCCAACCCAGCAGGATGTCCTGAGGGTCAGAGTACCCACGACGGGTATCATAGAGTACCCTTTCGACCTGGAGAATGTGGTGTTCAGGTGAGTGTTTTATAGTGTTGTTATATTTCATGTTGAAGTGGTTTTATTGCAGCTGTGGCCATAAATATTGCTGAAGTACAGGGAGTCAGGCTGGCGGATATAGATTAAATCTGATACCAGTGATATCAGCATGTGAACTTGAGTAATCTGCTCAAAGTGGACTCCTGCTGATATGAGATTTTTAAGGGTGACACCCTCTAACATTGATATCAGGGGATTTTTGAGGCTGATATGAATTTTAGAGTGGGAAATCTACCTTACAATGATATCAAAACAAGTTTAGTATGACTATGTGAAGTTACTCAGTTACATACTCGGCTGCTCTAAAGGACCCAAAGCTTTTTTTTTGTTAATGCATATCAGAAAATCAGTGTTTTATTGTCTACTATAAGAGGCGTGTGTTGGTCTGTCAATGCAGATTAGGCAATATCCGCCAGTCTTTGGGTCAAAGTACTACTTCACAAATCTTCTGGAGGTTTTTCTGTTAAGTATTATCCTCAGACAAGTCCTCACATAAATGTTGAGGGAATTGAGACACAAGTTAAAAACAATTGTATCTTATGAGTCATTCTTGTTTAAGCATAGTTGTCTCGCTAAGAGTTACACACTCAGGGGTCCACAGCTGTTTTTTGCCCTTTTATAGAAGCTGTTTTCTTTCTGTAATATATCTTTGGAGCTTTGATTTAAACTGATAGAGAGGTCAGTGAAGTGTGCAAACAGAAAAGATCAGTTTTTAAATGAGAAAATAATGACAGCGTCTCAGTACATTTCATCAATGAACTCTTCATACTTCATTTATTTTACGGAGCTTCTTATTCATCTTCTCTTTAGTGCTAGTCGACAGCTTTCCGTTTGTCATGGAAATGTGGAAAAATCATTAAAGCTTTTAAACTCCAAATGTAGTCATAAGGTAATGACTGTAATACTGTACTTATAAAACTGGACAAAAAAGTGATTTGAGTTGTGGGTAGGGATGGGGGAGATGGGCTGAAAAATTTATCAGAAGTTTTGCCATTCTGGCGATAATGATAAAAGTCACAACAAAAAAATACTTTAGTATTTAATATAAATATTGTTCTTGGATGGCACTTAGCAGTAGGCATAGTCAAATAAGAGACTTAACCACTAGTTGAAGTGATAGGTTATGGAGAAAACTTGTGACATCAAATAAGTCTGAAATGTAAAAACACTTTCAACATTTATTCAAAACTCTTATTGCACAGAGTGAACAGCAGCTGCAGATCCACTGTCCGATGTCAGGCATACGTGACTGCACTCATCTAAGCCCCAATCTTGAAGGAAAATTTATTTAAGTAAAGGTCCTTACACAACGGACCGACGCAAATCTATGATGCGAAATTACGAATTATTCAGAGGTGGGTTTTGACGCGCCTGACTATACACATCAAGCCCGATGTGATTTTGTGACTTTCTGGGGGGAAAAAAGACACGTCCCAGGTGGAAGCGAGAAGACTGACACAACAGCAGACTGACTGTTTTTCAGTTCTGATTAGACACTAGTGTTGAGATGTCTGTCTGTCATGATAGCATGTACTGAGTCAGGGCTAGTACCAGATAAGCACATTAAACTATAATCCATAAACGTAAGGTAACAACCAAGACCTAATGGTGCTGTGACAGCAACGCGATTGAGTTTGAGACAGTGAAAATACATATGGTATGTTGAATCTGAACAGGTTAGCTTACGAGCTAAAGTTACTTAGCACAGATGAAAGTTAAAACAAAGATGTTTAGCAAACTGTTAAAGCACAAAAACCATCGTCATATGAGAGATCTGACGTTATGACTCTCCACAAGTTGTCCTTCAGGTCGTTATCTTTGTAATGTTTGTGTTTTTTATCAAAAAGCACTCTGTTCTCAGACACGTAAACAATCAGCCAGTCGGCCATGTTGGATATTCCGGTGAATCTGACGTCGCAGCAACTTGAAATCTGATTGGTCAGAAGTGGACACACAGTATGCGAAACTTTAGAAAAATCGACTGTGATACGAAAAAATAAATGCTGGAATATTGCAGGACAGGAAAAAGTCGCTGATGTAAACACTTGTATTGACAGGATACGGGTTCAAAAAAAAATAATGACGTCCGAAATAATCGCAAGAAGAAACCGCTCCCGGTGTGAATGGACCTTAATCGTGAACGATTATTTATCGCCCATCCCTAGATATTGGGAGCTGTTCAATGTTTGGTCTGGGCTCTCATAGGGTCCTATTGTTTCCTTTAATCATAGATTAAATTGTTGTCAGGGAATTTTTTCCTTGTTGGTCCTTATGTTTTGTTCTGCTTCTGCTTGTGTGTCAAAGCACTTTGTAAACATCACATAAATAAAGTAATTACAGCATACTTATCAAGAGAAAACTGTAATATGTTTGTGCCCCTGTGGACAAGTCATCTACGTCCTTAAGTGGTGTCAAAATCTCATCCCACTGACCCTCAACAGTCAATGTATCATATATTGTGACTATTTCATGTTTATAACATGAAAACATGTCTGTTTCTTCAGCTGCTTGGCTGACACCTACACCTCCACAGCGGTTTCAGGCATTAAAATTTACAAGAGGATTATAGTGAATTCTGTAGGTGATGGTCTTGTTTGCTTTTGTGTATCATGAACAGGCATCAAATGAATTTTGGTCTATTTAATTGATGTCAAAAATCTCTCACAGGAGCTTTAATTTGTGTACCAAAATATTGTTTTTTGTTATGTTGTGGGTTCTTTGCCTGGTTTGTTGTTTGTTTGGCTTTTTGGTAATGACTTGAAATCGTGTCTGTAGGATGGTGGACGTGGGTGGCCAGCGTTCAGAGAGGAGGAAGTGGATTCACTGTTTTGAAAATGTCACATCCATCATGTTCCTGGTGGCTCTCAGCGAGTACGATCAGGTTCTGGTCGAGTCTGTGAATGAGGTGAGTTACAGGCTGCTACCTGCAAAGTAAAGCAAGAACTGACAGCAGCCCGTTTCCTCTTGTTTAAAATAATTACACAGGAAGAAAAGGGACACTCTTGGGAAAAGCAAAACAAATGCTGGGAGGTTTCACAGAAGCATGGTCTTTGTCATATAAGGTTAAGGTCTGCTGGTGGAGTTTATGACCTACATTTCTACAGAGCCCTGCACGTCTGGCGTCTTTCTCAGTTTCTCTATCTCTCTTCCTGATCACAATAACAAACCTTATCTGGACCTTTTGCTGCAGTTTGCACGGTTCATCTGCAGGGGGAGCTCTTAAGTCACTCTCCTCAGCAGCAGAGTGCACCTCTCAGCAAGGATTGTTCACTTGATGAGATTACAGCCAATTGAATTTTCTGAAACAGTCAGTGCTGCTGTCTAGCGCTAAGACGATGTCTGATTTCATAATCCCGCTCATGCTGAGATGTTTGTGTGTTTAAAGAACCGCATGGAAGAAAGCATGGCCTTGTTCCAGACCATCATAAACTACGAGTGGTTCAAAGAATCCTCAGTGATCTTGTTCCTAAACAAGATCGACTTACTGGAGGAGAAAATCATGTACTCTCATTTGGTCGACTACTTCCCTGAATATGATGGTAAGAAGAAATAAATCCTTTATGAGCACTAGGCTGTTGATGATTGAAGTCAAAATTAGCATTTCTATAGCTATGGTTTGTTTATTTAGATTTGTTGTGTCTTAAAACTTTCATATAACATCTTTTAAAAATAACAATGACAGATTTTTACTGTTACAGATGAAAAGTTGGATGTCTAAGGACTATATATCACACCCTTCTGACTCAGTAAACTCTGTGGTTTTGCTGCATGGTCCAGTGCAACCAGTATAGACACTACCACAAGCTATTGTAAGCCAACTTGTGATATTACTGCAGGGTGTTCTCTGCTACTTTAGACTCATTAAAATGCACTCAGTCAAATTTTCAATGATGATATCTCTTTAATTTGCAGAATCTGGAAATTAGTGTGAGAACAGTTAATGTTTTAAGTTGGTGTAAAACCAGCATATGTAAGGAAAGACTCAAATAGTCTGTCAAAGCTATACCACAGTGACTTAAACAGCTGTTAGCTCAGTTTTTCTGACCGGTATGTTGCCATGTTAAAACCACAAATTCAAGCTGATTTAATTGAAATTGATTAAGTTTATCTCCAGTGCTTTGCAATTGTACTTTTTCTAATTTGGATCTGAAAGCCTGTTTTGTCATTCCCAATTCAAGTCCCCCTTAAATTTTACCAACATTGAGCTAATGGTTGTTCCAGCATCCACACAGAGAAGCAGGAGGAGTGACCCATTATTAGGGTTGGGTATCGAGTCCCGAGCATCGATGGGGACCGGGAGTGACATTTCGATTCTCCTGGAATCGTTCAAATTTTAAAATTCCGATTTCAAATTTCGATGCCGGAGTCCATCGACCGGAAGAAATAGCCGCCAAACACCAATGAGGACGAAGCGTATGAGACGAAGCCACACAGAGAGAGACAGAGAGAGAGAGTGCATTGCAACCCACAGCGGCTGCGGTCAAAAGAATGAACTCTTCTCTCAGTGCAACATTAGCAACAAAGTTATATCATGCAAAGGGGGGTGAACGACCAACATGATTAAACACCTCAGGATTCATGGAGGAGAAATACCTGAGTGCCCTGTCTTTGACGTGCTTCGCCACTGTTGTGCCGTAGAATGCCCCCCTGACAGGAGCGCAGTTGAAAGTATTTAACAAGGTGAAATAATTCAAGTTTTCCTTACCACTGGATGGATTCTAAAGTGTGTGCCTTTAATCATTTCATTCAGGCTATTCAGATAAGCTGAAAACAATAGCCCTCAGATTCGGAATATTTGCTGTCCCGAAAATATAATGTTCTCTACCTTGACAGTTCACTGTACAATTTATATACCCAAGTACACCTCTATGTGTGCATTTTTGAAACACATAAAAACAAAACGAAAGTTTGCTACTCCATTTGACATGTTGTCATGATTCAATACTCGTGTTTTTTTTTTTAAATATGAGATCATTGTCTTCCACTTTAAGAAGCTAATGAGTGGAGGGGATGCATTCTACCTGACAACAAAAATTGATATTTATATACTGTCTGAAAATAGCCCATGTGGGAAATTCATAGTAAAGTTCTTAAAAAGTTAATATAATTTAAAAATCCATGGAGAAGTTCAGAAATTTCATCCAAAAAGAGATACTCCGGTTAGCACCCTCATTTAAACCACTCTTTTTTTTCTCATATCCTGCCTTTTAAAAGAATCAAAACAGAGAATTGATAGGAATCGAAATCGAAACTCGGAATCGGAATCGAAACCGGAATCGTTCAAAATCAAACGATACCCAACCCTACCTGTAACTTCATAAACTTTACTAATGAAAACAACTGACTTACATTTCATGAGTAATTTCAGTGTCACGTCTTGAAATCTTTCTTGTTTCATTGATGGTTTAACAGGGTAAAAACGACAGTCAGCATTGTAGCATACATGTGCACATTTTACAGTCTCACACACACATATGCAGACAGTACATGCACAGTGATAATTTCTCTATGTGATAAAGTAAAAAGGCTGCATTACAGTGACATTAGAGAGGCCTTCATTCTAGATTTATTATAGGAAACAAAGTTTAAGTTTTCAAATGATAGTCTGTATTGTTTCCTCTTTTATGACTCTCACGTAATGTTATTTGCAGGTAATTTATACCGCCTTATGTATTTTAAAGCTTTTATGAAAACACCACACTGACTTTTATGTGCTGTTTTCTCCCTCTGTCTCTTTCTACCAGGCCCCCAGCGGGATGTGAAAGCAGGGAAAGATTTCATCTTAGATATGTTTGTGAGTCTCAATCCCAACGAGAAAAAAATCATCTACTCCCACTTCACCTGCGCCACAGACACAGACAACATTCAAATTGTTTTTCGTGCTGTGAAGGACCACATCTTGCAAGGCAACTTAGAAGTCTTCAACCTGGTTTAAGGCGGCATTTGTTGCTGTTGTAATTCAATCGTGTGTGTACAGCTGGCAGCCAGGAGAGCCCTGCAGTGATTCAGTCTGCCTCACACTGCTGCTGAACACTGAAATCCTAAACAGGAAATTGAGAGGCTACAGAGCTTGTCGCCAAATGACTTTGCCACTGGTGTATTTCAAATTTTCCTGTTAGGTTCTCTGGAAATGGATGTCCCCAGCTATAATGAAGTGTGTCCTGACAATTAAAGTGCTGCCTTAGTGAGGAGTCTATTATAGCGAGCGCTCTGAAATTTATGGAGCTCTTTGTGAACGTTTCAGAGCACTAACAGTATAAATGCACATGGATGGATTGAGAAGGGAAAAAGTATTTCATCGGCCTCAAAGTCCTTTCTGGACTTGTAAATGTACCAGGTCTCCTCTACAGGGAAACAGTGGAAGTGAACGTAGACTAACTGCAATGCAGCAGCTTACATCACTGACACAGGTAGTTTATTTTTAATGTAAAAACACTTTTAAATACTCTAAACTAGCTTGTGTCCTGACTCAAAGGGAAATAAGTCGGAATAAACACTAACAACACTGAAAATGATTTGCACACTATTCGGTTCCTTAGATTCATAATTTACTTGTTTTTTTGTGTGTACTTCACTTACTCCGGTTTTATATTTCCATAACCTCATTTTAAGTCCCCCCAGACTTAGTATACCCGTCTGATGGCAGTCTTCAACCACTTTATGAGCACAACATTCATGAATTGTTATGTAATTTAGCACACATTTCAAAGGGAATCCGAGTGATTCTGTCTCTTAAGCATTCTTTTTGTTTTGTTAGAGCCATAGAATCAAGTGTTTTACAGTTCAGGGACTATTTTTTGGTACTTAAAGCATTTTTCTCCCCCTAAAACCACTTTTTAAAATAGCTCTTGATCATTCATGATTAATTAATTTAGTGCATGTTGTAAATATCACATGGCAAAGTTATTTTCTCCCACACTTGTATCATGATTCAGTGTTGAAAGGCTAACTTGCTATGTTAAATAATCTCTGAGGTACTGAATTAATGCATTCTTGTTCTTCACTCATATGCTGTTAAAGGGAATAAAAAGCTAATGAGATCGCATCCACAGCACTAATGTTTACACAACCCTTTCCTCCTAATTACAGCCTGTTCTGAACTGTTTAATTTATACACTGTCACTGTGATATCTTTATGCAGTCTTTCATTTGATTGGATAAATAAAAAGATATTTTGCTGTTCATTTTCTGTTAATTCTTCTATTGGTTTGCTAATCAGCTTTATTACACTGTTGGTTTAGCATTTGGTCTTCTTGGCTGCTCTGTCGGCTCATCTGAAGCCATGTTAGACCTGAAATCCTTCTCTGTGATGCATCCATCTGGCTGCAGCCTGCAGCAGCACTTCTGTTTGAAGTCCATTTATATTTAGTGTTGCACACAAGGACGTAAAGTATGACAAAAAGATCTTACTTTTGGAAGGAGGCTGAAAGTAATGTGGCAGCAGTACATGGGAGTAGTAGTAAGTAAGTAGGGATGTGGAGGCAGGTGGGTAAACAGTCTTTGTAAATGTCCTAGATTGATCTAGACCCAAATACTCTTAAAGTGAAATGAGAGATTTAATATTTAAAATGTGTTTTCCAGTAGGCACACATACAGCTGAACTGAACATGTAAGTTGAGCAGCATTTAAAGGATCACACACAAAGTTAAAAAAAAAAGGCCTACCACAAGAGCCTGAAATTCACTTTGATATTTTCACAGATGCTTGTCAGTAGTAGAGACTTTTTTAAAAGTTTACTGTTAAAAAAAAAGGAAAAACAGAAGTTTGAGAAACTTCAAATTATTAACATTTTATAACTTTGGGTCATGGGTATGTTGGTTTTGTAACATTTACAGGAATACACTACATTTTTTTCATCTGTTTAGCAATAATGTATGTTTATACCATAGACTGTGTATACTATGGACAACTTGGTTCCGCCTCCCGCCTGTATACGTATTTGAAGCCAAAAAGCTCAGTATTTCCGGGATTTCTCTTCATTTCCTGAAACAAGCTTTGTGCAGTAGCGTTGTGCGCATTCAGCGGGAGAGTCGCTGAGAGTCGCTGTGATGACGCTCGGTTCAAACAGCGTATCCCCTGGCTGAGCTACAAAATCTTCGTACACCCATAGGCTGTATCAGGTGTCAATCATAGAAAACATGAACCGCTAATAACTTTTATAAACGGAGCTTCACAGAAAAAAGAGGACTTGATCACAAACCAGTCTTACAATAACTACATGTCAACATCACAAGCAGGGGGGAGAAAAATTTGTGTTCTGTGTAATAATTTCTAAAGTTTGTCCACAGCCCCATAAGCTTTGCTGGTGGAGGCGGGATTTATGACTTATACTGCAGCCTGTCAACAGAGGGTGCTGTTCTCTGAGTGGCTTCACCCAGCAAGGAGGCAGACTCTGTCCATTCTATATACAGTCTATGGTTTAGCAATAATGTATGTGTATATTCACCTAAAATGACCTGTCAAAGCAGAATTATGCTTTTGTAAAACACTGCACAACAGCCAAATATGTAGTTACTTTAAAGATTTAATCAAGAAAAAAAAGTTTTTCTTTGTAGTTGTTTTACACCTTCTTGTTTCACTGTCATGACAGTTTTTTGTAGCTGTTCTGCATCGGTTTTGGGGGTCGCTTTGCTCTAACTTCTTCATATCCGCAACTTTATGTGAGGCCAAATTTTTGTCAAAAAAAAGAAAGGCTTGGGCCTATTTACAAATAGGAGGTGATTAAGGAGGGTGGGCAGTAGCAGCTATGGTCACCTTTGAAATATGATAGGCCACCCCAAAATCCTCAACAGTGCTTGAGATGTACCTCATCAGAGCGACTTGGACTTGGATTTCAACAGGCTGCAAGTCTATTGCATTATAATAAAGTAGTTTGGTGGAATGGCCTTTTAAGAAATAAGTTAAAAAGATTTAAATGTTGCCACTCATATGTTTTTTATTCAAGCAGACCATAAACAGGAACATAATATTTTTGGATGCTTTAGTGAGGGTAGTCTTAGTGTGATTAGTACGGTGCCCGGGAACAGCCACTGCTACAAATAAAAAAGAATGCAAAAAAAAAAAAAAAAGACGCCACAATGGAAGCTACTGATTAAAAAAACAAACAAACAAACAAACAAAAAAAAAAAACAAAGCCCGCTGCAAATAATTTTAAAAAATAATAAACGGTGGAGATTTTTAAAAATGGCCACAATGGAAGTTAACGATGCAAAAAAAAGAAAAAAAAAAAGAAAAGTGGCTTGACTTGATTGAGGCAGCTTTTGTTTTACAGTCCATCCTCAGAAGACGATGGCGAGAAGACAAGCAAAGAAGTGGAAAAGTTATTGTTTAATTTGGTTAGGCCATGTTTCGCCTGAGTCGATATAAAGTTGAACTGAAGGATTCTGGGGAAATCCACTACGCCCTGAAAGACCACCCACAAGAGGAGAATCAGTATCAGAATGCAGTAGCTGTACAGTTCGATTGCTTTACTCATAAAAATAAGCTGGCAGACCCCTTGCTATTTTTCATTACTGGTCCCCGGCAGCTCACTTCCGTTGTGGCTTTTTTATTTGCATCACTTTATTTTCATAGTAAGTAAATATGTTTTCTTTTTTGCATCACCGCTTTTTTCTTTTCTTTTTTTTTTTTTTTGCTTCGTTGACTTCCATTGTAAAAATCTGCACCGTTTGTTTTTTTTAATCGCAGCAGGCTTCGGTTTCTTTTTCTTTTTTCATCAATAACTTCCGTTGTGGATATATATTTATTTTTTGTTTGTTTGATTTTTTGCATTCTTTTTATTTGCAGCGGTGGCAGTTCTCGGCCACCGTAAATTCGGGACTATTAAGTGTAAATACATGTGTGACAAACTCAATGCCATCCCTGCTGAAGTCAAAGTCTGTCATCTTCCCTGTCAACAATTTTACACTTAAGGGAAAGTGGTTCAAATTCAGTGGCCCATGGGAATCTGAACCTCCTGTAACATCAACTCCCTTTGCATTTAGTCTTTCATAACCTGTACCTCCACCCACCTCCTCCTCCACAGCAGGAATGTAAAATGCACCTGAGCTGGCTCCAGCACGATGTAGAATGACTGTAGAAAGTCGCCAAGCCACCTGTTCCGGGACAGAAATGCCATTGGCAAGTTGGAGGAAAATCATTAGCCTCTCTTTTCATTAATCCCCGTCAGCTGTGGCGAAGTTAATCTAAAAGCAGGTCGTAAAGTCGTACAAAAATGGACGAGTGCTGCCTGTCTGCCGAGGACGCGGAGAGACTGAGGATACACAGAGAAATAGAGAGACAACTTCGACGAGATAAAGAAAAGTCTCACAACGAGCTGAAGCTACTGCTGTTAGGTGAGTGCAGTAATTAACTTTGACGTGTTTCGTGGGAGAAAATCTCAGTCACAATTTGACTTTCTCTTCCTAGCTCACTTTCACAGACTAAAAATTACACATGAAAGAAGAGTTTGAAGAAAATTCATTTGTTTTAACCAAAGCCTTGGTTTTTGATTAATTAAAGGGTAGTTAAATATATTGAGCTGGTTCAATGAAAAGACGAGAGAACGTGTCTTCCTGGAAGACGGCAGGAAACAACAACAACAGGTTGTATTGGGTCTTTGCATTAAGCTATGGTAATATGTTGGTTAACTGTAAACTAACACCACAAAGGTAAATGCATGTTATTCCAGCCGGTGGCAGAAAAAGTCTACAGGTGGGAAAGCAGTAAAGTTGTAAAGAAATATCCTCTGAGAACCATGAATCAAAAACTCATCATCACTGTTTGGAGGATTTATCTTCAGGGAACCAAGAATGTCAGTGTAATCAGTCAGACAGTGATAGAGATATTTCCATTAAAATACAAAGGAAAAACCTCATGTAGGTGCTTAGAGGTAAAGATGAGGAACATAAGATTGTAGGGATCATCCTCTGGGGACCATCAACTGTATATAGAATGGACCATAGACATTATATACATAGACACCTCATTACGTGCTGGAGGGTAATCCAACGTCGCCGCCATATTGGATGGGTCTCCCCACACCAGGCTCACTCAAGAGCCACACGAGGTCAATGGAGAACGAGCAGCTATGCCCATATTTTATGCTGACGCAGTATTGAAAGTAGATTACGTAGGATTACATTTCACAAATAGGATTGAAAATAATTTAGTTTATTTTTAATGTGTGACATTGTCCTATATTATTGCTACATCCCTGCCGTTGTAACAAACCAAACAGTGTGAAAATCGAGTTATTATCAATACGGCTGGGCATTCCTACCTACCTTAATGCACTGGAGGCGCATGGGGGACCCATCCAAGACGGCAGCCGCGCTGATACGAGAGCTCCAGTAAGCAGCGTCAGGCTTTGAGGCATCTATATTATATCTATGGAATGGACGCCATCTGCCTCCTCGCTGGGTGAAGCCACTCCGAGAACAGCACCCTCTGGTGATGGGCTGCAGTATAGGTCATAAATCCCGCCTCCTCCAGCAAAGCGTATGGAGCTGTGGACAAACTTTAGAAATTTATTACACAGAATATGAATATTTGCGATGTTGACATGTAGTTATTGTAAAACTGGTTTGTGCTCAAGTCCTCTTTTTTCTGTACAGCTCAGTTTTTTAAAGTTATTAAGGGGTTCATGTTTTCTATGATTGACACTTGATACAGCCTATGGGCGTACGAAGATTAAGTAGCTCACCCAGGATACGCTGTTTGAGCCGAGCGCATCACAGCGACTCGCCTGCTGAATGTGCACAATGCTACTGTGCAATGTTGGTTTCAGGAAGTAGAGAAAAAACATGGAGTTACCAAGAGCTTTTCGGCTTCAAATCCGTATACTGGCAAAAGGCGGAACCAAGTGGTCCATAGCATATACAGTCTATGCTGGGGACCAAGAATGTCTACAAAGCACCGTACAATCCACAAAATATTTACTATATTTACTTTACTAAGTGTCAGTCTGCTTTGGTGAAGATTAAGGGCATTGCTAAATTTTTGAGAGACTGTCAGAGTAAAATTTATGTCAGATGTACGTTAATGTTGAGATTTCTAATAAAATCAAAAGGCTCGAGATCATGTTGGTGAGGTAGAACCTGGAGAACCACAAAGTTTTTGGAGCCCATCCTCTAGTAAACACCTTGAAGGTAAGCGCAAGACTTCAGTCCAGTCCAACCAATGGATGTTCAGTCATTTCGCAAAAACATAACTTAATCATCTCTGTATCATGATTCAGCAAAAAAAAATTAAACGCTTCAGTCTTGAGGAGAATAAATGGGTCATATATGAAGCATGTTTTCCCCTTGAACTATCTTTGACAGCCCACTAATAAAAGCTGGACATTATACAGTATATATACATCAAACTTGAATTGACCTGGATAGAAAGGGAAATATCCTCCTGTCAGTCGTCTTGTTAACATTTTAAGCATTTTAGACACTTAGCTGACGCTCTTATCCAGAGTAATTTACAACCAGGAGGCAGGAAGCAGTTCACTGTTTCATTCAAGGACATAAAGCTATTGTTGGACACACTGCCCTACACACGAACCAAAGTAAAGTACAAGACTGTAACTGGGATAAACTTCTGGAGAAAAAGTACATGATAATAATAATTTAAAAAATAAAATAATAATAATTATAATAATTACTTTTACTTTTTATAGCACTTTTAAAAACAGAAGTTTACAAAGTGCTTTGACAAACAGTTGCAAAGCCCAGAACATCAGCACATGAAAATAAAAGCAAATAAAAACAGAAGCTCAGTTAAAAACAAGGTCTCTGAATTGAAGGCCAATTTTATTTTTCATAAGAAACCCAGACAATACAAGAACCCTGCAACATAAAATGAGACCATGAGGACCAAAATAAAAACATTTAATAGGTAAGAAAAAGAAATGTAATAGAAAAGGGGGCAGAAAGCAGGAAACAGGATAATAAATGTAAAAGAGGATATTAATAATGATAATAAAATAATGACAATGGTAATATTAATGATAAAATGGAATAATAAAAATAAGCAGGAAAAAACAATAAAATCAATAAAGGGCTTAAAAGGTAAAATAAGTAAAGATTATAAGTACAACAAAGGCTAAAAGGATAGTAAGTTGAAATTAGATAGAGGTAAAAGAGATAAAAGATAAAAAGAAAAAAATAGAAAAGAGAAAATACAGCATCACATAAAAGCGAGTCTGTAAGTCTTTTAAATTTGACTTAAAAAAAGCCACTGTCTGCACACCTTATCTCCTTTGGCAGGTTGTTCCAAAGTCGAGGAGCTCTGATGGAGAAAGCTCTATCACCTTTAGTTTTGAGCCTCGACTTTGGAATGACCAGGAGGCCTTCGCCAGAGGATCTGAGGCTGCGAGTTGGCTCATAAGGTTATAAAAGCTAAGAAATGTAGCTCGGAGTAGGTCCTTTGAGTGCTTTAAAAGTAATCAATAAAATCTTAAAATCAATTCTAAAACTGACAGGAAGCCAGTGAAGGGAGGCTAAAATTGGAGTGATGTGATGCTGTCTACAAAAACCAGTTAAAAGCCTAGCTGCTACATTCTGAACTAGTTGGAGGCAGGAGAGTGATTTCTTGTTTTAACCAGGGAGGAGAGAGTTACAATAGTCCAGCCTTGAGAAAATGAAAGCATGGATTATTTTTTCAAGACCTGGTGGGGTGAGTATCTGTTTAATCTTTGCAATAGAACGCAGGTGAAGGAAACAGGACTGGACAATCTTGTTGATGTGGGTGGAGAAGGTGAGGTCTGAATCAAAGGTTACTCCCAGATTTCTGGCTGTTGGTTTGATGATTACTGAATATGGACTGAGACAAGACTGTATGAGGGGGGAGTTTTGTATGTTACAGAGAACATGAAATACACTTTTTCACACTGGATTTTCTTGTAGATGTTTTGCCTGTGAATATTTAGTTCATTCATAACAGCTCAGCATTTTTTCATAGATGTTATGCTGACAAAATCGTGTTTACCCACAGCTGATTGATAATGAGATTTTTTTCTTATGTTTGCCCTATTTCTGTTATCTCTTTGATCTTGTTCCATTTCTTACACTTAGCTCTCATTTATTTCATTTACCAAGGCACTGGTGAAAGTGGGAAGAGCACTTTCATTAAACAGATGAGGATCATCCATGGAAAAGGGTACAATGAAGCTGACAGGAAAGGATTCACTCGCCTTGTATTTCAGAACATCGTCATAGCCATCCAGGCGCTGATTCACGCCATGAAGACTCTGCGGATCGACTACATTGATGACAGTAACATTGTAAGGAAAGGTTCCAGTTTTGTAAAAGAAGTAATGACAATGTTTGACCTGATTGATAGACCTGATCGTGTCACAGTTTCAGACACTGTAGCTCAGTTGAAACACTTAAAAACCACTAATTCAATTCCAGTTTAAATTAATATTAATATTTTTTGATGATAAACGCTCATTTTGTTGCCAGCAGCCTGTTTTTAAAAAATTGCCACAGGAGCTTGTAGAGCTACAAAAACACTGTAAACCTTTAGAAACCAATATAGATCACTTACTGGACTTTTTAAAGTGAAATGCCTGACATAGGATTCAGCTGTCGCACCTAATATTTTCAATAGGTGACGAGTCAGGACTGTTGGCAGACCAGTTTAGCACGAGGACTCTTCTACCACAGAGCCATGCTGCTGTAATATGTGCAGAATGTTGTTTGGTATTGACGCGCTGAAACATGCATTAGTCTGCTCTCTGAAAAAGGCGTTGTCTGATTCAGTGTAAGTTGCTCCATAACCTTTATGGGCACTCTTGCTTCCCCTACTACCATAAGTGCTGAATTTCATACTGTGTGGTCATAATTAATACTTTTTTTTTTTGTTTTAACTTCTCATGTCTTTTTTTGTGCTACTTTCATATAGGGTTTGAATGATTTGCAAACCATTGCATCCAGTTGAATGAGTTAGGTTGGAAAATCTATGGTAAAATTTTGTGTTGAAGTCAAGCAAGGACAAGCAAAAAAACAATTATTGGACTTTTTAAAATGTCTACAGATGTGGCATACTTTCACCTGGAGACTCCACTCAAACGTTAAAATGTAGACAAATTTTTTGTCTATAAGTGTATTATTCCATGTTTTGATAGGTATTGTAATTTTTAACATTTTTTTTCTTAAAATCTCTAAAAGCCGGCAACTAGACTGTGTAAAGTTAAGAGGACATTTGCCGCTCATCCAAGAAGCTTCTTCATTTCGTAAAGAGCTAATGGGGGGAGCTGGTATTTTATTGTACCGGAGGAGGGGAAAACAACGACTGGGAGGAGTTGGAGTGAGTGGGTCATAGAAACCCGCCTCTAGGTAATTATCCAGAGAGTCGTTAACCTGAGGGGGTCGTTAACTACCCCTTCCATGTGAGTTGTTGTGGCAATGTGGTCCCAGGTGTGAATGTTTGTGGAGCTTCCTGGGGAGAGAGCTCTCTCTCTCTCTCCCCTCCCTCAGTAAGATAAAATACCAGCTCCCCCCACTAGCCCTTTTAGAACTGAAGAAGCTTCTTGGATAAGCAGCGAAATGTCTTCTCAACTCTACACAGTCCAGTAGCAGGATTTTGGAGATTTCAAGAAAAACCATGACCTAGATGAATGAGAATCTACATGGACATAGTTTTTAACAATGACTGTTCAATGACCGTGGTTATTTTTAAAGATTTTTTTTGTCAGAATAAGCCCAAATATGAGACCAGCACTGAGGCAAAAATTGCTCCTTTTCTCGTTTCGACTGCCTCAGCCTGCAGTGCATCCATCGTTACGGGGAACCAGCTCAAGTTGCCATGGCAACCTTTAAGCCTCAGGCCAGGCCCACAGCTTAGACCAAATTTACTAATCAGGGACTGCTCCGGTATTTCTGCATCATTATGTCACTTTTAGAGCAATTTGATTATAAACAGAAGCTGACTTTCAATCAAATCCTTATTAGGGCCTAAGGGCAAACGCAGGATCACTGGACGAAAGTTTCAAAAAACTTTGTAAAAATTTTGCACTAACGTCAATTGGACAAGCCAAAATAAAAAGCAAAAAAAAAAAGAAACAATTATTAGAGTTTTTCAAACATCTATTGCTCTGGCTCCCTTTCTTTTGTATATATAAATACTTTATAAAAGGAACATTTTTGTTGGTGTTCTCCTTGTTACACCAGTTTTAATAGTATTGGGTATTTGAAATCTCTGAAGTATCTCATCATAATGTACACACCCCGGCATTAGCCCCTGTGGCCCTTTCAAAATTTCTTCAAGGGAATTTCTAGTTTTTATATTAGAGTGCTGTCATGTTCACTATGTTGGTGCAAATTATTCTGTGAAGGACAACAATATAAAGCAACAGTATCATTTGACTTTCCTAATCACAGCATAGCATCTGAGGAAAAAAGCAGATATGTGAAAAGAGTAAGTTACCCTCAACAGAGCATCACAGCTAGAAGATTCCTCTTCAAGTCATCTTTCTTCCACAAAGGTTTTTGTCAGGGTCCAGAAGTATTTCAGATTAAGTTCTATCAGCAGAGTTCCTACCCACCTGATGGTCTATTAAGGTCAGGCAAAGATTGAAGTTTGTCTTAAAATAGATCCCCTGTGTTGTTTGTGTCAGAGTTATGCAGAGAAGCTGAGCCAAGTAGAGGCAGACCAGGTGTCTACTTTGGAGGCTTGGCAGGCAGACGCCATTAAGCGAGTGTGGAATGACCATGGCGTTCAGTGGTGCTACGACCGCAGGAGGGAATTTCAGTTAGCTGACAATGCCAAATAGTAAGACTTTGATATATATTTGATATTTTTAGAAAATGCCCAAGGATCTTTCTGAGAACCAGAACTTCTGCTGGGCTTTATTTCGGAACCAAGAAATGGAATTTCTTTCTTTCTAATCTTCAAAAGCTCAAAGGAATATTCTGGTAACACTGAGTTAGACACCCCCTCAAGAGATGAATGTTGCCGACTGCTTGCTTCTCTAGTTATACCAACTTTAGTAACGACCACACCATAGCAATACACAGCAGACTGAGGAGCCATAAACAAACCTCAACTAAAATGCCACTCTATAACCACAAATAATGCTCAGAACAGCACCTAACTTTGTCAACAGTACAAATAGGGTCCCAGCCTTAGTACTAGCCACCAAACATCTTTTAGCTTTGCCTAATTTCTTTAGCAAAGAGACTAAACACAACTCACCTACTCTCATCCAGCAGACCTTTGTTTGTAGTGAGATCGCGGGCCAGTCCATTACGGACTCCTGCGGGGTGATGCAGCTCAAGGAAGAGCATTTATGATCATTTCTTCATGAAAATGCAATCAGACCGAGACACTAAGGCTGAAGAACTACCGTGTCTGCAGTGCAAAATGATCAATATGATGATTATTACTTCAAGGAAATGATAAAGTAATGATCATAAATGTTCTTCCTTGAGCTGTGTCACCCTGCAGCAGTCGGTGATGGACATGTCCAAGATCTGGCCACAAACATGCGGCTGCTGGAAGAGAGTAGGTGAGTTGTGTTTAGTCTCTATGCTAAGGAAATCAGTCAAAGTTAAAAAGATGTTTGGTGGCTAGTACTATGGCTAGGACCCTATATGTACTGTTGACGAAGTTAGGTGCTGTTCTGAGCATTATTTGTTGCTATAGAATGGCGTTTTGGTTGAGGTGAGCACGTGACTCTTGGGACTGCTGTGTATTCCTATCGTGCAGTCATTACTAAAGTTGGTATAACTAGAGAAGCAAGCGGTCGGCAACATTCACCTCTCGAGGGGGTGTCTAACTCGGTGTTATGGTGTGATTGACCCTAAATTAATTTTACGCTGGAATATCCCTTAAAGCTAATGAAAGTAAAAAGTTACAAAATAACATCTAGATGTATTTGAGTTTTGGTTTTTAACTGAAAGCTTGTTTTCTCCCTTTCAGTTACCTGAGTGACTTGGACAGAATCGCATCTGTATCATACGTCCCCACCGAGCAGGATGTCTTGAGGGTCAGGGTCCCAACAACGGGCATCATAGAGTACCTGTTTCCGTTTAAGAATGTTATTTTCAGGTAGGGTGTTGTTTTTCTATGCCTGGTTTTTCTTAAAGCTCCTGTTTGCATCTTTTGTTTTGCATCGACACAAAGGCATCAGTAATAACTGAAGTCTCTTTTATTACCAGTAAAAAAGTTAAAAGTTAGCTAATAAACAGTCTAATCATGTATATGGACTGACCTAGGCCTGTATGTCTGCCTCCATTTGTTCACCAACTGTTTCTAGGATGGTGGATGTTAGTGGTCAGCGTTCAGAGAGGAGGAAATGGATCCACTGTTTTGATAACGTCACCTCCGTCATTTACGTGGCCGCCCTCAGCGAGTACGATCAAGTCCTTACAGAGAACGAGAAGGATGTACGATCCAAACAGTTTGATTTTTTAGCCCTTTTAAATTTCATTTTTAACCAATGACTAATATTCACATGCTCAAACTTTTTCTCTGATAAAATTATCCTGAACTTTTCTCCAGAATCGAATGGAAGAGAGCATCGCCTTGTTCAGGACCATCCTCTCTTCCCCTTGGTTTCAAGAATCCTCCACCATCCTCTTCCTGAACAAAAAAGATATACTGGAGGAGAAAATCACTCAGTCTCATTTGGCAAACTACTTTCCTGCATTTGAAGGTAAAACATGATCACACTGGACCTAGTTTTACCTTTCATGAGTGCAAACAGAATTCAAGAATGTGTTAAAAATCACTTTTAGAGCTTAATACTGACTGCTGCACTAAACTAACTGCCCGCTTTCTTCAGAGTGTCAGTAAACATATTTTGTGTAATGCTGCAACAATTAATTTCAATCTAAAAAGTAAAAGAAATCAGCAGCTATTCAGGTTTTTAATTATTTCAGTGTCTACTGTGTTGTGACAGTTATGGGCATTGCTCAGCAGTTAATGTTTCAATCACCATTTTTTATTATCATTAGGTTTATCGTTGCAGTTAATCAATTGTACCCTCATTTCCACTGTGTACAGTTATATTTGTTGTTTTCTGGATATTTATATAATTTGGAGTATTTTTATAGCTTATGTTTACAATCTGCACATTTGAAAATCAATCCATAAGATATAAAAGGGAAATTATATAAAAGGTTAGATGTACAAAATAAAGTATAGAAAGAAAATAATTCCTGTATTGGACTATTAAAGATGGGGTAGGCAGGAATCCGTTAAAGAAGCATCTTTTTTTGTGGTGTATATACAAAAAAGCTTTTAATATCAGTCAATAGCTATTAGTTATTGATGACATTTGGTATTATAACGATATCACTGTGTTTTGTTATGTCTGTGTAGTCAACATTTTAACATTTCAGAGGGCTCCGCTCTTTCTGACTGTAAACAAAGCCATTCTCCGCCTCCCCCATCCTGATTAGTTGTGAGGCAGACGGTGCTCCCCCATGTCGTTCAGGAGCCCAAACAAAGTTAGCGTGCTACAATATCAGAGAATAGAAACCAACCAGAAAGTACAGAAAATTGTCTGAATCCTCCTTTAACCACGACTGCCAACACAAGCAAGAAAATGAAGTAAATACCGGAGACTCTGGCAGAATAATGGGTGCTTAAAACGGATGTAGACCGGACAAGAGCTAAGAAGCTGGGTCAACAATGATGGGGGATGCTTTGGGATCTTAAAGACCCTGTAACCTGTCTGCTGGACAGGTAAACCACTTTAACAAAGTAAGCCAAGTGTCTGTAACAGAAGTATTTCTTGTCAAACGGGACCTGCTGCTTGTCGTAGCACCATTAAACTGTTGACCTCGGGTCCTGGACTATGTCACTTTATCCTAGTTGTAGAAGTTCTGCAAACATTGTGTTTGCTGGTAGTCTGTTGGCATCTACAGTAGCACCAATGCTGTTTACTTTGATGTTAACTGTGTACTATGTGTAATTATCTGAAGTATTGATCTGCATTATATCTGAATTTAATTGGAACGATATGAGCGAGCAGGAGCGTCTGTTTGTGGGCGGGGCTTGCTGGAGCAGAGAGGGAGGGGAGAGGAGGAGCTGAGGGGAAAACTGGTTGGGAGGAGTAGAGTTTACATTCAAGATTTCTCTCAAAAACTGGCACTTCCTCAGATCCTGCCTACCCCACCTATAAGTGTTGATTTCCAACTCAGTCTGTTTCCGAGGTGATCTGTTTGAAATGAAAATCCTTGAAACACAAAGATTCCCTCTAATTTCATCACCTACAGGGCCTAAAGGTGACGCCAAGTCTGCAAAAAAATTCATCAAGCAGCTGTACGTGGATCAGCACAAGGGGCGCCATAAATCCCTCTACGCACACTTCACCTGTGCCACAGATACAGAAAACATCCGGGTCGTCTTCAAAGATGTCAAAGACACAGTGTTCAGAGATATCATTGACCATATAAACCTCGAATGAGGAGGTTACAGGACAAAGAGATAGTACAGAGAGCTGGATTTACAGTCACATGTTTGAACACTCTTGTGGAAGTTTTTTCTGTTTTCTGCTGTCGATTGCAGCTCGCTTGAAAGCATCAGTGAGAGGCAATCAGACAGCAGAGTCAGGTAAGGTTCATTTATCTCAGCACCAGAAAGCGTGTTTGTGCAATTTATTTAAAAAAGAGTTTTTCTTGAGTAGAAAAAGGCAATCTTCTTTTGCTATAAGAAAACATGGACAATCACAAAAAACAGTTTTTCTCCTAACAAAGTGCTGCAGACGAGTTTCTTTTTGTTATGCTGTTTGCAGACAGTCTGTTAAATTTTTCAAACTGGTTTGACAAAGTCTAATGTGCTAAAAACTTGACCCACCTCACCTTACCGCTCTGGAAGGAGGAAGTAAATTGATAGCCTGCAGCAAACACAGCACCTTAGTTTATACTTACTGTAAAATATTTGAGGGGCAAAAACAATCTTGTAGTCGAATTATTCTATTTTCGCCAAATGTATTTACTGTAGTGTATAGGTATTAAACAAATGTCATGTCTTTTTAAACAACAAGGGTTCTGAGCTTTTGCTGTTTTAAAGAGCTTTCAATTATTTATTAGGGGAAGAAGGGGTTTCTACATGGTTACATATGATTTAAGTCATGGATTTACAACAACAGCTGCATGGTACTGGTTAACCGGAAGCTGTTTTTAGACGTGGTCTCACTGATTGGCAACCTTTGTACCAAACAATGTGCAGAGGTCCGTCAAGATGGTGTTTGTCTCCCTGTCTTGCAGTGGGGACTGAACAGGGATAAGTTGTCATGATTGGTTAGTGTGTATGTAGTTTGTCCTGCATGGTTTTGTAATTTAATATTTTTGTATGTTTTTGTCCCCTGTGTTCCTGTTTCTTTGTGCTCTTAGAGTCTTAGGATCAGTTTTCAGTATTCTGTATTTTATTTTGTAGTTCCTTCCCCTTGTGTGTCTGGTTTAGTATGACTTCCTGTTTTATTCTGTAGTAGTCAATCCCTGTTTCACTTCCTCTGTTTTTGCTCCTTAGTCTGCACCTGTGTCCTAGTGTCACACCTGCCTCTTGTTATTTGTTACCCTGTCTATTTAAACCCTGCGTAGCCTTCCATCTTTGTTGGGACATTGTGATTGCTCATGTCACCCCAACCTTCCTTTGTGGTTTTCTCCAGTGTCTTTTCTTTCTTCAGGATTTTTGCTCCTGGTGTTATCAGTTGGATATTCTAAAAAGTAAAATTTTGTTGTTTTAAGTATAGTCTTTTGATAACATTTTTTAAGTCCTGCATGTGAGTCCTCCCTTTTTTTTTATTTGAAACCCTGACATAACTGAGCAGAGTTACTCAGTGAAGTTAGACCCGTGGAGAGAACAATGCCTGTTTCCACACAGATGGAGAGACAGTCTGGGTAGTATTGATTTTATCTGCTGTGCGGCTGTAGTTTGCTTGAATAAGGGTTGAAAAGTTCATTCATTTTCTGTTAATTCTTTTATCAGTCAGCTGGGTGAACAGTCTTTGTAAATGTCTCTGAAATTAAAACGAGAGATTTAATATGTGAGAGCACTCTAGTCTGAATCTAACTCAGGAAATGTTACCGTGATTGTTTGTGTGTATGTCAGATTCTAGTGGCACACACACAGCTGAACTGAACATTTAAGTTGATAGTATTTAAAGGGTCACACGAAAAGTAAAAAAAAAGGGCCAACTCAAGAGCCTGAAATCCACTTTAGCTGTGTTTACACAAATAATTAGAATAAATGCCCGATTAGAATAAAAATACGTTATGTAAATATGTCGATCGGAAGATTCTGATCCAATTTGGCTCAATCAGAAAGAAATTGTGTTCCGATCGAGAGGGGTGGTTTATGCCGATTGTTATCGTTATTCCGAAATGTGTCCATGTAAACACTTATTCCGATCGTGACTCTTACCTGACTGGATCTTCACTCTTTTGTCTTTGGCTTATTTATTGAGGCCGGTACAGGAGGTTTCATTATTACACTCTGGCATAAAACACAACCGCAGGTGCCGTTTCTGCTCCACCAGTAACATAAGGCATTTTAGTGCAATCAGACAACTCTGCACATGTCCAAATGCTTCTAATCTGAATAAAGCTTGGTGCATGTATACACGCGTCATGATCGGATTATTTGAATTTGCACCCATATAAACAAAGGATCAGATTATCCGATCCCTCAAATTTTAAATTGGATCTAGAAATTTTGCCCATGTAAATGTGGCTTGTGACATTTTCACATATGCATGTTGGTTGTAGAAACTTTTTAAATACAGTTGGATCATGAGTATGTTGTTATTGTAACATTTAAAAGAATACACTACATTTCTTTCATATGTTTAGCAACAGCTTACATTTGTACTCATCTAATATGACCTGTCAAAGCAGAGTTCTACTTTTTGTAAAACACTGCTCAACAGACAAATACGTAGTTACTTTAAGGATCTAATTTTTTAAATAGATTTTATAGTTGTTTTATATGTTTTGTTTCACTGTCATTGTAGTTTGTTTTTTTTTGTATTCAATCTGCATTCAAGCAGATCATGAACAGTAATATAATATTTTTGGATGCTTAAGTGTTGATAAATATGTGCAACACAAACTCAATGCTATCTCTGCTAAAGTCAGTTGAGTCAAGAAAGTCTGTCTCCATCCCTGTCAACAACTTTCAACTTAAACTCTGAGTTTGACAGAAATGGGTAGTATGTAAATGAAAGCTGCACTCAAGATGAATGAAGGGAAATGTAGTTTCAAGTGTCTTGGGATCTTCCTTAGTAGCCATATCCTAAAAAGTAGTATGGGGGCCGAGAACCACCACTGCTGCAAATTAAAAAAAAAAAAAAAAAAAAAGAATGCAAAAAAAGGAGCCACAGCAGAAGTTACAGATGCAAAAAAAGAGAAAGAAACCGAAGATCGCCGCAAATAAAAAAAATTGGTGCAGGAAAAAAAAAAAAAAACACAACCAAAGTTAACGATGCAAAAAAAAGTGGCGATGGAAAAAAAAAAAGTTACTTACTGTGAAAGTAAAAGGATGCAAATAAAAAAAGCCACAACAGAAGTGAGCTGCCAGGGACCAATAATGATGATGCACCGGTGTTTTACGATCCAGGCACAGGAGACGACAGCGTAAAGACTAGCAAAGAAGTTCGTGGAAAGGTTACTGTTTAATTACGCTTTGTGTGCTTTCCAGTGTGTCATTTGGTTAGGCCATATAGTGCCTGAGTCAATATGAAGTTGAACTGAAGCTAACATTACACCGACATCCTTCAATTCAACTTCATATCGACTCAGGCGCAACATGGCCTAACCAAATGACACATTGAAAAGCACACAGAGCAAAATTAAACAATAACCTTTCCACTTACTTTTTTGATCGTCCTTTCGCCGTCGTCTTCTGTGCCTGGATCGTAAAACACTGGTGCATCATCATTATTGGTCCCTGGCAGCTCACTTACATTGTGGCTTTTTTTACTTTTTTTTTAATTTTTTTTGCATTGGTGCTTTTTTGTGTCGTTAACTTCTATTGTGCTTTTTTATCAGCACCATTTCTTTTTTATTTTCAGTGGGCTTCGGTTTCTCTTACTCTCTCTCGCTCTCTCTCTCTCTCTCTCTTGCATTGTTAACTTCCGTTGTGGCTTTTTTTTTTTTTTTTTTGCATTCTTTATTATTTGCAGCAGTGGCAGTTCTCGGCCACTGTAAAAAAAAAAAAAAAAAAAAAAAAAAAGAACCAGTATGAATCTCAGTCCAGCATATAAATATCAAACTAGAGGAAGCTGTGAGAAAATGCAAAAAAAGCAGGTGCTTCTTCAATTTATCGCATTGTCTTTTTTGTAATATAAATCACGGCACGGTGTTGTGGACTCTCAGTTAGTATTGACGCCTTAAATCCTCTGGCGTAGATGATCAGATATTCAGCTCCACCACTCCACCATTTTCTTCCTGCTTTCTTCCTTATAATGGGGAAAGTGGTTCGAGTTCAGCGGCCCATGGGAGTCTGGACCTGTAAGCAGATACACATGAGCTGTACACATAAACCCCCTCGCCTTTAGTCTCTCACAGCCTGCCCCTCCACCCGCCTCCTCCTGCACAGCAGGAATGTGAAATTCACCTGAGCTGGACCCCGCACGAGGAAGAATGACTAGAAAATCGCCGAGCCACCTGTTCCGGGACAGAAGTCTCCTTGGCAAGTTGGAGAAAAATCATTAGCCTCTCCTTTCACTTATCCCCGTCAGCTGTGGCGAAGTTAATCTAAAAGCAGGTCGTAAAGTCATACAAAAATGGACGAGTGCTGCCTGTCTGCCGAGGAAGCGGAGAGACTGAGGATACACAGAGAAATAGAGAGACAACTTCGACGAGATAAAGAAAAGTCTCACAACGAGCTGAAGCTACTGCTGTTAGGTGAGTGCAGTTAAGTAATTAACTTTGACATGTTTTGTGAGGGAAAATCTCAGTCAAAATTTGACTTTCTCTTTCTAACTCACTTTCACAGACTAACCCTTTCACATTAAATAAGAGTTTAAAGAAAATTCATTTGTTTTAACCAGACCCTTGGCTTTTGTTAAGAAATATCCTCCGGGAACCATGAACCTTTATAACTATCCAATGATTGTTGAGATATTTTCATTAAAAACTCAGTAATAAATTTTGTGCTGCTTAAAGGGATATTCCAGCGTAAAATTAATTTACCTGACTTCATCAACAGTACATATAGGGTCCCAGCCATAATACTAGCCACCAAACATCTTTTTAACTTTGCCTAATAATTTCTTTTGCAAAGATATAATATTACTTTCCTTGAAGTAATAATCACCATATTGATCATTTTGCACTGCCGACGCAGTAGTTCTTCTGCCTTAGTGTCGTGGTCTGATTGCATTTCCACAAGGAAATGGTCATAAATGTTCTTCCTTGAGCTGCGTCACCCCGCAGCAGTCCGTAACGGACTGGCCTGAGGTCTTGCTCCAAACAAGCGGCTGCTGGAAGAGAGTAGGTTAGTTGTGTTTAGTCTCTTTGCTAAAGTAATCAGGCAAAGTTAAAAAGATGTTTGATGGCTAGTACTATGTCTAGGACCCTATATGTACTGTTGATGAAGTTAGGTGCTGTTCTGAGCATTATTTGTGGCTATAGAGTGGCGTTTTGGTTGAGGTTTGTTTATGGCTCCTCAGACCGCTGTGTACTAAAGTTGGTATGGCTAAAGAAGCAAGCAGTCGACAACAATCATCTCTCGAGGGGGTGTCTAAGTCGTAGTTACGGTGTGTTTGACCCTAAATTAATTTTACGCTGGAATATCCCTTTAAGTGAGTGATCATCACTGTCTTCAGGATTTATCCTCTGGAAACCAAGAATGTCAGTGTAATCAGTCAGACAGTGATGAAGATATTTCCATTAAAATAAAAGCTGTAAACCTCATGTAGGTGCTTAGAGGTAAAGATGGGGATCACATGATTTTTGGGATCATCCTCTGGAGACCAAGAATGTTTGTACAAACCCCTTTACAATCTACAGAATAGTTGCTAAGCAATTAGCCTTTTATCCAAAGTGTCAGTCTGTTCTTGGTGAAGATTTAGGGCATTGTTAAATTTTTGAGGATTCAGCCTCTGGACACTCTTATTGTCAGATGTACGTTAATGTTGAAATTTCTATCAAAATCAAAGGCTGTAGTTTATGTTGGTAAGGTAGAACCTGAAGAACCACAAAGTACTTAGAGTCCATCCTGTAGTGAACATCTTGAAAGTAAGTTAAAGACTTCTGTCGGAGAATGGCAGAAAAAGTCACTCTTTAGTTAAAAATATTTATGTACAGTTTAAAGAACCTGAGTGCATATTGACAGATGGAGTTTTTTTTTTTTTTTTACTTTTCTTTTCTTTGGCCATTGCACTCGAACTCACTCATGCTGCGTTTGAGTTACCTTGGAAGTCAGATGTTGAAGCTGAAAATGACGTCACACCCAAGTTACTAGCGTTTCAGATACCAAGTCGGAAAAAAGCAAATCGGAGGCAGAAACAAGATGGCTACATCTACGAAAGTTATTTTAGCGCTTGCCTTTTCCGACAAGAACAAGGCAAACGCTAAAATAACTTTTTTTATTTTAGCATTTGCCTTGTCCTTGTTTTATTCGGACAAGGCAAATGCTAAAATAAAAAAGTTATTTTCGTGTTTGCCTTGTCCTTGTTATATTCAGACAAGGCAAGCGCTAAAATAACTTTCGCAGATGTAGTCATCATGTTTCCGCCTCCAGTTTTGCTTTTTTCCGACTTGGTAACTGAAACGCTGGGTGTGACGTCATTTTCCGCGCCGACATCTGATTTCCAATGTAACTCGAACAAAGCATTAGTCATCGGGAAATGCCACAAATGCAGTATTTCTCGCATAATAATGAATTGACCTGCACATGTTTTTCATTTATTACAGTAATTTATATAAGCAGCTGCTGTTGACCATTCCTTTGATAGTGAAAGACTTGTTGACCCAGTTCTATTGTGCAGATAACCCTGATAGTATTTTTCATCTCCTCATTCACATCAGACTAGACTGCTGCAGGCTTTGTGAAGGCTACATGATATTGTGGCTGTCTGTGTCATGTTGGTAAGATGTCTGGATCTCTAATGATTCTTTATAGAGAATATATGATATGATATATGCAGGCTGTTTTCGACTGTCTGGTTGATAATTTGTGCACAGTACTGAACATGAGAGGAGAATAAATGGGTCATTTATGAAGCATGTTTTCTTCTTGAACTATCTTTAACAGCCCACTAATAAAAGCTAGAAACAATACAGTGGGCATGAACTTTAAAATCAAACTTGAGTTGGCCTTGGTAGAAAGTGAAATATCCTCCTGTAAAGGTCAGTCTTCTTGTTAACATTTTAAGCATTTTAGACACTTAGCTGACGCTCTTATCCAGAGTAATTTACAACCAGGAGGCAGGAAGCAGTTCACTGTTTCATTCAAGAACATAAAGCTATTGTTAGACACACTGCCCTACACACGAACCAAAGTGAAGTACAAGACTGTAACTGGGATAAGCTTTTGTAGAAAAGGTACATGAAATACACTTGTTCACACTGGATTTTCTTGTAGATGTTTTGCCTGTAAATATTTTGTTCATTCATAACAGCTCAGCATTTTTTCATAGATGTTATGCTGACAAAATCCTGTTTACCCACAGCTGATTGATAATGAGATTTTTTCTTACGTTTGCCTTATTTCTGTTATCTCTTTGATCTTGTTCCATTTCTTACACTTTGCTCTCATTTATTTCATTTACCAAGGCACTGGTGAAAGTGGGAAGAGCACTTTCATTAAACAGATGAGGATCATCCATGGAAGAGGGTACAATGAAGCTGACAGGAAAGGATTCACTCGCCTTGTATTTCAGAACATCGTCACAGCCATTCAGGCGCTGATTCACGCCATGAAGACTCTGCAGATCAGCTACAATGATGACAGGAACATTGTAAGGAAAAGTTCCAGTTTTGTAAAACAAGTAGTGATAATGTTTGACCTGATTGATAGACCTGATCGTGTCACTGGGAATAGAGTGAATACAAGGTAGTTCTTTGCAATTCTGTAGTGACCCTGCTATCATTTGGTGTCTTGAATTTAGAAAAACAAGTTTCGGAGTGAGAAATTTCATGGGTGTCATCAAATGAGACCAAGGCACCTGGTCAGACAGCAGATGTTTCTTTTTTTTTTTCTAAAGAAAAAGGTATTTAAATTGGTATTTCATAACCAGTTTCCTCAGAAAATGAAAAAGGAAATACATGGAGGATTTTTAAGCTGCAGTTCCTTCGTTGGCCACTCGAGGCTAGAGCCAAAAGCAGGTCAATCTCCATTTAAGCTCCATGTATGAATTTACGAGTATAAAACAGTGCTTGGCATGGGTGCAGTCTGTTGGAAAGAAAGTTTTTGTCATTGTACCAGTCAAGTTATCTTTTTGATTACTTTCCATATCTTGTCTTGTGTTTCCTGTTTGCTTTATTTTGAAATCACTAACCCCCGTCTCTGTTTTTGGTTGTTCCTGTCTTTCCTTCCCCCGTCTCATCACAGCTGCTCCCTAACTGTTTTCTCTGCACTTGTATCCCATCACCCTGTTACATCTTGTATGTAACCTCTTGTCTTTCCCTGTCTCGTCACCAGTCTGTGTCTTAGTGTCACGTGTCAGCATTTATTTCATGATCTCTTCCTTGCTAGTTTATTAACTCTGCCTTTTTGCCTCATGTTTTACCTCTGCCTGAGTTAATTTGCCTTACCTGGACTGGAAATAAACCTGATCATAGAGAACTGGTTAGCTGTGTGTTCTGCCATTGAGTTCCCTTTTGTTAGTCTGCTCATGACAGTTTTAGACACGGTAGCTCAGTTAAAAACATATAAAAATGAATGCAGGGTTGCTTCGTTCATTCAACTCACTAATATTAATATTGTTTGATAATGAGTAAACACCCATTTTAAATGTGATGCTAGCAGCTTGTTATTGAACATTTTCTTTTCTTTTCTTTTTTGTTTAAACGATATAACATTTCTATTGTACAATATAATGACATTTTTATCATACAATCCTGTGACATTTATTTTACCATACTATACCGTGACATTTTCAACATACTACACTATGGCATTTTTTAACACACTAGACTATGATATTTTTAAACATTCTATACTTGACATTTTTAACAAGTTATCCTATGACATTCTTTAAAATACTTTTTTATCATACGATACTGTGACGTTTTTTAAACATACTATTCTATGACAATTTTTTCTAACTTAAATCAAAAATCTTTTTCAAACCGTACCGTGAAATTTTTAAACATACTATACTATAACTTTTTTCCAAACTAAAATTTGTATTTTTTTTTATCATACTACACTATGAGGTTTTTTCTGACATACTATACAGTGACTTTTTTCAAACTAAAATTTTAATTTTATATCGTATTATACAATATCATTTTTTGAACATATTATAATGTGACTGTTTTTCAAACTAAAATATATTTTTTTTAACATACTACACTAGGACATTTTTTAACCTATTATAATATGACTATTTTTTCAAACTATATTTTTTTTCATACTATACCATGACAATTTTTTTGACATATTATAATTTGACCAATTGTCAAACTAAAATTAGAATTTTTTGACATAATATACTATGACTTATTAATCATACTATGCTATTAGATTTCTTACACACTACACCATGACTTCTTTTTTTAACTAAATTTTTTTTTTTTTTCATATTCTGCTATGACCTTATAACATACTAGGCTATGACATTTTTTAACATACTATACTATGGCTTTTTAAAAAAAAAAACTTTTTAATATTTATCTCACTGTACTAGGACATTTTTTTTACATACTGTAGTATGACTTTTTTTAATATACTATACTATAACTTTTTTCGAACTCAAATTTTAAATTTTATTTTCATACTATACAATAAAATTTTTATCATACTATACTATGACATTTTTATCATACTGTACTATGAAATATTTTATAATACTGTATGATTATTTTATCATGCTATACCATGAGTTTTTTTATCATACTGTACTGTCACATTTCAGTCGTACAATACTAAGATATTTTTTTATCATATTTTACTATGATTTTTTCTCATACTATACCATGATACTATACTATACTGCAAATTATTCTGTGAGTGGCAACAGTATAATGTAATAGTGCCATTTGAACTTCCTATTCACAGCATAGCATCAGAGGAAAGTAGCAGATATGTGAAAACAGTAAGTTACCCTCAACAGAGCATCACAGCTAGAAGATTCCTTCTGCAAATCACTTTTCCTCCATGAAGGTTTTTGTCAGGGTCCAGAAATACTTTGGATTAAGTTCTATCAGCAGAGGTCCTACCCACCTGATGGTCTATTAAGGTCAGGCAAAGATTGAAAGTTTGTCTTAAAATAGATCCCCTGTGGATGTTTTGTTTGTGTCAGAGCCATGCAGAGAAGCTGAGCCAAGTAGAGGCAGACCAGGTGTCTACTTTGGAGGCTTGGCAGGCAGACGCCATTAAGCGAGTGTGGAATGACCATGGTGTTCAAAAGTGCTACGACCGCAGGAGGGAATTCCAGTTATCTGACTCTGCCAAATAGTAAGACTTTGATATATATTTGATATTTTTAGTAAATGCCCAAGGATCTGTCAGTGAACTAGAACTTTTGCTGGGCTTTATTTTGTACAGAGGAATTGAAATTTTTTTCTTCTTCAAAAACTTATGCTAATGAAAGTGAAAAGTTTAAAAAATCTAGATGGCAGTATCTTTTATCCAGATGTAGGATATTTGAGTTTGGGTTTTTAACTTAAGCTTGTATTCTCTCTTTCAGTTATCTGGATGACTTGGACAGAATCGCATCTCTATCATACGTCCCCACCCTGCAGGACATCTTGAGGGTCAGGGTCCCAACCACCGGCATCATCGAGTACCCATTTGACCTTTCAAAAGTTGTTTTCAGGTAAGATGTTGTATTTTTATGCCCAATAAATGGGGTTTTCTCAAAGCTTCTATGAGCTACTTTCGTTTTGCATTGACACAAAGGCATCAGTAATAATTGAAGTCTCTTTCATAATCAGTAAAAAAGTGCTTTTTGGAACTTTGTGATAAAACAAATTCAGAGAGCAGATCTCTTACTCTGCTGTATAGATGAATATATGGAGGAATAGAAAAATTTACTTTCTGAAGTTAAGATGCAAAAAGATGCTCCTTTCTTTTTATTCTTAAGATACAAAAACAGCCAACATGTTATTGTCTTTAGCATAACATGAGAAACAAGAGCAGTCAAAAGTAGCTCACCTAGATGTTATGTAAGGATACAAGCAACTTTTTTAAGCTGTTTTACAGGCTGTACATTAAAAAATCTTTTCTCGGATTAGTATTTTTATTCGTGCTTATTATGTGCTGCTGATTTCTTGGCAAGGTCGGCCTTCTTCATGAGTTCCTGTCTGGTTAAAAAAATGTTAAGTTGAAAAAAAATGTTTAAAATATCCTTTAAAGTCAGACAAAATCCTAACTAAGTGTACTTAATGGTTGCTAATAAATGGGTTACTGTTATATTTGGACTGAACCAGACCTGCATACATCCCTCCATTTGGTTACCAACTCTAAGCAGAGAGTAACAATTCTAGCATTTTCTTTATTTGTATATCTTAGTTAAATCATTATCTATGTGTGTCTAGGATGGTGGATGTTGGTGGTCAGCGTTCAGAGAGGAGGAAATGGATCCACTGTTTTGAGGACGTCACCTCTATCATTTTCCTGGCTGCCCTCAGCGAGTACGATCAAGTTCTTATAGAGAATGCAAATGATGTAAGATCCAAACAGTTCTCAGCTCTTTTAAATTTCATTTTTAGCCAATGACTAATATTCTCATACTCAAGTTTTTTACTTATCTAACCTTGCTCCAGAATCGACTGAAAGAGAGCATCGCCTTGTTCAGGACCATCCTCTCTTCCCCTTGGTTTCAAGAATCCTCCACCATCCTCTTCCTGAACAAAACAGACTTACTGAAGGAGAAAATCACAAAGTCTCATTTGGCAAACTACTTTCCAGCATTTAAAGGTAAAACACTGTCACATCTGACTTCCTTTTGCCTTTCATGAGTGCAAACAGAATTCAAAAATGTGTTAAAAATCCCTTTTTGATATTACATACTCATCCTACAACAATATCCCTGAATGTGTTGTTCCTCTCAATGCAGAGAAAGCATTTTATTTTATATTATATTTACATCACTCAGCCTCAATTTGTATCAACTCCCAGTTGTCAAGTCCATTTATTCTAAATCAGGGAACATGTCAGGGGTGTCCCCATGCTCTACAATTTTCAATTTCACTATTGAGCCACTTGCCTCAGCCTTCTATAGCTGCAAGCATATACCTGGTATCTGGAGGAATAACAGAAAGCACAAGGTCTCACTCTACGCTGAGGATCTCTTGCTCTTCATTTCGAATCCAAGCTTCTTCTATTTGGGCATCTCCATTACAAAAAAACACCAAGACTTACTCAAAGAAAACTTTATCACGCTTTTGACTCCAACTAAACAAAAACTAACCCAGTCGTCAGCCTTGTCCATGTCAATGGTTGGACATATCAACTCAGTCAAGATGATGATTCTTCCTAAATTCTAAAACCTCTTCCAGAATGTAACAATTTTTATTCCTCAATCCTTTTTTAATCGACATAATACATATGGCAGGGAAAGCCCCCCTGACTCAACAAGACCAACTTTCAAAAGACCAAGACCTTTGGAGGTTTACATACTTTGTGTAATGCTGCAACATATAATTACAATCTAATAAGTAAAAGAAACCAGCAGCCATTCAGGTTATTAATCAATTATTTCAATGTCTACAGTGTTGTGACAATTATGGACATTGCTCAGCAGTTAATGTTTCAATCCCCATTTTTGGTTATCATTGCTAATTAGCACTTGACATACAGCAGAGGCTAATGGGAATTGCATTTGCACTTCATTGACGAAAAAAAAAATGGTCCCGTTGATGAGCTTCATGAATAGTAAGGGATCATTAAAGTTATTACATATAATCTGGTGGGGGAACTGGATGTCTAATCCATATGGAATTGCATTTACTACTTGTGTGAAGCACATAGGGGCAGGAGAGTCATGGACAGTCATTAAGGTTAATCCCCTGGGGACCATGAACGTCTGTAATCAGTTCAGTAATATTAATAAGCAGCTACTCTGATGATAGATTTATTGTTCCTCTTAATTAATTGTACCCGCAGAGCTGCTATGTGCAGATATATCAGTTGTTTTTTGAATGTTTAAATAATTTTGAGTAGTTTTGTAGGATATTTTTCCAATATGCACATTTAAAAATTAATCAATAAGATAAAAGAATACAGATAAAAGGTAAGATTTACAAAAGAAAAAAGATATGGTAAGAAAATAATTCCTGTGTTGGACTATTGAGTGTTGATTTCCAACTCAGTCTGTTTCCGAGGTGATCTGTTTGAAGTGAAAACCCCGAAACACGAAGATTCCCTCTAATTTCATCACCTACAGGGCCTAAAGGTGACGCCAAGTCGGCTGAGGACTTCATCTTGCAAATGTACGTGGATCATCACAAAGGGCGCCATAAATCCCTCTACACACACTTCACCTGTGCCACAGATACAGAAAACATCCGGGTCGTCTTCAAAGATGTCAAAAACACACTGTTCAGAGATAACCTGGAAAAATTCAACCTCGAATGAGGAGGTTACAGGACAAAGAGAGAGTACAGAGAGCTGGATTTACAGTCACATGTTTGAACACTCTTGTGGAAGTTTTTTCTGTTTTCTGCTGTCGATTGCAGCTCGCTTCAAAGCATCAGTGAGAGGCAATCAGACAGCAGAGTCAGGTAAGGTTCATTTATCTCAGCACCAGAAAGCGTGTTTGTGCAATTTATTAAAAAAAGAGTTTTTCTTGAGTAGAAAAAGGCAATCTTCTTTTGCTATAAGAAAACATGGACAATCTCAAAAACATTTTTTTCTCCTAACAAGGTGCTGCAGACGAGTTTCTTTTTGTTATACTGTTTGCAGACAGTCTGTTAAATTTTTCAAACTGGTTTGACAAAGTCTTATGTGCTAAGAACTTGACCCACCTCACCTTACCGCTCTGGAAGGAGGAAGTAAATTGATAGCCTGCAGCAAACACAGCGCCTTAGTTTATACTTACTGTAAAATATTTGAGGGGTAAAAACAATCTTGTTGTTGTATCTGGTCCTGTCCGTGATGTGTAGATGCAGAAGGAGGCTTTGTGACACTGGCTTGCTTGTATAATAGGAATTTATTACAAAGACAACACCAGTATCAGAACAGCATCGCGGATACTCGCCCAAACCTGAGTTTGTGATCCTGTTATAGAGGGTTAGAGGTTTTAGGTCCCCCTACATCCTCTGTTTATTTTAAAGTTATATTTCTTTACCATTTGCTTTACGCCTATCTGACCTGTGACCTGTAAACCCCCAACAGCTAGGATGTCTGGACCAGGTACCATAAAAGAGACCCAATGCCCACTCTTTACCATTTGCTCATCTCAGACTATCCCTGTGAAATACTTTAACACGTATGTTGGTGCTGTACTCCAGATACCACATTGTTGTAAAATTATTCTATTTTCACCAGATTTTATTTACTGTAGTGTATAGGTATTAAACGAATGCCATGTCTTTTTAAACAAAGTGGTTTCTGAGCTTTTCCTATTTTCAATGAAGTTGCTTTTGAAAGAGCTTTCAATTGTTTATGAGGGGAAGAAGAGGTTTCTGCATGGTTACATATGATTCAAGCCATGATTTACAACAACAGCTGCATGCCACTGATTAACCAGAAGCGGTTTTCAGGCGTGGTCTCACTGATTGGCAACCTTTGTACCAAACAATGCACAAACAATGTGCAGAGGTCCGTCAAGCTGGTGTCTGTCTTCCTGTCTTGCAGTGGGGACTGAGCGGGGTAAGTGAACAGAGTTACTCAGCAAGGTTAGACCTGTGGAGAGAACAATGCCTGTTTCCACACAGATGGAGAGACAGTCTAGGTAGTATTGATTTTATCTGCTCTGCGGCTGTAGTTTGCTTGTATAAGGGTTGAAAAGTTCAGCTGTAATGCAGAATATAAAAGGACACATTTGAAGTTGCATTAGCGTCACGGTAGGCTTCAGATATTTGCCTTGGATCAGTCATTATTTCTTTGCCAGTGTGTGGTAAAGCATGTGAATATTATCAGTACATGAAGCTGGAAATGTTCTTGTTTATTGCTATTTTGTACCCAGAGGGCTAAAAATTTTGTAGCTGCACAGGCAGGCTCACAAATCTACTGTCAGGCATTAATAGCAGACTCACTCTCCTCACTGATAGTAATAACATATAGTTGTCCCCACACAAACACAAACACACACACACACACACACACACACACACACACACACACACACACACACACACACACACACACACACACACACACATCTCTCTCTATATATATATAGTTTATCCCCTCCAGTCAAGAAAAATAATGACACACATTCACACCCTCTTATAGCCCCATTCAGTTGCCTGAGGAAGCTGCTATGCACTGAGCAGCTATAGCAGGTGATCGCCCTTATTTGGTAACAGCCTGGATCATGTGACCACAAAATGGTGGAAGCTGTGAGCTGTTTGTAAGCTGAGCATCTCCACCGAGAGGGCTGGAAGCAGGAAATAGGCAGTGATCCTGGAAGTACATCCATGATCTGAGACTAAAACCAGGACAGACAACCCCAAGCCCCAGCAGTGCGGTGAGTAAATCGATGCTTTTCTTTTCAGTGGAGATCAAAAGAAAAGAAAGAGGGGGTTCTTGTGTGTTTTTTTTCCTTACAGCTAGCAGACAGGAAGCGAGGGAGAAGGAGGGGCTGCTGTCATCAGCACTGTGGTCCTGTGTTGTGCTGTGGATGTGGATGGAGGATGCTCTAAACAGCTGATGCTCATTTTTTAGTGTGTGTGTTATTACTGGGTATTGTTAGGCACAAGTGTGTGTGCATACTGTGCATGTTTCTGTATATCGTCATCATGACAGTCATCTCCACTGTACAGAGATCAGTGTTTTTTTCTTTTCTTTTCCTGCTACATCTTCCTCATTCCTGGCTGAGTGTGCAGACAATGAACGAGGATGTTCCTTTCCTAGTGAGCACACGTGACTCACTGTGAATTTGCATCTCTGCCCAATCTGTGCTCAGGCGAGCGTGCACTCATTCGCTTTGAATCAGCACTAGAAAAAGAGACAGCAAAAGGGGGGGAGAGAGCTTGTTATGATGTAACAAACCCTACCCTCACCCTCCTCCCTTTCCCTTTTCCCTCTGTGCCCACCCCTCAGCATCCCTGCCTCCCCCCTCTTTCAGTTTGAATGGAAGGATTACTCAAAGAGGAAGATGACCCTTAACCTCCAAATCTTTCTCACTTCTCTCATCCCTCCTCCTCCCTTCTCCCTTCACCTCCTCATCCCTTTTGTCTTTCCATCCCCTATGTTCTTTGATTACGTAGGAGATCTGTCTAAAAATAGACACAATGGATGTATTGATTTTGTGAAATCAATATACAATCTTCTGCCACATGCTGGAGTTTGGGAGCTTTGTTTTCTTGCTTTGTTGTAATACTGGGTTTTTAAGGCGTCTACCAAATATGTAAAAAATCTAAAAGAAAAATCAGCTGAAGGAAAATATTCAAGAGATAAGATTCACATGAAATCCAACAATAAACAGGTGCATAACTTGTCAGTTTTCGTAGATGCAATGTTGTTTTTGAAATGAACTTAAACCCAATCGGTCTCCTCCCTCACAGTTTGTTGTGTTACTTGGGTGTCCTTATTTGCACTTCTCATTTAGAGGTTGCCTCATCCAACCTTAGAGGCGGGCCCACTGAAAAATGAGGAAGTTCAGGTCGAAGATGAAGCCATCTGATGAGTTTTACACCAAGAAGGAAACTCTTTACAAACAACACTTGGGGAACTTTTTGTATCGATGTCTAAATGACCATATCACAATTGAACCGTAGGGTGAATCTTGAAAACTGGTAAAGTGGCCACTGAACAATATCTTGGACTGTATAACTGATGATGAAATATTGATGCAACTAAAATGCAAAGTCAATCAGCAAAAGTGGTCTCTGGTGCCAACACATCAGAAATAAGCTTGAACTGACTAATTTACTGTCTGTTTAAATTAGTTTTGACTCTAAAATGTTGAAAAAAGAGAAAGGTTGATAGAGTAGGAAGCTGGATTTGATAGTAGGGAGTGAAATGCAGACTGGGGCCACAGGTGGGAATCAAACCTGGGCCATCAAGGGCTGCCAGCTCTGTTGTAAATCCTAAAAAAACAGATAGACATAGTCCCCATGACTTCACTCGATGGTCTCTGGAGAAGTTGCTAACTCAACCTGACAGTTACCTCAACTATGCCTCTGATTCTACAAATTCCTGTCTATTTCTTACCCTTCACTTTATTTAACTGATGACTATTATAAAATTTACACCCCATACAGTGTAAACCCTAAACTAGTGTTTGAACCCCTTGATGCCACTGTAAAATAGACATTTGAACACGGTAGTGATGTGCGCAGCAGTTCTTTTAGATGTACTGAATCACTAGAATCAGTTCACTAAAAAGATTCGTTCAAAAGATTCGTTCACCAAATCACTGAATCATTTAGCACTTTGTGGGAGAAGCCTGTGACTCCGGCCTCCTGCACTGATACAAAGCTGAGCGGTTCAGGATTCAGTTCAGTTCAGAGCTTCTTGGACTGGGAGATGAGAGATCATGTTGTTTAAAGTGTACTGTCCTATAGTATGCTATTTACCCGGTCTGCTCGGTAAATTGGGGTCAGTGAATGACTTGTTCACTTAAGGGTTAGAAAAATTCACACTGATTCCAGAGAGTGTAGTTCAATGCGTGGTTCGTTCATTAAGTGATTCAGGCGTCGATGCATGTAGTCCCTCATCTGCTGGCTGCTAGCCTGGCAATGCTGTCTCTCACTTCAGCTCAACTAATGTGAGAAACGAACGAATCACTCGTTTAGGTGATTCGTTTAAGTACGTTCACTTAAAATATTCAGTTCTTTTGAACGAATTGTTCGCGAATGACACAACACTAGAACACGGGCCCTAACCAGGTCTCTTTGACTTTTTGACCCAGCTTTGAGTGGCCACTAAAAGGCTGTGGCTACCCGATCCGTCCCAGAAACACGATTTGTACTGCGCAGGTGCGAAACGGACATCACTTCCTCTACTAGCCATCTTTGTGACAGCTCAGCAAATCTTTGCTCCTAGCGGTTTGCGACAGCTTTGAAACTTGTTCGGCAGCCTCAGCAGCATCAAGCCCGCTTCAGAATGGAGGCGTCAATTTATCAACAGCTACGTCTTTCTCCTGAACGGAGTGCTTCCCTCTTGACCCTTCAATTTCAATTGAGGCACACTCCACAGCTGCGAGTGTAACTTCATTACGAGTGACACTCGATAGTGAAGGCCGAGTGTGTAGGGGGCGGTTTGGGATTGGGACGCGGACTACACAGACTGCCGCAAAATGCATTGAAATACGAAGAGAAGAAGTGACGTCCGTTTTGCACATGTGCAGCACAAATCGTGTTTCCGGGACTGATCGGGTAGCCACAAGAGCTTTAATATTTGCATCCATACTAGCTTCACTTTTCAGCCCCAGGTTTTTTCTTAGTAACTTTATGCACTAAATGTCCCTTAAGGAGAACGTTTGTGACTTATTTTCAGAAAAACTTAACATTCAGTCAATCTTTAATTATAAATCTCCCAATAACAACTAATGTTATTCCAAGATGCTTCACTAAAATAGCTGGTCTAGGCCGTACCTCTCTTACATTTATGACAGTACAACATCCAGATAGGACAAGGTTAAATCTTATCTTGTAACTTCAGACCCACTCTTAACCTAAATGCAGCATTTCGTAAGTTACAGTGGCAAGTAAAGACTTTCTTCAATAGGCAGAAACCTTCAACAGAACTAGACTCATGTTGGACAGTCATCTACAACAACAACAACAACAACAACAACAACAAAGTGTTTTAAGTGGCAAAAATAACAGAAAAATATATGAGCTTTTTACAGGGATAGCATGTTAACAATAATCTACTGATCTCAATTTAAGGTAACTTAAGTCAGCAGGTTTATAGTAGCAGCATAGCATGTATGATAATGAAGTTAAATAATGGGGACTGGAGTGATCAATTGAAACAGAAAGAGTCAAAATCTCCACGATAAACATGAACTTTGTCACTGGGACAAAAATGCTGAGACTGATGCCAATGGTTAAGACTTTATTTTTTATTGAACTGTTATCAGAAGAGGAAACAAGTGGCATAAATTTGAAGTATACCAAACATGAAGCCAAGTAGCTGTGCAAATGTACTCAATAATCCTCCATTATTGGTGGTTATGAAGTTTGGCATTGACTGTAGTTTTTTATTTTTATTTTTTAGAATGTAACTTTTTTTTATAGATTCACTTTGGGGTTTTCAAATCATTAAATGTTGAGGGCTCACAGACGGTGCACTCCACAATAATCAGTATACCCTCCAGGTTTGTTGTAGTATCACAAGAGCCAATTTAATAACTGTAATTATCCTCTCACAGGTCCTCCAGGGGATGGACCTGGCATCAGAGAGCAAAATGAACTCTGAGGGGGGCGAAGGCAGACCAGGTGTGCACGAGACAAACAGTACATGGATTCAAAACAGACAGTCATCCAAAAAGAGAAATTTCAGTTCACAGGTTTGACTTTAAATATCTGAAAGTTTCTGAATCACTTTTTGTTCATGTGTTTAATTTGTTTTGCAGTCCCTCCTACGTCTCTACCCCTACAAGGAGGTGCCACCCAGAGAAAAAAGCTATCTGCTCCCCGCATCAGCCTGTCACTGGACCAGAGCGAGGACGACTTAGGGGAGACACCAGATGATCTTGACATTAATGTGGACGATCTGGACACGCCAGATGAAGGGGATTATTTGGACTACACAGACCATGAAATGGACTGGGAAGGTGGGTCACTGTACAGTATGTGTCCTGAATCATCAAAATGCTGAAGGACATTTTGATGTGTCAGAGGAGGAAAACCTCTTGTAAACGATCAAGTTAATGATGGTTGAATAACAGTCAGCTGTTTTTACTATCAGGATCCTGGTCTTGTGTAAGATAGGTCCACTGGGACTTCTGGACAGGACAGAAACATAGTTTATGCCTGTCGTACTGTGACAAATCAAAAAATGAGGAAAGGTTGTAATAGAGGTTTTTTGTCTCTTATATTAGACCCCAATGCAGCCAGTAGGAGTGGAACAAATGAGCCGTACGATCCCATCCCAACATACAGCGCTGAAGAGGAACGTCAGGATGGCAAACTATGGAGGGCGGTCGTCATTGGGGAGCAGGAGCACCGCATCAACATGAAGGTCATCGAGCCATACATGAGAGTCATCTCCCACGGAGGTGACTATTTGGAATATTACTTGTAAATATATGCAAAAGCTCTGCCTAAAATCAATCCTCACTTGTTTTTCAGCCATAAACCCTGGTAATAGTGTTGTGTTGTTCGCGAACGATTCGTTCAAAAGTTCTGAATCATTTAAGTGAACATACTAAACCAAATCACTTCCTCAAGAGATTCCTTCATTTCTCACTTCAGTTGAGCTGTCAGCATCAAAGCTGCCATAGCACGCAGCATTGTCAGGTGAGCAGCCGGCGAACGAGGGACTGCTTGCACTAACACCTGAATCACTTTGTAAATGAATCACGCATTGAACTACACTCTCTGGAATCATTTTTGTCGGACAAAACAAACATTTTTTTTTTTTACTGCTAAATTGCCACCAGAAAAACTTCCATACAATAAGACACAGCATGTAACAAGTACTGCAGAAAAACCACAGCATCCTATCCTTGCAGCTGTTTGCAAGGGAACGGTCCATGTTCAGTGTGAATTCTTCTAAATGTTCAATGAACGAATCACTCACTGAGCCCAATTTACTGAGCAGAGCGGATAAATAGACAAGTTCATATTTATGAACCTGTTTGCCAAAGCAACACAGCCACAACACTCCTGTCTCCCGGTCCCAGAAGCTATGAATTGAACTGTATCCTGAACAGTTCAGCTGTGTATCAGTTCAGGAGGTTGGAGTCGCAGGCTCCTCCTGTCAACAGCTGAATGATTCTGTGATTTGGTGAACGAATCTTTTGAACGAATCTTTTTAGTGAACTGATTCTAGTGGTTCAGTACATCTAAAAGAACTGCTGTGCCCATCACTACCTAGTAAACTATACAATGATTCCCATTTTCATTTTTGAGCTTACGCCACTTTGCAGCTGACGAGGCGTCAGAGTGATGTCTCGTTTTGAAAACGCTGCCTCTTACTTTGAGGACCATCAGTCAGTCAAAAAAATTAGGCTGTACATGAGACCACTCGATCAGTTTAACATCATCCAGCTGCCATTTGAGAGAACTCTTTGCAAACTAAACACACTGGAAATATTTATGTCAAAATTTCAAATCCTCTCATCCCCTTCACGTGGCCTCACCCAAAAGTAATTGGATTCAAGTTGAAAGTTGGCAAAGTAGCCACTTGATAGTAGTATATTTCAATCAAATGGAGAGCTGCCACTGCTGTATAAAAAGCTCCCCCAAAGGAGAGTCGAAGACAAGTTGTACTTCATAAAAAGAACAAATAGCCTAAGCACAGATATCAACCATACTGGCACGGCAACCTTTTTCCTCTGACTATCTATCCAGGATGGGAAGCTTAGATGCTGCTAAATTAAACTGCCATGTCTCAAGTTGTGAGCAAGTTTCAGTAAAATATATCAGTTGAGTAATTTTTATATGACCAATTCTTTGATTTTCAAGAAACAAAAGAGAACAATAGCCTGGTGTCCTAATGGATTTTTAATATCAGTTTCCCTCCAAGTTTCCATTTAATGCACAAGGAGGTTAGTGTTAATTATGCAGCTGCTACTAAGTTTGATTTTAAAATGTCGTCTACAGTGTAAAACTTGGGTTGTATAATGAAATGATATTTGCTCAACCAAAGCAGAGAAAATCCCTCAAATGTCTGGTAAAAGTTAAAACCCCAATTATATCAATTATAAAAATTAGAGCTGCAAACACATCAGAAGATAAAAAAGCAATTATTGAAGTGTCCTCATTTGTCAAAAAAATTCATCAGTTAACTTATTTTAGTACTTCAGAACAACAAATAAACTGAGTTTATTTTTGAGTCATATTTATTTCTCAATAACAGGAAGCATAAACTGCAGCAGGACAGAGGTTTTTAATTGAGTTCAGTATTTGAATGCAGCATATTGGTTTCACAGATAGGGGCCCATCTACTTTTCCCTTCCCTCTCTGTGGGGCCCCTCCTAGTCTCCAGGATCACAGGCTGCACCCAGGTAAACTTGTGTCCTATTAAAGCACTGACCATACGACCATCATAAGTGGAAATTGGACCCCTTTACCTGGCAGGCAGTATTTTTCACCCCATTGGCCCTGGGCCTCAGTGAAACGCAGCTGTCCCATGGAAACAGAGATGTCTCTTGCAACAGAACCAATATCACCATCTGTACCGTTTAGATAAAAGACCCTCTGTTTGAGTGACACCAAATCTGGTAATGGATGGGCCAGTGGATAAAAAGAAATTACATTATTCTAAATGATAGTGCCAGGAAACAGGATGGAGAGAGACGACCAGACAAAGGGACACAGATTGGCTGATAAAATGAACAAAAAGGAAGAAAATAAGAGAGCAATCAAGTTATGAAAACTATGCTAATGAAGGCCATGAAGTGCTCAGCAACAATGGAACAAGGTCAAATATCTCTCATTACTTTCTTTTTTCTGTGTTTTTATCAAGGCTACTATGGCAACGGAGTGAATGCCATCATAGTGTTTGCCGCCTGTTTCCTACCAGACAGTGACAGAGAGGACTACCATGAAATAATGGAGAATCTTTTCCTGTAAGTAATGATAGACGCTCTCTATATAAGTCATTTAGTGCTTCAAAATTAAAATACTTACTTTTTAATGCTGCAGAAAATGGCAACAATTATTCATAAGCAGTAATATATTGAAGTTGCCAGGTTGGTTGTTTTTAAGTCTTATTTTGAAGTTCTTAAGTCCGTATGGTAATATTGGATACCATGCAAATACCTAGATACCTGCAAATGAGCAAAAGACATGCAAAATGAGGACACTGAACTTGAAAGCTTAACATTAGCATCATTATGTACTAAAGCGTAAGCCAGTGTCGCCACCATATTGGATGGGTCTCCTCACTTTGGGCTTGCTCTAGATCCAACAGAATCAATAGAGAACGAGCACCTACAACTGTATTTTGTACACCCTACGGTTGAAGAAAGCAATGCCCGTAGAATTACAATTTCCAAGTAAGATCGAAAAACAATTTTGGTTATTTGTAATGTGTGACAGCATCCTGTGTCATAGCTACATCTCTGCCGTTTTTAACAAACCAAAGCATGTGAAAATCGGGCAAAATTAGGAGATTCATGATTAATATGGTTGGGCATTCCTACCTGCCTCGATAGAAAATAAAGGGACTGAGGCGCATGGGAGACCCATTCAAGATGGCGGCGTGAGCTCCAATAGAGTGTAACAGCATCAACGTCAGCACGGGGGGCGTGGTGCATAATGTCCTAATTTCATTCATTCCAATGCGCTTAGTGTTGTTATGTCTGTCAAAATGACGCTGCTACACTTTATGGACTCCGTCAGTCAATGAGACGGCTATGTATACTATGCTTATGAGTGTGAGAATGTTAGCATGCTAATGTTGAGCTCATCCTGAGGGACCTTGTTACAAATGTTAGATGTCAAAGAGGTTACCCAGTGCTGTAAATGAGCTCTGGCCTATTTAAGAAAAGAAACTTTGATAAAGTGATAGGAAAAATAGTCCGGCCTGTTTGAGAGACCTCCCATGCGGATATCTCCACTGTTGCGCTGGCACAGTTGCATTTCATGTTTGGACATCCCACAGGCTGTTCTGTGAAAGATATTGAGTAAGCTGCCATATCTGAGAGTTTTGGATTGAAATGAAAGGAGGTAAGCCGTAGAGTCTGCGGTCTCTGATGCCAAATGGCTTTAGGTCTGAATCCTTGCGAGGAGGAGTTAACTATAGCTGGATGGTCAAACGGCATGCATGCTTGATGGTGGTGGGGGACGATCACCACAGTCACGAAACAGAGTGGATCTCCGGTGTTGATTTTAAAGCCAAGAGTGACATTGAATTGAGAGAAAAGGAGAGTCAAACTGAGCTCAAAGTCGCTGCACTCTGAGGAGTTAATGAACAAAACTGCAAGGACTGTGTTAGCCAAGGATTTCAACTCTATTTTCAAAGCAGGCCACAAAGTTCCCCGCTGTGTGAGAAGAAGGAGAAAATTTGGAGGATTGTGAAGAGAAATGAGAAAGAGATAAAGGTTTCTTTTGGTTTGAATCAGAGTTTTGTATTTTAGAAAATTGGAATTTGATTGAGGGGCTGAGGTTGATGCAGGGAAGGGAAAGAAGAGAAGTTCAAAGCAAAACATCTTTTCCACGGAGCAGCAGCTTTACCAGTTTTTTACATCATAGGAACAGGTTTTGAAAAACAGGCCTATCTCTATCATTTCCTTGTTCTGTTGGCTGTCAGATTAAGGACACATGGTTCTGCAATTCTTGCCCTCCCATTTCACCAACTTGGTATCAGAAGACAGATTTTTTTTCACTCCTTATCAGATATGTACCCGCATGAAAGACTTCTTACAAACCAACTTAGGTGACGAAGAAGTCACATTAGTTTTGACCTATCCTAAAAACAATCAGCTGTTTATCAAGCTGATCAGGAAAGTAGGATTTAAATAACGTTTGTTATTTGTTGTGCTTTGTTTGAGTACATTTGTCATGCATACATTTGTAACTTCAAGCTCCAGTAAGGAACTTTTGTTTTGTGTCAATTTTGGCCCCCTGTGGACAAAAGAGTCTTCACTTACTGTATTTTTGGCACTATAAGGCGCACCTGACTATAAGGTGCACCATCAATGAATGCGTCTATTCGCGTCTATTTTCATACATAAGGTGCACTGGATTATAAAGCCAATAAGCCAAGCAAAACAGTCATATAAGTCAAACTTTGTTGAACCCATTCAATAACTCTGTGAGGCTACAGTAGCTGCAGTGCTCCGACAAGCCAAAAGGATTTTAGGTGTACCTTATAGTGCCAAAAATACAGTATCTTAAAAACAATCAGCTGTTTATCAAGTTGATCAGGAAAGTAGGATTTGATTAATGTTCGCCATTTCTTTTGATGTGTTTGAGTACATTTGTCATGCACACATTTGCAACTTCAAGCTCCAGTAAGGAACTTTAGTTTTGTGTCAATTTTGGCGCCCCCTGTGGACAAAAGAGTCTTCACCTATGTTATGCTACAAATAGATGGTGCAACACTGTGAATTCTGGGGTAAAATGATTCTCTCAAGCACTTTCTTTGGAAAGAAGTATGAAAAAAGTGTATATTTATTTGTTTGTTGTGTGTTTTTTCTCAGCTACGTGATTAGCACATTGGAGCTGATGGTGGCAGAGGACTACATGATTGTGTATCTGAATGGAGCCACACCTCACAGAAGAATGCCCGGCCTTGGCTGGCTGAAGAAATGCTATCAAATGATCGACAGAAGGTCTTTTCCTCTTTTAATTCTTACTGTTTGCTGTATTTCAGAAACTCTCACCTAAATGAAAAGTGGAAACAAGTTAGGACATGGACAGTAATTCACCTCACCTAACTTATGTTATTATGTGTTGTCTTTAGGCTCAGGAAGAATTTAAAGTCGTTCATTATTCTGCATCCGTCATGGTTCATCAGGACCATTCTTGCCATCACCAAGCCTTTCATCAGGTAAACAATAACTATTTCTTTTAAATCTCTCAACAGTCTTAACTTTGTCAAGTGTATATTAACAAATGTTTTCGAGCTAAAATGCTATCATAAAATTATGAATGCAGAGAACATTACTTCTGAGCATTTGCATTATGTTTTTGTTCTTGTATTTGCTTCTGATTTGCTTTCGTGTAAAGCTAAAAGCACCCTGACAATGACTACAGCCCGGCCTCAGTCCAGCCTAATCAAGCTGCTAGCTGGCATGGCTGCAGATTTTGTGTTTACTAGCCTTCTGTTGGACATTTTAGCTTTATTTGAATAGAAAAGAAACAGACTTTACTTCTGGTTCTCTGATGCCAGGTCAGTTACTTCCACCATCTTTTTTTATGGGCCTGTCATTACACTGTTCTTGTTTTTATATGCTCGTGTCCATGTTGCTCTTGTCGCAGCGCCAAGTTCAGCAGTAAGATTAAGTATGTGAGCAGCCTGGATGAGCTGCAGGAACTCATCCCCATGGATAGCATCCAGATCCCAGAGTGTATCATTAGGTGAGTCCCCTACAAGTGCCTGAATGATGCACCCTCTGTCAACCTCCACCAAGTATAAACTACCTTTCCAAATGACTTTATATTCATCTTGCCATTTGAACTCTCACCTCCAGACTTGACAAGCAGCTGAAGGAAGCCGCAGAGAACTCAAAGTAAGTAACGACTCTCCTGCCTCTCATTACAACCCTCAGTGGAGCCAGCAGGCCCTCAGTTTTATCCTTGGCTGGAGTGTTTATTTATCAGATGGCTCACTTTAAGATCACAGAGACTTCTCTGTTGGACGAGGACCAATTAAATTTGGCTACGGATGCAATTACAAAAGTTGCTTAAGATGCTAATGCATTGCTTTCATCTCATATATCATAACTATTAAATAAATGAGCGTCTTTATTGCAGTGATCTATTACTGTGATAATAAATGGTTGAAACATTGAATTCATGCTAATCTCTTGCTAATTCACAATATTTATGGTGGACAACTTTCCAGATTTAATGTCCTTAATTAGAGGTTGAAATGTGCTGTACAAAGTCACCACTCTTTGTCCTAAAGATTTAATAATCAGGGTGTTTGACCTATTAAATATCTGCAGTTTTGAAAAGCTCAGAAACAACTAGGCTATCAGTTGTTGGAAGAAAATTTAGCTCCAGTGGATATAAAAAGTCTACACACCCCTGTTCAACTGGTTTTTATCATGTAAAAAAATTAAATCAGGATAAATAATTTTGTAACTTCTTCCACCTTTAATGTGACCTATAACCTGTACAACACAATTGAAAAACAAACAGAAATCTTTCAGGGAGGTGAAGTAAAAATTAACAACTGAGATCATGTGGTTGTTTAAGTGTGCACACCCTTTAATAACTGGGGATGTGGCTGTGTTCAGATTTAACCAATAACATTCAAACTCAGGTTAAATTGGAGTTAGCACACACCTGTCACCAATTTAAGTGCCTCTGATCAACCCCAAATAAAGTTCAGCTGTTCCAGTAGCTTTTCCTGACATTTTTGTAGCCACATCTTTCAGCACAAGCCATGGTCCACAGAGAGCTTCCAAAGCATCAGAGGGATCTCATTATTCAAAGATATCAGTCAGGTGAGGGCTACAAAAGAATTTCCAAGCAATTAAACATACCATGAAACTCAGTGAAAACCGTCATCAAGTGGAGAAAATATGGCAAAATATTGACATTACCAAGAACAGGACGTCCGTCCAAAATTGATGATAAGACAAGAAGAAAACTGGTCAGGGAGGCTACCAAGAGGCCAACAGCAACACTGAAGGAGCTGCAGGCATTTCTGGCAAGTACTGGCTGTGCAGTACATGTGACGACAACCTCCTGCTGTCTTCATATGTCTGGGCTATGGGGTAGGGTGGCAAGATGGAAGACATCGAGGCCCGGCTTAATTTTGCAAAAAAGACATCTGAAATCTCCCAAATGCATGTGTTATGGTCTGATGAAACCAAAGTTGAACTTTTTGGGCATCGTTGCAAAAGGTATATTTGGCGCAAAATCAACACTGCTCATCACCAAAAGAACACCATACGCACAGTGAAGCATGGTCGTGGCAGCATCATGCTTTTTGGGCTGTTTTTCTTCAGCTGGAACTGGTGCCTTAGTCAGGGTGGAGGGGATCATGTGCAGTTCCAAATATCAGTCAGTGTTGGCACAAAACCTTCGGCCTTCTGCTGGAAAGCTGAAGATGAAGAGGAACTTTAATAATAATAATAATAATAATAATAGATTTTATTTGTAACACACTTTACATTTAAAAACAAATCTCAAAGTGCACAACAAGACAACAATAACAGTAAAAACCAAGCAACAGGGCAAAACAATAAAAAACAGTCAGCAGATAAAATCAGATAAAATTAGTCCGGGTAGGCTTTCCGAAAGAGGAAGGTTTTGAGTCCTTTTTTAAAAGCATCCACCGACACTTTATCTTTCAGCACGACAATGACCCAAAGCACACATCTAAATCAACAAAAGACTGGCTTCACCAGAATAAGATTGAGACTTTGGAATGGACCAGCCAGAGTCGAGACCTGAATCCCATCGAACATTTTTGGGTGAACAGGGGTGTATAGACTTTTTGTATCCACTGTACACGTTCCGACCTTTGACCCAGACACGTGAAAAACTGTTTCATGTGGGAGAGATGGTTTTCTCTCCCACACCAGTAAAGAAACAATGAGCAAACCAACACAACAGTGAATTATTCTCCAATCTCAAAAAGTTGAAACTGTTTTAGTGCACTGGGATTCCATCCTCATTTGTTCATCAAATTACTTCAATGTCAAACAGCTGGTGTCATCAGCACAGCTCACTAAACAGGTATTTGCTGGATGCCAGAAGGGAGAAGTGCCCATCTTGGTTGCTGTAACACACAGTGCTCGATGACTCTCGGTAACTCCCTTTAATTTCCAGTAATTTTCGTATCCGCCCAGAAAGTGATTAGTTGTTTATGTGGTGAGTCATGCTGATGTTGTCGTTCATTAGTTGCAAAACTGGAATATAGCGTGTTCACACCCAGCACTCCAAGTGGAAGTCAACAGAATAAACTTGAATGTGAACTTACAAGCAAGTAGCAACACTTTGCATACAGCTGTACAATTTATAGCCATCTTTAATATTTTAGAACACTTTTAAAAGGTCATGTGAGCATGTAGTCTCAAAAATATTGAATACAATTATGACTCAAAGCTACCATTTTTAATAGAAAGTTAAGGTCCTTACACACCGGGACCGACGCAAATATACGACGCGAAATTACCAAATATTCAGAGGCAGATTTTGACGTGCCTGATTATACACATCAAGCCCGATGCGATTTTGCGACTTTCTGGGGTGAAAAAAGACGCGTCCCGGGTCAAAGCGAGAAGACTGACACAAAACCAGACTGACTGTTTTTCAGTTCTGATTAGACACTAGTGTTGAGATGTCTGTCTGTCATGATAGCATGTACTGAGTCAGGGCCAGTACCAGATAAGCACATTAAACTATAATCCATAAACATAAGGTAACAACTGAGACCTAATGGTGCTGTGACAGCAACGCGGTTGAGTTTGAGACAGTGAAAATAAATATGGTATGTTGTATCTGAACAGGTTAGCTTACGAGCTAAAGTTACTTAGCACAGATGAAAGTTAAAACAAAGACGTTTAGCAAACTGTTAAAGCACACAAACCATCGTCATATGAGAAATCTGATTCTATGACTCTCCACGAGTTGTCCTTCAGGTCGTTCTCTTTGTAATGTTTGTGTCTTTTATCAAAAAGCACTCTGTTCTCCGACACGTAAACAATCAGCCGGTCAGCCATGTTGGATATACCGGTGAATCAGATGTCGCAACAACACGCAATCTGATTGGTCAGACGTGGACGCACAGTATGCGAAATTTAAGAAAAATTGACCGTGATCCGAGCCCAAAAACAGGTCAGTCAGGGATTATCAGATATTTTGCTCTCAGTTCTGACTTCATAACCCAGCAGTGAAGCAACATTTGAGCTTTCCACCTGTAAGTGTAAATGGCTGCTGTATAAATAAGTTTAACTGCGCCTTAATTCACAAGTTGCATGTGTTTACATTTGAAATATACCTGTGCATTAAAACGATAAATCCTGAATTAACTACCCTTCATTTTTTTTCCTTTCATTCAAGAGTCAATAGCTTTCTGCTGGGACCAGAGCCAACAGCCACAGCAGCAGCAGCCGCAGGAGGCAGAACGGAGTAAGTCCTCGCAGACGTTTAAATTCACACACAGAAGAGTAATGGCCTGGTGTCAGCAGTCTGTCACCCATACATAAACATACCCGTCTTTAATGTCTCTGTTTTGTTCTCTTTCGTCTTCGCAGCAGGCAAGACACAGCCGGTGCCAGCAGCTCTTAAACCCAAACATCCAAAATGGATGGGTCACCTCAATGTTCAGAAGTCACTGTTGTATTTTACGGGTGAAGCTGGAAGGCTTGTAGTGTGTGTGCGTGCGTGTGTGTGTGTGTGTGTGCGTGTGTGTTTCAGAGGTTGCCAATAAGTCACTGAAGTTTAATATGAAAACGTACAATCTCCTTCTTTACAGCTGCTGTAGCATCTTCTGTACCTAAACTTACAATCCAGAGAACTATCAAGTCAAGGGTGATGCTCAGCAGCATCTCCAGAGCAGCATCACAGTTCATGGTAGGGTAGGAAATGCAATTATACACCAGACAGTGCACTGCGCAAAATCCATTTTATAGAGTCGATAGTGTTTGTAGCTGTGTGCATGAGAAGCAGTGAAGCAATAATATCATCCTTTACTGGTCACGCGCACTCAGTATTCCTGATAAACAAGCAACCTGTGTGTCAGCAACTTACAATAAAAACACAAGGTTTTTTTGCCAAAAGAAAAAGAAAACCTTGTGCCAGAAAAGACCAAGTATTGCACTTAAGCAATCATATCCTCTGTCTTACTCACAAATTGTTCTTAAACTGGGAAATAATAGTAGAAATTTAATCTTTATAGAGTCTATGAAACCAAGAGAGGATAGGTTAAGTATAAAGTTTTAAGTGCAATGTCAGAGCATATCTTTTTAGATTCACAAATGTGTGTTTGTGTGTGTTTTCAGTCTGTCAAATACATAAACACGTGTTCAGCTTTTCTTGGTTCATCAGGATGAAGCCCCACAAGAGCAAAACGGGGTTTCTGTAAAGCACAATATCGTCTGTGTGTGTGTGTGTGTGTGAGTGTATGTTCACACGCATGTGTGTGTTTGTGCATCTGTGCATGTCCTCTCATAGATAAGTGATACTCCTCTTACACATGAGTGTTTGTCCGTGGTGTACTGAGGATGTTCAGAGAAGTTATGGATCACTGTCTAGTTATTCAATAAACATTGACTGAAGTCCGAACGTTGTTTTTGATCATTTCAATCATGACAACTGAGACGGTTTAACTTTTAAATCTTTGCAGCTAAATTAGAAATCATAGAGTACTCTGAAGTTTTTTAGACTTTAATTGAACAGAACACTTGAAAATGAAATTCAATGTCAGGAAACACTTGGGAGTAAAGGGAAGAACAAGAAATCCATGTTGAAACAACATTAGATGTAATCTTACAACACAAGAAAAAAGAGGAATAATATGATCCATGAAACTGTCCAAACTGTTAAAGCCACTGTGAGGAGTTTTTGACTGCTTGAAGAACAGGCTTAAATCAACTGTCAGGACCTACAGAGGCAAACAAGGTCATTACAGGCAATATTTATAGAGCAAATTTTAATGCCTGTTACTGCCATGAGAAGGTAGGTATCAATCAAGACGATTCACAGCTCACTAAAGTTAAAAAAAAAAACCTTACTTGACTTTTCCAAAGCAAATATCACTGTAAGTAATTGTTAAGAGGCACCTTAGTCAGGCAGAACTACTCACACAGCTGCAGGACAAAACCAGCAAAGTTGTGCGAGGTTCCTCTTTGTTCATTTGTGGCACCAAAATCAAAACAAAAAGAAAGTTCCTTACGGGAGCTTTAAAAACATATGTAAGTTATTTATGTTTGCAGGATGTAGGGCCGGGCAGTATGGCCTGAAAATAAAACCACTGTATCTCACACCAAACTAGATTTAGGATAGTTATCATTTACCCCCTTAGGAAAAAAAAAAAACTATTGATGAAAAAAAATTACTCAAAACAAGTTTAAAGTCCTGAAGATTGCTCACCTATGTGGCCATCAGAGAAGTAACCTATCTGGAGATGAGGAGCCTAATCAGCTGATAAAACGCACCTTTAAGCTTGTAAGAATGCACAAGCCATATTTCTGTCACAGTGGAATGCAACAGCATCTATGGAAGAGGAAAAAAAAGACCATATATATGTAAATATATATGTATATGTATATTTTTTTCTGAGAACAAAGTCCAAATTCCGAGAAAATAGTCAGAATTCTGACTTTAATTACAGAAGTCAGACTTTTGACTGTATCCCTTTCAGCTTTCTAGCAACATTTCTCCTGTACAGTTGTAAAAATAAGGCAGGACAACTAATGCAGTGGCTGTGTTGCACGTATCTGGGGTTTAAAGCACGGGGATAAACCCAGGCTTTTCTACTGTATATATTAGGGCCCGACCGATTTATCGGTGAGCTGATTGAACTGGCCAATTTTAGCCCGTTTGAGACTAATCTGTATCGGCCAAAACTCGCAGATTTTCACCGATATTTTCAGAAATAAAATGCAGAGAATAAGATTCGGTTTCACTTCGAAAATGTTCCGCCATTTGACAATCTTCATCCACTAACTACCTCTTAGCACAGCAGAGAGACGATCTGAAGCAGGCAGCTCAGGGACATACGGAGGAGAGTACGCTGTGCTGGTCTCGGTCACGCCGAGTTAACAGTGAAGCACCATGTAATATGCAAGCTAAAGTTAGAGTTAGCCACCTGCTATTAGCCTTTCTACACTGTTAGCCGTGCCAGTAACGGTAGAATAAACAACAGTATACATTAAGTGATCGAGCTTCTTCTCTAACTGAGGCAGCTGCATGTCTCCAGATAAGACCGAAGTGGAAATGTTTAACGTGAGTTAAGACACGGAGGCAGCGATTGGCGGGGGGGGGGTTGAAAACGCTTTTCTGGTCCGAGTTTGCTCAGTCGGTCTTCCTAGAGCAGTAGCCTACAGTATCTCTACAGTACATAGTATACTGTAGATATCTAAAGTATATATATATAGTTTTACAACTTCATAAAAAGTTTTAAAAAATGGCCGATTAATCGGTAATCAGACCCCCCCCAATAATCAGTATCGGCATCGGCCCCAAAAAATACAAATCAGTCGGGCCCTAGTATATATAGTGACTACGCCTGCAATATAAAGCTTAACTGTGATAAATTGTCCTGTGTTTGATGTAAGGTGTTGCCTTTTGGGTCGCACGTTCATGCAGAGTTAACATAGGCTGCTGTAAAGTGGACATGCTGACTGTATATGTGTTTTTGTGCGATTGTGGCTGAAGTTCAGCAGTTACTTCCTCTCTGTTCCTCCTTCGTCATACATAATGCAATGGGGAAATGATTCTGCTAATATTGGCTGCTTCTTAGCTGTGTTTGTGGGCTGTAAGAATAAAAGCTGGCAGCCATGTTGTCGCTGTGTGTGTGTTTCTGTAGGAAGTAAACGAGGGAGGAGGGTTTAACTGGAGGGAGGTGGAAAAGGAATAGAGAAAGTCTAGATTTTTATTTTTAAAAACCGTCCTAAGCCAAAACTGAAAATGAGTTGATAAAAGCCCAGCCCTAGCAGAGAGACAACATCCTCCAAAATAAGACAAGAAAGGAAGCTGATTATGTAATAATGTCCTTCAGGTTGTTTAACATTTGGTTTTCATGCTGTACATTTCATTTCGTGAATGGGTAGCAGAAAAATGCTGCCCATACAAAGTAGCTTCTTGTGTCCCATTTGATTCGACTCATATTTAAAGGGAGGAGAAATGGGTCCAACCCCTCAGGTAGAAAGAGATAAACAGCACAGAGGAGTGAGTGAAAAAGACAGAGCAAAGAGAAACGTCTCTCAATCTTCATCTGAATGTGTAGCTTTCGTCGTCATACTCCAGCTCATCCTCGTTGTCCTCTCCAAGCTGTCCGTACCGGAACTTCCTGTACACAGTGCCGTCCTGACCCATGTAGACAATGTCCTCATCTTCGTCATCGTCGTCATCATCACCCTTGACCCCTGTGCGGCGTTCACCGATGTCAACCAGCTGAGACTCCTTGAAGCGGCCGTCTGAGGAGCCGGCGCCTCGGTTGCTGTAAGATGTGGAAGAGGAAGAGCTGTAGCCGCCGTGTCTGCTGCCACCTCCGTATCCCCCGCCGGAGCCCAGCTTTTCATAGCCACGGGGCGTGATGTCCGGGGGTGCACGCTTGGAACGGGAGTGTCGGATGAGGAAGACTACGGCCACCAGTCCAAACACCAACAGTATGCAGGCGATGATGAAGACAGCCAGGTTACCTCTGGCCTCTTCTTCCTCCTCGTTTCTGAAAGCCAGGTTGGTGCTAAGGACGCATTCGCCTAGAAATCCCACACAGCCAAGGGGTCAAAGGAAAAATGTAGTTTTATCATATTCAATCTCATGAATATTTAAGTGTAAATTTACATTGAAGTGCTCCTTAAATGTTGTCAGGAAGGATAGATCAATATACATCTCAAATAAAAGGTTTATTTTTGTAGTTTCTTCTCTGAGCTGATAATCTTGTGACATTATTCCTCTCTCTCTCTCTTTACTGGGACTTATGCATTTATACTTCTCCCTTTATGTACAAACATGTTCTGTTATAATGATAAACCTCCTTGAATCCTTGATTTACACGACCCCTTCACTTGTCAACATCATGAATTTGTCCCAACATCAACCTTTACTGTTTTTCTTTCAGTTTTTCATTTTCGTCTGTATTAACGCTGTCTCTTTAAATCCAGATCAGAGAAGAAAAGAGCCGATTAAAAACATAAATATGCTCCACTGAGTCACCTTCAGATACCACAATGCACTCACAGTAATAAGCTTAACAGGCATCAGAAAGTCATTTCAGCCTTTGTTTTTTCCCCTGGGTATCTGCTTTCAGGCAACACAGAGGCTTAAGGGCTTGTTTTATATCTCTAGCTATTGTTGGGGCTGTCAGCTATTTTTAGTTTAAGTCTTTAAATTATCAATCATATTCAACATTTTTCAAAAAAGACCAAAACGACAGACTCATTCGCCCAAATAGAGAAAGAACATTTTGGCACCTCAAGGATGCTAATGAGACATTACTTGTCAAATATTGTCAGGTCTCTTACTAATGCTCAACTTAATGTGAGGCAAGTGAGAGTAATTCTGCAAAACAGCAAATAATTACGACTAATGAGCAACAGTTCGAGTGAAAAATGTAGTTATGCAGTGATTATGCAGCCTTGCCTTGCACAGCTTAGACAGTTGACTTTTTTCTTTTCATCCATGCATTTATTTCTTCCAGACCAGACTACTGTAATTCACTTTATCCTGGCATCAGTTAGTGCAACATTCAAAGGCTACAATTTATTCGAAATGCTGCAGCCAGACTTGGAACACTTAGTGAAAGAAGCGACCGTATATTACCAAACCCTCGCTGGCCTTCACTGGCTCCCTGTGAATTTAAGAATAGGCTTTGAGATTTTGCTGCTTGTTTGTACAGTTTTTATCTGTGAGCTGCTAACTCCCTATGAGCCTGAGGTCCTCGAGCAGGCCCTTGTTATTAACCTTGTTAATTGGTATACTGCGGATTCTAATAGTTAGGCACTTCGTAACTTGTGCGGTGGTCAACTGATTACAGTTTTTCAAGAGCCGATACTGATAATGAGAGTGCTGATGGTCGATATATAAAATACTGATATCACTGCTATTTTTCCAGTATAATAACTCTAATAAATGAGAAACTCAATTAAATGTTTAGTTAACAAAAAGAGAAAAATATTGGACTTCTGGATTTTATGCCTAGCTATCTGAAATTAGCCAGAAAGACAAAAATATTTGAGGTAAATATTAATATCCTTATTATTTAACTGCACATCTGCACATTATAATCATCAGAGCTTGTATTAAACCCTAGACACTCTTGGTAGATAACGGTGATACCAGCCTTGCAATGCTTATGCCGATATGTCGCTGATCATGTAAAAATGCCATCAATATGTCTATCTCTAGTACGTCATAAATAAAAAATATTCTTATTCTTTTCATTTCTAATTTCTCTAAGCTAAAAGTGTTCAAGTTTTATTTGATGTTGATAAAGATTTTTTACCTCTCAATTCAAACAAAAGTGAAACAAACAAACAAAAAAAAATCACATTTTTTGTCAACCAAACTTTGTGAATTTGGAAACAGAGTAAAATGTCTCTTCTTAACACACTGGAACACTCTGGAAATTATAATTCTGAAAACATGCAGAGCAGCTACGAAACTTATCATGTTACCCTGCAGGAAATCCAATTTTAGCAGGTGTTTTTGTCCTATCTCATTACACTTCGGTCACTCTTACCTGACAGATTCAGAAATAAATCTGAATTTTAAAACTACAGCAAAAATAGGCTTGAAATGGGATAAAACATCCCCCAATGCAGCAGGCAAGCTATTCATTTTCTTGGAATAAATTTGACATCTCATTTACGGAAAATAATCAAGAAAAAAAATTTCCTTTCATAAATATACTCACTAAGGTAGGAGTTTTGCAGTGTATCTGCTGAATTATTACAGATCCATCTGAAACTGAAACCAGTGGTCGCTGGTTTGATTCCTTTGTCGTATTTCTTCCCCTCTCTCTACTGCCTACATTTCCTGTCTTTCTTAAGCTTTTTTTATCTCTTAGGAAAAAAAAACGCCCAAAAATACTCCTTAAAAAAACAAAAACATAACTTTAGATCAAGTAAATTGATCAACTTGAGTAATTCTTTGAGTTTTAGACTTTTTGTCAAGAGAAAACAATCAATTAATCAACAAATAATGAAAGCCACTTTTTTTCTGCTCTCTGATATTCAATAGCCTGAGCAAAAAATCAACCAGGTCTGATAGTCCATTCAGTAGCAATAAAAGAACCAGGTCTGATAGTCCATTCAGTAACAATAAAAGACTTTTTTTTGGCCAAAGCTCTGTTTTCTTTGAATTCATAAGTGAGAAAATAAACAGAAAAGTTTTGAAGAAAATTTAATTCCTGTTAAAAGTCATCTTAAAGTTTATCAGACATTGTTATAAGGGGTTTATAAATCCCCTCTATATGTCCTTCATACTCAACACCAACCCTCAGCCTACCTCGGGTCTCAGTACAGTTACAACAGTCCTGCTGCCGCGCTGAAGCCTTGCCTCCCTCCTCCTCCCCCTCCTCCTCATGGCGGCAACATAGCAGACAGCGCCCTCCAGCTTCTAAAATGGCCTGAGGAGGACACATGGTGCAGTTTGCAGAACCAGGACCCCGGCACTCCAGACAGGAGCCATCACACTCTCCACACTCGTGGCCTGGACCCTGGTGAGGTGTGGGAGGGATGCACAGCTCAAGCATGGACTCCACATCACAGCTTCAAAGAAAAGTTTCATTTCTAAAAGGACTGAATATAACTAATGCTCTGCCTTTCAGCTTAACCAATTAATATGCATCTACCGTACCTGCCAGACACTTTCAGTCCGTAGCCTCAAAGCATGAGCCAGGAGATTTATTTTGAAATCATGACACAGTAATAATTTTCACTCTGCTGTTGGAATTTCTCCTGGTGCAGTAATAAGTCAACCTGAATTGCATTATATGACACCCGAGGCCAAAACATTAGTTAATAATTATTTTGGTGGAGCAAGGACAGGGTAAGGAGTTCTTTTTTCTCTAATGAAAAGTTAATATTTGTGAACTTCAAACTTAATTAAAGAATTACATGCTTACCTTCATTATAGGATACTGGCCTATGTCGCACATGGACTCACACACGCCGTCAGAGAGCAGGAATCCAGAAAAGCACGAGTTGCAGGATCGGGAATCTTTTCCTGCAGGTACAAGTCAACAAGTCAGCTGATTGGATTCATTTTCAGGCGTATACATACATTCAGCTGCTGTGCATTTGGTGTTTGATCCAGAAATCCAGTAAACTCCATTATAACATCTCCGCTTCAAAGTCCTCTGAGGAAAATGTTGAACATCTCTCTCTCAAATCAGTCTCTCTCTATTTATAATACTGACCTGACCAGACTTTTGATCTACAAAGAATCAGACAAAATAGTGGAGTTAACCCTTGAATGCCTTTTCTGTCATATTTAATACACACTTTTATATACTTCTATCAAATCAATATGATCAATGAATTACAAAAAAAAAACCCACCTGAAAACAGTCCGATAAATGATAAAAAATGTCCTCTTGTGGTTTATTAGTTTCCAAAAACATCTTATGTGTCAAACGAGATAAATAAATATATTTGTTAAATTTTAAGGACATTTTGATTTTGGGGGTTTTCAGTAGCAAGTGAAATAAACATTTCAGCTCTTAAAAAAAATTTGAAAATTGGAATTTTCTGCCCATAATTTTTGGTGTCAGGCATTAAAGGGCTACAGTGGACCTTAAGGTAAAAAGCCACAACCTGTTAGGACCAAGAGGCAGCTTTGGGTGAAGATGTCCAAAATACTTTGAGGAGTCCCTCAAAGGTCCACAAGAGGCTGGCTACAAAAGCCAAGTTTTTACTATCGTAAATACAGCTGTCAGGCTCTTTTACTATTATTATTATTATTATTTTAATGGTGTAATAGTTCAATAGCAGACTTGTAACTTAAATAAAAGCTTAAGTGTTCACATTATCCGTTTAAAGCAGTTAACGTAGACACCTTTTGTAGAATTTTCAATATTATGCATGAACCTCCTCTCTATATAGGATTAATGCAGTCGATACACAATCCAACACTTCAGCATTTTCACATCTGCAGTCCGTAGAGAAAACAGCAGCATCAATATCTCATCACCTACATCGCAGTGTATGTGATAGTGTGTGTGTGAATGCGTGTGTGTGTGTGTGTGCTCATTCCCACAATATTAAATTAGTGCTGAGTGGACACTTCTACCTGAGCACGCTCTGCAGCTGGCGTGGCAGTGCTCACAGGTCCTGTGTGCGGGATCGTGGTAGTATCCCTCAGGGCAGGAGGGGAGGCAGCGGCCTTCTTTCCGCAAGTAGATGAGACCCAGAGCGCAGCTCAGACAGCTGTCCTCCCCGCCCCCGATACACTCACCGCAGCTCGGGTCACACTTCTCACACATCCCCAAGCCCGTGTTTCCATAGTGACTGGCGAGAAAGTTATGATGGATTAGATTCAATTAAAGCAGGAGAGTTTTGTTTGTCCTCAAAGGAAATTCTTCACCGCAGCCACTCAGTCACAAACAGCTGTAAATGACTGAAGCTACAATGACAGAGGGAAAAGAGTCACAACAGAAACCCTCAGAGCGAGGCTGAGGACACTTTAACAAATTCTGGACCAAAAAAGTCAAAGTGATGTTTTTATTTTTCGTCACACACGCAGGTCTGAAAATATGAAAGGTTCAGGTCAAACCATAAATGGCCTTTGTGTCCTTATTTTGAATATTTAACTGCACACAATTTAACAGCACATTAATTTAACTCTCCCAATCGCTGCTTACCATAATAAAATCAAGCCTAATTAGCATTTTACAGGCCACATGCATTGCTATTTAAATCTCAGGCTAAATTAGCTTGATCTCCAAATTGCACCCCTGTCTCGCTAACAAAAGGAAAGCAATGGTTTAGAGTCCGCACTGACATTATGGGACCAAAGTGATCTTTTATTAATGACAACACTGTGTGACCGCATTTAATGTGATGGATTAGTGGCGCAGCTGGGCGGTGAGCAGGTTAAACTACCTGTGTTGGCAGGTCTCCACACACTCTTTGCCCTCCCTGAAAAGGTGGCTTTTACAGATGAGGCACTCGTGGCTCTTATCCCCCACGCAGCTCTGACAGGAAGCGTGACAAGGCTCACATTTCTGGCCCGACTCGTCCTCATAGTAGCCTGTGGGGCACGCGTCCACACAGGTGCCATCTGTAGCAACAAACACACATGCTGATCACGCAGCCGCACAAACAAACAAGTCACAGATGCTTGGAGACTTTGGAGATATCACAAGGCCGGCTAACTCGACTCACTGAGCAGGAGATGTCTCTGGTTGCAGCTCAGGCAGTGGGTTTTGCCGGGACCCGAGCACCTGTGGCAGTATTTGTGACACGGATGGCAGTCCCCCTCCTGGTCTGCGTACTGGCGAGATGAGCACTTGTTGGCTGAGGGGACACAGTGGCCGTGACCCTCCAGTCTGTGGTCCTCTCTGCAGCTGCTGCAAGAGCTGGAGTGGGGGCCGGAGCAGGTCAGGCAGGAGACATCACAGTCTGGAACCAGAAAAGGAAAGTAAATTAAAGGAGTAGGGGTAATAAAAAAAACAAAATCTTTTCACCTGGCCTGATATTTGTTCTGGTTATTGCCCCAAATCCATGAAACACGTTTTCTACTTCAGTGAAGGGGACCACCTTTTCATTAGCCTTTAGCTTTTATTGAAATGAATCAGTTCCATGTAAAAATGCTCTGATCTGTCTCCTGAAGCACTTCTTAACAAGTTTACAAAAACTCAAACGTTCTTTACATTTTGAGTTTTACAGCTGCTTTAGGTTGATTTTGGCGCCCCCTCTGGACAAAACCAAACCTGATATGCATTTGTGGGTATTTCCTTGTCCACTCACTTCTCTTTCCCATCACATAAATATCAGAGAAATACCGATGAATGTTCTTAAGACCCTGATCTGTTATGGCTGAAACATAAAGGATCCGTATTGAGCACGTATCGGCAGTGTTGCATATCAAGATTTTATTGATTACTTTTTAAAGCGCTCAAAGGACTTACTCCGAGCTACATTTCAGAGCTTTTAATACCTTATGAGCCAACTCGCAGCCTCAGATCCTCTGGCAAAGGCCTCCTGGTCGTTCCAAAATCGAGGCTCAAAACTAAAGGTGATAGAGCTTTCTCCATCAGAGCTCCTCGACTTTGGAACGACCTGCCAGAGGAGATAAGGCGTGCAGACAGTGGCTTTTTTTAAGTCAAATTTAAAAACTCCCTTTTACAAACTCGCTTTTATGTGATGCCGTCTTTTTCCTTTTCTTTTTTTCCTTTATCTTTTATCTCTTTTACCTCTATCTAATTTCGACTTACTATCCTTTTAGCCTTTGTTTTACTTATAATCTTTTCTTATTTTACCCTTTAGGCCCTTTATTGATTTTCTTGTTTTTTCCTGCTTATTTTTACTATTTCATTTTGTCATAAATATTACCATCGTTATTATTTTATATTAATATCCTCTTTAATATTTATATTTACTATCTTGTTTCCTGCTCTCTGCCCCCCTTTTCTATTACATTTCTCCTTCATTCATATTTTATCTTTTTATTTTGGTCCTCAGGGTCTAATTTTATGTTGTAGGGTTCTTGTATTGTCTGGGTTTCTAATAAAAAATAAAATTGGCCTTCAATTCAGAGACCTTGTTTTTAACTGAGCTTTTGTTTTTATTTGCTTTTATTTTCATGTGCTGATGTTCTGTGCTTTGCAACTGTTTGTCAAAGCACTTTGTAAACTTCTGTTTTTAAAAGTACTATAAAAATAAAATTATTATAAAGCTTTTATTATCACGCAGCAACTAGCTTGCCATTCTAATCAATGCAGCATCGCATACAGGACGCAGATCAGCTCCGTTGCAGCATCGTATCAGAAGCGTATCGAAAGCAGCACTGCTAAAGATACGCAAAGAGACTATTTTTGCTGCTCTACGCTTTCAATATATGTCAATGTACACAGAGAGGATCGTTCTAGACAGAGTGTAAAGCACAGAAACTGCGCATGTCATCTGGTATTTCAAAATAAAACACCATTGCAGACTCCCTTCTGTGTATCAGTTTGTGTAGATGAGAAATACCTCCTGGTTCTGGATTTATCAGTAACTCAGAACAATCTGATGGTCAATCCCTGATCCATGTGGACCCCAACAGGACTTTTAACTGCTAACTCTGTCTGAAGGTAACAGCACAGCATAAAGGAACATAGTTTACTTTAGTAAACCCGAGTAAACCTGCAAAAACCAAAACTGTAAAATCACGTTATTTTTACACGTATAGTAGAGACTGAACAGTCACTAAATTATATCCAAATCAGCAGGAAATCGACCACAGAAAGGCAAAACAAGTTGTTGGGAGCATGTTGGTTCCTCTATGGTGAGACCAGCTGATCGGGGCTGCACTACGCTGCTGCTACGCTCCAAATATGCATCCTGTATGTGTTACCCAATGCTGCAATAGGGAGCAAATACGGAACGTGCTCAATACAGATCCTGTATGTTTTTGGCTTTACAGCGATGAACACAGCACAACAAGAGTATTTTATTATCATTATTGTGTTTTACCCCCCCCCCCCCATTACTTAAGTTACTCTTGAAAATAAGTTTTCTCTCTTTCCCCAAATTTTATAATTCTCACCAGTGCCTGATGAAAAAGAAAAAAAAAACAACACTTTCTTCCTCTCAAGTTTCTTCATCCCTGACCCTTTAAACTGTAGAAAGGCACTGTAGGGCTACAGGATCAATACTTTTTTTCAGGTTTTACTTCTTTTAAAGATACTTTCGGCTATGTTGGCTGATAATCTATAATAAAAACATGTAGAAGGACAGCCTTTCATGACAAAAGTGAAGAGCTGAGTGTTTGAATTTGATCAAAACATCTGCAGAAAGGATTCCTCCTCTGTATATTGGTTATTGTTTACCAGGTGGTTTCAAGTTTTAGAGTTCTCAGAGTGACTGAGGAAACATTAAGATAAGTGACACCCTCCCAGCCAATCCATTTTGCAGTACACCGATGAACACCCTTTACATCTTTCTCACTGCTGGCAGCTACTGTATGTTGCAACAAAAGTGGGCATCGCCTACAAGATTTTCCTGGGAGAAACACAGCATCCTTTGTGTTTTTTGAATAACAAAAACTGGAGCGGTGTGTTTTTCTCTAGGGAACCGTCTCTGGCATCGCTGCTCTGTTTTTCAAGGTTTGACAGCTGCCTGTTAACCATCTGAAAAGCGTTGCTATTTTAGTCAGAGCCAAAGTCAGGAAACACACACAGGCAGAGGAGAGGAGTATAATTGAGAAATTGCATCAAGGGCGTTGTACAGGACAACAATGTTGCGTAAGAAAGGAGAAAACAAAGTCTAAGGGGAACTGAAGCATCTTTAACTTTGTCACACCCAGAAAACTCCACTTCAAAAGGCAAAACAAATGATGAATCAAATAATGTGAAGAAAATAAATGCGTGTTGTTTTTATTAGATTAGATCAGAGGAAAGCATTTTCTGCTCTCAGTAAACCTGTGCTGTTATTTCTCTTCGGTTTACCTTTACAGTCTCCTGTTAAAGCGTCTCTATAGGTGTGGGAGGGGCAGGTGGCCAGACACGCCCCGTTGTACAGAGTGGCCTCCGGGTCCACACAGTCATCACAGTCGTTGTCGTCGGGGCCGTCACACAGAGAGCAGTCAGGGTGGCAGGGCAAACACTCCCCCTGCTCTTTGTCTTCAAAGTACCCCTCCGGACAGTCGAGAACACACAGGCCGTCATGGAGGAAATGATACTCCTCACAAGCTGAGGATAGAGCACAAACAGTCGAGATTCATTGTAAACACAGGTTCAGTAACGTCTGTTGTTGGAGGACAAGAAGCTGCTCTGACGCTGTATGATCCTCTATTTGTCAATTTATCGTAAATATTTTATCAACACAAATTCTCTCCTGCTAAATAATTGCTGACTTTCTCAGTTAACTGTCCATTCTGAGCTACCGTAGGAACTTGCATCCTCTGAAGTGAACCCATTACTATGTTGATATAAGAGGCTCATTCAAAGTTTGAAAAAGACAAACTAATTTTTCAAGTGACTAATTAAAACATCCTTTCAACGTTAAATTCTATTTCCACCCAAAAGACTCGGTTTAGTCTTTGCAGTTATTCTGTTTTGAATGTTCGCTTTGTGTCACTGAAAATAAGAGCATGCTCTCGAGGTTCATTTTCAGGTTGAGCGGATGGAAAAATTTCCAAATTTGTGGCAAACCTTGGCAATTAAAAAATCCATTAGGTTATTATCAAAATAGAAAAATGTGTTCAGGTCAACTCTGGGTCTCATGGTAAACTCAAATGACTCTCAACGACACATCTTGGGACCATTTTAATGCCATTCAATCCAAAATTTGTGTTTATATTTTTAAGATTGAATAAATGAAACAACTAACAGACAGGCATGTCCGGTAGAGTCATGTTTGTAATGTAGCTAGTTTCTAGGGGTGGGTGGTATACCAGTTTTTGCCTTTATTAGATAGGACACCTTAAGGAGAGACAGTCCTTGACCTCCAGGAGGAGGACTATGGCTTCTACACACCTCTTCCACCACCTCCTCCTGTCGAAGTTGACTTCAGGGTTTACGATGTGAGTAAATTATGGGGCACTTATCATGTCTGCACCAAACTCTGATATGAGATCAGTGTCACGATGTTGGTTTGTAGAGGAGGGGAAAGAAGGTCATAGCGATGATATAATTAAAATATTATGATAAGGGGTGGGAGAAAAAATCGATTCACATAAATATTGCAATTTTTTGTTGTATAATTTTTAAATTGATTTTTTTGTTGAAAATTTTCTCTCTTAAAAACTGACTTACATGTCATGTGTATATTTGAGGGAAATATGGTTCCTGTAATAGTCAGTAGACAATCATAATCATTCAACTGTATCACCAGTGGTAAAAATGCAGACTAAAAATTGGGAAAATTGAAAATATTGTAGAATCGCAATTTAAATCAGCATCCAAAAAACTGTAGAAAAATTGAATCGGGAGAAAAGTATTTTGTCCCAGTCTGAATTATGGTATTAATTTTAGGTCATATCACCCATCCCAGCAAATACTGACAGAAACATTTATATTGGTTATAACTCAGTTTGAAGAGGATTAAAAAGTTAGAAATTCATCATCTATTTGAATAAACAGGGTCCTAATCGCAGAAGTGTTGGGGTCTCCAGTACCTGAGCACTCCCCGAGTGGGCTGCAATCCTCACAGGCCGAGGGGCAGTGATGACACTCCCCGTCCCGCACAGAGTGACCCGAAGGACACTCGTCCACACACTGATGTTTGTGGAGAAGGAGAGGTTCTTCACAGCTGAGGCAGTGGGTGGCGTTCTTCTCACAGGATGCACAGCCGGCCGCACAGCTCCGACACACCTGGCCTGCTGGGTAACCCCTGAGAGACGCACAGACATGACTTAGTTCTCTAGGTTTAACATAGACACTCTTAGCTTTTGCATCCTTGCTTTAACGTTAGCCTTGACTGGATGTTAATGTGATAAGTCTCTAAATTAAACAATTAATTTTTCTTGTAATATGTTTGAAGTTTTGATAGATTTTTTTTCTGCTCGGTGAAAGATAAACTCTAGTTTGCTCTCATGACTTTGTGTACTGCTGCAGGGGTAAACAAGAGGCCTGGCATTTTGCTCCGCTCTCTTCTTCAACCGATAATTTATCCGAACAATCATGTCGTTCTTAAGTATTGTTACAAAAAAGCCTCCTGGTAGTTGACAGCAAAAATATAACAAAAATAAAGCCCTCATGGCCAAACAGTTACAATGGTCATCACAGCTCTAATGGAGCTTTAAGGACCTCTTCTGCAAGGACAAGATATTTTTCAGCCTCAGTGACGCCACAGTTTATTGGCAGATCAACATTAAGTGGGACATGTCAAGATCATGGCCAGCAAATACATCTCTTTACACTCTTTTTCTCGGCCTTGCTTGGATGGTAGATGATCAAAAGCTGATTTCAACATATTTTCGTCAGCAGGTTGGAATCCCACTGTACCTTCATACTGAGAGAAATCCACTTTGAGAAGGAGCTGGGGCGTACTTATGTAGAGGAATTAAGATTCAAATCAAAAAGGTTTTAAAGTAAACCAGAGCGTGACAGGACTGACTCCTGACCTGGAACACTGCTGGACACACTGGCCATCCTGCAGGAAGAGCTGAGCCTTTCTTGTGCTCTGACAGCGGGTGCAGTGTTGAGCATCCACACACTGCAAACAGCCTGCAGGGCATGCCTCACACACACCGCTTAGCCGACTGGCAAAGAAACCCCCCGGACACTTTGATACACATGTTTGCTGTGCGGTCAGAAACCGCCCTGAAGGAGAAGGAAAGAGTAAACATCAACACTGCAAAGGAGCTAAATGTGCTGGGGTTTAAACCAGAAAATATCATACTGATGTTGCAGGACTCACAGCAGATAAACACGGGATCTGAAAGTTTGACTGACCTCTTGGACATTTTGTACACTGGTCCTTCTCCTCTCCAGAGCAGGACTCACAGGACACATGGCAGTCTTCACACTCGCCATCATCTGCGGGTTAGACAACCAAAAAAAAAAAATGAAGACAGAGAGGTGTAATAGTAATCCTTTAATGGCTTTAAAAGTGAGAAAAAATGGTTTCTGTATTTTATATTAAATTACACAAATACTGCTTAGAGTTCATTTAATCTGGTTCATCTTTGACACATCTTTTGTACAGTTAGTTGTTTAACTTTATCACTTGTTTACATTCTTAAAAAGGCTGAAACAGCCGGCTGACTAAGCAGAACTGTAAGATAGCCTGGAAAAATCTGCATCAAATCATACCCTTGTGCTAAGTTTTAAAGAAAATAATGATGCTGTATGAATATTAACTTGCTAAGATATTCGAAAATCATAATTAATAATACTGTCTTGTTTACCTGTTCAGGCACAGCAGTTAGCCTGAATCTAGCCTTGCTGAGTCATGCTAGCTGTTTGCCCCTGCTGTCTCTGTGCAAGGTTAAAGGCATGGTTGACGACCGGAGAGATTGGTAATTATTATGAACATCGTTTCTATGGCGATCATGGTCCTATAGTGCGATCTCCACAAAGCAAAGAAAAAAAAGTGCTGGGCTTCAATTTGTCATTCTTTATTGCTGTGAAATGTCTTTGTCTGTCGGGTTAGGGTTAGGATTAGGGTCAGGATATTTAGAAGTGTGATAATGTTCTGTAATGTTCTGTTCGATGTACAGATGACATGGATGACATTTTTAGCTTTTCTAGTCAATCAGAGGCGAAAGAGGCGGGACTTCCCCCTACCATCCTACAAAAAAAAAAATAAAAAAATGCCTCCCTGTCCTCCTCGAAGCTTTGAGCAGCTAAAAGTAGCGTAGCAGCTTAGCTACACGAGCTGTGACGGAGAAGGACACAAAAAAAACCCCACACCGCTTGCCTCACCACCAAAAGTGCCAAGAAAACAGAAACTGACCCAAGAAAGGGCAGAGACGAAGAGGAAATGTGGCCAAGCTAGGAATCTAACTTGAACACAGATCGGGTCATCCTTCAAGTGTTAAAGAAAGCTCAGCCAGGATTTGGGCCTGAAAACAGACGCAGAGACAGCAGAGTTTTTGTTGAACAGGTAATTTTTGCCTTCTATCATGGCACATGTTACACAAATAACTCTTACTAGTTTCTACAGTGTCACCATGATAGCTGTCCAGGCAGCTGCAGACAGTGCTCACTAGCAGAGCTGGCGTTTACTGCCGCTAGTCACGAGCAATCCGACATGGTGAATCCTATTTGAAGCTAGCGTAGGATCTTCTGCTGGCCAGCTTCTTGCTCTGCCAGAGGGGGTGTGTCATGGGGAGGGCGATACAAGTTCGGGGGGGGAGTTATCGTGGAGCACAGAGGGGAGAGGTTTGTGTGTTGGGGGTGGGATGCTTCTTTCAAATCTGCCTCAACTGCTTCTCAGATCGTCAACCATGCCTTTAAGCTATATACCATGTTTAGTATGTAATTACAGTGTTTTTTTTTTTTTTATTTACAATCAAAAGTTAGAGCTAGCAGAAAGAAAGATAACTCAGATTAACACTGCTCAGTCCAGCTGGGTTCAGAAATAACTATAACTTGACTATCTATAGAGAAAAGCTAATTTAAGTGTGTTACCATTTTTTATAAACTAAACCAAACTAAAAATTTACAACAAAGCTAAATTGTTTTCTGTAACATAAATGCTCAGACAAGTTTTACGAGAAGTTTTGTGATTAAAAGTTTAATAAAACCTTTTGTCCATTTTCAACCTTTGTGTTAACCTTTGTACTTTCTCAGAGTTATTTTAGGTCCTATAATTAAGACGTCTTACCTCACACTAATTACCATATGTTGTCTTAAGGTCTGTCCGACTAATTCTTTGGGGGAACTGAATGTTCAGTATATACAATCAATTATTTCAGAGCCTGTACCTAGCTGACGTTTAGTAGTTCTGTCTGTTTTGAGTGCTTAAGTTGGTACAGGGTTCAGGGACGATGGCACACAGACCAATTACCCTGCAAGATTTCTTTTCTGCCCCTGTGAAAGTGCCCAAATCCCTGATTCATTATGGGCCGACAGATGGATTAGTGGAATATTTAAGAATTAGCCTCACCGCTCCGAAAGGTCTTACTGGGACAGACATCATGGTCAGGCACACACTCTCCGTTTTCCAAAGTCTTCCCCTCATCGCAGGACAGACAGTCACTGTCCTCTGGGCCGATACAGGTCACACAGTCTGAGTGACACTCCTCACAGTCATTGGTGTCTTCATCACCATAGAAACCGTCAGGGCACGCAGAAACACAACTCCCCTCTGAATAGACAGGAGACATTAATACTGTAAATAACCCACTTGGCAGTTACCGCCTTCTCCTCGTTTAAAGGAAAAATCCAACAACTTCACACATTAGAGTCTATTTAAAGGTCTTTCAGAGTACAGCGGCATGAGTGAAAAGGTTAGATAACACTTTTTAGGACTTCAGAGGGAGCTGTCAAAAGTTCAACAAATCAGCTGGGACTGAGGAAGAAAACCGAGTAGCCAGTTCCTCATGTCAACTCAAGGCCAACAGCTTCAGGCAATGTTAATTTCAACTAGAAAAACACAGACAAATCTCTAAACCAAAGCGTCTTCAGTCAAGCTTCACTGTGGACAATCTCAGACCTGTGTCTGACAAAGATAGGTCTCTGGGAATTATGTCAAATTTTAGAGTATTAAAGGTGGGGTAGGCAGGTATCCATTAAAGAAGCATCTTTTTTTGTGGTGTATATACAAAAAAGCTTTTAATATCAGTCAATAGTTATTAGTCATTGATGACATTTGGTATTATAACATTATCTCTGTGTTTTGTTATGTCTGTGTAGTCAACATTTTAAGATTTCAGAGCGCTCCGCTCTTTCTGACTGTAAACAAAGCCATCCTCTGCCTCCCCCATCCTGATGGGGGAGGCAGACGCTGCTCCCCTGAGTCGTTCATGTGCATGTGCCCAAACAAAGTTAGCGTGCTACAATATCAGACAGTAGAAACCAACCAGAAAGTACAGAAAATTGTCTGAATCCTCCTTTGACCACGACTGCCAACACAAGGAAACAAAGTAAATACTGGAGACTCTGACGGAATAACGGGCGCTTAAAAAGCCGGGTCAACATCAACATAAATGATGGGGGACGCTTCGGGATCTTGGTGACCCTGTAACCTTTCTGCTGGACAGGTAAACCGCTTTAACAAAGTAAGCCAAGTGTCTGTAACAGAAGTGTTTCTTGTCAAACTGGACCTGCTGCATGTTGTAGCACCGCTAAACTGTTGACCTCGGGTCCTGGACTATGTCACTTTATCCTAGTTGTAGAAGTCCTGCAAACATTGTGTTTGCTGGTAGTCTGTTGGCATCTACAGTAGCACCAATGCTGTTTACTTTCATGTTGACTGGGCCCCATTTGTAATTATCTTAAGTATTTATCTGCATTATATCTGAATTTAATTGAAACAATACGAGCGAGCAGGAGTGTCTGTTTGTGGGCGGGGCTTGCTGGAGCAGAGAGTTAGGGGAGAGGAGGAGCTGAGGGGAAAACTGGTTGGGAGGGGTAGAGTTTACATTCAAGATTTCTCCCGACAGCTGTCAATTCCTCAGATCCTGCCTACCCCACCTTTAAGGTAGAGCCACCAGGTAGCGCTTAATACCCTCCGGCCAAGACTTTCTGATTAGCAAATGCAGAAATTGTGTGTTCAATGTAAAAGCAAAGCTAGTTTTACCTGTAAGATGTAATATGTTTTGAAAGTGATTCATTTGGGCAGTATGTTTGCCAAAATACCACCACGATGAAGGGAAATAGCATCATCAAGTTTGTCCTTGGAGGAAATGAAGATCACTTTTTGCTTGTTTTTTTGAGATGTTACTCTGCTCAAGGAAGAGAACAAATTGTTCAGATTGTTCCCTCAAGTATCCAGAGCACTTACATGCAGATATCTTTGTATACAGGTACAGAAATTGTCCTGCAGGATCCTGCAGATAATAGTCTGGATGTCACCACCTGCTTTTGCTCTCCACTGTTTTACAAGTTTGCAGAACTATGATTGGCCACTAATCCTCGAATTACATGTAACTGTTACCAACTTGAACCTGTCTTGGATGCTCCAGACATCTCTAGAGGCCATCCGATCTCACATTAACCATATAGGAATAACCTTTTTCAGGACATAAATGCAATTATTTGATAATCTGCATTACTGGGCACATATGGAACAAAACATAAGCACTTACAGCTGCCCGTCTGTTTTTACAGATATGTTCAATCAAAAATGGGAACTTACTTTGAAGGACTTTAAGCTTTGAAACCAAAGCTTACTCTAACTTTAGTTTTTCAATCTATAAACAGAGTCCATGTTAATCTCGTAGAATAAAATGGCATTGTCATAAATGTAATAACCCACACAGAACTAAAATACGATAAACATGAGGTCTAATAAAACAGTAACTTACTATGCATGACATTTATTGAACATACAAACAAGCTTTTGTATTTCTGATAACTTTTAAAGCCTGACAATCACAAATGTTCTCCTTGCCATCGCTAAGATGTCGCTTTTTACATTAAATCAGATCCAATTTTAATATAAATATTAAAGGTCACCCAGATGTGGTTTCCATATAAATCATTTACTTGTTTCTACCACTAATAAAACATGTTTTTAAATATTTCATATGTGCCTTGTATTGTTTTTCTTGTGCAAGCTACATGAATAATGTAAATTTTATCCTTGAAATGACACCTTTTTTTCACATCAAGATGTTAGATCAAAACACTCCCATGCCCCCCTAGAGGAAGATCTGCTTCCTATTTTTTTTATTAAAGGCTCATTTCAAGTAAACAATATTTTTATGTTCAGGTGTTCATACATTAATGTAAACATATGATGATATTATTTCACTTTAAGCAACACACTGCACCTTTAGCTTTCCAGAAGTACATCTAGTTATTAAAGGCTCATCCTAAAGTGAAAACATCAGCACAATAACAGATTAGACATGACATTTTCACATTAGAGCATCAGTTTGGAACTTAAAATCGCTTTTTTTCCTCACCACCTGCTGTTTATTGAGTATTTCTCTATAAATTATTGTATCATTTCAGAAGAATTTATGCCTCTGTGTCTTGACCAGCTGGGGCAGTTGTACCTGATAAGAAGAGGTCGGTCTCACACCAGTAGCACTCGTGTTCGTCACAGCTCACACAGTTTTCATCACATGGGACGCAGATCATCTCCTCCTCCACGCTGTACGTCTTGGCCGGACAGTTTTTGTAGCAACCATCCTGAAAGCTGATAGCAAAGATGACAGTCTTTACCCAGGTTTACCCTTTTTTTTTCTTTTGTACACAAGTCCACTCTCACTGCAAAAAAGGGGGCCCTTTTTCTTCCAAGCATAGCACTGAACTGAAAGGAAAGGAGGCGAGATCACACATGAGGACAGCCCGGCACACAGCCTTACTTGTAAAAGCCCTCGATGCAGGACAAGCAATGCCTGGGGTTATCTGTTGGAAGCAGACAAAAAACTCAGCTCTCCTTTTTAAACAGAAACTAGCAGACTGTTCAACATGGTCAAGAACACTCTGGGGCCAATCCCAACCTCCCCTCTGAAGCCTGAGCTCTGAACACTCACAACTCTAACAATGTCAGGAGTGCAGTGTGGAACCACGGGAGCCTGTGAGGAACTGGACGCACTACCATGACATCATACACTACCTGGTCACAAGATGCACCTTATTAAAGAAAAAAGTAAATATCTCTGTGAATTATTTTACTACATTTGGATATTTAAGCAAAAGCAGTAATGTAAAATGATTGTGAACATTTGACTAAAACTATAAAGGTCATTCCATGAAATCGGTGCCTTTCAATTTAGAAAATTTTAAATCAAACTATATTAAATTATTAATTTTTTAGTACCCTGGAATCAAAGAATGTTTAAAATGGCAGGAAATTATATTATGCCATCTCAGGCTGTGTTATTTCATATTTTATAACCGTTTTTCTCCTGGCTGTTTTCATAATCTTGTCAACCCTGTTACCATCATAAACTTAACAAAATACAATATTTCTAATTAGAAATATGCAATATGTGGTACATATATTAGCAGTACTTTAGTCTCTCTTTCCGTCAAGATTAAATTATTTTGTGGATTTTTTTCTCTAATTAGATGTTTGTCATTTAGATGATCAAATGTACCCTAAGTTTGCATGGCAATCACATGTCTCAACATATATCAGATATTTTTTGGAAGAGGTGGTAAATGGTAAAAAATGGCTAAGACTAAAATATAATGTAATTTAAATTATAATGTGTGAAAAAGTGTTATAAGTGTTGAAAGCCCATTTGAGTTGTCATTCAGTAACTGGCTCTCCACTGGCATACCAATCAATCAATCAAAAAATAGTTATTATCTCAATTATGTTCACTTGATGACCTAAAAATGTTTTAATTTTAAACGGCTAACCTTAAAACTGGTTTCTGATGGTCTTGTATGCTTTTAAATGCCAAAAAAAATGAAATCCATGTCATAGTTGCCAAAAAAAAAACTCCACAGAAGCTTTTAAAAAAGAAACTATGACTTAAAGAAAATTAGTCAAATTAGCTTTTTTTTATTTAAATCAATAATGTCCCCAAATTTTGGCAGATAGAAACCTGGATATCACCATCTGCTTTTCTCTCAATAAACTCTGTTTTTAAATTCCAATCTGTAATATGAGTTTCTTTGTTTGTTTCTTTCTTTTTTTGCATTTTTTTCAAAAACTTTTTGTCCAGTATGCAAAAAAAGTCAAGATCCAGTTGGGGCACACTTTTTTTTTAGATGAGTCCAGAATGAAGCTGTCCAGAAATGCATGTAGAAAGTGCACAAACTGTCATTGCTGAGTTTACATCAGGAGACCGACACACTTAGCAACGAGACAAGCTCTTGAGTCTGTGAGTGAGAAGACTGGGATTGGACACATGGTGATTTTTTGGTTTCCTTTTTTGCTGCCGGGCTACTTACACAGAACACACTTCCTGCAGCCCTCCTCACAGGCCATGCAGTCATCGTAATCGGGATCCTCCACCTCACCTGAGAAAAAAGGCCACGAGACAAAGGGATGAAAAATAAAGGGTGAGACAAAGCTTTTTAAGGTCATCTCCCCTGCGCAGAAGCTTTAAGAAAACAAGCTCATAAATAACGACATGACCTTGTTTACCTTCTCCACACTCCAGCTTGGTACATGCTCCATCAGAGACGTAGAAGGAGGAGTTACACTTGAGGCAGCGGGTGGGGCTGGTGCAGAGGCGGCAGTGGTCCGAGCACGGCTCACAGCTTCTTTCTTTGGTGTGGTAGAAGGCCTCAGGACAGGCGGCCACACACTGACCTTTATACAAGTAACGCTCCAATTCAAACTTATCTACAGGGAAAGAAGCAAATCAAGAAGTGAACATGTGCGATACTGAACTTCATCTGAACCTTTGCTTGGACAACTTCTGAGCCTGTTTGCTGTTGAGTCTGCTGAACACAAAGATACTTCAAGTTCAAAGTCTAAAGAATCTGTTTTTTTCCAAATTTAACGAGAGCAGATTGATGAAGAAATAAATGACAAAAGTGCTGCTCAGTGACAAACAGAAAGCTAACACAATACAAACCTGGGAACAAATTAAAAATAAAAGGAAAGGGAAAAAAGGATTAAAAAAGAACAAAGGTGAAGGCAGAGCGTTTTAAAGCTTTGGAGCTGCAGCATGTTCAATTTTTATTGTAGAGTATTTGTTCATTTCTATTTGTACATGTATGCTCATTGATATTCATACGAGTATGTATACTTACATGTGCTCTTTTTTTGTACCTTTTTTCGCTTCCTGTCTGTTGTACGGTGTTAGAAGTTTTAAAAAAGAACATTTCTTATTGTTTTTACACATTGAAAATAAAAAAAAATAGAAGAAACTGCCTGATTTTTGAAACAAGTCTGTTCTTTACCTGTCAGTCTGTTTTTTTCCTGTGTGATGGAAATCTCAAAGTTATGAAGAAAAAAACATATATATTACAATTTTTTTTACCAAAATTAAAAAAATACACATTATTGTTGCAATTTTTTTCTTTCAAAACATTTAATTACTTAGTCACTTTTTTGAGAAATTATTCAAAAAACTACTGTCACTTTTGTGAAAAATTACTCAAAAAACTACTGTCACTTTTTTGAGAAACTTTAACAGCCTAAAAATAAAAGAAAATTGACTGAGGGTTTTTCACTGCAATGTTAACACTATAGGTGAGTCTCCTTTTTTGTACTCAAGTTTATAAGTGACTTTGAAACCACTTCAATTGTTTGATTGACCTAAAAGAGTAGAGAGAAATACTTGATCCTGAACTACCATACTCGAATTAAAAATCACAGGGTGTTCCTCCACCCTGTCTTTGACGCACACATACACACACACAGAAACACACACACAGGCTTCGTTGATAGGTTGACTCCTCACCGGTGTCACAGCTGGTACAGTTGGCTGGCCCCGCCTCCATACAAGTGGCACAGGTGTGGTGACATAGGTGACACTGGCCCCCTGACAGGTATTTGCCCTTTCCACATTCCAGCAGGCAGTGGCCTTTATCTAAAGCTCTGCAGCCGACAAAAACATCAACAACACTGTTTTTTTTTCCAGCTGCAGTGCCACAAAATCAACAGATATGAATTATTTCTATGCTAATGAGTTGAGCTCATTTACATCCCAGCGTGGAACATATGGCAGAGTTAAACAGATGAAGCTGAGCATGTTGACACTGGGAGGAGATGGAGGAGGGAAGGGGTGACTGGTTAAGCTGGGAGGCAATCTGGGAATTTGGATTTTGAATGCATATACTGCATATATACACACACAAGTATGTATACATTTGTCTCAAAGTAGTTAATGGTTCAGTTTTTTCTGAGAGTAATGACCTGGGAAGAGTTTAGTTTGTACCTTTTTCCTGCACAATCCAACAGCATAATTTGGTGCTACCTAGAATACCAGTGTTTGATATTTTGAAGCGCTGTCTGCTATTGTTAAGCACTGTCTGTGTCATTTTGTGGGTTTGGGTTTTGGCAGTATCTTTTGTTACTCAGACACGTTGAATACTTGGATCCAAAACCCCATAATAACAACAGTGATTAAGCAATGCAAATGACAACCTGATCACAGACATTAAATCAAATCAATTCACTTCACTGCCTGTTGACACTGTGGCAAAAACACAAGTTTGTATTTGTATTTTAAATGGGTAAACATGGCGGCATTGCTTCAGGGTTTTGCTCACTCTGTTAGGATTTTAATTTAACCACCCACTTTTTTTTCTTGTAACTCTGAAATACAAGATCTAATAGCTCAGGTTATGATTACTTAAAATTATCTAGAATATAGACTAATTAAAAAATGAATTATTGCCCAGTCAAAGGAGAGGAAAAAGTAAAGAAATGCTAATAACTTTTTGTCTTGATTAAAAAGGGGATAATCCTGTTATTTTAGCTATTCAGAAATGTACTTTTATACAAGTTCTGAACAATAAAAATGAAAAAGGAGTACAAAAAATCCCCCTCATATTTTTTACTAACCATAAAAGGACCCTTTAGTTAGTTTTCATTAGTACTGAACTCTTCACTATCCTACTGGCTAAAACTGTCACTCCTCATCATGTGTAACTTTACCTCTAGTTGAAAGGCCACTTTTTCACTCAGAGATGTTTTTTTAGCTGATGATGTATTTATTTCCCCTCCGACCTTGTATCTGAAAGGTCAAGACCATCTTACCGTGAAGAAACACAGCTGATGCAGTTGTCTCTCTGCGGCCCTGTGCACTTCAGACACGTTGCATCACACGCATGGCATTCCCCGTTAGACTCCTGGTACTCTCCTGTTAGACACGCAGCGAGAGCACGATGCTGACTGAGAAATAACCATCTGAGGCGGAGAGGTGGGCTTAATATCGATGCCAAAGATGACTCAGAATGAAGATAATAATACTTATCACAGACTAAATATATACATAAAACCGGCCTTATGCTCTTATTTAACACCAGCAGATGTTGGGTATGTATCATCTCAGCTTGGCTTGAGAAAACACTTGTATTGGGAAAGAAAAGCACTTAAAGGGGTGAGTGTTAAAAATGATTATATGTATCTGGCATCAGTGAGCCAACACGTAATTGAAGAAGAGGATGGTTGACTGACCGTCTGTGCACTCTGTGTTAACAACACACACTCCCTCCTGCAGGCTGTGACCGCTGGAACAGCTGCTGCAGTTCCCCCGGCTCGGCCCCACACAGGTGAGACAGCTGGCGTCACACCTGAGGAGGAGGGAACGCAGACTGAGCGCACAAACACACACGCTGACCACAAATAACTCACACTTACGGAGAAAAACAACCACAAACACGAGCATGGGAACCAGAATAAACACAAGCACGTACTGAAGGCAAACACCAGAATGCAGCCTGCCGTCAGCAGATAAACAAACCACCCACACCTGAACACACACCAGTGAGCTCACCTCCTACATGTCCTGTGCCCGTCAGCTACCTCTGGGCTTGGCTGGGTGGCGTAGAAGCCAGCGCTGCAGGAGGGCACACACTTCCACTCCTCCATGAGGTAACCCGCTGCACAGCGGTCACAGGCTTTAACACCTGCACCTGGGATTAACACGGTTTTATAAGGTCAAGGACCATAAAAAGTACCGTAAAAGAAACAGCTCGATATCATGTATTCCCCTGACATTTAAAGTTTCATAAAGTTCAGGACCTTTTGACCTTTCACCTCACCTGCACAGGTAGCACAGGCCTTGTGACATGGCTTGCACGTGCCCTCTTGCTTGTCATGGTAGAATCCGGCTTCGCAACTCTGCTGGCACCGGTTCCCCTGCAGACTGGAGAGAGGGCGGCGAGAGCATGTGGCACGGTGACACACATACACACACGGCCAATCATGTGACACCGTCAAATGAGTCACAGCGAGAAAGCGCAGTTTTCCAACCCACAACACACCACCACGAGTACTTGTTGAACTGAGTCAGTGAACTCCGGAAACTTCTAACTCGACAATATGGTAAAAGGTTTCTACTGAAAGAGTTAGCACAGAGAAGGAGACACACACTCTTCCCAGCGTTAAGATCTCATTATTACAGAGACAGGAGCAGAGAGAGGATTAGTATTCAGAGGAAGAACAGGAGCAGTGTTTACCGAGCAGTTAATTCAAGCATCATCTGAGAGTTTGTTTCACCTTGTGTCTGGTTTGCATTCGGTGCAGATGCTGTACGAGGTGCACTTCAGGCAGTTTTCGCTGCACTTTCTGCACATATTTGCATCTGTGGGGAAATCAAACAATAAACACTGAATACACATCAGAGCGATTCATCAATCTTACTCACGCAGCCCTCAACTGCAGTTACATCAACTGACTATTCATTAGCAGACTCATGTGCAGCCGATTCCAAACGCTGAGCCGCACATCCTCAAAGGTTCACTAACAGGCCTTGTCGGGTTTGAACACAAAGGAAGTGACAAAAGCGATCTATAAAGGCAGATTCAAGTACAAACTGAGTCTCTTAAGGCCACTGCTGTAAAAACCATGTAGATGACAACTATGAGTTTTGAATAGTTTTACATGTGGTCAGCTAAAACTGCCAATTTACTGCAAATTTAACAGCCTATGGGCGAATTTTTGCTTATTCTTTAAGTACATTTAAATAAGCAAATAAGCTTGTAAATTTCTAAAAAAAAAAGTTGCTGTAATGTCAACATATTAACTCACAGCTCTTGGTACTTTTTTGTGTCTTCTTATGAGACTTTGGGGGGCTGCAATTTTAAAGCTGCTGGAGTAATTTTTAGCTTGATATGAAGCACATTTATATGAGCACTGATGTCTCATTATAAGATACCAGAGGAAACTAGATCACTTAAGAGAACACCAGACAAACTGAGAAGCATTTTATCGTTTCAAGAACATCTCCAGAGTGTGCCAGTTTCTCTCTCAAGCCAATGCAGAGACTCTTATTCATGCTTTTATCACCTGTAGAATAGACTATTGCAATGCTCTCCACTCTGGTCTTCCTAAAAATAACATTTTACAGCTTCAGCTTCTACAAAATTCAGCTACATTAATGCTGACGAAGACCAGGAAGAGAGCCCACATCATGCCAATTTTAAAATCTCTGCATTGGTTACCTGTGTCTTTTAGAATAGATTTTAAGGATCTTTTATTAGTTTTTAAAGCTCTTAATGGTCTTTGTCCTTCTTATTTGTCTGATTTGTTTTACCGTATGAGCCTATAGAGCCCTCAGGTCTTCAGGTGGTAAAAACTAAAACATACGGTGAATCATAGTTCAATATTACGGTCCTCATTTGTGGAATAATCCACCTGCAGACCTGATAGTGACACCTAATGTTCATATTTTTAAAAGTAAACTAAAGACCGACCTTTTTAGTCTGGCTTTTAGTTAAATTTTGTTTTAATCTTTTAATCTGCATTATGTGATTTTATGCTATTTTAGTTGTAGAGTAACAATCCTGTGTTTTATTACCTCTTTTTAATTTATTTTTATTGTTTAATTTTAAGACTGTTTTATTTAATTAATCTTTAACGTTTTATCACCTTTATTATATTTTATCAGGGTTTTATCGTTTTAGTCCTAGATCCAGTGTTTCCTCATTTCTTTTGACTTAAGATAGCGTTTCCTCGGTCATCTGTGGCAAGTTGAAGAGTCCTGGTCTTTTATGTGTGCATCTGCGTGTGTGAGTGTGTGAGTGCTGTATGTGTTGAATGGGGGTTGGGAGGGTGGGCGGGGTTTGGTATTTGTATTTGTATTTATTTTATTTCATTGTTTCGTTGTTTTTAATATCCTGCTTGAAGGGACAGCACTTTGTGTTACATTAAATGTATGAAAAGTGCTTTAAAAATAAAGTTTGATTGATTGATTGATTGATTGATTGATTGATTGATTGATTGATTGAAGTCGGTGAAGATCCTTAGTGAGTGGTATATTTTAATATTGACAGGTAGCAGGATAAAAGATTCAAGTATTTTGATGAAATCTAGTTTTATCCACAAGATGTCTCAAAATCAACACTGAAACACAGGAGTTTGATGTAAAAGTACAAAGCTGGAGTGACAAAAAAGCTGTGTTCAGGCTCAATCATGTTCTACTCTAGATCCACATAGAGTCGGTATATGGGGGAAGCCTTCTGACCACACTCTGCACCTACGTCGTCTGTATTTCTGCTTGTTTTCCCACAAGCTTGAGGACCAAATGTTGCAGCACCACCAAAAATTGTGAGGGCCAACAGTTAAAAGACAGAGTAAAGCATGAAAAGCAAAATCCATCTTTGCCTTTTCCTTTACAGGTTGATCATCTATATCTCCTCTTTTCAATCTTTTCCTTCTCATCAACGCAAGGGGAGCATATTTGAGCCCTTACAGTGTTGCAGCAGAGTCAAAATGTTTGAAAAGGCAGAGTGGCTGCAGGAGGACACTTACATCTAATGCACTACTCATTTTTTTTAAGATATTTTGACTTCTTTAACCCATTTAAACTGGGACAGCATGTATGTATTTCCACCTTCCAAGCTGGAAGCGTGGCTGCGCACTTCTACTCAGAAAGCTGGGTGCATGTACGTAGGTATTTCTACCCTTCAAGCCGGGAGAAGCGTGTACGCCATTTCATAACATTCTGTAGTTTTTCAATCATTTCTGGAGTCGTGGTGAATCAAATCATCATACCGCCATCATACTGCCTCTGATAGGCTAATAAAGCTTAAGCCAGAGAGCAGCTTTGGAGCAGAAGTATCCAGCAGTGTGAACAACCTCTTCATACCGAGTGTTTTGGCTCACACTATGGGCGATTTCTGTGAGTGTTGCATGACTTTGGGTGAGCACAGAGATGAACACACTGTCAGACAGTCCAGTTGCCTGTTTTTGGAATCTTCTACAGCTGCTTTATTTCATTTGAGTTTGTTTGTTCAAGGTTTTCAATAATGTGATGTAGGTTCAGAAAAATAACAGATAGTCATCTTGAGAGCCACATGTATAAGCTCTCAAATACGTTTTGAATTTTGTTTCTATCTGCAACAGAGGCTGATATATCAGCTTTTTTGTAAACCTCAACACTTCAGAAAACCTCAGGATCTGGGGGCCCTTCTCAAAATTGCCCTCAGGATTTCAGAGGCGTGTCTCAGACAGGGTTCAGGTCTTAAAGGGTTAAGGTACAAAGTGGAAGGTAACATGCATATGACAAGGACCCAAAGCTCCAACATATGGGTGCTAAGTTCAACTGTACTGCTTGATGATTGTTTATGCAAAAGATGAGGGCATAAAAATTCTGCATGTTAATTAAATGCACTCTACATTTTAACGACTGAATCTCTATGAGGGGCGGCAGGAGCTGTATCTGGGATCTGCTGGGAGGTCGATGGTTCAGGTTCTGTTACAAATAAACCATGACAATTAGGCTGATGGCTGGAAAGGTTCCAGTTTACTTCCCAGGCACAGCCAAGGTGCCCTTAAGCAAGGCACTGAACTTCCAGCTGCTCACTCTGACATCCCTCTATCTGTGTGTGGCATGTCTCAACAACAGGGAGAGAAAACTGAATCATACTTCTCCTTCTAGTTATTATTTTATTTAGAGATTAAATTTAGGCAAAACTTTTATTTTGATTTACCTTTTTTATTCCTCTCACTCTGTATTTAAGACTAAAAACCAACCGTGGTCAAGGTAGTAGCCGTCTCCACAGATGGCCGTGCAGGTGTTGGTCCCCTCTGTCAGGTGGTAACCATTCTGACAAGAAGTGCACTGATCACTGCGACTCCCGGTGCAGCTCTCACAGGAGGAGTAGCACCTCTTACAACGCCGGCGGTCGCCCCAGAATCCCCTGGGACACTCTGATACGCACATCCTATTACACAGACACGGACCACAGCACATAGAGGACAAGAGGTGTGACTCTCTAAATGAGGGGGAGAGGACGTGACATTCAGGGTGCACTTTTACCGTTTCTTTGTCTGCAGGCTTTAGGAATTTTGCGCAATTTATGAACAAAGTGACTTTAAAACAGACAGGTTTATCATTTCTGATAAATATAAATATAAATAATCTGCAGAGATAACTTTTGACTGCTTTCTGGATGCCTTAGCTGTTCTCTCTGCTGTGTAAACACGCTGACCTTGTGTTGTTCTTGAACTTTAGAAAAAAGTGTAAGCACGTGACACACTGCTGCGGGCTGGGCCCCTCACAGCCGTCGTCACTGCATTCTGGGTCGCAGGGTCCTGGAAGGGCAAACACTCACATGGTCACTGCACCATCACAGAGAGGCTGTTCAGATTGATGATATCGTGCCATATTTACACACACACACATACACACACACAAAACTCCTCCTGAACCAACATCTGCTGTAAATCTGCATTAGAGTGCATTTAGCTGCTGTGAGAGAGGTCTGAGCTGGAAGAAGGGGCAGCTTAATACCAGCTGAGCTCATGACTCACCGCTGTATTCCTCAGTGAGGTCACTATCCATCGGCATCTCAGCCGATCTGGCTCGCGTGCGATGCACGGGATATGGATGCTCTGCGGTGCCGTAAATCACCAACGACCACTCCTTCAGCATCCCTGTGAAACACCGCAGAAACAGAGAGAGATCAGGAGATGAGATCTGTACCCCCCTGTGGCCTGCACTGCATTTTAGTGCTGTCACAAATTGACTTAAAATGTATGCTTCAAAAATACAAAGATGTCAATAATAAAAAGGGCAGACCCAGTTCAGTGTTGTCTCTCTTCTGAGAGGGAGTATCCTGGATTTTAAGAGTCCACTTCCCAGCTGCCTGCTCCCCCCAGGAGTGTGTCGTCATGAACTCCCAGTTTTGAAATCCATCACTGGAGTCATCAAGAGGCCTGAACAAAATCAAGACACGAGTACAAAGAAGAAAAAGACATTTACAGTAATTTAGTAAGTTTCAACGGCATTTAAAATGTTAAAATTGAGGATAAATAATTCAGTCCAATAAACTTTTGAAACTTTTAGACCAACTCCTTGTTACTTGATTTAATGTTAACTATTTGCATTTCATTTTTCTTTTTTTTCTTAATTCAAAACATGCTTATCAAAAACTTGAATCCAGTTTTCTCAAACATTTTGTCTTTTGCATCATCTTACTTCACTAAAGAAAGGAAAGCTGAGTCAGCTGACACGTGCTCTGAGCGAAGGTGACTTGTGATAATATGTAAAGAAACAATAAAGAGCCCTTTGTGAGCAGAAAGAGCTGGTTCTTGTTTTAGCTAAAAGACATGGATCCTTTCATAAAAACCGGAATTTAAGCTCTTTGCTTCATTCAAACTGTTTATTTTGACATACATATGTTGTGTAAATTTATCTTTGACATGTACAGTTGTTTGGTGTACATGTGTAGAAGCAAACTGAAAACATACCTTTTTAGTCTTGCTTTTAACACAATTTTGTGTCTCAATTATATATCATTAACTTTGTTTATGTATATTAGCATTAATCTCTTCTAGTTTTAATGACAGAATCATCTTAAATTTAGCTATTTTGGTGCTCTTATTTTACTATCTTTTACTGTTGTTTTTATTTCATTTTATTCATTATGTCTTAAATTTCATTTTAAGTTACTTTGTTTTCAGATTTTAAACCTCCAGTGTTTCCTTACCTCGAATTATAAAACAGCGTTTCCTCAGTGCACACATTCCTGTTAATATGAATCAAGCCCTTTTTAAGTTAATGCATTTTAATACATGTTTCTATTGAGCTTAGATTGTGGGGTGGGACTGAGGGGTTGGGTTGGAGTAGATTAAGGTTTTCTTTGTTTTTTTAAATTCTCTGCTATGTAAAGCATTTTGTGCTACATCTTTTTTGTATGAAAAGTGCTAAATAAATAAAGACTGATTGATTGATATGTATTATTTTGTTCTAGTGTTTTTGTTCCTAGTTGTTTTTGTTGTTGTTGTTCCTAAAGTTTGAGATAAATAAAGAAGAAAGAAAGAAAGAAAGAAAGAATGCATGAATGAATTTCTCTCACTGGAAGCATTTGGATAAAAAATAGAATAATCCAAACTGGTTTAATACTCTAAGACGGATCACAGCCAACTTGAGCGCAAAAGAAAAAAAAAAAAAGGAAGAAGGTGTAATCTGGGGATCTTTATGAATAAAATTCATTTGAATTCAAACTTTGACTGGATTCGGGTTGGGGAGTTAACATCCGCGTCGTATATTTGTGTCGTTCCTGGTGTGTAAGGACCTTAACTCTGGTTGTCTTTAAACAGAGGAGGTGTGACTTTGTGAGTGGCAGATTAGTTAACAAACTCAGGCTCCTGCTGTTTGGTGAGAGAAAACTTAACAAACAGCAGGAGCAGAAAAGTCACTGAACTCTCCATAACCGCGAGTGTCTGCTTTAAATTGACAAGAATCTGTTCAACTGAGGACTTTCCCATCCTGAGGGATCTCGGCCAAAACAAATAACTAAAAAAAAATGCTGCTTTAAGTTCAATACTTGAGCAAATGTAAATACTTGACCACTGATAAGCTTATTGAGTTAGTTAGGAACTCTTTCTGCTAACAAAGTGCATTTTTGTCTTGCAGAGCCTGCTGAAAGTTACACCACATGTAGCAGAAAATGGACAGAATTTCTTTTGCCAGAAACTTGCCCGTATAGCAGTTTCCGGATCCCCTGTGATTATCTCGCTCTGTTTGCCAAAACCCACAATTTTCCCTCCTTACGACACAGAAGAATTTAGCTCAGTGGACTGAAATTCTCTGCTCTGAACAAAAGTGATTACTATATGCAGAAAGTAGAGTGAATCCTCAATGGGGCATGTGGTAATATTTAGTTTCCACTCCTCAGCCCTGTGCTTGATCATTCCTCTTAGTTACCTGCTAACTAGCAGCTGTGACACGGTGCCTGCAGGTGAGGTGAGCGTAATGGAAAGGTCACCGCGGCGCCTGTGAGTGATGGTGACACGGATGACGACATGCTCCACATAAACAACGTGCTGCTGGGGCTCACCAGAGCAGCCTGTAGTCTCATATACAGATGTCAGCGCAGAGCCGGGATGAATAGTCCTGTTATGAAACGGTAAGAGAGAGAGAACAAAGAGACACAAGTGAGCAGCAGAGATGAGCGATGGAGGCAGAAGCAGCGGAGGAGAGAGCAACAATGCAAGAAGCAGTAATGAAAATGCCACCTATTAAAGTGTGCGAGGATCAGCGTGAGAGAAATCCATGTTAGAAGTGAGACAGAAATAGACAACGTGTGATGAAAGAAGAAAGAATCAAGGGAAGCCCTGACTCAAAGCGGAGATCTCTGGCAGTGCGGGCGGTGTGATACCTGCTCAGCTGGGCAGGAGCCTCCTCCACACACTCATGCTGCGAAGGGACTTGTTTCCAACGCTCTGCCTCCTTCACCATGCTCTCAGCATCCAGCAGGCCAAAGCCAAAGAGGTGGCTCACTGACACAAACACACACAAACACACACAAACACACACACAAACACACAGAGCCGTTAGCAGGGGCATAAAAGGCTGTGTTGCTTATAAAAGACATCTCATACTCCTGAGACTTTGTGGGCGTTTATTACTGCTCTGCTCCTCGTGTCTCATTAGTCTGTAGGCTCGCTGTTTGATAGTTTCCCTAAAAAGAGCTGAGAGAACATTCAACAAAATATGCTTATCATGCTAAACTTATCCTCATTATCTTAAGTTTTTTGGAGTTGAATCAAAAGATATCACATTATCAATCATTTAAATGTAAAGAGCTGCCATAGCAGTGACAATTGGCCAGAATCCAGTGGGAATACCTTTATTTCCAGCTCCATTAACATGCCAGTCAGGGGCAACGACATGATGAGCTTTTGATGTCTGCACAATAATGTGCTGCACGTCCCTCCACGTTAGCGAGGGGCTGTGATAAGGTCAAGCAGATAAAAACCTCATAGTCTCATCTGCAGGTAATAACACTTAACAGTGCCTGTGCATGTATGGATTCTGTGTGTGGGAGAAAGAGAGAGAGAGAGAGAGAGAGAGAGAGAGAGAGAGAGAAAGAGACTTACTTGGCCTCCAGAGTGAGAGCGATGACTCCTGCAGCCACGGAGGAGGAGAGAGAGGTCCCAGATTTAGCCCGGCTGCAGCTTTGATATGGACCCAGTGTTACCTGGTAAAAAGACCAGATCTGTATCACCAAATATTGAATATTTGCCGGGAAATTAGTAGGGCCCGACCGATATGGATTATTTCGGGTGCCGATGCAGATTATTGGCCGATTAATCGGACGATTTTTAAATTTTTTTATTAAGTTATAAAAAATATATACACTGTATATTGTAGATATCTACAGTATATTCTATAGATATACTGTAGGCTACCGCTCTTCATGCCGACAGGAAGACCAACTGATCAAACTCAGACCATACAAATAATGTCATTACAGTAAGTTTAGCAGAATGAGTCAAACCAAAAGGTTTGGGACGCTGTGTAGGAAATCCCCGTTTAGCCAGGTGTATTCATTTGTCTAGTCTGCGTTTTGTCGTCTGTGTAACAAAGAGATTGTGAAGGTAGAAAAGACAAGCAGAAAAGCCCTCAGTAAGCCCGGGGACAGAGTAGCAGCTCGCAGAGTTCCCTGTGTTTCCTCTAATGAGCCGCCCACTCTGCTCACCCGTGACTCTTGCAAATTACATGAAGGAAAAAAAAAAGAAAAACGAGTGAATCTGTTATTTTTTGCCCCCTGAGCCGATCGCACAAATTAATTTAAACACATATTCAGTTTCAACTTGACAAAGATGTGATTGTCTTCGTAAGTAAATGTATAAAGTCAACATGCAGATGCTACTTTTTCATTCATAGAGTTTTCAGAGAGAGCTGTGCACCTACAGTGAACATAATTACATACTGTATAATTACAGTTTTTCTTCCCTGGTGTGTTGCCAAGCGAAACACAACAGAAGCTGCCAATCAAACAAGCAAAAAACAAAGTCGAAGTATGTGATTAGGTATTCCATAGGAGGAAGTCTCTGCCGACTTTGAAAAGCTTGTGATTTGGCAATAACATGTTGGCATGCCACTGTAGGCCTCCTGAGTCTTTGGCTTTCAAGGTGTTCACAGCGATTTCTGCTGTATAATCAGCCGGGCTATGCTACTTGTGCAGCTCCTCGAACAGACTTTATTCCAACCAATTTACTCTGGGCTCTAAAAGTGATCTGCATTTGTTGAAGTAGATAATAATTTATCATGAGGTTATGGGTCCTTATCCTTTGTATTGTACAGTCTATATCATCACCCTAGTAAAATAATGGCCTAAATCATTTTTTGACGAAAATGAGTTTTTGGCTGAAAAAACTCCTAAATACTTAGTATTTTAAACACTTATAATTGCCTAAATACTTAGTTGAAAGGATCATGACATGAAAGAATCATGGCATGATCCTTTCAACCAAGGATTAAGACAATTTAAACTAGAATCTTTTCAACTTTCAACCAAGGATTAAGACAGTTTAAACTAGAATCTTTTCAACTTTCAACCAAGGATTAAGACAATTTTAACTAAAATCCTCTCAAATTTCAATGAAGGATTTAAGTGATTTTAACCAAAATCCTCTCATTTTTCAACGAAGGATTTGGGTGATTTTACCAGAGATGGCCAGCATTATCAAGAAATGATTTAGGCCATAAACTAAATTTCATCAAAAGATGACTTGGGCAATTATTTTAATAGGGTTATGATTTTAATAATAAGCTGGTGCAAACATGCTTGTAACTGCAACTCCTCAAATGGCCACAGGGGGCCAGCTCAAAGGCCAATCACCTTATATGCCACAGTCCACGACAGAAATTAATTTGTTTAATGTCACATACTTATAAAAAATGGCTTCAGCTGTTTAAATCATATTTACATTCATTAATTTTTGATTTACAACCATGCAGGGTTTTTTTTTTAATAACTCTCAGCTATTTTTAATCCAATAATTCGACTCATGTCATGGCACTTTGAGTGGTTCTCAGCACTAGCTGACCATCCAGGATTATGATACTCAAAGATTTTAGCAGAAGGAAAATATAGTGTTCTTGTTTTCATATTTCTGCAGATTTAACTCAGCACACCCAGTGTGTTGGCTTGTTAAACGTTGAGCTAGTGCATTACTCCTGTCCAGAGTTTACAATGGATGGTAGTGATGGGAAAACTGGTAATGTTACATTTTGGTGGTGCATGTTGTTCATCTGCAGCACAGCAGAGAGTCAGGTATGTCTCCCAGAAGCTTAGTCTACTACACGAATTAGCTGTAGTGAAATTACCACCACCGATACAATCCACAAGATCATGAAGTCTATGCTTCAAACTTGCTGATTTCAATTTTTTGTGTGTCTTGTGAATATGTAGGTTACAGATTTGACATGAAGAAAGTCCAAAGGGACTGTGTCTGGGGCATATTTGCTTGATTGACAGATGTCTCAGATCATAAAGCTCAACCTCAGAAGTTGTAGCTTGCATGTCCCCCGACGCTGCCCTCCAGCATCCCCTCCACCTCTTTAAAGTTTTCTGGCTATAGGCAAGCAAGACGCTTCAAACATCCCTGGAAGTTCAACCAGAGTTGCAGATGTCATCATAAAAAATGATGCAAAAAAGGATTTTCAGATCTCCTGTTAAAATTATTTTATTATCAGAGGAAAGAGTAAACAACTGTTTTAGAAATGCTGCTTCAGCCACCGAGCTCCAGGGGAGGAAGGCTGATATGTTTTGAGACTTTGCAGGAAACAAAACTAATACAGAACAAGCAATGTCGCTTCTTTATTCAATAATCTGTTCGGCTCTGCAGAAAAAGATCTAATCGTTGCTTTTTGCATTGACAGACTAGACCAGCAGTAATGTAGATTTTCATTTCTCATATTCATTCAGTTTCTTTAATGTATTTTTTTGCATTAAGGGCTGAAATATTTTGTAAATTGAGTTTCTTATTAAATATATCATATATAAAACAAACTGCTATTTACTCGTGTCACGATGTGACTGTTCCCGTGAAAAGATCCTCACTTGATCATTTATAATTGTAGACATTTGTTGTTTAATTGCTCTGATTAGCTCAAATTCTGTCACAATCCAATAAGTACAATGGGAATTATAAGAAATGTTCAGAAACTGCAGACCTGAAGAACAAGGTGTTAAGAAGTAATGACGGCAGTTTAAACTCTCATACATGTACACTCAAAAAGGATTGGAAGAGTGTGCTTTATATGTGCTGTCAATATTATTTCACTTTGCCTGTGTTTATAAAAAAATAAGTTTTAATATAAAGATAGGTCGGTCAAGATGTGGCTCAAGCTGGAGGGAGTGTGGAAATTTCCAGGCGGGTATTTTCCACATTTTCTCCCCCAGCTATCAAACTCTACCAGATGTAAATATTTACAAAGATCAATTCTGATTTAACGTGATTAAGGTGTAACTTGGGAATAATTCACTCAGAATGAATTCTATTGATAGATATCTGATTAAAATAATACAAGAAGGTGGCTTACTGTAGAGTCCCATACAAAAGGGGTGTGGACTGAAACCATACAAGAAACACAAATTACAGTATGTGTGGACAAATTTACTTATTATTGGAGGAAATAAAGCTTTCATCTTAATAGACTGGCTCCTGTACATAACTATGCATATGTGACTATGTATGTGAATTTGTATATGTATTCGGAGTATGATAGCCTCCATTTAAAGTGCACTGTGAAATATCATCTAATGGACTTTGGGTACACTCTTGTTGTTCACTTTATGGTCATGTAAGAGGAACTATTTCCAAAACATATTCATACAAACCGATCAAACAAGAAAATACATACAGAGAACATGAATGTGCAAAAATGGAGCAACTCCAAAATTGAACTCCTTCTCTTTAATTATACAAATGACACCGATGTGACTCATTCATTTATATTCCAATGTTTGTCAGTGTTTGTATCTTTCTGTGTTGTATAATGTGCATAAATCTGAGTTTTAAAAAAAATATGTGTAAACTGTTTAAATTTGAGTAAACTCAATTTGACCAGTTAGAAATCAAGAAATGAAATTATGTTGCAGCAGAAAAAAAGTAAACTGATAAAAACTTTTTAAATAACCGTATTCACCTCTAGAGAGATCTAGTTAAGTGGAATTTTTGACTTTGGGTCACTATGGGATAGAATTTCTGGGCAAAACTTTCTTTTATGAGTTTTTAACATTTAAGGAATCTGGGCTGGACTCTCTCAGCCGACAAAACTAATTACTATTTCTGACATAGACTTCAATAATGTCTTCCATTCTATCTAAGGAACAGATTGATAACAGATAGATTAATTCAGGTTCTGGAGGAAAAAAAGGACTTATAGATCAGAAGTGTTTGGTACATGTGATGCATTATGTCACTTTTCAGTTTTGATTTATTCTTGTCATTTTTTAATTATCCTGTTGTTTTTATGCATCTTTGTCTGTTTTTTTGTTTTGTTTGTTTGTTTGTTTATTTGTTTTTTCCCTTTTATGTTGCACTGATGGAATATCAATTTCATTGGAGTCGGTGCAATAAAGATATTATTTTCTTGTGTGGGATTTCAGAGTCTTATTAGCTGTTGTAACACTTATCAAAAGCCAAGTATATGGTAATCAACCCATTTAACCCACCCAATTTGTGGCCAAATTTTTCTCAGTGTTTGTATAAACATACTGTGGTGTGAAGAAGTATGTGCTCCCTTCCTAATTTCTTATTTTTTTGCATGTTTGTCACACTTAAATGTTTCAGATCATCAAACAAATTTAAATATTAGTCAAAGACAAAAACAGGACATTGATCCAAAACACACCAACAAGACCACCTCTGAATGGCTGATGAAAAACAAAATGATGACTTTGGAACTGCCGAGTCAAAGTTCTGACCTGAAAAAGGCGGTTCACGCTCGAAAACCCTCCAATGTGGCTGAATTACAACAATTCTGGAAAGATGAGTGGGACAAAATTCCTCCACAGCACTGTAGGAGACTTATTGCAAACACTTGATTACAGTTGTTAGGGCTAAGGGTGGCCCAACCAGTTATTAGGGTTTAGGGAGCGATGACTTTTTCACACATGTCCATGTAGCTTTGATTTTTTTTCCTCCTTCAATAATAAAAACCTTCATTTAAAAACCGCATTTTGTTTTCACTTGTATTGTCTTTGACTACTATTTAAATTTGTTTTAAGATCCGAAACATTTAAATGTGACAAAACCTATCAAAAAAACCATAACTTGGATTAATACACCAATAGACAAGACTTGTGTCTACGTTCTAAGGTTTAAATGGGGTTTCTAGGTGAAAGTATGTCAGAGAAGAAGCTGTTCGAAAGCTCCAATGATCTTTTTTATTCTTTTCTTTTGTGGCTCATCCCATTGACTTCAATGCAAAATTTTTCTGCAGTTTGTCTGACCACCCTCGGGCTGTAGGACTATTGCCATTTATGATCATTACTTTATCATTTCCTTGAAGTAATAATCACCATATTAATCAAGTTGCACTGCAGACGCGGTAGTTCTTCTGCCTTAGCATCTTGGTCTGATTGCATTTCCATGAAGAAATTATCATAAATGTTCTTCCTTGAGCTGCGTTACCCCGCTGCAGTCCGTAATGGATTGGCACGAGGTCTCACTCCAAACAAGCGGCTGCTGGAAGAGATTAGGTGAGTTGTATTTAGTCTCTTTGCTAAAGAAATTAGGCAAAGCTAAAAAGATGTTTGGTGGCTAGTACTGTGGCTGGGACCCTATATGTACTGTTGATGAAGTTAGGTTCTGTTCTGAGCATTATTTGTGGCTATAGAGTGGCTTTTTGGTTGAGGTTTGCGTGTGGTTCCATGGACCCCTGTGTATTGCTATAGTGCAGTTGTTATTAAAGTTGGTATAACTAGAGAAGCAAGCGGTTGCCAACATTTATCTCTCCAGGGGGTGTCTAACTTGGTGTTTAGGTGTGTTTGACTCTGAATTAATTTTACGCCAGAATATCCCTTTAACCCAAAGAGGAAGTCCACCATTTTGGTTCAAAGTTTTTGATTGTCTGATTTATAGAGTGCAGCTTCGCCATTAAACAGGAAGTTAAGTTCATTTCTTCATACAGTGTTAGATCAGTTTGATGATTCATATACATGATGAAGGTCAACCTGTCAACACATCCGTGTGCCCATTTCTTGAATACAGTCTGATCTCTTACAAATTTCCCAGGTTTGATGATGGGTTTATAACTATGACATACTTGTTTTGTAATTTTACAACTCCTTGCTTTAAAAGCCAACTGCAAAGCTCCCTTGTGAGTAGTTATTTTGTAAATCACAAGACTCTAACGCACTAAAACTCTGAAACAGCATAGAAACTACACCAAAAACAGTGGAATATTTGTGTCCCTGTGTGTGATTACACAGTGCATTATAGTTTTGCAGAAGGGCTTGTAAACAACCAGCTAAAGCTCCACATGCGCACACACATAGTGCTGTTCTGCCCTGCCAGCTCCAAGGCAATACATCCCTACCTCCTCCCCCAACTCTTTTACTCTTTTTGAGGAAAGGCTTTGCCCATACCTGCCAACACTCCCGTTTTTCCCAGGACTCTCCCATATTTCAGACCTATCTCCTGCCCACCTCCCGTATTGTCATTTCTCCCAGGAATCTCCCGTAGTTTGCATGGTTCATGTTCATTCATGAATCGGATCACTATATTTGTCCAAAGTTGCCAGGTTTCCAGACAACTGAAGATAGTCCTGTGTTTCTGCTGAGACTCACAGATACTGGATTTATACTTTTACTTTACAATTTGGGATGATTCAGGTCAGTTAAAGCTGTAAACTATATTTAAACAGTGTTTGTTGCAAAATGAACACTTCAGTGAAAGGGAAACAAGCGTGAGATATAACATTTATGTTGATTGTCTTGCTCCATCTGGGAGTGATGCGTTCAGGGCAGCCTCAGAAGAAAAAGTGCTTTATTGCACGCACAGATGTTCAGAGAGCCTCATATTGGAGAGCATATAAAACATATGAGGACTTTAACACTAATATAAGTGGACTAAATAAGTTCAAGGCATATCATTGCTATTATTTTTTTTATTAAAATGTGATATTGTTAAAACAAAACAAAAAAGTGTGCAGCTTCACTTATACTTATTTGGATGAGTAATCTAATTACAAATACTCTCATAATTAGATCACCACCATAAAAGGTAACCCCAAAACTACCCGGCCCGCGCCGCAAAAATCTCCCCGATTTTACAACCCAAATGTTTTATTTTTTTGTTTGATTTCAAGAGATTCTTGACTAAATCATTGAATTAAATACTAATAGGAATAGGACAAGTTCTAACTTGCTATTTCGTTAAAATTCATTGTAATATTAATCAGTTAAAAAATAATAATCTTTAGAATAATCAATAAATTAGTCGATAGATCAGTCAACTAATCGAGAAAAATAATCGTTACATTAATCGATAGGAAAATAATCATTAGGTGCAGCCCTACACAGTGCTTTATGGTATTGCAGAAGGTCTTGTAAACAACCAGCTAAAGCTCCACATATGCACACACATAGTGCTGTTCTGCCCTGCCAGCTCCAAGGCAACTCAACCCCACCTCCTCCCCAACCACTTTTACTCTTTTTGAGGAAGGACTTTGCCCCACCTTTATGCAGACGAGGCATAACAAGGGTGTAAACATCCCTCCTTGTTATGGTAGTAACTTCTCTGTGAGCACTGAGAGAGACTCATATCATCAAATCAGTCTTTCAGATCCTTTCAGGCTGTACTCACCACCTCCTCTGTCTCCCCTCCACTGTACGCTGTCGCCAGCGTAGAGGAGCACTGCTCCAGGTAATCTGGCCGGCTTCCACTCCGAGTGCTGCTGCTGATAGAGATGGTGTAGATGCTGCTGCTGTAGCCATCACAGGAACAGTGGTCACCTCTTTGTCCTCCATTTCCTGACGCCCAGACAAAGATAGAGCCCTTCCCATGACGACCCTAAGATTAATTGGGGAAGCAGACAGAGCTGATTAATTTATTTATCATATTTACACACTGATAAAGAAGGAAAAATAGGCCCTGGAAGAAGATAAACAGCTGCAGGAAATCCACACAAACACAAAGTTTTCCTCTCATTTCTCTCACATTTTTGATGCCATTCTCTAACGCAAGACGAGTCAGAAGCCCAGGTCCCTCCAATGTTGCCCCATCATCTTCTGGGCCCCAGCTGGCTGAGTATAAATCAATGTACTGAGGTCTGAAGCTCAAGGACTGGGCCTCCACAATGTCTGTCACAACTCCATCCAGCATACGAACGCCTACAAGTTAAGGAGGAGGAAGAATAGAAACAAAACAAAAAAGTTTAAATCTAAATCACTCAAATTTTGTCCTCCAGAAGTCTTTCACTCAATTTCATGCCGATGCCAGGACTCACCGCCTATACGTGCGTGGAAAGATACTCCAACCGTGCACCAAGAGTTATTTGCAGCTGCTGCAACCGTCCCTGCACACTCAGTCCCATGGCTTTCACAGAAAGGAGGGAACATCAGAACACGAGGTTAGATACATATTCATGAGGAGGAAAAACCGGCTATTTCCGTTACATCAAACCAGTGAAAAAACAGAACTCAGACCGAATCATCTGCATATCCATATATGCATATAATCACAGAAAAGAAAGGATTAGCGTGCATAAATTAAAGTTAGAATTGTGATCAGCAGAGAAAACAAAACAAAACCAGGTGCTGCTGAGATCAAGAAGTACTCACTGGTTGGAGGTATTGTTGGAATAATGTGGGGAGGGATCTTGGTCCTGTCCATTCACATCATAGCTGGCGAAAGGATCCTGAATCAGACAAATCATAAGTAGCAGCATGCAGATGAACATGAACTCCAGTTTTTCAGTCATATTAAAATGATCATAGCAACTGTCAAATCCCTCATCTTCATACAACTTTAAATCTGCAGGCACAGAGTTATGACATCATTAGCATTTGAGCTTCTCACCACGCGCATGATGTCAGAGAAAAATGTCCGCCGTGCGCCTATGATGAATAGGGCGCCAGCAGCTATCAGTCTCTGTATCATCACAAAGAGCATTATTCACCAGTCCACAAGACAGTTAAGTGGTTCAGACGTTTAATGTCCATTCCAATACTCTCGGCCGGCCTTTCAAAACCTTTTGGCCCAAAAGCTTTGTCCGCAATATCTGTCTCAGTTCTGTTCTCTTACTCTGAGAGCGCTGCCAAATTGCTTATGATTAATGTCCTCTTCCAGAGAACAGCGTCCCATCCCAGGGCACTTACATAATTTGGCTTTAGATCCGGATGCTCTCTCTCAATGCCATCATCTAGGACAGACACCACCACACCCTTCCCAGTGTACCCCCTTCTCCAGGCCCCCGCGATGTTCATACCAGAGCGGCAGCCTTTGGATCTATCGCTGCAGTGCTGTGGAGGAAACAGTGGGATAGCAAATTTAGCCCTGAGGTGTAAAGAATAAATCAAAGGCTATTTCAGGCTTGGTCCGCCCGGGGTTTTAGAGTCTGTGTTACAGAATTGAGCTTTTTAAAGAAAATACAAACACACTCACAATATACCACAAATTCTTCCACACTGAGTCACTGTGGAGCTTTGATTCAGCATCGAGGAGATGTTTGGACTTCATGGTGCTCAGGTAGATGCGACTGTCTACTGGGCTCCTCTTTACCCGACTCAGGACCACCTGCTGTTGGAGCCATTCCACCTTAAAAAGGATCACACAGGATACTAGTTTAGACATAATCACACAAACCATTTTAAGTATGGCTGCAGGGCTGCCAAGTTTCAGAAAATGACGAGTGAGACTTCAGCATTATGGCGTGTTTGGCCGCCGGCGAAAAAAATATTTGCCCTTGAAAATTTCTACCAAACCTCTCGACTTTATGCACTAGAGGAAAAAACCTGGCTCAGATTCATTAGTATTTTTTTTAACTAATCACAATCACAATCCTCTCAAGCAGTGCTAACTATTAAACAAAGAAATTATGCCTTTGTGTTGATGGAAGATTTGCAAGTTGGTAGGCGAGTCTTGGCATTACCATAGCTTTATGCCTGCAGGAGGCTGTGCCATAAAAAGGTTTAAAACATACAAAACATCAAGAACTGCTTTATTGTAAGTTCCAAATCTTTGTCAAACTCGCCAATTTCAGCAAGAAGAGTTTTTGTGGTTTCTCGAAGCAGCAGGGATTTATTGTCTGAAAAAAAAATGGAGGTGCAGATTTTTTTGGACATTTTATGATTCAACACAAAGGGAAAAGAACCCTGAATAAAGTCACATCTCTTAAACTTTTCAGAATCATCCCACCAGCTTGAACACTGTTTACATTTTATGTGGGGACAGGGATTTGCACATCACTGGCATGCAGATTGTGGAGGGATATAAGAAGTCCTTCTGTTACTGAAAGCAAATAGCAGGCTTACAGTATACTGATGGTGGATATGAGCCTGCAATACTATATATTAAAACTGACTATTAATGCAGCACTGCTAATATGTCAAACTTTTAAGCTATAATGGTGAAACTTTAGAGTAAACATGAGGCTTATATTTGTAAAGCATGACCAGTTTCAATCTCCTGTGAGGAACTGTCCATATTCAGCTCATTTTGTACTAGAGTGTTTATTTTTCTTTTCTTTTTACGAATCAGTAAAAAAATCTTTGGATTAAATGTAAAAAAAAAAAGGCTTTTCTTATGTGACTTTCTTGGACATTTAGCATGCTGTATTTCAGGAGTACATCTCAGTGCTTGTGGTCTTATTTGTTTTTGTAGATCATAAAGACTCTTTTATATAATAGTTTTATTTTATTTCTAAACCAGTTTAAAAAACTTCTGACAGGAGATTTAATAATCTGGCAGCTCATATCAGGATAACTTTGACAAATGTGACTGATTTAATGTCAAAATACTTTCATAAACAGGAAGGAAGATTATTCATTTTTATTAATAGGGATGTTTATCAATTTTGGCCAATAAAATAAATGTTACTACTTGTCTCATCAGTTGGTTAAATCTCCAGTGAGGAACTTTTCATTTGTGTTAATTTTGGTGCCCCCTGTGGACAAGGAAGTCTTCACTTATCTTGTCCATTATCTTCCGAAAAGAAATCTCAGCTGCTGACTTTTGACAGTCAAAGTTATCATTTGTTGTGAATATTTAATGTTAAAATTGTAAGAGCTGGGTAGTTTCATCACCTACCCCCTACTATATTTGATACATACTTTTATGATACTTCTATCAAATCGATATGATCAACAAATTACTAAAAAAGAAAAAAAAAACACCTTAATACAGCCCGGTAAATGATAACAATGTCCTCTTGTGACTTATCAATTTCCAAAAACATCTCATGTATCAAATGAGATAAATAAATATATTTGTTAAATTTTAAGGACATTTTGATTTTTTTTGGTTTTTCAGTAGTAAGTGAAATAAACATTTCAGCTCCAAAAATGTTCTGGCCATAACTTGTGGTTTCAGGCATTAAAGGGTTAAAACCTACTGCAAAAATCATCAGTCTTGTCGCTGATGGGCTTGTTTGCTTTTGTGCATAATGAAAACTCCTCACAGGAGCTTTAAAAGACAGTCCAAGACTGACTTTTAAATGTCAGTTTCCTAGGACAGAGGTCCTTCTGTATATACAGGTCCTTTACTGCTTGATACATGATTCTGCACTCAAACAGGGTGGCCAGGAAGGGACTTAACTTTAAAGCTTTAAGGCTCAACTGAACTGGAAAACTGTGATGGTCTGTTGGGTCTCATTTAACCAGGAAGTCAGCCTGTAAGTGTAAGGGCTAATTACACCGAGCAGTTTGGGTATTTTTTAGGATAGTACCTTCTGGCCTACATCATCAGACTCTTTATTATCCTGTCTTGTTTATTTTTCAAAAATCTTAGAAAACAACCCTGAGGATTTATAATTAGAGCAGCTGGATCTTGTAAAAAAAAAAAAACTTGGAATAAACCACAAGGTCCTTTAAATATCACAAGGTTGTTCAGAATTTTGCACCTTAAGGTTTTAGGTGAGGTCATAGATAAGTCAGTATAATGGGGTAGTCTACATACATGACTGCCAGTGACTGTGTGTTTGTATCTGGAGGTAGGAAGGTGACATGATGCTGATTAATAATCCAGCACAGTCTCCCAGTCCTCCTCATATCTTATTACTATACCTTGGTCTCCTTGGCGATGCTGACAGTCACCTCATTGTTGGATACATTGGACTGCGCTGCTGTCTCATGGTGGTGAAATCTGTAATAACCCCTCAGGTCTCCGATCTGGTGAAACAGACATCAAATCCTCTAAAATCATGTGTTTTCAGGTAAAGGCCTGGTGCTCATCCCACTCCATCTCTGTACTCAACAGCTGTTAAATTATGAAACCAGCTTTGGAGGCTTTCATTAAGGCAGCTACCTTACACCTGTGATAGTTTTTCAGGCGATTGCAACCTGAGCCAAGAGACTGTAGCCACACATTGAAGACTAATGTGTGTGTTTGAGTCCCTAATGCCATGACGTCAACAGATTTCTTTAATACAGAAGAGGAGGAGGAGGAGCTCTAGGTGTTGTATATTTAATTAAAAAAAGTGTAACAGTGTGTTATATTTGGTGACTGACAAGAATAAATTATGCTCCTAGTTTAATCCCCGATGGCTCTGTTGTGAAATTAGCTTCTGACTTCTGACCTAACCAAAAGGATTTCTCTGGTTTTTATGTTCATAACAACCGTTGTGAAACATGGACCCGAGACCTGCAACTTTCATTACAGCAGCCCTCCCCAGGGAGCTCTTGTGTCGGATTTTTACAATCCTGGGCTCCATAACTCGCCCTGTTTTATTTATTTGCTTCATTATTTATCGATCTTTAGTTTTATTTGGTCATTCTGTGGGAGTATTGACATGTCTAGTCTGATTGATTTTAGTATTTTTTTATTTCCTTCTTGTACATAATAACCGGGAAAATTATTTCCAGCCCTTATTAAAATGGCAATAAAGCGCTAGATCCTGGTTCTTGGAGTTTTAACCGTTTGGATAATTAATATTATGCGAGCTGGGTCAGAATAATGAAATGGAGGTAAGAGCTGAGAGGAGAAAATGAGATTTTCTGGCAGCTTTGTCTCCTCACACCCACACATATCCAGACAGGCTTGTAATGTAGATGAGAAACTACTGATTTCTTGATATAAAAACTTCTGCAGGACTCCAGAAAAGTAGAAATAATCATCCTGCATGATAAAGCTATTATTCAGCCTCATTTTGCAGCATCACAGCGACAGTCCCAACAGCTAAATTTATTGCCTTTTCTCATTTTGAGGGACAATCATCTACAGCAGTTTCACAGCTATCTAACAGGTTTTCTTCTCAGTGGACAGAATAATGAAATTTGCTGCTCTTAACTCTACATTTTTGTAACTTACCCTGATGCAAAGTTTCAATAATACTTTTTACAATCATATTGCATGTATGGAAGTCTGTTTTAATCTACAGCAACTGCTCTGGAGATGTTTCAAAAAGATTTGAGACACACTTTTTCAACAATAATGTAATCCTTATCCTTCATTCTATATTTATCAGTGAGATGAGGCCTAACCAGCTCCCAAACCCCATCTTAAATTCACAGATAGGGAAGTCTCTCTATAGGCCTGCGTAACTGTGGCAGGCTATGAATGAAAAATACTGGAATTGGCTCATACTTCCAAGTGTTTGCAGGGAGTTTTTTTCTGAAAACGTACCTGTCCCATGTTAGTGAATCCATATTTCTCTGCTATCCTATTTACAGTCTCATGGTCAGCTCTTATCCTTACAGCCCAGTCGTTGGTGTAGAGCGTCGCATGACAAAATTGGCCCAGAGTCCAGATCCACAGCGCGTAAAAACGCACCATCACTGCAGGGGTGATGATGCTTCCTTTATTTAGACAGAGCCCAGGTGTTCCTTTAGTCTGATCTCCTGCGAATAGAGTTCCTCATTGCAGAGCTGTCAAGACTTGACTCTCCTCCACTGAGAACAATGAAGCGATCAGATTACCGCTTCATAATAGGAGCCGGAGATCAGCTGTGAAGTGTCCAGTGTAAAGTAAGATGACCTGCCGCATCCTGTCGTGTATTTCCGTTTAAACTTGGTCTGTTTGTCGAAATTTTATGTCAGTGACAATACTGCATCAATGTTTCAACATATCCAAAATTAATATGGTGAAAGGACACACAGGTTGAACTGGATTTCATGAAAATTTAACCAGTTTAACCAACGAGGCAGCGTCTACTCATAGGCTGACTCAGGGTTACAGGCTTAAACTGATCCCAGCACAGCTGAAGTGTTCCTGTTCCGGTTCTCACCTGAACTGTTAGATTTACTCACCTGCAGCCTACAGATCTACCCCAAAGCAATTCAGAGCTTAATCCACTCATTCCATGCGTTTGTTTCAATGTATTTTTATATAGTTCAAACTATTTCAAGCTAGCTTTAAGAATATGTTCAGCAATTAAATTTAGGCCTTGTGAAGAAAGACCACTTCTTTATTCTGACAAACTTTGCAGCAATTATAATGTACTTTTTTCGGGATTAAGGGCTTTAACAATATTGGATTAGTTTTAGATTAGTTTAACTTAATCCGGGTAGGGGAGAGTGGGGTAAATTGAGCCAAAGGGTAAGTTGAGCCACCCCCTGTTGCTTGGAAACGGTGAAAGAAATTGATCATGTGACCAAATATTTAGGAAATGGGCATCAATTCATGGAGTCTGTGAAGGTTAGAAGCACATGGGTGAAGGGGTTAGACATTTATTTACAAAGAAACATTTTTCACTCTTAAAAGTGAATTTAGTCTGTTGTAAATTTTATTAGAATTGTGTTCAGACCAAAAAAGATGTTTGTTTTATACATCAGTTGTGGTATCTATGAGCTACAACATTAGGTCAAAAACCTGGCATAAAAGTCCACTATTCAAGTCATAGACTCTATATACTATGGACAACTTGGTTCCATCTTCCGCCAGTATACGGGTTTGAAGCCAAAAAGCTCTCGGTATTTCCGCATTTTTTTCTTCATTTTCTGAAACCAGCTTTGCGCAGTAGCGTTGTGCACATTCGGCGGGAGAGTCGCCAAGAGTGGCTGTGATGACGCTCGGCTCAAACAGCATATCCCCCGGGTGAACTATGCAATCTCTGAATGCCCATAGGCTGTATCAGGTGTCAGTCATTGAAAACATTAATCTCCTTTTAACTTCTTAAAATGGAGCTTCACGGAAAAAAAAAGAGGACTTGAGTGCAAACCTTACAATAACTACATGTCAACATCACTAGCGGGGGGGATTATGTTCTGTGTAATAAATTTCTAAAGTTTGTCCACAGCTCCATAAGCACCAGAGGGTGCTGTTCTCCGAGTGGCTTCACCCAGCAAGGAGGCAGACGCTGTCCATTCTATATACAGTCTATGATTTTAGTTTAGAGGACTAATAAAGTCATCCTAGTAGTTCTGGGGTAAGTTACGCCAGTGGATCAACTGAGAAAGCAAAGGAGTCTGATGAGAGGATCAGAGTGTCAGTTCAGATTGTTAAAATGTGTTAGCTGAGAATGTTCTGAATCACTTAAAAGCATTCTCATGTTAAAATCTTTTTTTGTTTTTTTTTACAAAACAGCTTTTTAACAGTTATATGCAACAATAAAGAGAATTATTGTACCAGTTGAATAGTGTATAATAGATAAAAATACACATGAATGTGAAGAAGGTGAGGGAGGGCTGGGGTGGAGAGTGGGGGGTTAGTAGGGATACGGCTCAACTTACCCCGTTTCCACAGGAGACCACTTTTTTTTTTTGGCATGCTATATTATCAAGACAGTTATGTTTACACTCATTCTGTTGGTTTGCAGGGATAGACAACATCTTGAAATATATGCAGATACACTAGTTAGAGACAAAACTATGAATGTCTTGATGTAGTGATCCGAAATGTGAAAAATGGCTCATCTTACCCCACTCTCCCCTACTCTCAAGTCTGCTAGTACCCAACATTAACATTAAAGAGTCTATTATCTTTATTTCCCACACCTATAGACTGAAAATTTGAGTTGATTACATTTATTTGTTTCTATGAGTTATTTGTAGATCACCCTCTTGGCTTACATGACCTGTGTGTGAAGTCTTATTCTACTCCCAGAAGATGTTTTAAGCATTTTAGGGAGGGAATAATGTTTGCCTGGAGGCGGTAGATTTTTCAAATTCTGTTTTTGGCCAAATGCCTTTTCCCCTGGCACCAGAGCAGTCTCTGTATTGTGAAGCGATATCTCTGCATTTAAAAAATTCAGTGCTTAAACTGGGTCAGTCTGAGGCAATAAGAAAAAAATCCTTCATGGCAAATAAAACGACCATCGAAATATTCTTATATTTTAATCTTTCAATTCTACACAGTTGGAAAAGACTAGAGACGTAAGTGGTGATAAATGGTGTCATTTAAATGAGAAACCACTGACAGTTTTAAGCACTGAAAATGCAAATGGGAGTGCTGTTGACTGTTATGGTTATTGGTCATTCTGAGGGAGTGTAATTTTTTATACTGATCAAATATGTCAAAGTAAAAACTTCCAATTAGTTTATTTGTATTTTGGCACAGACAAGCTGAGGGACCACAGTCATCACTTTCTCTGAGGCCACAGCTGACAGACTTTTAGCTTTATAAAAGAAAAATCTAATAGTCATTTTGAGTGTCAAAAATGACTATTTAACCTCTGAGATAAAATCCCATCTCCATGTTTTGTTTCCAGTCCAAGAATCAATTTCAGAGGATAATCTTCAAGTAATAAACACACCTCAATTACTTGTTTACTCTGGAATTCAGAAGAGTTAGGGGACCTGTAAAAACTTTAAGCAGTGTCTGCAGACTTCCTTGTGGGCTTCATACAGCGTTAACACTCCTCTGAAGAAAGCTGGCAGCGAGGATGTGAATTGGTAAAAGAACTGTGTCTTTAGATACAGTTAAAACTAGAGCATTTCATTGGAAATCTAGAGGCTAAAATGGGAGAGGGAGTGAAGTAAATTAATTCCTTACTGTGATCTACAAAGCTTAAAAAAGCCAAATCCAGTTTTGGAGCAGTTTGCATATAGTTTATGTGGCATAAAAGGCAGAAATGCAAATGGCTGGAACTATAGGAATTTGTGGATTACCAGAATTTGTGATGCAAAATGTCCCATATGTAAATTATAGTTGAATATGTGAGTATTATTTCAGAGGAAATGCTGTGTTTTTTTGCATTACATAAGACACAGCTTTGTAACTTATTCTAAATCACACATAATGTTTTTGGACATAACAGAGAAGAACTTATATAACCAAAATGGGAGTCAAAGTGCGAGCCATCATCACACTTAATGGGTGAAAATGAAAGCGAAACAGAGCAGAACAAAATTAAGAAACAATATTCCTGTGGGTGGAAAGATCTCTCTTTCAATTTCTTCATGCTCTCCTGTCTCTCCATTGATCTGGTTCATAATATGTATCACATACTGTGACTTAACTTTACCCCTTTAGTGCCCCTGGGCTTAACATCTAAGAGATAGTAATATAACATCCACTGACACTGATCCTCGGGGAGGATAATTCCAATTAATGCCGCAACAAAAGTCATATAATTAAGTCATGAGAGACCATGGGTATATGTTGCAGGTAGATGAGGTTCATAATGTGATATACATTGTGTATTGTTGGAGGATCCTGTATTAATTAAGAGGAGTTGGAGACAGCGGCCTCTTGTTACCGATTTGACGCCGTGGGAAATAAAAGTCAAACACTGATTTTATATGATAATGCAGCAGCTGGTCTTTCATCAGGCTTGGTATGAAAACAGATGCAAACTGTTGTTGGATGATGTACACAGTGTAAAATCAGATGTAAAATATCCCATGATTTATTCCTAAAATGATAAATTTCTAAAAAAGGGAAGAGGAAGCACCTCCTTAGTCTGACTGTGTTTCCACTTGTCTGCCTGCAAATTGGTTTCTACATATCCGATCAGCACCAAGTTAGTTAGTTGAAAACACCTTTCTGGTCCGAGTTTGATCAGTCGGTCTTCCTGTCACCATGAAGAGCAGTACCCTACAGTATATCTAAAGTATATCGTATACTGTAGATATCAAAATAATTTAATATAATTTAGTATAATTTTAAAAATCGTCTGCTTAGTCAGTAATCAGATTTGTTTTCCCCCTAATAATCGGTATCAGCATCGGTCCAAAAAAATCCATATCGGTTGGGCCCTACAAGTTACATATTTTGTTCCTGAAAGAGCAGTCTCAAAATGTTATATCACTTTTTGTCAGATTGCTATGACCACTTCTGACCTGGTACATGCAAGAAGCAACCCTCAATATCAATAGCAAGTCTTTCCCCACAAGCAGCCAAGGACTCCAGTCCCAACCACGATCTGAAAGAAAATCATCCTTTCCTTGACACGCTCTTTGTGAGGAAGCAGAGAATGAAAATCTGTAAGTAAAAAAAAAATTACTCTTATGCCACTAAAAGGAAAAATAAATGCACAAAACCACCTCAAAGCTAAATTTTGGTGCGCTTTTTAAATGCTTTCTGTTTAATGATCACATTCTGACTCATTGAAGAAAAAGAAATTTTTCTGTTTGCATCCAGCTTGGTTACCCTTCAGAATACTTGAGTTGTTCAAATCATGTTCAATCTACTTTCATGTCCTTGGATTCGAAATTACAGTGAACAGGTTCATGATGCAACGTGAACTCAAAGTCTTTATCATCTACTTGACTGCGGAGAAGAAAACAAACTAGCTGAAGCAAACAAAGGGAAAGCACCTCTTGGCAAAGCAGTCACAGGACTTTGAAGTTATCTAACATGTCTTCAGAGAGACAGACTTTGATGTTCAGAGGCCT